ATCTCTTCCTGACGCGTTACTTGATTCATCCTGTTTCCTGATACAGTACTGATACCGTGCTGCAGCACTGCTGTTGCACTACCTGTTACTTCCTCCTGTATCAGCATGCTATCCTGATACGTTACTGCATATGAGTTGCTGACCCTAGGTTGTAGTGCTGCAACCCGAGTCAAACTGGAATTTAACGGGGGCAGAATGGTCGGATTGCACCTCGAGATACCGCGGAAATTCGAGCGATTGTAGGTGATATCTTTGAAAAGAGCAAGGGTCTCCTCTGAAGCGTAGCACAGTGATATTCTACAGCTCAATCTCAATTGAGAAAGCGGCGGAACCGTGCAGAGAAAGTGTATCCTGAAGGTCAACCAGGAGTTGTTTCTCAGCTGTAGCGACCTCGAGTTGGGAACTGTAGCGCTGTGGTACCACATCTAGTAGCCAGGGCCGTGCTAACTAAAAAGATGAGTTGTAAGAAAATAGGAAGGGCTCTTTCAAATTCGGTCTTCCCAAATTTCCCTGGCGCTATGCCTATGCTCTTTCGCATCATCATCTCCAAGACTCATTCCTAGCTAATTATCAAATCCTCTACCATCAAGTAATCTCAGATCGCGCCGCGAATCATGCTTGAGCGTTCCTAGTCACATGCTTCCCTTCCTTATCACGAATACACGGATGACTTCAGGCTGGGCCAGGGTATAAAACTTCTACCGCGGTCTTCAGTCTTGATTTCTAACAAGGAAGAGTAACAGTCGCGCTACACTTATTAGTCGGCGGCTTGGCCGTTCAATGGAACACCACTGTATGGTGGGTGTGCAAATGCAGCAGAAGAATCAACTAATGAAATCTGGGAAGCTATGATTTGCTGCGAACCCGGATCTCCCGAAGTTCATGAAGCGGAGGAGAATCCAGCTACTCAATTGATGGCAGTGATGCCGACCATAAGAGCTATTTTTTCGACAGCCTACTTCCATAGCCACTCATCATCGATCTCCAGGTACGTAACATAGCCATCACTACCTTCTAATCTTCATGAAAATCCACCGTCCTCGACCAATGGAATCATCTTCATTGTCCGAGTCCGAACATCATCAACCGGCAATGAAATATCTCCAAGCTCCACGAGGTATTCCTCGGCGCGAGTTTCACTCCACTCCAGCAACTCCATGGCATTTTGGTGATGATATTTTGAACACCTCCCATGAACACATCCGAGGAGTCTTTTGCAATCCACCACACTCCCACAACAGACCATGATGCGAACTCAAATAGTCTGTTGATCACAACACCGCAACCCTCTGAAGAACCCAACGAGCCGCAGTGGCTAGAGTATTTATACCTCCCAGCAGAAGATTTGTAGTGAGCCCACGTGGAAGCCCTATGACCTAGCTCCTGAGACTGTCACCCTAGATCGCCAACGAAGAGTGCTGGTCCCGTGGTCCGTGGTGGGCGGGTCACGCGTTGCCAGACTTCCCACGTGCAACACACTTGTGCCGCTATCTTCTAACGTATATAGACCTCTCGACGTCTTTCCTTTTCTTCTTCAACAGGGTGGAGTTTGGGCGAGGGTTCAACAACAAATCGATTACTTTTTCATGGTGGTCGACACTTCCCCGTGCGATGTTCCATGGGCGTTGGCTGTGTTCAAACTTCTCAAAGCTTCAGCCTTTATGGAGTTGGAGGTGTCGGCGGTTGGAGTGGGTGGTAGAACGGTGATTGATGATAATGTCCATCTCCTTCAGAAGAATGACAATCTCCAGCGCTCAGTGGAAAGCGTGGCTTCAATCCTGGACCGAGGATGGTCTGTGTGATCAAGAAACAACGTGACGAACAGCATCAGCGGATAGCGGTAACTTCCCAACGCTCCGGCCAAATCTCCCCTCCATGTACGATGAGGACTCTCGGTTTGACAGCAGCCACCATGACGAGCCTTCTGCATCTCTTTTGAAGCTACTCTCACTCCACTCCACACCACTCCATAAAATTGGATCGTAAAATATTCTTGATGACCTCCTAGCTTCGCTCTTGAAAAGAGGAAGGTAGAGCAGAAGAGGAAAGGCTAATATACCACCCGAAAGTTTCGAAACCCTTTCTAGCCTTAGCAGCACATGACTGGCGTCAAAACACGTGAAAGTTGGCCTACATGGTAAGGCAAACCAATTTAAGCCACCCCGGTAGTGGCTGAGGCACACATACCGACCTCCATCGTGAAGTGAACTTAATCGAGATCCAATGAGCCGGACCGTAGGTGCCACATTAAGCAGTTGTCGTCGGCATTTTGGTTCTAGCCTGCTCCCAGAATTTGCATGCCTCATTATTCCGTGAGCAGTCTTCATCCCATCGAAGAATTGTCGCAAAGTTCTCCTTAGAGGATGCCCAAGACCCCAAAGCTCGTCCGGTGAGATTTAGAAAGAGATACCTAGCAATGGTTGCGGCTACATCCACATGTGATTCATTAACGGCTTCACATGGATGTCTAGTATCTTAAATTCTTAATTCAGGCCACGGCTTTGAGGCGGTTGCCCAGATCAAATTCGAGTAGTCCACGAGACGTGTTAAGGCGGCAGAAATACCGCGTAGAGTTTTTGGAAGAACAGTTACTCAACTCTTCCGGTGATTTAGAGTGCCTTGCGGCTCCCGAAAGTGCATTATGGTGTTCCCCGTCAAGCAGGAAGCATACGACGCAAGACTTCGTTGTAGCTCTTCGCGACTTCCTGTGGGTACTATCAACATGATCCACGTTTAGGTCGTCCTTCTTGTCGCGCTTCATGTCTGGGCACAAAGAGTAGACGTTGGTGGAGGAAATGGGGTGTCTCCTAGACCGCTGGGATGCTGGTTGGCGTACTTCAGATTCTACAGAGAGACACGGAAGAGATTGAGACCGTCTCCGTTACGATTTTAAGGTTGTCCTCTCGAGGAAGTACAGGGCGGTGCGCAGCGGGGACACAAGGCGTTCTGGCAGGCTACGGGGATCATAGATGGCCATTCTTCATCTGTCGAGGTAGCCTGAGGATGGAGACTGAGATGTAGAATTACATGGAAGTAAAGCGTCTGACCGTTGATGGAAGAAGTGGTTATGCGGTGCAGTACGGCCTCCTATTCTGGCGTGGGACGTTCTATCCTTGCCACAGAGCTGAAAAATCATCAAGAAAAATTAAAGGGAGAGGGAACTACTAGTGTGGCCAGCTCTTGAGATCGAAACGGCAGACTTGATTGTGGTAGCTTACTCTAACCAAACGTGTGAACAAAAGCGAAATTGACGTTGGAAGTGAGCTAGCGTGCGTAGTAATGTGAATAACATGGAGAATCCCTGGTCCTTGTCTTTCAGGTAACACACCGTGTAAGGTTAAAGTCCCGTTGAGGATCGATACTTTGAAATCCAGCATCGAAACATCTGATTCGTTTAGATTGATTAGCTAGATCCTGATCTCTCATCGCTCCCACTTCGTGGCCCCTTTCCAGCTTGTGAATCGATGAAAGTAACTAGAGCAATGAGTAGGGCTCCTAGTAATCCCGTCAGCAATAATGCCTTATGAAGTGCCCGACAGAAGAACATACCAGTGGTGACCACGTAGCTAGCCACCGTGAAGCCCGTCTGCGCACTTGTCTGGACATCCTCACCGTAGCACTTTACTGCCATCACAGTCCAGATGATTCCCGTCAAGAGGCTGAGGATCGTAGGTAGCAGAACTAGGAAGCGCATCATGCGCATGTCCCATGAGCGAACCATGTTCAGAGCGTACAAATTCTGCTCCTCGGATGGAACTATGACGACTTTCCGCTCGGGCCTGACTGCAGTCGGGTCTGCAGTCGGGTTTAATGGTGCTTCGTCTTTCTTCAATCGCGTAACGATCCCATCGCCTGTGATCTCCTCTGGATTTTTGAAGTAGTAAATAGCCCTATTAGCACTACCGTACAGTCCGAGCTGGAGAGTAGACTGAGTGTCACCAGAAGCAACCCCGCGCTCCAGCTATAGATTCGTCAGTAACTTCACTGGGACTGAGAGCTTGAGAAACTTTACCCTTCACGACATCTATTCTTGCGAGAGACTTCGCACTAAGCGCTTCTATAAGTCTTCCTTCGGCCTTCCGTAGGTAGTAAAAATGCCCGAGCATTTTGAGGAAAGTGCGATCGTCCATTATCTCTTCGCAGAAGGGTACTTCCAATCGCACTTTATTGTCAATGAACATGACAAACTTCGACGAGCTGCGCCAATCGCGATGCGATTGCATATAGTTCTCATGAAAGTTGTTCCCGAAGTCTGTAATGAAGTACAGACACCAGAACGTAACGAGTACAGTATACAAGGCTTTTTGACTCGCTCCACGTGTTCCATACAACGTATAGGTATCTTTCCACGACATACTGGCTATTACGAATACTCCCTGTATGTCGATACTCCGTTAGAGCTAGATGTCTAGTGTAATCTTGTATATGACTTTGCTCTTTTTCATCCGCCCCGGAGTTTTTGTCCTTTCGAATGTGAAGACACTCACCAAGATGCCCAAATAAATGAATGCAGAAGGTGAGGCTCCTGCACGTTTCAAGCCGAAGCCGTAGCTGGAGTAGTAAAGGGCTGCCCATATCAGCGAGCGTAAAATAATCCAGAGCCAGTAAACCGGATTTATGTATCTGAAGAAGTACAAGGTAGAGCAACCCGACTTTAGAAGCACCATACATCTCCACCAAATTGGACTCGCCCATTGGCCGAATATAATGGCAGGTAGTATCCTGTTCTCGGGCTTCTGGAAATAGCCGGAAGAAGCCATCATCAAAGTTGAACTCAGGGTGTATGAAGGCCGCAACGTTCAAGGAAATCTGTAAGCTGAGATGTTCACCACGGGCGGGGAAATTTGCTGGGCGGCTGGTGCGGGGCAAAGCTACTACTCGTAATGCTTCTTTTGGGGGCCAAAATGGCGCATTGCATGCAGGCATGCAGAGTTGCCAGCTAGTCACTCGGTTGGAGAAACACCATGCTCTCCAAGCTCAAGTCAACCCGATCCCATAATAACCTAGAAACTCAATATCTCCCTAAGAATGCGTACAGTTCGACATTACCGCGCCCAATATGTGCCAAAAGGTGTAGATATCAAATGCTCCTTTCTCTCTAAGTATTCAACATTAATATATCGGTAGAAATCGCCGATCGACCCGCCGCCTCTTCTAAATGCGATAACCTATCCGTGAAAGGCCCGAGTACTTCAAGATTGGTAGGAAATCGAACAGAAGCTTGACAGGGTAAAGGACATTCCCACAGGTTGTCATCGGAGTTTGGAATAGTGTCCATGCCAGTCTCATTCGAGGTCTCTTCCAAAGGCCCGAATGTGAGAGGTCTAATCACTTCACAAAGAGATCCGCTGTGTAATGGCTCCTTGTCGTTGAGCCAGATAGAGTCGATTTCAGTGTCACTGTCTTGATACTCGTCTTGAGACGCGCTTGCTCCCCAAATCAACTCTGCAAGCATCTCCCGGTCTGCGTCATCTGCAGTAGCATCTTCCTCGTATAAGACGTCGTTATTCTCAATGAATGTCCCCATACTCCACTCGAAGTTTGTGACAGGCTGTTCCTGGAGAAATATGTCAGGTCCAGCCAAGCTTGGTGAAGGGTCTTCTCTCTGTCGTAGAGGTTTCAATCGTCTCGCGGCGCTTGGGTCAAATAACGCAGGTGTAAGAAAGTTCCACAGCTCGACTTCAATCGATTGGACCTTATCTTTGCCACTAGATATGTCGTGAACAGACTGTGAGTGACTACGATTGCATTTGTTGCACCGACAGAAAGCGCGTTCGCATATTGCATCAATTTTCGATCTCAAAGTCATCGACCGCGATTTCGAGTAAACGGTACGAGAGAGGGCGCGACTGACAGTAGGCAACAAGCACGAGCGCTGTGAAACAGACTGAGACCGAGTGTCAGTAGTAGTTGTAGCCAAATGATATTGGAAGATATTACCGTAAGGTACTCCGGACTCCACAGACTAGGGGCGATATCGGCGAGTCTTGCAACGAAGTTGGATTTCTTCAACTTGATCCCCGGATTCACCTTCAAAGGGCTCTTGCAAATGGCCATGCGTATCGCTGCGTCTAGTAAGCTCGTGATAGTATCAATACTGTAGTCGCTTGTATGCCGCCCGAGACTGTCATTGTCTGGTCGCGCCGCTAGTCTCTTGGGGCTGCGAGTATTTGCTGGCGGCCATGGACCCACGATTGGCGGTACAGAGTTCGCATCTTCAAGAATCGAGAGATCATTTTGATGAGGGGCAATTGGCTGATCGAGCAACATCATATCGTCGTAATGCATATTCGATTGCGATTCCTCTTCGAGGCTGGCAAAATAGTCGTCTCCCTCTCCATCTGATATGCCATCTGCTATGGTGGCCTTCTCCTCACATCCTCTGTCACGTTTAACTCTCTTATCCTTGTGTCGTTGCCGAGCTTTGCCGACTTTCACCTGAAATACCATTGATTCGAGGCCGACAACAGGTATACCATCCGGAGGTCTTATGTCTGCAGATGGCACCCCAATCGCTATCCGATGTGTTGATTGCTTCAGTGTATCCGATTCCGTACGGCTATGGGATATATCCAAGTGAATCGTCCTCGTGAACGATGGAGGACTCGATGAATCGACTTTCGGGGACGCTTGGAGGTTGAGCTGGCTCCACAGCTGTAGGCATGTTTAGCATCCTTCCAACAACAATATCAGGTATGTGAATTACCGCTGCGTCACTCAGAGTCGCCGTCAGTGTATCGAGATCGTGGTCGCCCAGCCGTTGTCCCTCGACATCTAGCTGGATCTCGAGATGCAATCCGCATCCTCGACCAACCCACACAGATTTCGAAGTTAACAGAGTCAAGATGTCTCGGTGAGGGCATTGCTGTATGTCAATTGAGCTTTCCGGGTGAGATGCGGTCAGAGAGGCGGTTAGCTCCAGCTGTAGGTTAGCTCGAGGATAGCTCAGGACCAGCTGTCCCAGCTCCACAGCGTCTGGCATGTAGCCTGAAACATTGAAGTGCTGATATCTAGATTCTGCTCGTCTTTTGAGGGTTGGCTAACAGTTTCATGAGTTTTATGGAGGAGTGGTTGAGATGTGGTGGAGGGGTTGAAGCTCGCGCGAAAGCTCAGGGACCCTTGAAAACAAACGCTCCAACGTCATCTCTCACATCTCTTCCACGAAACCCAGCAATCCTACCAACAACAAAGCAGTCGGCTACATAATTGCTTTGATATTTTACTTTTAACCCTCAGGAATCCAGCTACCGCCATGGCGTCTTATCGGGCCATGTCTGCCCCAAGGACGTTGTGCCATCGACTCAATTCCGCGAACCATACCGTCAAATATAACGTGATTATACCGCGTAACAGCAGTCGCAGCTTACATGCTACGGCACATCGGAATACAGATGGTGTCTTCAGAGAATTGACAGCAGCACGGACTGGGTATGTCGTCGCGAGGGCCTGAATATACCGCGACTTGATCTCACTCTTCCCGCTATGACAGGAGGACACCATGGATCGAAGCATTCCGAAGACAACAAGCGGAGAAGCAAGACCTCTCGAAACCATCGGGGATACCTCAGGTACCACCAAACCGCGATCTGAAGCCAAAAAAGATGTCTGATAGCTATCACTCGGTGGTGAGTATCCGCCTGTAGACCTAGCCTATCATGCGGGGCATAGAAAAGGCGGCACTCTGATTCTAGAACAAGCTGTCTCATGTGTACACCTGTCTGCCACTGCTTGAGTTCCTTCAATGCATTTTCAGGAATCTGAGCGAGATAGAAGCTCCTCACCTTGGGCTATGTGGAAACTTGTTGAAGCACTTCATGCAGTGGCAGACAGGTGTACATATGAGCAGAGCACTTGATGACTGTGCCACTTTTTTCATGCCCAGCGTGCCTATACAGACCAGCAGACTGACGAATCTAGTGATAGATACTACCACTTGCCCAAGACCCTTGGTTACTCGATACCTACCTTAATTCGTCCGGACAAATAAGGTGCCGCCTAATTCTCGAAACCCACCGGACCCCTCAAAAAGCTGACGCCCGGACAGGCTTGGTACACTATTCATGGACCTAGACGCTCTATCTGGCGTGGTTGCATACAAGCATACGGGCGACGCCGTGACGACTGTCACTGCAGCTTGCGACAGGATCAAGATCAATTCTCCGCTGACTGAGATTTGCGATCTGGAGTTGAGCGGGCAGGTCACATATGCGACTGGCAGGTCCAGTATGGAAATATCTCTGCAAGTCGCGAAAGCTCCCAAAAATGGCGAGAAAGTACCTAAGTCGGATGTCTTCATTGAGTGTACATTCACCATGGTTTCTCTAGACCCAGGCACCAAGAAGTGCGTCCCAAACCTTTATACTAGCGCATGAACTAATGCAAGGAAGGCCCGTTCCTATCAACTCCGTTGTAGCAGAGACTACAGAAGAAAAGGAGCTTTTCGCTCTAGGGGAAAAGCATTCGAATCAGAGAAAGAAGCGCTCGAAGACATCTCTGATCAAATACACCCCAAACGACTTAGAATCAGACCTCATCCACGCGTACTGGCAGCACCAGATCCAATACCATGGCAAGTCACACCCCACTATCCATCTGATATCCCGCTAACAGCCCCAGACCCCAACGACCCGCACCGCAAGCCCAAAAACGCCCACTTCATGAACTCGACCGAGCTCCGCACAGCCATGATTATGCAGCCCCAATACCGCAACCGCCACAACTTCATGATCTTCGGCGGCTTCCTGCTCAAGCAGACATTCGAGCTCGCTTTCAGCTGCGCCGCCGCCTTCTCCCACGCCCGCCCCACCTTCGTCTCCCTCGACCCCAGCACCTTCCAGAACCCCGTCCCCGTCGGCTCCATCCTGTACCTCACAGCGCGCGTCGTCTACACCGACCCCCCACTCATCGCCGCGCCGGGCGAGACGTACGACGCCGAAAGCCCGTACACGCGCGTGCAGATACGCGTCGACTCGAAGGTGCGGAACGTAGAGCACGGCGAGACGAAGCCGACGGGCCAGTTCAACTACACGTTCACGGTGAATAAGAATATACGGGTGATGCCGCGGACGTACGGTGAATTTATGATGTACATCGATGCGCGGCGGCGGGCGGAGGAGGTGTCGGCTAGCTTGGGCGGAGCGGAGGCGCCGGCTATAACGCGGGAGAGCGTCACAGAGTGAAGCATGACCATTGATAAAAAACGTATATATATTCAACGCAGCGCTGCAAATGCCAGTCTAAATATCCCAAATTCAAGTTCCAGATACCAGTCTTGGTGCAAATGCAGAAACGGACGCCAGAGATAACGCCGATATGTCCCATACGCTATAACGCTAAGAAAAAGCCCAGCGCCAGAAAATGCTGCCAATAACATGATTTGCGAGAATGGAGTGGTATCATACGTCGCGCGCGTGTCACAAGATGCTTCGAGTTCGTATCGTATCGTATCGCATCGTAGGTGCATCGTAAACCCCATAAACTCCGGCGAGCGACTCGAGAAAAAGGGTCTACCCCTAGCCAACCCATTAGCACACTCCTAGCACAGCATTCTTAACGCAAATTCCAATTAGGGGGCACTTACTATTCTGCAAGCGAGCCTACACAATCTACATCTCATCCAGCTCGAACTCAAGACTAACATCCTCAGAGCAGTCGGAGCAGTAGTAGTTCGAGAAGCCGCCGCAGGTGACCTTGCTGTTCTTGCACATGTCGATGCTCCAGCAGTCGTACGAGTAGCCGCTCAGCAGGCGGTTGGGGCAGACCTCGACGCTGTTGGCCCAGATGTAGTAGTCGTGGTTGCAGTAGTACCAGGAGTAGGTGTAGGAGCACATGTTGCGCGGTGTATATAGCCTTTTTGGGGGTTGGGGGGGGGGGGGGGGGGGGGGGGGGGGGGGGGGGGGGGGGGGGGGGGGGGGGGGGGGGGGGGGGGATGATGGCTGTTTAGGTGAAGAAGTTAGCGGGGTGCGCGGGATATATGCTGAGGAAAATCGGGAGGATGGATCATTCCGGTCATACTGCACGGTGTCTCGAGCTGAAGGCTGTGGTGTACAAGCAAGAAGGCAGAAGAGGCAACATGGTCGCCTCTAACTAAATCACTCACCTCGACTCCAAGAAATGCTCACGCGCTGAAAAAGAATTCGCGCCGAAAAGACTCACGCAAACGTATACGCGATCGCGAGACAGCTTCAAAAGATCGACCTCGTATATTTCTCTCTCGCTTCCACGCGTGTTCTGGAACTCTGCCTTATCGAAAACTGCCTTTGTTTCTCTGTTCTCGGTAAAGGAAATAAAGAATTCCGAACCACCCTCTCCGAAGCCCCGGGGACAAAGGCAGTTCTTATACGCAGAGTCGGTGGGCAGTCAGCCAGCCAACCCCGGACCTGCCGCCAATCTTCAGCTGCCATGCAAGTGTGTGTGCATGGGGAGGGGGGTGCTTCTCCGATGCTCGCCCCGGAGCGCCGGCTGCGGGCGATAAGGTGAGCGTGCATGTACTGGTACCTATACATGGCGGGAACGTGGTGCCATTGGAGTGAGGCGGTCCCGAGGACGCCCGCCTTACCGATGAGAGCGCGCTCTTCCCATACTTGCATTGCATACCGCGGCGTGGCTAGAGCTATGCACTCCAGCACCTACATACGGAGTACAGTAGCGAGCAGCCTCAATGCACCTCGCGTGCAGCTGCTCCTAACAGATGCAGAGTTTCAATTCAGCTTTCCTCCACCGCTTGAGGAACTTCTGGAATCAAGTCTACGCCAGTTGCGAGTCATCCCGGGGGTCATGGATAAGCACGCGATGTAGCTGATACCGTGGTACTCTCTATCGCTGGCGATTTCTTCCGAGCAACGGAGCTCGTGGCCCTGAGGAAGTCCCCCGGGACCCTGGATCGGCGTCGTTAGAGCTAAGTCGTCGCAAATGCAGGGACTCGGTAGCCTCTTAGCGGAGGGTGGGGAGGTGCTTCAATTGGCTGCCCTTCCCTCGAGGCGGTCTGGTGGTGGACCGTTCCAGAAGCATGGGTGGTGGTGGTGATAAGAGCCATGGACATGTTGAGGTCGGGAATCTGATCACGCGAGCGTCTAGAGCGTGGTCTCTGATGCTGTGCGGTGCTGTTGGGGGTAATTGACGCGGATTCGAGACTTTTGATGAACTGTCGTCGAGGTTGTGTCTGGAGAAGGACGACGCCAATCGGTGCGCGAGGCGATAGCGGCGTGTCAGCAGCGACCCGATTCGTGGACGCTCTCACCGCTGTGGATATCAGATCGACGGATGGTGGGGGGCAGATTAGACGCTTCGGGGTCCGAGTGTGTAATGCCCAGAGGTGTTTTGAAACTTTTGCATGACTCAAATGTATAATCTGAGGTTTTGGCGGAGAAGCTTCACAGTACTGTGAGGAAACTCTCCTAATCTCGGAATGATCAGATGCTGCTATGGAAATAATAGAATGCGAGTTGTAACTAACTAACGTAGTCGGCAAGCTAGTGGGCCATGCAAGCTAGTGGGCCACCCAATTTTTGGTGCGATTTAGACCTTTTAGCACCCCAGCAATCTCAACAACCACGAGATATAAAGTATAGCTTTAAGATTGCATATACTATCTAGCTCATTTTAATAGCTAAAAGAATGTTTGGAGCAGTATGGCAGCGTAATCCTATTATATTGTAGGTATTACTTGATTTTGGGGGCCAAAACTAGGCAACATTTTACTGCGGCTAAACAGGGCTATCAAGAGATCTAAAAAATTAACAGATGATATTAAAATAACCACGGATATCATTATCCTAAGTCATAACCTGGAATATTCTGTGATTGTTGAGATTGCTGGGGTGCTAAAAGGTCTAAATCGCACCAATAATTGGGTGGCCCACTAGCTTGCATGGCCCACTAGCTTGCCGACTACGTTAGAATGTCTGTAGGTTAGTAAGCAAGCCATCCTTTTGCCCAATCTGTCGCCGGTCACGTGCTATGGTCAGCTTTCCCAGCATCAAGACGTTCTCCAAGAGCCCCATTCGGTCCTCCTTGAGACTCGCTGTGCTGGAAGTAGTCATTACTGCTAGCGATTTGCTAGCCAGGACGGTCACCAGCTAGGTTTCACTGCACTGTAGTCCGCAACCCTTATCCTGCTCTACCCCTCCTTATAGCACATATACAAGCACGCAACACCAAGCCTCAGCATGTATCATTTCAACCACTCAGCATCCGGTCCCCCTACTCCCGTCCAAGCGCCTTCTCCCGTTCAAACAATTAACACGCCTCCGCTCCCTCCCGGATGGATCGCCCAATTCGACCAGAGCAGCCAACGCTGGTTCTTCGTTCAGACAGCCACAGGCCTTACACAATGGGAACCCCCTATGTTCGCACCACCACCAGGGCCGCCGCCGCCGCAGACATACGGCGCTTATCCCCCGCCTCCAGTTCCTGCGCCATACTACGAGGGCCAGAGAGGCTTCGATCCCAATGCGCCAGAGGCAAGCCCGCAAGAGGTTCAACTTACAGGACCGCAAGTCCCACAAACTGAAACCCCCGATCCAGGGCCACAGTCAGCTAGTAGCAAGATGGGTGTATTCCTGTGAGCCACCTCTTCAATTTCAGAAATCACATCTCATATATCTCCTAAAAGTCTCAAAATCTCCGCTCTCTCCTCCTTCATTTCTTTCTCTCTCTCACACACCTCCCCCAGAAAAGAAAGCCTGAACACCGGCCTCGTCAAAAGCAAGCTGGTCCTCGAGCACTCCCTCGGCCTCGGCCACCGCCCCAACGCCATCCCCCCCGGCGACGCCTCCATCGACGAAGAACCCCGCCTCGTCGAGATCGGCTGGCACCCCGTCGGCGGCTTCGGCGGCAAGTGGTTCGCCGAGAAGACCGGCTTGGGCAAGAAGATCACGGAGAAGATCAACAAGTACCCAGACCCAACGCAGCACTGGGCGGTGTTGGTGGACGAGTATGCGCATGAGCTTTGGATGGTGAGATGTTTTTGTCTTCCCCTGTTCCACTTTTCTCGATTTCTCCAAGCAGTACGGATTGGGAAGTGGACTGGACTAAGCAAACAGTGGTTGTTGGCGGCAGGACGAACACCTCGACGTCATCTACATCAACGAGAAAATAAACCGCGCTGAGTGGCACACCTTCTCCGTCGGCAAGACGCGCTTCAACGACGAAGCCCTGCGCCAAGCCGGTTTGTCCCCCCTTCCCTCCCCCCTCCCCCCTCCCCCTTCCCCACGCCCCACCCTAACCACCCCCCACAGGCGAAATGGTCATCCACAACATGCGCGCCGTGCGCCCGGCCTACAACATCATCAGCAACAACTGCCAGAACTTCGCCGTCGCGCTGCTCGACGCCATCCAAGTCGGCGCGCACAAGGAGTTTGCCACCAGCTTCGCCGTCTACCAGCGGGCGACCGGCAAGGGCAAGATCATCGACTTATTCGTGGATAAGCACCCCGACGAGCAGACGGACCAGCAGCGGCCCGAGCTGCATCGCATGGATACGGTGCAGACGGCCGCGCAGGTCATGGAGGCGCAGACGACCAAGCTGGATAATCATCGGAGGGTGTTTGGGTAAAGGAAGGGGGGGAGGGTGGGAATGGAGGGTTTTGGGGGGAGGATGGTAGGGGACTGGTTTTCATGTGCTAAACGGGGTCGAAGTGAGATATACTGCGCAACTCGGTTGCGCGCCATGGCGGAGCGGTGCAGTTCACTATCTGTGTACATCAGGCTGTTGCCGCCTGAGGGAGCTCCGCGAGTTTCAAGATTGTTCAAAATCACAGAATGAACATCCCATCCGAGAGTCTAAACCCACCGTGAGACACCACAACCAGCGGCAAGGACGCGCACTCAAGTTCTTACACATGCATATCCGCTCAATAACCGGGAACGTATCGATTGGTTTAATCAATCTACCGGATAATCCCAGTATCCCTATTCGGCGGCCCAGTCGCCATATGATCAATCCCCCATGCCCCAGTGCAGCTAGCCAGCTGTCTGTATGATACAAAGCTCCCCAATATGACGAGGTCTCGATGCAAGGATCGTTCCCAAAAAGGGATCGATTCCAAAAAAGAGTCCCGTATGCAAAAAGCTTCAAGAAAAACGCCCGTTCATAAACCGCAGAGGACTAGGGAAATTTCTCGCTCATTTAGAAGGACGGCGGCTAAGCAGCTCCTCGTTGACCTCCAGACGGTTGATGCCCTTCTTCGTGTACTCGAAAAGCGAGAAGAAGATTGCGTTCAGGATGCAGGAGCGGGTCATTGAGACGGTGAGACCTATCAGGGGGTTAGCGTACAAATTATGGTTGTAAATAGGGCTAACTTGAGGATCGACTAACCTTGATACATGCTCATTCTACCGTACTGAATTTTCGGCACGACAGTCCGGTCTTTATGCGACGTCAAGCAATTCCGCTGATACTGGCTCTTGGTCGTATCAATTGGGTATATCTGCAATCATTAGTCAGCTTATGGAGAAAGAAAGCAAAAGCTCTAACTTACGACAGCCCAGCTGACGAGACCACAAAGACCACCCGCAATCACAACAGCCGTAGGCGTGGTGGGCGAGTTGCCACGAGCATTGGCCAGGAACTGTTTCGCACTCTCATAAGCCATGAAATAGACGCCAGTTCCAATAGAATCTCTCACTAGTCCATCGTTAACTTTGTTTTGGGGGCGATGTCGGAGAGTCTGCTTACACAAGTGCAAATGGAAACCAGAATAAAGGCCCTTAAACCCTCTATCATGGACCAACTTCCGCGCGGTCCTGAAAGTCCCCAGGCCCTGATAACTGCCTCGTAGAGGTTCGTCGAGGCTGGAGGAACTCTTCTTATTAGCGTTGATGATCGCGGTTTGTGCGCTAAGCTTTATCAACTCAAATGGACCTGTATGGTCTGTCAGCATCTTCCTTCGTTGTGTCCAAGATTTTCAGGTTGCTCACAGGCAATAGCAGTAATAGCCACCCCAGCTGTCGCTCCCGCAGCTCCGAAGCATATCACCGTAGCAAGATTCGGGGTCGCGCCCTTGGTATTGGCAATCATAAGCGGAGATACACCGACCGATCGGTGCATCCAGCCATCGTACAAGTACTTGGATCGCTGATAGACCGAGAAGGAGACGGTTCGGACAACGGTAATGCTAACCAGAGGGGCAAAGGCGCCTGTTCAGATTGTGAGCGAGCATTCAGGAGTGGGGTTGGAGAGGTTCAACTGACCACGCCAAAAACCACTAAGCCCCTCTTTTTGATATGTCTTGCGTATGCAATCGCGGACGGAGTTGTATGTAGAGCTGTATCAAGGTCAGCGCTCTTCCAAGTCCGAGCGATGGAAAAGTGTACGTACACTTGCATGCGAGTTTTAGTAGAATCCAAGGGGTACTGATGGGAAGTCAGTATTTCTGAAAGGATTGGAGAGCTCGTATGTGGACAGCTTGACATACAGTGACCCCAGTCGCGAGCATGCTGGCAGTGCTTGCCGCTATTTCCGTCCGATAGTGCTTCGTCCACCATTTGGCGTCCTCGATATTCCAGGAAAAATACGTTCGCAGGGCGGGATTGCGGTTGCCGTTACTACCGTCCGGCATGCTGGCCATCGCTTGCGGCTCGAAGACTCGAAAGTCCTCAAGCAGTTCGCGATAAGCACAGCAGCCCACGGGCCTCCATGGAACTGTTGTGGACTGTCAGACTGATTGCGCCTCTAATCTAACAATCAAAGCGCAGTTAGTGTTGGCGGGCACGGCGACGGGCGAACGGGCGACGAGCGAGCGTTGGTGTTGAGGTTTGGCGCACGTTGTCGAAGTTCAAAGTGAGGTGTTGACGTCGGTCCTCTTGAAGATTTGGCGGGCGCTGGGTGGTCAAAGCTCCAATCTGCTAGCCGCTTTTGGCATAGCCACCTATTTCAATCGACCCCCAGGGTCTCGCAACGGATAGATAGAGATTTACATGCCAGTCTAAACCGTCCACTGCCCCTCGAAGAAGAGGTGGGATGAGAACAGGGCAGGGCACAAGCTTCGCTACTCCGTTCAAATGATGCCTGTCTACAGCTGATGGCGAAATCAATACGGCTCTAATCTTGACCATCCAAGAAGAGAGCTCGAGATGACACGCCGTTGCCGCTGGAACCCATTACTTCCTGTTATGTCTTCTCAATCTCTTCGAAGACCGTCTAAGGCTTGACGGGCAGCGATAAAGCAATGACACTCAGGAGCCAATGCCAGTGCGGGGAAGCTGAAAGCCATGCAGCATGCTAGCCACGGTGCAGACAGCATGATGCTGGAGTGGCCAATGAAAGCCCTTGCTCAAAACGGTGCAGTGGTGTCGGGATGGAAGGCTTATCCAATTGATCAAACTTGACGGGACAAGGGGAGCTAGAAGACAAGGGAAGGCTTGTAGGTTTCATCTGCAAGATCACTCACGTGGCAGCAGCACGAGAGGTGGGCAATATGAAAGTCACATTCATTCGTCACTCTTCGACTCTTTGTGCCTGTGCCCATGCCTCTTTAGGAATGTGCAGATATCTTCCCAATGAGTTCTGAGTTCAGACCTTGACGAACGCGTTCCCAAATGCCACTGTCCATGGCCCCTCGTGTTCATCAATAACGCAGAAGGATGTTCTCGATCTCGCTTGGATTTTGGAGAGCGCGTCGAAATGTGGAGGCAACTATGACAATAGCAAGAAACTGGACACCAGAAAGGAAGAGTGATCTACTCATGAAGGCAGAAACCCCTTGGCTGTGATCAGCATAGAACCTACACAGAGCTCCTTGCAGAAGACAAGCTCTTCAAGCTTCGACTCAGTCCGTTGGGAATTGGCATATTCCGCATTTCAGATTAGCTTTATTCGTCCTGTGGAAATGCTGCGTTGAGCCCCGTCAACCAGAACGCCACGCGAATTGTCAAGCGTAATAGCATCGCATTGAGGCGGTGTGGGGGAGTTCGGCTGGGAGATGGCCCACGTGGATGCGGTCAATGGGTGCGGTGTCAGTGTTAAAGGTTTGGGCGAAGGGATAGATCGGAGGTTCCCGCGAGTGCTTTCCCGGAGCTACGACGTCCAACGCAAAACACCAATCTCTTCCACTGTTTGTAATTTGCTCCATCACCGCCCCAGCACCCCGCCCATACATACTTTCCGTGCGTCCTGTAAGTCCATCGCCATGGCCGCTCCAGACTTCTCCGACGTATCTAAGACCTCAGACACAAAGGCCTTCCCCACGCCCAAACTCAGCGCGCCCAAGATGTCTATCCCGGCCTTCTCCGACATTGCGAAGCCCTCCAACGACGTACGTAGCCCTGAACCTCGAGGACTTCGATGACATACTGACCGCGGATGGCCGTCGCTCTAGCTCATCAACAAGGACTTCTACCACGTTGCTGCCGGTACGTGTCGCCCAATTGAGCCGCGCAGACCCTCTACTGACTTTTTTCGCAGCCGCTCTCGAGGTCAAGCTGAAGACCCCGGATGGTGTCAACTTCACCGCCAAGGGCACCTCGGCGCACGATGGTCCTATTTCTTCATCTGTAAGCTGCTTCTCCCAATTGCCCATCGCCAATGCCAGTCCTAGGTCTAACGCGTTGTTACAGCTCGAAGCCAAGAAAGGCATCCAGAACGGTACATACTTTCACTCTCATTCCGCCTTATCGATACCCGTGTATTCTTCGCGAACCGCACATCTCTCGTTGTTTCAACACACACAATCGCCCAGTGGGCGATTTGTTGGTTTACATGGTCGACTGACGCGCAATGGCGCAGGCATCAGCATTATCCAATCGTGGAACACGGCCAACGTCCTGAACACCAAGGTCGAGCTCGCAGACTCATTCGCCAAGGACTTGAAGGTTGAGGTCCTCAACAACTTCAGCCCCGCCTCCGGGAACAAGGGCCAGAAGTTGAACATCTACTTCAAGCAACAGCAGTTCCACAGCCGGGCGTTCCTCGACTACCAGCCGTCTGGTAAGATTACCGCTCTCGCGGATATTGTTGTTGGCCATGAGGGTTTCCTCGTCGGTGGCGAGGTCGCATACGATGTCCAGAAGGCTGCTGTCACCAAGTACTCCGCCGCCGTTGGTTACAGTACCCCGACATACACTGCTGCGGTTACTGCCACGAACAACTTCAACATCTTCGCCGCCTCGTACTACCACAAGGTCAACAAGTCTGTCGAAGCCGGTACCAAGGCCACCTACGACGCCAAGACTGGCACCGCCGTCGGAATTGAGCTTGCCAGCAAGTACAAGATCGATCCTCTCTCCTTCGCTAAGGTACGTCCAAATCACAACAGCTAGTAGTCTACTGAGTAGTGGTCTTCCGCAATTGCGAGCTTCGCTAACCCCATCTACTACAGGCCAAGATCAACGACCGCGGCATCGCCTCCCTCGCCTACAACACCAAGGTTAACTCTGGCCTGACCTTCGGCATCGGCGGCTCCTTTGATACCCAAAAATTCAACGAGGCTGGCCACAAGTTCGGCACCAGCTTCACCTTCGAGGGTTAAGCGTCTTATACTCTGTATATTTAGCGATAGACATGGAGAGGGGAGATGAATGAGTTCAGTTGGCATGAATTGGGATTGAAAACATGTTGCTTCTGTGACGTTTTTTTGGCCATGCTTTTGTGGGTGTGTTTTGGCATGTATCAACAGTCGGCTTAGAATCTGTATGCAAGCGCCTTTCCAGTCCCACATATCAAACATCGTGAACCTGTTCAAAAGCCACTTCTTGATATCAATATATGCCTCCGTATGACGCCGGCAGTATATCCTCTATACCCATATATACAGCTCCCTCCCTTCCTTCCATATGCACCCAATCCAGCCACGATTCGCAGTTACTAGACAAGCATAGTTTCGCCACCCTCAGCTCAACCCCCCTCCTTCTCCTTCCCCCTCCCCTTCGCCCTCCTCCCCGCCTCCCCACCATCCCGCCGAAACCACACCGCGCTCAGCATAATCACCACGACCGCACTCCCCACCGCCACAAAGTTAAACAGCATGCTCCCGCTGCTCCCCGCCAGGTCCTCGGCGAAATGCGCCCCCGCGCGCTCCGCCTTGCGCGCAAAATGCTGCGACACGCCCTCGTGCGTGCGCCGGTGCCCGCGGTGGTCGAAGTGCGGCACCGCGGCACCGTGGTGCTGCTGCCCGGGCGAAAACCCGCCCGCCGTGCTCGTCGACGCGTCTGCGTCCGGCTGTCCTGAGGGTTCATGAGCGTGCGAGTGGGCGTGTCCTGTGGTTCGCTTGGAGCCGTGCGCGCCATACCCGCCCGCTCTGTAGAACGAGGGCGGCGGGCCCCGGAACTGCGTGCGTCGCCGGCTCAGGCCGCTGGGCGGGCGCGAGCCTGCGTAGCCCGCGGAGGAGAAGCTGCCGGTGTGCTGGGTGTGGCGCGCGGTGGCGGGCGCGAGGCGGGCGTGGTACTGCGCGTCGTAGGCGGAGCGTTTGGCGGGGGAGGAGAGGACGTGGTAGGCTTCGGAGAGGCGCACGAAGCGGGTCGAGGCGGTGGGGTCGGCGGGGTTGCGGTCTGGGTGGTGGAGTTTGGAGAGGGCGAAGAATTGGCGCTTGATCTCGGGGGCGGAGGCGGAGGGCTGGAGTTCGAGGATTTCGTAGTGGTTGGGGAGGGGGTTATCCGTTTTGAGAGCGGTGGATGCGTGGAAGGGCCGCGGTTTGGAGGTGGTTGAGGGGGGGAGGAGACGAGGGCGGAGGCATGGTGGATATGTGTGAGCCTGCGGACGTGGCAGAGGGAAGAGGCGGAGTGGCATTCCTCATTGGGAGCATAGCATTGGCGCCGGTGGTGGTTGTGTCTGGAGGAACTTGAGGTAGGTGAAGGTACGGAATTGTTAGTTAGACGTCACTGGTGATTGAGGGAAGGTTTAGGCGAGGAATTGGATTTATCTCTTCTATACGGTATACGACAAGTAAGTTAGATCAGTTGAAATTTAAGGGTTAGCTGCAGTATCCCGTATTATTCAACTCCGCAAATGCCGTGTGCTGGCTTCGGTGATGGATCATGTGGTGGGGCTAAAGAAAACATGTTGCTCGCTCCACCGTCACTTCTCCACTACACAAAAGACAGCAAAGATGGCGGCAGCGGCTACTGATGGAATTGCTAATTTGAATTGTAAGTTTCTTCTTAGCTTCTGAGGACTACGAAGCTCATATATTCACAGTGGAGGAGGCCAACGGCAAGGCGGCAAACGGTGCGGCTACAAAGAATGGCGAGATAGATCACGAGGACTCGGACGACGACAAAGAGGATGCAGATGGGGCGGCGGAACCTGGTGCTACTGGAGGTTGGAATTCCACCACAACGTCCTTAGGAACCATATACTGATTCCCTCCAGCGGCGAAAAAGAAGAAGAGAAAGCCAAGAAAGAAGAAGAAGGCTGGCGCCGCGAAAGTCCAATCTTCTCCCCCACGCGTCGTTATAACCCAGCTCTTCCCAGACGGCAAATACCCCGAGGGAGAGATCTGCGAGTACAGGGACGAGAACAACTACCGGACTACCAACGAAGAGAAGCGCCACCTCGACCGCATGAACAATGACTTCCTCAGCGACTACAGGAAAGGTTCAGAGGTCCACCGGCAGGTGCGACAGTGGGCACAGGGCTGGATCAAGCCCGGACAGTCTTTGACCGAGATTGCAAACGGAATTGAGGACAGCGTGCGTGCCTTGACGGGACACCAAGGACTCGAGGAGGGCGATGCGCTCAAAGGCGGCATGGGCTTCCCTACCGGACTGAGTATCAATCACTGCGCGGCGCATTACACACCGAATGCTGGAAACAAGACGGTGTTACAGCAGGAGGATGTTATGAAGGTGGACTTTGGCGTTCACTTCAACGGGAGAATTGTGGATAGTGCGTTCACGATGACCTTTGACCCGGTCTACGACAATCTGCTTGCGGCCGTCAAGGATGCCACGAACACTGGAATACGGGTATGTCATTTTGACAGTGCTGATTCAGTGGCCTATACTAATTGAACTCCAGGAAGCAGGTATTGATGTACGCATGTGCGATATTGGCGCTGCTATCCAGGAAGCCATGGAGAGCTACGAGGTTGAGATCAAGGGCCAGACATATCCTGTCAAGTGCATTCGAAACTTGAACGGCCACAGCATTGGACACTACACTATTCACGGCGGCAAGACTGTACCCATCGTCAAGGGCGGTGATCAGACGAAAATGGAAGAGGGCGAGACTTTCGCTATCGAGACATTTGGTAGCACTGGAAAGGGCCACGTTAGAGATGATGTAAGTACATGTCAAGAATGGGCTCATACTTGTCTGACGACTTCATAGATGGAGACTTCGCATTATGCAATGAACGGGGATGCGCCGAGAGTGGCCTTACGAGTGTCATCCGCAAAGACACTACTGAATTCCATCACGAAGAACTTTGGAACACTACCATTTTGCAGACGCTATCTTGACCGTCTTGGGCATGATAAGTATCTTCTCGGAGTAAGTTATATTTCTTTTTCGCTATAATAGATTAGTGCTAATTTGAAGCAGTTGAACAACCTTGTCTCTGCTGGAATTGTGGAAGCATACCCTCCCCTTGTTGATATCAAGGGCTCATACACTGCTCAATTCGAACATGTAAGGATCATCAACCTGCTTGCTTCGTGTACTATGCTAATTCTACCAGACTTTCGTCTTGCGACCGAACTGCAAGGAGGTCCTCAGCCGAGGAGACGACTATTGATTAATGATATGGACTAAACGGCGTATCAAAAATCACTGCCTGGCGTTTGTCATTGCATAGGCGGGATGAATAAGATTGTATAGCTCTTGTGCTCTATACTGAAACCACTGGCATCATAAAGGCCTTGTATTTTTGATTAGTGATTGTGCGAGTTGTAAGAATAGTCATCAAATACAATCCATATGAATTGCCAGATCGATGTGCCGGCAATTCGATCAATTGAAGCAAACGCAAGAATTCCATCAGTTTAGTCCCACTAAGGGATTTGTAGTAACTGCTATACCATACGCTGGTGTGCTGGTGATATTTGCCTTGTGGAGCTTTAAAGCTTGGACGCTCGATGTGGCGACTCGCGTTCCACTCTCACCCCACGTTCACCGCCGAGCTCCTAAACTTCGACCTCCACTTCGATGGGGGCCTGAACGCTCCCTCTTACAACTGCACCGTTTCTTTCGTCAATATGCGTTCTTCTGTCACTACCGCGACTGTCCAGCCAAAGAAGGCCCCAAGGAGGCTTTCCACCACCGCCAATGGAGGAAGAAAGCTGGCCTCTACTCTCACGAAGTCTGAAAACGACCAGTTCTTCTGGACATACACCGAGGAGCCGCACCGGACACGACGGATGGCCATAATCAAGGCTCATCCGGAGGTATACACCCCCTCACATACACCAAGCCGAAGAAGCTGATGTCCTCCAGGTCACGAAGCTCTGCGGCCCTGAGCCTCTCACCAAATATGTCGTCGCCGGGGTCGTCTCCCTCCAAGTCCTCTGCGCATACCTCCTTCGAGATACCCCAGTGCTCTCATGGCCATTCTTCCTTACTGCATACATAATCGGCGCGACCGCGAACCAGAATCTGTTCCTCGCCATCCACGAAATCTCGCACAACCTAGCTTTCCGATCTCCGCTAGCAAACCGTGTATTCGCCGTCTTCGCAAATCTTCCCATTGGGATACCATACAGTGCTTCGTTTAGGGTATGACACTTGAAATCCACAAGAGCACCTTATCGTTATCTATTTATAATTACTAACCTCAAATCACAGCCATACCACCTAACCCACCACAAATCCCTCGGCGTCGACGGCCTCGACACCGACCTGCCCACCCGCCTCGAAGCCCTCTTCCTCGACTCGGTCGCCGGCAAAGCCTTCTTCTGCACCTTCCAGATCCTCTTCTACGCCCTGCGACCCATGATGGTCTACCAGCTGCCCCTCACCCGCATCCACGCCTTCAACATCATCGCCCAGGTCGCCTTCGACTACGTCCTCGTGAGCGTGGCCTCCGGCCGCGCCCTCGCCTACCTCATCCTCTCCTCCTTCCTCGCCGGCTCCCTCCACCCTTGCGCCGGCCACTTCATCGCCGAGCACTACGTGTTCGACCGCCAGCCCGCGGGCGCGAAGGACCCTGCGACACTGGCGCCCGTGCCGGAGACGTTCTCGTATTACGGGCCGCTGAATCTGTTGACGTATAATGTGGGGCTGCATAATGAGCATCATGATTTCCCGGCTGTGCCGTGGACGAAGCTGCCGGCGTTGAATCGGCTCGCGAGTGAGTTCTATGATGGGCTGCCGTGTCATAAGAGCTGGGTATATGTTATTTGGCAGTTTATATGGGATAAGGAGGTTGGGCTGTGGTGTCGGGTTAAGAGAGCGGAAGGGGGTAGGAGGGTTGGTGGGGGAGGGGGCTGGGGGATTGAGGAGTTGGGGGCGAATGAGGGGAGTGAGATTGCGGGAGTGAGATGAATTATTATCAAAGGATGGGCGTTCTGGGGAATTAGAAATAGCATGCTGATTCTTGGGGAGCGAGTTAGCCTTGATGAAGAGAACGTGTTTCCGTGTATGAGGAGGAACTGTATATATGGATGCATCAATCTGTATATACCAACGGCGCACTACCCAGGTTGCTTCTGTGCATATCGTCCTAGATTTCTCGCTATGTAAATATGACTTACATCCAGTCTTCACACAATCGAAGCCTTTCCGATATTACTGCCCAAACCGTATAGCGTTTAGGCACGTGATGCATCATGAGAATTGAGCTCACCACCGCGTATTCTACCTAGGTATCCCGGGATAAATAATCGCCCTCCTACCCATTTGTGTCCGGTGCATTTTCCTAATGGCTCTAATCTAATTCAGACGAGCCCGCGTCCCGCACCTATCGTGCACGAGCCCTCAATCACTTATCCTTCACCAGCATGTGCAATCCATCCGAACCATCACTTAGAAGGCAATATGTCTCAGGGGCAGCAAGCCACACTTGGTCTGGCCGCGTATGGAGCCGCTTTGGACACTCCGGCTGCCTAACGCCGCAATTTCCTATCGTTGGCTCTTCTTCATGCAGCTCAGCCGCGCAGCTTTAATTACATGGCACCATACGGACAGGCTGCTCTGCTCTTCGAGCTCCGGCACCTATAAAACCTACACATACGACACTATGTAACCAAGCTACGTAATCATGCCAAGGGACTTCTTGGATAGGTTGGGTCTCCGTCCCAAACCGGGCGTTCCTGCGCTGTGGGGTGATATCTCTAAAGGCTTGGGAGAGCGCATGGAAAGGCCTTTCGAAAACGATCCGGATTCTGATTTCATTACCGAGGACAATCTCTGGACATTATGGACCGCTGAAAACCCCAACGGAACTGGCAGCTTCTTCTCGAGGCTTATAGATGAGCTCCGCCTGAGCGACGACGAAAAGATAGCCAGCCTTCGCAAGAGTCTCAAAACAATATCCATACTCGCATGGATAGGATCGTTCCCGAACAATCTTTCAAGTCTTCCCTTTACTGATACAGATCTGCCACTGACAGAGGAGGATCTCACGACCCATTTCTCTCGTTCGGAAAAAAATGGGGAGTTTGCGCGACAACAGTTTCGGTTTTTACCCATCCAGTTATGTGTATTACCTAAAAGCCAGCCAAAGGACGAGATGCAGAAATATGCTCGTCTTCCTTTTTCTCTCAAGACGGTCGTGTACGGTAACAAAGATAGCAAATCGACGGTTTCCATTGGGTGGATCGCAAATGGATGCTTGAAACACAGACCCGATAGGCAGCCAATACAAATCGAGGTATGGGAAAACTTCTGCTCGATCTACCACGTGCTAAACCCTCATTCGTTGCGACAGCAATATCGCCTATTTGCTGTGAAGAAGCACAGCATCAGGGATTACTTTCATTCCGAGGTGACGAACCTTCAAAGACTTCGGTCGGCTACGCAACCACACCCAAACGTCGTTCTCAACATTGCGGCAATTATTGCCGACAACTGCGGCCTTTTAGTCTTTGATGCTGCACACTGCGACCTTGAAGATTTGTTATTGCTCTCCGAAAAATGCAGGGTCGGGACCCTCAAACCAACAGTCCTGATCAACAATGCCCACGAAATTGCCAAAGCCCTTGCCTGGTGTCACCTTGGCATCACAGAGATAGGAAATGGAGTACGCAAAGTTATTCACGGCGATTTGAAACCAAAAAACATCCTCATTTTTCATGAGAGCCTGGGCCAATACACATGGAAGATTACGGATTTTGAATTCTCACATATCTTACATCGAGCTCCTGGTGAAACAGGGACCGTGCGAGACCTTGTGCCAGGTGTCTACCACGGTCCTGAAGTCCAACCAGGAGGAAGGATCAACTGCTCTGCGGACATGTGGTCGTTCGGATGTATTATGCTTGAGATCCTCGCGTTTGCACGCGCCGGTTCTGAAGGGGTTAGAAAACTTAGAGACACGCGCCGACCCGGGGCAAAAGAGTACGAATGCCTATTCTACCAATTCTCAAACTCAAAGGGGCTAGCTGAGCTGAAACCGGCATTTTCCGACCTATTTGATGAGTGGGATGAAGAGGGAGTCGAATGGGTATGCCAATGGAAGCTAGTGGCCCTAGGTCTCTTAAAAACTAGGCCAGAACAGCGGAAGACAGCGGAAGATACCGTAGTAGCCTTGGAAGAGCTCATCCAGAAGTTCAATGAGCACAACTGGGTCGATCGTTGTGGTTGGGTCCCTCCATATCGAGACGCACTCGAAATTATGGAAAAAAGAGCAACCACGGAGCCGAATTATGCAAAGCCTTCATTTCACAGCCACAAGATCACGAAGTCTCCCGAAAAGGGGATCAGCGCTCGAATCTCTACACTTGGGAAGTTTGCGATGTTCTGGGTCCGAGACACAGTCTTTGCCCTTGATGTTGATCATCAAACTTGGGCTATGTCAACACATTTCAAGGCCATCGAGAAGTATAGAAGTTCGTTTGGCGAGGTAATTGACATCGAAATAGCAGAACCTTATTGCGCAATATTGCTGAAAGGACAGAGCGCAAGCCATTATCAGGTAAGCAGTATCTGGATTTGTCGTCACCTTTCTTAATTTTTGCTGATTAAATGGAAGGTGGTTCTGGTCAACATAGCGGATATTCCTAGAGCTTCTAATAGAAATGACCAAGTAGCAAAACTCCCCCCTGGCCAGACACCTGAAACACCCGGGGATGCCGCCGAACGCATCCAAGTTTCGAAAAATGGAGATTTACTTGTTAGGTGTCACTCCCAACTAGCATATCTTCGTACGGGAAGTCGTGAATGGGACTTCATCTTGAAGGATGCTCGAGATGTTCGGGCAGCATCTTTCAGCCCCGATGGCTCTATGATATTCGCATGGTCACGCTCTCACAAGACGGACCACTGGTATTCATGGGTAGTACGTACTATACGAGATCGCTCCACACGTAGGGAATGCCACAGTCCTTTTGTAAGCGTTACCTTTTTCATACCCCTAATCAATGCCGAGTCTGAAATTTGCAGAAACAGGGAACGGACGACAGGGGAGCAGATCTCCTCCTTTGCAACGACAGGCATCCTAACTTGGTGGGACTGAGGAAGCCCCTGTTTATTACGATCGATACCCACGGGAATGGCTCAGTAATATGCGAACAGTTTGGAACTCAACCTCCAGCCCTCGAACTAGTCCAGTTCCAGTTGAAGGGGGTCATCCAGGGTTCATTCATACGAGAGATCAGTGCAGGTGTATTATTAATGAAGAGGAACGGAAAATATTTCGTCCAATTTTTCCGTTTGCCTGCAAATATTCCGCAATCTTGGGCTCCGACCCTTTCACACGAAACCCGAATCTCATCATTTCTCGGCAATGGTAGGCCCTCTGCCAATAGCTTTGCGGCTTGTGTTACCTCACGCGGCAACAGGATAGTAATCTATCTTGCGGGCCCCAGTGCTAAGAAAGCTACCACGGCCGTGATCCAGAAGCTAGACTTCACTAGAGAAGATGCAAAACCTCGACCTCGACCCCAGCCTCAGGCCCAACAGACTGCGCCCCTTCAATTCCCCCATGGCCACCAAGACTAAGACTGTATGATCCTGAATAAGCCGCTATCACACCTTCGAACAAGCCTTTCGGGACAGTCTCTTAGTTTTCTGCCGATCAGCTGCTAGCCACCAACCTGCTGCTGTCAGCGCGGTCAACGGGATCGTCACTACCAGATATATCCAAAAATCGGTAGCAATTCGGATATTAGAAGTTTGAGAGTCGAAATCGAAGAGGTTCATTCCGAAGAGTGACTACAGTTTTAAGGTGAGCATTCATACGTGAATTTGTGCATTTGGCTGTGGGCTTACCGCAACAAAACTACTTGGCAGGTAGAACATAGTCACCAGAGTTACCAGCCGAATCACCGAATTGTCATCTACGGAATCTTGTGTGAGGATCAAGACACGATCGCTAATGTCCGTTGCGATTCTTTGATGGTTCACGGCGATCTTCTGGCTTGCAGCGGCTGACGACTGGTTCCGCAAACTCAATGTATCGGCAACCTACCTCCTGGTGAGTTTCTTGATGTTGAGTTGACTGAAAAATTCGAGGTCCTACTTACGAGCTTTATCAGGCCTTTCAAACGGACCCTAATGGACTGTGTAGAGCTTTGGTATCCACGAACGCGAACTCCAATATGATCCAGGGCCATGGCGATGCCATCGCGCTCCGCTCGATCGTACAGCTCTTCCACGGCGAATACCACGTTTAATTTGACGAGAGAGTCAATCAAACTTCTCGTTGTTGTTAAAATGACTGGAACTGATTGCACTTTCTCCTCTAAGCGCCTCAGCTTTTCCATGACGTTGAAGTTGAAGGTTTTGTTGAAATCATGATCGTCGTCAAACTCAACTGCCGAGATGTACGTTTGCTGCCCTAGAGTCAGATACCAACTCAGAACGATCCTAGAAAGACTGTCAACTCACGTGGCGTTGGTATAGCTCTCCAAGCTCTGTGAGGTAATCCCGCCAATTATCTACATAGGCTAATAAGATAGTCAGGTTCTGACGTAAAGGATTTGTTTCTATCAGCTTCCATCGTTCGTAACTTCCAGCTTGGTGAAGAATGGCTTTCTCCGCTGTGGAGTCTTCTTTTGGATGGAAAATCAAGCAAAAGCTCTGAGAGTCTTTTTCTGTGACGCAGACGCGGTGATAGACCGCTGTTTGACGCATTGACCATTTCAGTTCTTGGGAACGCCCATGTCTTTCGGGATACTTCAGTTGATACGCGAGCTCTATCGTATATTCCAAAGCTGTCAATTGGCGTACCTCTATCTCAATCGGATCTATAGACTTACCAAACTTTTTGGGGCCTTGTCTCGACACATGGCAAAACGTATTTGAGTAGCCCTCTTCGAACACCAGCGGCTCAGCTGCGTGTCCTAGCAGGATATCCAAAAATACAGGCGGTACATGGTGATACGAAAGGGTCTTTCGAAGGAGGACTTCGGTGATCGGAAATGGCTTGAAAGAATGCTCCTGGGAAATCGATCTGCAGCCTTTAGACTAATAACCTCGTCGGCTGAATGCACGACTTACATGATTTTCGAGCGGGCGATTTCGCAGCCATTCTGAGCGAGCATCTTCACCAGAGATGTTTCTTCGGTGATTCTCGTATGCGTTGGGATCAAGCCATCTCGTTGAAGATCAGTATTGCTTCATTGAACTTCTCACGATACTGACTATTTGAGGTCATGACTCCAATATTCGTACTCGCAGAACACATTAACTTCGCCCAATTCGCTAGCTTCTCGTTATACAGTTGGCCATTCACTCCCAGCAAGAGGTCATCTGCTAGGTTCAATGGGTAGTGTTCCCAACCATGCGGCAGAAGATTATCAGCCTTGCAGCCCGAATAGAGCGCCATGTTTACCCTGTAATCGGAAGAGTATGCGATTGACGCCGGCAATGGAATCGTTTAAAATCAAAGCTGACACAACTTATTTGGTAGACAAGGCGCGATGTCTAGGCAGAAGCCTAAAAGTCTGAGGCAAACCTCGATGCAATGATACGAGGCTCGATCCCCTGCATCTTGAAAACGCCGTGACCGTATGGCAACCAATCAAAACGTTAAGGTACGGCCCCGGCGTAACACGCTGATGCAGCGGACAGAAAGTACACCCTCTCCTTACGTCCGGTGGACATAGCGCTAAAACTGAGTCGACCCCGGTAAACAGCCTTTCTGGGCTAATGTTGAGCTAGCTTGAAGATCTATTGGCTAGGAGGCTGCTATTTCCCCTTAAAGGCGTCCGGAAATACTACCCTATACGGTAATTTTGTGGCTTGATTTTAGCGCTATGTTCACCGGACGTAAAGAGAGGGTGTAGTCATTTTTGTCTCCCTCCGTTCCAACCTTCTCGCGAGGCTGTAGATAGACACGAACGAAACGGCGTTGAGCTCGTGTTCACCACCAACCATAGTAAGTACACTGGGCACCTGCCAACTGACACCCCAAAATTGTCATTGATTCCACACCCTCTCCTTCTCCATGATACTTCTAGACAATCATGAGCCGCGATCAGTAAAACTCCGCTCGTAAACATAGTTACCGTATCTCGTCCTACACATTCAAGTCAGCCTGATGGAAGTCAACGCGCGAAACCCAAGATATGCATACCAGGGTCAACTCCCGCGGAGCCTCGTAAGTCCAAGTATCAGCTCCGCTTCGCTAAGCTCGGTCAGCCATCGCTACGCCACGCAAATGTAAGTAACAGAGTGACACGTACCTTGACCTTGAAGTCGAAAAGGCCGAACTCGTCCTTCAGGACCCTTTCGAGCTTTGCCTGGGCTATGTAACTCGAATATCGCTCATGAATCACATACTTCTCCATAATGCCGATATTGGTGAGGAGCCGTGAGAGTGTCTTTCCACTCGAGACTGGCAAGGCAGACTTCCCACACGACCGTCTTATATTACACATTGGGCAGGAGCGCTAAAGTAAAGGCAGATAAGCTGCAAATGATAAGCCGGCATTCGCTGAAGAAGCCGCATGCAGGTTGTCACACGTGCTTCCGGTGGACAGTCCGCATGTGGCGTTTGGCCAACACCACGGGCGTTGTCTGCATACGAGAAACTCGGGATTGCAAGGGTTGAAATATCGAGGCGGCGTTCAGTATCCGATCGGGCACATCTCCAATAAATTATGCTGGACACTTCAGGAGGTTGTCTCAGGCTGAATGGATTGCCTGGTTGCCTTTTTTCTCAGCCTTGCCGCCCCTGTCATGGTAGAGCGCCTCCAGCTTGCTCTGATCTCAGCCGTTGCGTTCGAGGCTGGGGCGACGTGGTACCCCTCGAAAATTGGCATTTTCCCTTTGGTGTATCCTCTTTGCTGGCTCCGATATCCGCGTCGCACCTTCTACGAGTTCCACAACCTATTCTCGCAAGACTCGACCATCCCCTGGCCGGTCCAATCATTTACCTCAGGATGGCGGACGTTCAGAATGTGCTGAAGTGAGTAGCCATAACACTCGCTCGTGCGATATTACCCATGCATGACACGTCTTAGACGACATACACTAACGGCGCAATAACACCAGGCGCGACCTGAGCTCTATGCAAATCTTTGTTGGTCCCCTTCCCGTCACTCGACCTTAAAGCTTGACACTCAAAACGCTGCTTAGATGATCACGGTATCCGTGACAATCGGAGTCGGGTTCTTCGAGAGCACTGGAGAGATCCTGGCTATTGCGGGCCCAGGGGGCACGCTGCTCGCGTTTTTCCTCGTCGGTCTGGTCGCATGGAGCACGATGGAAGGACTAGCCCACATGACTATGATGTGGCCGGTTCCCAACCCGATGGTCGAATTTGCGGCTACCTTTGTCGATAAAGATCTGGGTACGGTTGTTTGCTTCACGTATTGGTAGGTTGTTGGGCTCGAGCTCGTAGGCGATGCCTGCTGATACCGGGCCTCGAATGCAGGTATTCATGCGCTATTAGCATGGCAGCGGTGACGACAACTGCCGGAGATGTTTTCCAGTATTGGGGAGGCGGCGAGCAGAGTGATGCTAATAGGGTTTTGATCTTCTTGTTCTTTCCCTTCCTGGTTTTTCTTGTCAACTACAACAATGTCAAGGTATCACCCAACCTGGCCGAGAGTTTCTGTCGGATCCATGCTAACGTTTCCAAGTTATTTGGATGGATTGAAACAGTTGGAGGATTGTTCAAGCTGGGCATTGTAGTACTGGTGTTTTTGACAATGCTTGCAATTGACTGGGGAGGTAGGTGGACCTCTTTCCATTGGGTACCGTCAAATACATTAGGCTAATTTAGGGATATCTAGGTGGTCCTAGAGACGGGAACTTCTCGCAGTGTGCGTGCAGACAATTGTCAGAAGGGGTCCAATTAAGCTAATGCGCCAATTTAGGCGTAAAAGATGGCTTTCAGAACGACCAAAGGGCAGTTGCAGGAGATTCTGCGGCAGTGTGAGTTCCCGTGTGGCCCAAGCAGCATTAGACATCTCTCACCGGCTCCTATAGTCTTGCTCTCAGCTTGGCCGTGTTTCCTTATACGGGCATGGAATCGTTTACCATGACGGCATTCGAAGCGCGGAACCAGGACTCGCTCCGGCGTCCCGCCAAGCGCATTGCTCCAATTGTGATGCTCTTATACCTTTGTAGTGTCTTTGGCTTTGTACTCAATGTGGACTGGACAAACGGGTACCTGCCAGCATATTACAGCCAGTGGACCAACCCGCCCTCGAGTTTAGCCAACAATTGTCAGCACGACCGCCGCGATGCAACCGGAGATACATCGACTGCTGCGGACAGAGGCGACACTAGCAGCCATACTTTACCAGTCATTGCGATAGACCAGGCTAGAATCCGGGGGTACGCAGGCTTCATAAATGCCTGTCTGTTCTATTCAGCGTTGAGCACGGCCAACTCCTTGTTTTTCGTAGCATCTCGCACGCTCTATGGATATGGCCGCAGCCGCGACAGCCAAAGCAACTGGCTGAATGCCCCGAAATCCCTTCAAGCCGGGCAAACGCCTGGGTGGCGGTATAAAGTCCACTCCTGGGCCGCCCAATTCCCCTCAAAGTTCGGCCATGTGAACCACTTCCAGGTTCCAACCGCCGCGCTGTTCGCGTCGCTTTTCTTCGCATGGACGCCGTTCCTCTCCCTAGGAAATGTCCCACACTTACGCAGCACGCAGCAGGTGCTGATCAACATCGGCTCCACGAGCTGTGTGGTGGTGTGGGCCGCGCAAAGCCTAGCGTACCTCCGCATGTACTTTTGGTTCAAGAAACACCCCACACTGTTCGGCCCAGCGGACATGAAGCAATACGATGTGCTGAACAAGACGAAAAACTGGAGTTACCTGGGCTTTTGGCAGCCCGGGCTTGCGTGGTTCTCGTTGTTTTCGTGCCTCGTTATCGTTCTCCTGTTCGCGAGTGCGGGCATGTGGAACAATCGGGGTAATATGGCGCTCAAGGCTGTGAATATCTACCTCGGACCGTTCCTGTGCGCAGCGCTGTATGGTGGTCTGAAAGTCAAACACGGCTACAAGGCGGATGGAGTGAGGGGGTGCTTTAGTAGGTGGAAACAAGGATGGGCTAGCTGTACGAGTGAGCAGGATGTTACGGCTATAATTGACAGATTGTACGATAAGAGCTTTCCGACGGAAGATCTAGGGCTGCACAACTGGAATGGGGCTGCTGGCGCAGAAAGAAATGCTCCAGCTAATCCAACTGCTCCAGAAAATAGAAATGATCAGGAAGATGGAGATGATCAGGAAAATGGAGATGCTCAAGACAATGAAGATGCTCAAGGACGTGGAGCTGCTCAAGGACGTGGAGCTGTTCGAGGACGTGGAGCTATGCAGGCGAATGGAGCTATTCATGGATACCAAATACTGCACGCCTCATGAGTGGATTACCTTGCTGTCTTGCAATCTGGAGTACTCAGTTGTCTATATTATGCCACATCGATTCAGGACCTAGACAAGACTGTGAAACATGCATGTTTATGCGGTACTGAACTCACCTTCACGTTGACTCCCACGTTCCCATATTGATGATTCAGGCATTAGATACATTCCCGGATTGACTCCCCGTTCTAATGTTGATGATTGAAGCATTCTGCTTACTCTGAATGCTGTTGCTGAGTACAGGAAAGACCTTAGCGGTCGAGCCGACGTCCAGTTAAAATCACGTGACTGGCCTCCAATCCCATTCCAGATTAGTGGTTTTGGACACATACACTCTTCTAACGCAATCCCAACCCAACATCACAATTATCTGAACTACATCTAGATGACTACTATGCCCATTCCTCCAATACCCCACGTCCTTCTCATGCATCACAGCCCTCGAGCTTAGATCTATCTCCTCACCCCCGCGGACCCACCGGCGACTTGCAATATATTTTTCTTCCTCCCGCGACCCCACCATCCCCCACTACCAATTACCAAGCTCCAAACTCCCAGGGCAAAAACCTCCACCCACCTCAGATCCAACCTCCCAAAAGAAAACCAACGCTCTCTACACCGGAACTCTCACCTCCCTCGAAGTCCCGCCCCATACGCCCACCCACCTCCTCCCACCTCCACAATGTCCACCACCACCTCCCCGCCCGCCCCCGCGCCCCTAAGCACAACCCACCACCTCCTCCCCCTCGCCACCTGCACGCCCCCCTCGACCGCGCGCACCTGGCAAACCGCCCCGCACCCGCACCTCCCGCTCCTCGCGACCGCCTGCGCCGACCGCACCGTGCGCGTCTACTCCCTGTCCAACTTCGCGCTGGCAACCACCATCTCGGGCGGGCACAAGCGCTCCGTGCGCGCGCTGGCGTGGAAGCCTGCGTCCCGCGGAGCGAGCACGCTCGCGACGGGGAGTTTCGACGCGTCGGCGGGGATATGGCGGAAGTGGGAGGGCGGAGCGGGGGGGGACGCGACCAGCAGCGACGACTTCACGCATTCGCACAAGACGGTGGCGGGTGGTGGGGATGGGGATAGCGGGGAGGATGAGGACGAGGACGAGGAAGAGGAAGAAGAAGAATACAACTTCGCGAGTATCCTCGACGGGCACGACTCGGAGATCAAGAGCGTGGCGTGGAGCGCGTCCGGGCAGTACCTCGCGACGTGCTCGCGGGATAAGAGCGTGTGGATCTGGGAAGAGCTCGAGGACGACGACTCGTTCGAGACGGTGGCGGTGCTGCAGGAGCACGAGGCCGACGTCAAGTGTGTGGCCTGGCATCCGGAGAGCGATGTGCTGGCGAGCGCGAGCTATGATGATACGGTTAGGATATATCGGGAGGATGTGGATGATTGGGCGCAGGTGGCGCGGTTGGAAGGGCATGGGAAGACGGTGTGGTGGGTGGAGTTTGAAGGGAGTGGGATGGGGAGAGTTTTGGAGGCTGGGGTGGATGGGAGGGAGGGGAGGAGGAAGGTGCTGGAGGAGAGGGAGAGGGCGGGGCCGAGGCTGTTGTCGGCGAGTGATGATTGCACGGTTAGGATTTGGAGGAAGGTGGTGAAGGAGGAGGAGGGCGGCGGACAGGGCACCGCTGGGGGTGTGCCGAGTATATTCAGGAAGAGCATCGAGGAGGAGTGGGTTACGGAGGCAGTTCTGCCGCTCAGGCACGACAGAGCAATCTATGCGGCGTCGTGGAGTCGGCGGTCGGGCATGATTGTTAGCACCGGGAGCGACGGTCGTATCGTGGTGTATAAGGAGCAGTGGAAAGCTAACGAGCCCAAGGGGGTCGAAAAGCCTGTCGGTGTAGAGGGAGTTCAAGAGATGACGAATGGCGAAGAGGCTGCCGCGAAATCTAAGAACGAGGCAGCGACGTTAACAGAATGGGTCGTCGTTGCGGAAATCGAGGGCGCGCACGACGTCTTCGAGATCAACCACGTCTGCTGGGCAAAGCGATACGACAAGGGCAAGCGGAGCGAAGATGAAGAAGTCATTGTCAGCACCGGCGACGACGGCGAGGTCAAGGTATGGACACTGGAGGAAGTGAGCAGCAACAACGGTGGTGCTTGAAGAAGCCATATCATATTGTGTCAAGCCCCCCACACAGTACAAATGCAAGCCGGAGCCAATCTACCAAGGTTGAAGTGAATTGAATTACCTCTCAAAAGTATTCAATCTATCTATCTACCTCAAAAGCTTCGCCCGGCTCCGCCCTCAAAGGCGTTCTCAAACGCCCTGTGGCCAGCCCTCTTCGCAAACAGAGTTAATACCTCATACCCGATACAAACAAGAAACAATCCAAAAGCCAAGTCCCATTTCTTGGGCCCAAGAACTGTAATCCAAAAAAATAAACCCTCTGCCCCCCCTGAAAATGCTCCTCGCCATGCAATCTGCGAAAAATGCTGAAAACTGCCCTGAAAAGCAGAGAGGAGCAACGGAAGATATTTGTAGTGAGCGTTATCCAACCTAGCCCGTCCCAACCCAACCCATCCCCCCAAGAACCAGGAGTAGAAAATGATAGAACGAAAAGGGAGATAGGTAAGCAAGAAACGCCCAAAGATCCGCCACTCCAGGCAACCAAGTACGCCAGTAGTGAAATAATGCGGAGGAAATGTGACAGTACTGTCAACGTATTTTTTGATACTGAAGCCTGTGGGTAATGTACAAGGTGGTAGTAATCGGTTCAGCTCAGGAATTCTCATAAAAGGAGTCAGTCAGTGTCGGTTTGAACGTAATACCATATAGCGCAAAACAGAAAAGGAAAAGTCTAGTTCAGTCTAGAGTCGAAGCTCCCGGGGCCTGACTGGCCAGCGGAGGTCTCGTGCCGGTTCGAGGATCGGAGGTCGGAGATGTACTCTCGGTGCCCGAAGCGGGCGTGCAGGTTGCGTCGTGGGTGTGTCTGGCGTCCCCGGGCGTAGTCTGCCGCTTCATGCAGAGCTCTGCAGTCCCGCATACTTCATTGGCGGAGAGCAGCTCGGGCTCTTCGGGTCGAACGTACACGATGGGGCCCCATATCCGCCAGTGCAGCACGGCGATGTGGGTGAACCGTTGTGCGATGTCTGTGATGCGGTCGGCAGGTGGTGAGACCGCGTCATCGCCTGCGAGCTGCCGCCCGGAGAGGCTCGCTTGCGAAGAAGGGGGTGGAGGAGGGGGAGGCGTAGTGGGGGCGACGAGAGAGTTGAAGAGGTCCATTGGCGACGCGTGGAGGTGGCTAGTTGCACAGTCGAGGATTTCGGGTAGGAGAATGCTCTCGAGACGGGCGGCGTGGGGGAAGAATGTTGTGGGGCAGTGCGAGAAGAGCATTTGGTGGAGCTTCTCGTCTGCTTCTCGTACGAGGTAGGCGTCGTAGGTGTGGGGGTATCCGCAGATTTGGAGGGCGTGTCGGACGAGCTCGACTGATATGTTCTCGCGGTTCATGTACCAATGTCGGCTGCTAAAGGAGGCTCCTTCCCCTAATACAGCGAAGATGGAATCCCGAAGTGCCTGTTTGTCGTTTGGAGAGACCGTCACCCGATGATCTATCATGTTCAGTAGCTCGCCAAATATTTCGTAGCAAATGTCGAAATACACTATGTCGTGGAGTTCCGATTTCAGTGTCCGTAATCGGTCGTGGTCTAGGTAGAATGTCTCCGGTATTTCGATCCGAGTATCATTTGTGAGAAGAAGCCCGAGCAAGGCACGTATAAAGACCTCAAATTGTGCACGCTGTGGGGTCTTCTGGTGGAAGCTTGGTGGCATGATCTGATTATATCTTTGGCTTTCGTACGCATACCACGCTTGTGCCTCTTCGACGTTGATCCGACAACGCTCTATTCTTGAGAGGTGGAAGTTTTGTTCGAAGTTGATGGTATCTTCGATCAACAGAGCGCGAAGGTTCCTAATTTGATGATTCGCAACGTCCTGTAGTCGTTAGTATAGTCACGGCACTGAGAAAGGCCATACGCACCAGTTTCATGGCTTCCAGTATTCCAAGCAGCTCCCGGAGCCCCTTGACGATGGATGACCAGCTCGGAGTCTGTGCCCCTACTCTCGTGGAATCGACCATCTTATCCACCCACTCGTCCCGCATTGGCGCGCAATGCTCCTTGAGCAGATGCGCTAACCATTCAGACAGCTTCACCAAATCGCAGACGCCCTTCTTGACTCGTTGCATCAACATTGCCACATCTAGGTTCTCCTCGACTCTTGCTTGATCCCGCTCCGGCACCAAGTTCCTGAGGATCTCCTGGATGCTCTCGAACATCAGAGGTATCCTCTTTTGACTCGCAGCAGCAAGCGGGCACCACCGTGCACTCTTCAAGTCACGAGAAGCGCTCCCTTGGAAAAGGAATGCATAGAGTTCAAGTTCCGCGGTAAGAGCGCTCCAGTATTTCTTCGCGGCCTTCAACTTCTCCTGGCCCTTTGCGCCATCCAGATTCGGCCGGAATGATAAATCGCGATCAAAATTGACGTCGTGCCGCAGCTTGATGTTTTTGATGATATTGTGGATGTCGAGTTCGCTCAGCGATTGCTTTGTGATGGGCGGATATAACCCAGCGCTCAAGAATGCGTCCGCTAATTTCTCTCCCTCGGACTGTGGAACCATCCCCACAATCAAGTCCGCCAGCTGCCGGTCGTCGGAGAGGTTTAATGTATTCATGTCCGTTGTGATGGCTTCTGCACCTGCTATTGCGGTGTGCTCTTTTTGTGTGCTTTCGATTGAATGTACGGCGTGCATATCGCCGTTTGGTGTCGGTACCGGCCCATTGCATTCTCTAAAGGGTTCCGGCGCAACAGCCCTCCTACTCGGCTCGACTCCCGCTGGATGAACAGGCGTATGGGCCACCGCGGGGATGTTCAATATGTCAGCAGCCCCATAGTTGACAGAATTGCTGCGAACTGGAGGCGTGCGAGAGCTCATGGTGGGCTTTGTTCGAGTGCTCTGCCTCTTGCGATCTGGCGTACGCCGGTTGCTAGCCTTCATGGACTGTCGACCAGCGAAGGGCAAGTGAGAAGCGACAGGCAAAAGAGGCTAAACGAGCACACGGGGGGGATTATGGCTGGTGATATGCGTAATAAGCGCGAACGGTCCGGAGAGTGCAGGAAATGACTACGAACTGTCTCAGGTCAGCGTCAAACCATACAAGCTTGAGTTTGCGAGGGGGCACAGGTGAAGGGCTAATAAACGTGTCGATGGGCAGTTTGACGACGCGGGTAGTTGCATTGCATGAACCAGAGGACAAACCAGAGATTGGCCAGCCGAGTCAGACAATCACGCACGTCGACGGTGGCTTTGGCTTTGATTTTTCATGGGTGTTGACGGAAGGGAGGGAGAGGGAGAGCCTACGATGCAAGATACATGGCGAGATACAAGGGAATGAACGGGTGACGTTTGCGGAAGGGCCAAGGGGCGCCCAAGGTGATGAAGCAACAATACAGCAGAAGTTATGAAGGGCTAGACGTCTCGACGGCTATCGGGAGGCTTTGTGCTGCTTCGGAAGGGAATGTAAGGTGAGGAATTCGCCCTTTTGTGCAATAATCAATGCGCCACAAGAAAATCCGGAGACGTGGATTCGCTGGATAATCATGGCAAGGCGAAGAAAGCCACCGCTATTTAAAAAGCACTGACTTGAGAGACAAACCCGCACTGTAAGATCACCACTAGGGTCCACGGCCTCACGTCTGCCCAGACCAACCTACGATCCTCAGAGCCGCCCGCCCTGCAAAGAGTCCGGCAGCGTCGGGGACTGACTGGGCTCACCGCCCCGGGGGCGTTCCCTGGAAGGCCGGGTTGGTGCTCGAAGGCACCACATCGTCGAGTGCGCTGGGTTGAGGTGATGGAAATTCAGAGCATCCAATGCGGGATGCAGGTCGGAAACCGCTTCGCTCCTAGCCGCTCACGCAAGCGAAATTGGTGAGCTGGAAGAGCAATAATGGCGGCAATCCTGGCGTGCACCATGCAACCCCATGTCTGAGTCGGTGACCAGCGCCACGAGAAAAAGTGAGGCTGACGAGAGTTACGGCGAGGGGCGAAGCGTTGAGCTCGGGTGAGGCTGTCGGCGCATCAGTGCATGCCGCAAAAAGCAAGTCCGCGTACGCCCACGGAGGGCCTCCTGCGGTACGGATAGCAAGACGTGGGAGCGTGCAGTCGACGAGGACGCTGTCAAGATATCGTGTCAGTACTCCACGTGTACTGAGTGGGCGCGGTGCAGCCTTGCAGAGTGGTGGCCTGGTGGACGACGCAGCAACACCAGGACCCCCAGCATCGTGAGCTTGATGTCGCCGTTATGGAGCCACGCGCAGGCTCAGCCGCAGCTCAATCAGCGCACCCGAGGGGCAAGCAGGCTCCGGCCGGCAGCTTGCGGGTGCTGGTCAGCGCGGGTGTTGCGTGCATGGTCGACTCTGTGTCTGTCAAACCACCACGGACAGTCGGCCTTAGACAAACCGAGCAAGGCGACGACGACGATCGAGGGCGAGGCGGGTGGTGGAGAGCGTCAGATCACTATGAAGCGATCAAAAAGCAGAGCAACGAGTGAGCGTGATGCTCGGGGGTGAGTGGATACCTTATATGCTGGGAGATCCCATCTGTAGTAGTGCAACATCCTCAGGCTTCAAGATGGAACTGTCGATCATGCACAGACTGGGAGAAGAGTGAAGGGGCCAAGGTGCCCACGCTCCTCTATAAATATAATGGAAGAAGGCAATAGGCTCCCCTCTTGCTCGCCCTGTTGCCTGGGACGAGATGGACTAACAACCAGTCTACGTCGTAACTGCTCGTGAATGGCCACACTCCAGCAAGGCGGTCGGCCCACCCCCTGACGGCACACTTTAATTCGACCTCCGCAGCAGGCCCGCCAGGGACATGTGATCTAGCACGATGACAAGTACGTTTCAGAAGGTAGATCCGCTAAGGCGGCGTGGCCGAGTTCTAGAAGACCCAGTTGTTCAGGATGACATTTTCCAGATGCAAATCCTCCGATGTCAAACCAGCATCCTGGGAGCTAGCTCCTCTTTGACAGCCTCACTGCGCATCAGAACTCGAGACACTCCAACAGTACCAGTTTCCGTCTCAACCCCGCTCCAAAGATGATACAGATGAGATTGGTCCGCCCCAACACCACTCCTTAGCCCTATCGTACTCCTTACGTCACCTTCCTGTAGTCTCCCTAGAGTCCCTACCAGCCCCCCCTAATCCACCGCCCCCTCCTAACCCTCAGTCTCTCCGCCCTATGCCTCTCCCCCCTTATCTGTCGACACATCCCACACTCCCCACGTACAACCATTGTTCTCGATCTCCGAAACCCCGGTCCACAGGCTCTGACCGGTTGTAGACAGAGTGCCTTGGCGCAAGGTTGCTGGTACGGCGGGTACGGCAACGGTGGACACCCGCAGCCGAAGACGGCGAAGAAGATTGCGCACATTCTTGTTGATGGCTGGTTGTAGTGCCGGGTGATGGTGAGGTTTGGGCGTTGAGGTTGGTTGTTAAGGTCTGGCGATTGTAGCAACTGGACCGGAGAGTGCTTGATGCTTCTAGGTGAGTGAGGTGGGTGAGTGTGTATAATGAGACTTCGGCTCTCCTCCGCTGGATCTCGTAGGCTTCTTGCTGCAGTTTGTTCCAAGGTTGGTACGAACGACGATGTCGTCTCGAGATATGAATAGCGAGGTATGTAAGCCGACAGTCCCTATGTCTTAGGCGTCTTGGAGCTCCGCAAAGCAGTACGATACTTGTATCTTGTCGTGTCTCAAGCCTTAGTCCTGCGAACAACGAACGATCGTCTAGCGTCAGAACAGAAAGAGATCGATCTCAAAGATCTAAGTAGGCAGGCACCGCACTGATAAAGAACGCCCCAAACAACCACCCTGATTGCTCTCTTGAACAATTCATCATCTCGAACAACTGGCAATGCTCAAAAAGTACCGCGTGGAAAGCAGAAGAGTGATGAGTGAGTATATCAGTAGCAAGCAAAATAGCCCTACGCATCAGCACTGACATATAATGAGGAGATGGGATGGAAACACCGTCATTCAAAAAACACACTTTCGTATTACAACAGTCGTAAGGTAAGGCGAACACCGCAGCCGCGCCACCGCATCGCATCTCGCTGTCAGATAAGCGTATGATGCGGCAAGAGCAGGGCGGGCCGAACGGCGGCGCGTCGTTTGCTTGCCTGCCACTCTCTTGTACCAGGTACGAGCAGCACACGCCCAACGGCACCAAAGAGAGCTGAGCAATGAAGCGAAAATCTGAAATCTTGTTTCCCTATTCCTGAATTTTGAGGCTGATTCAAAGAGAGAGAGCTAGCTGGGGGCGCACAAGGGCTGTGAAAAATAGCATCTGGACCGAATGAGACGACGTTACAAACCCAGCATAGCGTTACGCGACAGCTTGAAAACGCCGCGACAAATAGGGCGCTTATTGCGTCCGATCCTCCATCTGGGCATCTACGGGCTCGACTTGTTTGCCCCGCCGGCCTCGCGACTGGGCGCGCGATGGTTCCTTGACGCTCCGCTCGTCTGAGCTGCCTTCCCCACTGTCGGGGCTGTCCGGTCGGCTGTCATTTAGATTACGGCGGCTGCGAGCCATCTACGTGCTTGTCAGTGAGAAGCTCGCCATTGTCATGCCACTGTGAGGGCTGTGTTTAAGCTTACCCAAGATCGGACACCTCCGATCAAACCGAGATTATACCCGGCTGTGAAGTCGGATGATTCACGCCCTCCATGAGCCGGTGAGCCTCTTGGAATGTCCAAATGATTGAGGCGTGAAAGAGCAGATGGCGAAGCGGTCGTAAATGTTGGCGACTTCGCTCCATCTTCGGTCTTTTCCGTTGTCGGCGTTCGGGCAGGGCTGGCTGGCCTGCTAGACTGCCAAAATTGACGCAGGTCCTTGCCCAGCTCTTGACCAGTAGTTTGCCAATTGGTCTTGATACTGTCTCGTAGCTCAATCATGTTTCGCTTGATTTCGAGCTCGTTCTTCTTGAGCCATGAAACATTGAGCTCTTTACGAGAAGTTCCGCGATTGAGTTGCCGGCTGATGTACTTGTCGTAGTCGCGTACAATCCTAAAGACGTTAGTGAATGATCAACGTGGCTAAATTCGAATACGGACTTTGTGATAATACCAGTCGTGCTGAGGCCTTCAGTTCTTTGGGTGACCAAGAACATGCCCTTTTCCTTGATTGGCGCGTAGATATCATCTCCCTCGTCGGCGCCGTATGGGATGTCGTCGTGAGCAACGTAATCAATCTTATGCAGCTCAATGAACTCGGGAGCGTCCGCAATGATCCAGGGGCAATCTTCCACAACCTCATCGACCCATTTGCAATGCCGCACGCTCTCAGCACGTTCCTTAGCCGAGAGCACAGTAAGACCCTTCCTCTTGTGTGTTTCCTTGTCACCGGTGACACCAACAATGAGGTAGACATCCGGGAAGGCAGTCTTGGCTTGCTGCAGCTGGCGCATGTGTCTGTAAGCTGCCGTTAGCTTGCGTGGCTCCATTGAAGCGGTCGAGTGGGATCGCGGCATACCCAATATGGAACAGATCGAAGACTCCATCCGCGTAAACCCTGACGGGCCTACCCTCGGGCGGTGGATTGGTACTATAGCCCACAGGGTCAACCAGCCCAGCCTTCGGAGGGTCCTCCATTCTCATCGTCCCGGCTTCACCACTCTCGCCATGGGCAGCTCTCTCCAGTGCGGCCTGCCTTTCGCTGTCCGCGGACGACGTCGAATGCCTGCTCTTCCGGCTCGCTCGAGATGCGCTGCGCTCGGCCGTACCATCCACAGCCCCGGCACCATTTTCAGATTTGCTGGACCTGGCTCGCTTCGTGGCAGTAACTTCTTGGAGTATTGGGTCCTCGGCATCCTCGCCGGAGGCGTCGCGGGATGAGGGCTGGACGTCCATCTTCTGTACAGAGGAGACGGCTCGCTTGCGTTTGGGCGGCATTATAAGAAAACGGGGGTTCTCGTGGTGGAGGCGTGATAGGGTAGGCGCGCTGGGGGTGGTTCCAGGACTGGCAACGACGTGCAGTGACGTGTTGAAGGCAGGCAGAGGATCAGGGAACACCAGCGGCGACGTGGAGGGTCAATGGCTGGCGGTTCACTCCACGGGAAGCCTGATGGGGCGCAACAGGTGTGAGGGAGAAAAGGAGTGCCGAGTTGCAGCTGGCCGAGATGAGCACGCCCAGGCGAGAAATTCCCTGCTGCGATCCGGAAGATGGCGTCACCAGCCACACTTCGATGCAGCTATTCACGGTCTGGGCGCATGCAAGACTTCCACCACGCAATCCATTCGCCGCAGAGATATTCACTGCTGACTATAAGGGTGCCATGTAGTCATAGCAAAGTGTGCAGTGTTAAAGCACTATTAATTCAAATGCTGGTCTATATCCGGGACCCGAAACAGTCGTTCCAAACGCCCGCTTGCCATGCTGAAGGTCTAGTCCATTACAAGAAAGAATATATATGATGAAAAGATCCGCTTTTCGTTGCACTCTGTCGCGTCTATAAGCTCAGACCGTGACAAGCAGTCTCAAAGCCACCTCTGTGCTGCCCCATGCCCAGTCCAACCCAAGACACGGAGCGGCGTCTTAAGGCCCTTGAGCAAGGGTTTCTCTGGGCGAGTCCCTCTCATGTGATACTTTAGCTCCAGGGCTGTTCAAGAAGCCTTCTTCCCAAGACGAAACCGCCTCCTCGCTTTGGGCTTTTCCGTCTCGCCGGCCGGAGTGTCGGTGTATGCGTGCTTGTTACCCTTCTTCCGTCCCGTCTTGACATCCCTTCTGCTGGCACAGCAACAGCACAATCCAGTTTGGACCAACCACGCAAAGATGGAGAAGGCGGCAGCTACCCACATCAAAGCGAACATATTGATACCAATTGTCGCCTGGATGTTGATCTCTGCAACGCCCCTGATGACGTTTCGGAAGATAATGAACATGACGGTAGCAATAACGGTTCCGACGGTGATGAAGAGAGCCGCTAGGAAGGTGAAGAAGGCAATAGCGAAGGATGCCCAGCGCGAATAAATTGATAGGGGAACGATGAAGATCATGACGGTCGAGAGACACGCTCCGGCGAGGTAGAAGCCGAACATAACATTCGAGACGATGTGGATGAGTTTGAGGATGTTATTGACGTCGGCAGGAAGATTGACTGGGCATTCGATTAGGTACTGTTAAGCTGTATGGATAGAGCGGTTTTATTCGGAACTTAAGTCAAATTGGCAAATTGAATATAGAAAATCTACACACTTGAGGCACCTGCTAAGAGCTCGCTTTGCAGGATTTCGACTGGATTAAACCAGTACAGAGTTTTAGGAGGCGAGCAATTGGTGACGCCGTCGCCATTGTATCCTTCGCAGTATCCCCAAAGCCCCACTGTATAGAAGTCGTGAAGACCGAGCGTCCGGGCAATTGAATTGATAAGAACCGAGTTCGGAACGGCGGCGGGGATGATGTGGCTTAGGTCGAGTTTGATGAAATAAATGTCTCTGAGGACGGATCGATTGTACGTCTGGCCGACCTCCACCATAATGACGAAAATAACGGAAATGAATAGGAAGACGGCTGTGAGGACAGAGAAGATTTTGCGGGTCCGGGTGGCCCGGTGGACTTGCTGTGTCGAAAGGTGCTGCTCAGCATCGTAGCTGGGCAGGCTGCCAGGGCTCTCGGACTTCTTTCGATTAAACATGCTAGCGATGGAGAATAGGAAGACACAGAGCCACAGAGCCGCAGAACCGCAGAGCCGAGAAAGACGAGGATGGACAGCGACGCTGTGGCAGAAGGCTGCCCGTGGTGTTTACCAGCGTCGAAGACGGCGCAGCAACGACTTTTGTCTTGGCCAGGTCGTGCTCCCAGTCGACGTCATGTCTATTGATAAAAATGCGTTGGGTGCAAGTGCCAGCCGGCGCTCGATTAACACGCCGGCTTCTACGGCACTGTTATCTGATTGGGTTGTGCAGGGCCCCAGCACAGCCGCCAGAGCGTGGGCAAAGACGCGCGTTTGCTCTTCGAACGGTCCTCGGATGGGGGAAGCACGCCGTGCTGAACAAACAAAACACGCTGACTTTCCTAAAGATGGTGAGAGTCAGAAACAGCAGGCATTGCGAGGCATAAGGGTCTACAATAAAGGGGGATCAGTGCCAAAAGTGCCAGTGTTCGCCAATCTGCATTTAGAGTTGCGGATCGCCCGGGTGGAGCCTCGAAAGAAGTCCCAGCGTCACGGTAATTTCGACGGCCCTAATTTTAGGAGAGATGCCAGAGATGCCAAGGCTTATGATATTAAGCTGAGGGTATTCGATCTGAATAGTTATACATGGCTCTTTCCCCTGTGCACATTGCGATACTTCTACTTTTCTATCCTCGATAGAACATGCCTACAAAAATATCTACGGCCTTGAAGCATGCATCGTAAGTCAACGTTGTCGAAATTGTGGAAGCTTTTGACAGAGCTTCGACAGAGTCAGAGAGATAGAAGAGGTAGAGGTACAATCACTTCATGACACCAACACCACAGAAATCCAAATCCACAACACGGACGACGGGAGCGGTCGCGGGCAAAGCTGGGCTTGGCACCCAAAGTCCAGAATACCCTTCCGACCATCGGCGACATTTTCTCCGCCGTGGGCTCATGTCATTCGTTTTTCTGCCCTCCACGTGAAAGCCGTGCCCTGGATGGTGAAGGACTCACACTCATAAAAGCCCCATCCGCCATCCGAGATACTCTACCACACTCTCGCACATCACCACCACTTGCCCAATATGTCGGCCAACGACGTGTACCAGGACCCGCTGAATTCTCGCTATGCGAGCACTGAAATGAAATACCTCTTCAGTCCCCGCAACCGCTTCAGTACATGGAGGCAATTGTGGGTCTGGTTGGCCGAGTCTGAGAAAGAGCTAGGATTAGACATTAGCGACGAGGCGATTCAGCAGATGAAAGCACACCAGGTCATCCAAGACGAGGAATTCGCTGTAGCTGCCGAGGAAGAGAAGATTAGGAGGCACGATGTTATGGCTCACGTGCACACCTTTGGGGTGAAAGCACCAGCTGCTGCAGGAATCATTCATTGGGGTGCAACATCTTGTTATTGCACTGACAATGCGGATCTTGTATTTACCCCTCAATCATTTCCCCTGCATAATGCTAATATAGCCAGATCTTCCTCCGTGATGGTCTTGATATCCTGCTCCCCAAGCTAGCAACCGTGATCGAAAAGCTCTCCTCCTTCGCAAAAGAGCACAAAGACCTCGCATGCCTCGCCTACACCCATCTCCAACCCGCCCAACTCACCACCGTCGGCAAGCGCACCTGCCTCTGGATCCAAGACCTCCTCATGGACCTGCGCAATCTCGAGCGCGCGCGCGACGACCTCCGCTTCCGCGGCGTCAAAGGCACTACGGGAACCCAAGCCTCCTTCCTCCAAATCTTCGCGGGCGACCACTCCAAAGTCGAAGCCCTCGACGCGCTCGTCACGAAGAAAGCAAACTTCACCTCGGCTTTCATCATCTCCTCGCAGACCTACACGCGCAAGATCGACGGCGACGTGCTGCAAGCCCTGGGCTCCTTCGGGGCCACCTGCGAGCGTATCGGGCAGGACATCCGCCACCTCGCCGCGTTCAAGGAGCTCGAGGAGCCCTTCGAGAGCATGCAGATCGGGTCCTCGGCCATGGCGTACAAGCGCAACCCCATGCGCAGCGAGCGGCTGTGCTCGCTGGGGCGCAAGCTGCAGAACCTGCCCAAGGACGCGATGGACACGTATGCGGCGCAGTGGTTTGAGCGGACGCTCGACGACTCGGCTATCCGCCGCATCTGCATCCCGCAGTCGTATCTTTGCGCGGACGCGTCGCTGATTCTTCTTAACAACATCTCGTCGGGCATGGTCGTGTATCCAGCCGTGATCAAGAAGCGCGTCGAGGCCGAGCTGCCCTTCATGGCGACCGAGAACATCATCATGGCGCTCGTCGCCAAGGGGGGCAGTCGGCAGCAGGCGCACGAGGAGGTGCGGGTGCTGTCGCACGAAGCGGGCCGCGAGGTGAAGCAGTTTGGCCGCGACAACGATCTCATTGACCGGATTCGCAAGACGCCGTTCTTTGACCCCATCGTGCCGGACTTGGAGAAGTTGATGGACCCGCAGACTTTTATAGGGCGTGCACCAGAGCAGGTGACGAGTTTCTACGAGAAAGATGTTACGCCTGCGCTAAAGAAGTATTTCGATGCCGGAAAGATCAAGTCTGGGGAGGCGGCGGAGTTGCATGTTTAGTAGGTTGGTTTTGGTCTTAGGGAAAGGGAGAATAAGGAGGTGATGGGAGATGACAGGGATGAAGAAAGGTCCGGGTCTGTTTAGTATATTAGCAAAAGTCAACTTCCAACGTAAGTATTTCAGTACACTTCCAGAAGCTCTTCAGTTCTCTGATGCCAATGTGACATACCAACCATGAACACCCGGGACATAGTAGACCCAATAGGAGTCCTTCAAGCTGGTCCTGGATTCGACATTCACCGTATGCCATATTGCACGAATTTAAGATGGCGTCAGAAGAGTGAATGGATGTCCAGATGTCGCCAAGCTATAAGTAGACTAGCGGCTCTTTCCACGTAATATCTGACTAAGAACATGATCAAATTAATCGTGTCTAGCAAGTCTAGCAAATGGCTTTCTACTCGCAGGAACTCGGTGAATAGCCATAAGGGCAGAATAAGCGTCTTGCAAATTCAAAGGAGAGGGCTCGTGCGAATACTGCAAATATCTAGGCTCAAAGTTCACGACATGTTGCTCATGCACCCGCGCTTCCACTTCTGTCTGAAGAGGCTGATCAACTTTGATCATGGTTTCTAGGAGAGCAGAGACCTATCACTTACGACTTTTGGAAAAATAAGTTGAGGGATCTCTGACAGCAGCTGGCAAGAGTGTATATACAGACCTATGGCAAAACACACTGGTATCTACACCCCGCCACTTAACACCTCTTCCACTCCACCTCATCTATTCAAACTAAGCAACCCCTCCACATACTTCCTCGCATCAATTCCAATCCCTTCCGCCAACCCCCTAGGCCCCCATCCAGCTGCCTGTCCCCCCATCTTCTCCGCTGTGCTCCCCCCTCCTCCACCTCCAAAACCTTTCCACATTGCAGTTCCCATCCGCCCCGCTGCTCCGCTTGGCTTCCCGACCACGCCCGCATCCCTCGCACGGCGAACCAAAAACGCTTCCCGCAAGTCGCAAGCATCGAACTCGGTCTGCTCGGTATCCGTTTCCGACGGCTTGAGGCTAGTCTGGCGCTCCTTGAGGCGCACGGCGTCCTGCGAGTGGGAAGGCGGGAGCCGCATCCACACGACCCACCACCCGCGGCCGGTCTTGCAGGTACGCTCAATCTCGGTAGTGGAACGGCAGGTGCTAGAGACCGTGCTGAGGATCTGGGCGTGAACGTTCAGGGCGTCGATACGGCTCCAGTTGCCGGTGAGACCTTCAGCGCTGAGGGATCCGGGCTCGGGGATGTTGGGTAAGGAAGAGTGGACAGTCAGAGTGCGCGGGTCGTAGACGAGGTCAAAGATGGGGCTCGTGTTTGAAGTGTTTGAGGCAGTGGTGGTATAAGGGGAGCTAGCAGCGTCGATGCGGGCGGCGACGCGAGAAGGTGCGGTAGAATTGGAGAGCGGGCGATGTAAAGGGGAGAAGTAAGTGTGCAGATTTCGGTAGAATGGGGCGAGCGTGAGGGATTCAGTGCGATGGTCGAAGAGGAAGGTGTAAACAAAGGGACGGTGCTGCGAGGGGTCAGGGAAATTGTTTGAAGTGCGAGGCTTAAGGTTTAAGTGAGACTGAATGCTACGTACCACATAGACAATAACTCGGAGCCTGGTGTGCTTCGGGTCTGATACTGGGGGAGTTTCTATTAATTGGCTGCGGGAAGAAATTGGAGAGAACGGATCGGTGGCCTCGACGGGAAATTCGGCTAATGCGTCCTTGTTAAGCTCGACTTGAAGTGTACGAATCGGTATCCTGTTGTTCCAATTAGGCTCATCATCTGCATCTTCATCTTCGTCCTCGTTATCCATATCTCCTTTCAGGCCAACTATGAAGTATCCAGTATTCTCCTGATGGATTTGACACTTCCGTCTTTCTTCAGCGTGGTCAACATCAGGATCGGGGTCAATATTTCGCATCCTAGTCTCTCCCATCTGGCTCCGCGCGTCATCGGTTTCGCTGTCCCCGTATTGCTGCGACACCTGCCGAGAGGCTTGAGGCCGGCTGCCTCCCCATGTTGTCCCATAGCCAAGAGTGAGATACTTCACCCAAGTCTCAGAATCACCTAGAGAAGCTTTTATGGATTCCGGGGCCCGCATTTCGGTATTCTGAGCATCAATACTAGATGATGCCTTTGCTAAAGAGGATTCCGCAGCAGAAACTATTGGCGGTGGAATTCCAGGCCGATAAGATTCGTTCTTAACAGCAGCAGATCGTTTCGGGGCGTTAGCGGATGGCGCGTCTTGCCTTCGAGAAGCTTCTGGTGATGGAGATTTGGAAGCAGCCTTGGGGCCCTTTCTGCGCCTTTTTCTCCGGTCTGACGTTGGGCTATCCTTCACTCCATATGTGTACTCTCCATGGGCATAAATCCACTCCACCCAGTGAGAGATGTCCTTCAGCGAGGCTCGAGAGATGGCTCCAACTCCAGAGAATACTACGCCGTCAGACGCACCAGTGTACCGACCGCTTCCCATCCACGGCTCAGCCTCCGGGGTCATATCAACTAGCTTTTTACTGCCCGTGGCCGTCCTCGGATCCAGTTGTTGCACTGCTGAGGGCTCCCCGAAACGAGACACCATCAAGTCCACTAGCCCCTCGGTTCTCCCCGCATAGTCTTCCAGTACCTCCCGCTCACCACTTCCCCACTCTTCTTCTCCAACTCCCATGCCAAGTTCTCCACCCGCCGCCAGCTTGAGGCCGCCGAACACATCCACAGCAGGGCTTCCATGGAGCATAACATCCCAGTTGTTGGCGAACTTGGTCCAGAACTTATCCAGGATATGGCAGAACTTAGCGCGGTCCATCTTGACATAGACCTCGTCAAGTGACGTTCCATGATGCAGGAGGAATACAGAATGAGCTCTCTTCAGGTGTTGGAGGAGCAATGTCGGAGGGCTGACCTCCCGCGACGAATATTCTACAGATGGTGTAGAGGCAGTAGTGCCTTTAGCGGGTGGAGGAGTATTGGATGGGAGTTGGGTGAGGTCGACAGACTAGGCGATCAATATATTAGACTAGGACAGGTCTATACGTCAATTTACTGGCTTACAGCTAGTATCCACCACCCATCCTCTAGCTCATGCATCACGATCCTAGCCTTCTCGGTTTCCACATGGTCAACCGCTTCGCCGTTGGAGAAACTCCTGGGAACTGTTAGATATTTTCCCCCAGATAGCCCCATAAAGTTACACAGGCCACAAGTTTGTGCACTCGTTTGCAACTGCTCGGTGTATCCCAAAAGCGGTTCAGAGGTCTAAGCGCAAAGTCAAGATTCATGCAGCGGAATCAGAGCTACCTCATGACTATTGGCCTCCTGCGACAGGATTGCGTTCGACAGTGATGTCTAGCTTCCGTAGTGGCTCTCAAGCAGTGGTATATCCGTAAGCCCAGACTCATGGCCTGGTACAGTATCTTACCACTTACCGCGCAAAATCCACCATGCCCTGCGCAAGCCCGATCTGCCGCAACTTCTCATTCTCATCCTCGCGAAGTTGGCGATCGTGTTCTGCCTCTGCCTGCTTCCCGCTGCCCTTTGCCCTCCCCTTTGCCGCCTTGGAGTAGTAGAAGACGACCTGATCGCGGAAGGTATCATCGGTGGTGCCGAGCGAGGGATTATAGATTCCGAGAAACGCAAGCTGGGCGGGCACCACCTTGGAGAGGTGGTCTGCTGGGGCGGCCATGCGGTGGGGTCAGTACATAGACCTTCAGCGGACTGCTGCGGTCGTGGTGCGGCGAACAGGTATTGCGTCACTCGCAGCGAAGTTCGAAAGCAGCATTTATTCCTGTCTCAGCAAGGGGGAGCCGCTACTCTCTCCGGCGTCTAGGGCGGCACGGGAGTGCGCAGTCAATGCAATATCATCGTGAAAAGAGTTGTTCGTATGATGCGATTGTCGCCGGCATCCATCGCTCTGCAGAAGACTTGCCAAGCCCCAGATCGACTCAGATCGCGGTTCTTCGCCAAATCTTGCTCAAGTAAATATCTACCACTTCTTCCACAATTATGAATCCATGTTGGCGGCTTCGGCTTCCTGTCCGTTCCTTTCGAGTCCCCCGATACCCAACAACCGCATCCCGCCGATTCAATTCCTCGAAAACGTCCGACCCCCTCCGCATCCTCTTCTGCGGCTCCGACGACTTCAGCATCGCCTCCCTCCGCGCGGTCCACGCGGAACATTTATTTGACCCAGGAGCAATAGCTTCGATTGACGTGGTGCACCGGCCGGGAAAGCTCACGGGACGGGGCTTGAAGCAGCTGCGCGAAGTGCCCATAAAAAAAGTTGCGCAAGAGCTCAAACTCCCCACTCACGAAATCGACACCTTCACGGGATGGACGGTACATACAACGCCCAAATGGACATAAGAGGGCCTCTTCTAACGGCCCCAGCCTCCATCACCCCAGAATGAAGCCATCAACCTCATCATTGCCGTCTCCTTCGGCAAACTAGTCCCCCCGCGAATCCTCAACGGCGCCAAATACGGCGGCCTAAACGTGCACCCCTCCTTACTCCCCGAGTACGTAGACCTACCTGAAGAAAGATATAATAATTTCATACTGATACATTCTCCAGCTTCCGCGGCCCCGCCCCCATCCACTACACCCTCCTCGCCGCGCGCCCCGCCACTGGCCTCACCATCCAAACCCTCCACCCCACCACCTTCGACGCCGGCCTCATCCTCGCCCAGACCCCCGCCCCGGGCCTCCCCATCCCAAACCCCTCCGCCTGCTCCCCCGCGCAGCTGACCGCCTTCCTCGCGCCCCGCGGCGGCGCGCTGCTCGTCGACGTCCTGCGCCGCAAGCTCTTCGTGCCCCCGCTCGAGGCCGCCGGCTGGTACGCCAAACAAACGCCGCAGGCGGAGCTGCGGCACGCGCCGATGATCACGAAGGAGGACGGGCGCATACGGTGGGAGCGGTGCGGCGCGGACGAGTTGGTTCTGCGGCGGAGGGTGCTCGAGAACTTGTGGACGACGGTAAGGGTTGGGGGCGAGGAAAAGCGGCTCGTTATCCACGGGCTGGCGAGTATACGGGAGTCGCCTGAGAACGCGGCGGCTAGGGGAGTGGGCGAGTTCTTCGCGTGCAAGGCGCCCGAGGGGACGGTGCTGGAGGGGGGACTGCCTGCGGGGGATACGGAGTTCTTGGCGGCGCGGACGGTGGATGGGGGGTGCGTGCTTGTGACGAGGTGTACGGTTGAGGGGGGGAAGAGAGATAAGGGGGCGGGGGTGGTGTTGCAGCATTTAGCACGGTAGATAGCTTTGTGGTAGGCTGATGTTGCAGATACGTATGTGTGTATGCAGCTAAAATATGTACTATAGCAAGATATCACACCGCAAGTCTATTGAAGTAGCGTCTCGAGGGATTTATTCATCACCACAAGATGCAACTAGTGAAGTATGCATGGACAATGTACATGTAATAGCTGGTCTCACATTGGCCAAAACAGTTGCTGTGTGTGGTGTCGGGAGACCTGCAAACGCGATCCATCCCATCCCCAGGAAAGTGCCAATTATACCAAAGCTACGAGCAAAACACCAGACCGTCGTAATAAAGAAACGAACAGAACCAGAAAAAATCGTAATACTTCATCACAGCTTCCCAAGGTTTGAGCACTTCAAGCCAAAGCCCCCCCACCCGCTCCTCAGAGCAGTCCCTTCCCACCCCCCCACCCCCCCTCCCCAAGCTCTCCCAGCTGGCCCCCTCAAGCCGCCGGCCTGCCCCCCTTCCCAAACAAATCCTCCACCAACCCTCCCCACACCTGCTTCACCATCCCCCCCTCCTCCACCTTCTCCTCCACCTTCTTCGCCACCGCGCCCCTCACCCCCTGGAAATCCACTGCCCCGCTATCACTAACCTCGCTCATCGCACTTGGCGCATAGATATGCGTGCCATCCAAGCTCGCCGTCACAATCTCCGGCTTCATGACGCCCGCAATCTCATCCGCCGCCTCGCCCGTCGCGTAGGACGGGATAGCCGCAGAGCCGTAGAAGGTCGACGGGAGCAGGGGCACGCGCGGCAGGAAGGGCGCGGGGGAGAGGTCCGGGTCGAAATCCGGGAGGTAGGCGAAGTCGATGGTGGAGGAGTCGTTGACGGCTTTGAGGGCGCGCGAGGTGTTGAAGTGGCGCGTGGGCACGTCGGAGGACGCGGGGGCGAGGAGGACGGGCCGCGAAGGTGTGCGGGTGCTGTAGGCGCGCGAGTTGACGGTGAGGTGGGCGGTGAGGCGGTCGGTGAGCTGGAAGTTGCGTTAGGGTTGGTGGTGATGGTGGGATGATGGGATGGTAGGGGGGAAATATACCTCAGTCTTACTCCCAGTCGTGGGCAGGTTGCGCTTCTTGCACTCTTCCCGCAGCCCCGCGGTGTCCTGGGGGAGGTTGATGGCAGGGCGCTCGGTTGTGAGCAGGGAGGAGAAAGTGCTGGGACCAGTCATGTGGAGGCTCCGGACTTGGGTGGTGCCTACCGCAAGGCGGTTGAGAGCTCGTAGCGATGAGGCTCTTGAAGCTGCCATTGTGATACGTGAGTGTTGTGGATATGGAGTCGAGGTCGGATGAGCAGATGGCGTCGAGGAATAAAGACGAGGGATCAGGTTATCCCAGAAATGTAAGAGTACAGGGTCGCGAAACTCGGGATTGGAATGCAAGGTAGGTAGAAATCCGGCGTGAGCAGGAGATTCGCGAAGGATAAGTAATGGGAAAGGGCGGATGGGGGAAGCTGGTGTTTAGTAACAAGCTTCAATTGCTAGACAGGGCGGACGACCAGTCAGTGCACAGGCTGCACTGGCAGCCACGCCAGCTCCTGCTGACCTGCTTTGGGTGCAGATCGAGGGTGCAGTAGACCGGATGGGTGCCCGTTGGTGTTCAACGGTATCGAAACACCATGCCACGGAGGAGCTTGGGCCCTCATCTCAACATGCGGGACGAGGCGGTCACATCAATAGCGCAGCCAATCAAGGCGTCCCGGATGCTGAGCGACGCCGCTCTCACCTGAGCTCAGCAACACGGCCTTCCCCGCCTTCCAATGCTCTGGAAAACATCTCGCCATGCAGCATGAGCTCATGAGGAGAGCGGCGGGAAGCGGATGAAAAAGGACTCCCAGCGCTTCACAACACCACGTCCCCGTGCACGACTCGGCAGTATGCCAGCCGGCTTGTTGGGACCGCTTCTTACCAAGCCCGTACGGTCCGTGTCGGGGGATGAATTGTGCGAAGTCGGACACCGAAACTGTCCTGGCTGGGCGCCGCACCGCACGAGACATCCCGGCTCTCCACCACAGAGTGCGATGGGGATAGCTGCAGATGCCCCAACTCCTGCAACCTGGTGTTTGAAAAGAAACTTTGTAGCCCTTGTGAACAGTACATAAGGTCTAGGTGATGGTCCAATCATCGTTGACGAAACGGTGAAGCAGTGATCAAGTTTGACGACGATATTTGGTGCCACGATTGTTGGCCTCGACGAGCTTGGTACTCAAGCAAATGCTCATCGAGGCTGCCAAACACCGTTACAAATGCGTGGTACACGTACCAAAGATCCTTGGAAAAATCCCTCCGCGTCCAGTTTCCGTTGTTGAGCGGTCCAAACCATGCACTGAAGTCACTAGCCCCTTGCATTTTCGTGCCAATCATGACTCTGTCCACAGATATCTCTTCCTCCCCCGGTTTTACCCTGGAAAATAATATAGCTAATTTCCGACAACCAGAAATTCGGCCTGGTGGTCTAGTGGTATGATTGTCGCTTCGGGAGTTCCGCGCCTGGCTGCTCAGCAGCTAAAATGTGACAGGCCCCGGGTTCGAATCCCGGCCAGGCCCTATGATTTTTTTTTGGGGATTTTAGACAGATATATCGAGTAATTTTGATATCGGTATGATACTTCGTGTTTTGTTGCTGTTTGCTTTCGCTTTTAGGGGGTTGAGTGGAAAAGAAATGCACTCTATGCGTTGTAACGGTAGACCGATCGCCAACTTTAGCTTCACCATCTTCGGTGAATAATTCTTAGATATAGATGCAGTGCACGCGCCTTGCAGCACTCGTAGCTTCAGCAAGAATAGATGGGACCAACTCCTATGAAGAAAGGAAAGTACGTTATCGATCGATCCATCACATGGGATCCTAAAACTCTGCAACGTGCAATATTCATTATGTGCAGGATTATATCATCGACTAAAATGTGGGCAAGAAAGACTTTTATTGGGTTGCCCGTAGAGTTATGTGAGCTCTAACCGGTATGAAATAAGGTGCTGTGAAGTCAGAAATGCAAGGACTTATTGCCCTTACAGACTCAGCTAGTCGGTTTGATGAAAGGGGTATTTGATGAAGTGTAGAAACCAGAAATCGTGACGCCATTCCAGTAGAGCCAGAGCTGAAGCCGAACCTGAATCCGAGTAGCCAGGTGCCGTGAATACCTGCCCCGAAAGAAAATCAAAATTGGAATCGTGAAACTAGAAAGAAAATATATGAAAAAGGCCTAACTCATTCTCATCATTCGTCAGAGACTGTGGTAAGAAGACGGGAAATGCCCGTTATCGAGCAGGTCATATATAGACTACTGCAGGCCTCAAATCCGTCCGTAGCGGGCTTGACGTTGGACCCAGAATGAGTGATAGGTGGAGTAGTCTGATATGAATAAGTCAGCAATAGCACTTTCGACGATATAACACGTCACGCGGGGCATAGAAAAGGTGGCACTCCAATTCTACAGCAAGCTGTCTCCTGTGTACGCCTGTCTGCCACTGCTTGAGGTGCTTCAATGCATTTCCAGAAATCTGAACGAGATAGAACCCCTTCGCCTTGGACTATGTGGAAACTCATTGAAGCACCCCAGACAGCGGCAAACAGGTGTACACGCGAGACAGAGTGCTTGATGAGTGTGCCACTTTTTCCACGCCCAGCGTGCACGAGTAGCAATCGCTTACCTCTTTGTCCCGAGAGTCCAAGCTGGCTAGCGACATTGACATAGCCCTCTTCATTGACTTTCCCGTTCTTGGCAAGGTCCTTGACCATGTCCTCGTCTCCAGCCCATGGCGTACGACAGAATGGACAGGTAACTCCACCCCTTGCGCCACTCTTCGCAGCAGCCCACTGCTCGAAGCAGTGCTTGTGGATGTTGTTTCCGCAGGCTGCCTTGCAGTATACGATCTCCTCCTTGGCCGCTTCGAACTCCATGCAGCAGATGGGGCAATCGTCTTCGATGGGCTTGCGTTTCCCATTGCTGTTATCGCTCGAAGCGTCGTCGGCCGGGATTGGGGGTGCTTTCTCGAATATATCGCAGAGTTCGGAGGATAGGAAGGCGACTTGGTATTCTAGGTCTCTGGTGACTTTGAGGACTTGTGAAAGGACCTAGTATTATCAGCGATTGAGACTTGAAAGGTAGTGATTTATGGGGATGGCGTACGTAAACTATGTGTTTGCACTGATTGCCCTTCTTTGCATGCGGACAGGTGCAGTCTGGAACCAATTTGATAGAGACCGTGTAGATGTTCCCTGTCGTTCCAACAATATCCACATGCTCCTCTGGTACTTCTATAGTCCCCTTACGAGTCCGATCGATCACGTACATCCGCTGCGATACCGCACGCTCGCGAATTGTCGCATAGCTCAGCGGGGCTTTGGGTCGCCATCTGATAGCTGTTAGAAAAACTGATCGCGTATGTCGTTTGTGGCGTACGGCCCATCAATAGAATCCGCGGCATCGCAAAGGGACACTGAGAACTCACTTCTTCAATCTTTTCTCTTCATTCGGGTCCTTGCGAGCCCTCGGCTTCTTCTGTTTCTTCTTTGGCGATTCATCTTCAACCTCGTAGACGGGTTTCTTCCACTCTCCGAGGAACACAATGTCGTCAGACGAGTCGTTGTCGAGCGAAGGTTGGGGTTGGCTCCGCTTGCGCTTTGAGGAGCTGGACGAGCTGGCCGCCTCACTTGTTTGCGCGCCGTACGCATTGGCGTCGTCGTAGCCCATTTTCGGTGTTGTAGTGTTGATAGTGAAGGGTGAGGTGGAGAAAAGGATAACCACAGGGGTGGCGTTGCCTGAGGGGGACAACTTCGCGATGTCGGTGCGAGATCACGTGAGCTGAGTGAGGTTTGATCAGAAATATCTACTCTTAGATAAGAAATTTTTATCCAAGCTGTGGCCTAAACTCAGCCTCGTCTGAAGTGATCCAACGAGCCTACTGCTTGTTCAAAGTTATGCAAGATACGATCCATGCAAGTTCCTGATATCTCATTGATCCACCTGAAACAACTGACGAATGCACACAACTAGTATACGCATCTTGTTGTCAGTATCTCGGCACGGCAGGTACTTTTTTTTTTGTAGAACAGTCCGCAGTTTATATTGGCTCTGGTAGTCTCTGTAACACCCTTTCCCACTGTCCAGGTTCTGAACAATTATGAAAAGACTTCCAACTAGAGCCATCCAATAGTGTAGACAGCTCGTTGTAACCCAACACCATTCCCAAGAACTGACCAGGTGATTTCCATAACCATCAAGCCGACAAGCAGCAGTCAAGACAGAGCCCTCAATGCTACTACCTCACAAAGGAGCACTGCCCTCTCCAGCTTTGTCAGTCCTAGAGAACCATAGGAATCTCAACGCCACGGCCGGGCCGGCTGAAATTCGCAGGCTTGCCAGTCCAGTTCCTCAGTATATCCACTCCCGCCTCCTCCGGTTCTTCCGCATTCTTGATATCGCTGATCCCGTACTTGGTCTTGCAAATCGCCTCCACTCTCTCATCAGGGTGGCTATGGTAGTGGCACAAGTTCAGTGGCCTGTCGATCCCCTTAACACCCATATAGTCCATCCAGTACAGCTCCTCCTCCATCGTCTTTCCATCCTCATCCTCCCTAGGAACCCAACGCTTGCAATGGATGTCGACGAGCAGAAAGCACAGTGGTGCGTGACTCGGCAGGTGATCGAAGGCCACCAGCATTGTCGAATACGGCAGCGCGCGGTGCGTGGTGATATATCGAGTGTAGAAGACGTCGAGCACGGCTCTGCAGAACCGCGGGACACCAAAGTTCCACGCGAAGACGTAGAGCTTGACCAGATAGGCGTCAATCCAATTCCTGTCCTGCCATTCGGCTTCGCCATATGACCAGAAGATGTCGATTGTGACCCCGGGGGTGTCCTGGGCGTGCAGCCAGCGCAGGAAGATGCGGAAGACGTCGCTCGAGAGCTCAGGGAGCCGGATCTGCTCTTTCATGTGTAGGCCGTTTGTCATGGCCGTCCGGAACTCGTCGCAGTAGCGGGCTAGGAGGGATCTGGTGACCGTGAAGACGCACTCATCCTTGCCGACTATAAATTCGACAGTCTCTGGATGGGAGGAGCTGAGATTGCTAATAGTATAGGTGATTGGTCAAGGTCAAGAGAGATCTAAAGCTTACTATGAGAGATGAGGCCTCCGCTTTCCGGTGGGCGCCATGGCGGGCATCGCGAGACATAGGAATCAAGGGCGGTGACAATGAGAGCGCTTCAGCAAGGCCGATCGGGGCACCGACGGGAATGTCGCCCGATCCTGCGCTCCAATTCGCGACCCGTCTGGGTTTGTTATGGCGGAGATTGACTTGAGCGCGTGTAGTAAAGGCAGCAACTCAACGGCGAAAGGTTGACCCGCCAGCCGAAGAAACGGACAATGGGATGAGGGCACGTGAAGATGGCCGCAGTGTAGTGCTACATCATTCGTAATTGCCACTGTTTGGGTGGCGGAGCGTACTCCTACAGTCTTGTTTCGAGGTCCCTTTTTGACTGACTCACTGTCTAGCGAATGTTGAGGGCTATGAAATAGCAAACCTATATCACATTCGAAGTGTCGTAAATGTGCTGGAGTGTCTTCAATAGTGGCAGGCCCAGTACACGTCAACCAATGATGAAGTAATGACGAGGCATCATGCCTGGCCAAACTTCGCCGACTGCTGATGAAGCCTGGCGAGTTGTAAGGCCTTCAACTTACAGTATCTAGTTCGTACATATCCGTAAACTCTCCTGCCAGTTCGTGTAGCGCTGGTAGAAATCTGGGGCGACGGATCAAAGTTCCAGTTTGTGTTGCCGCTGTCTAGGATAGCTTCTCAAGTTCACCATTCGTCCGAAACGCTAACCTTCCATCTGGTTCAGATGTCTGAACCTACCACGAAAGGCCACAAGCATTGACAGGAAAGCGTATGAATGTCGGTGACGAAACACTACACATCTTGTTAGATCGACATTTCAGAAAGCCTTGCGAATACCGTCCAACTTACATCTTGTTCGGACTATTGAAAGCATGTCGAGACGCCTAGACAAGCTCATAGGTTAGTGTTCACATTCTTACCACCGCATGAGGAACTTCGGGGCGATTTCACGAGGTTGGAAATCACGGCTCTGCACCATCTATAACCGCGCTGGGTGCCTCAGACGGTGATGACTAGGCCCGGTCAGTGTCCACAGAGGGTGTACGCAGACCTGTGATAAGGCCTCGACGAGAGGGGTTCGCTCTATCATCTGTCTCTAATCGGCTTGGGTACCCACTCTTGCCGCTGTATGAGGGGCTTCAAGGTACTTTCTTACCTTTGCACCAGAATAACAGAGATCAATTACAGGGCTAGGGCATAAGTTTGCGTAAAGCCCATTACCGCTGCGTAGGGTAGCGTCACATGCTACCCCGAAATCTTATACAAGGAAGCTGACATCCCTTCGTCCGAAGTGGCCGGACAAGCTTACAGCTTGTTCAAACCACTTCCTCACACCTCGTTCAGATCCTCAAGAACATGTTGGAGGGGTTCATACGGCGGCGAACGATTGTACGAAATGTTAGGTCCCGGCAGTGTATGAAGCAGAATGCTAAACCTCATTGCTGAGCTCAATTTGACTTTGGCAGAGAACTAACGAAAGTAACAATTATGCCATGCGTGTGCCCACCATACATGCAGCGAAAAAGAAAGCTACCAGGAAGCAAACCCCGCTCCCTGCTCTTTAAGAAGACGAATGGGGCCCCTAGTTTCTTAGTAACCCTAGGAGCGACTGCCACGCGAATGGGTCCCATGTTGGGTAGTATATGAATATGACGGTGCTACTGGGGACCAAACTGTTGCTGTGGTGCATAGTTATGCCCATGTTGCGGATTTTGTACTGGATCTCCGTAGACACCTTGCGGCTGCTGTACTGGACCTCCAACACCGGAGGCACCTTGTTGCTAGCCCACTCCTCCATTGGCACTGCGATCACCAGGATAGTTGTCCAAGCCTCCTCCTTGCAACGCTACTGGTTGAGGGTTTGGCACCCTTGGGTCAAATTGCGTTGATGCGGATCGATCTAGTAGCGTCGCCGCGGCCGTTTGACCCTGGCGCTGCAAGGCACGAGCCTGTTGGGCTTCAAACTTACGCTGCTCGAAGAGGACTTGTTTATGAGCGTCAGGGAAATTTGTGTGAGGGTTATATCCAGGGCGAGCAACGCTTGCAGTAACGGGACTCATCTGGTTTACCATGGCTGCGCTTCCATTGAAACCGGGAGTTGATGCGAGTGGATTTGCCCTCGCCGCCTTGGTCGTTCGATCCGATTGCTGGACGAAGGCGTGAGTTTGTCGGGGATTTGGTACTGTCTGACCCGCTTGCCCCCCTACAGTCATTTGACCCGCTTGCTGTGTGGAAGGCATGGGCTGAGCTTGTCCGGGAATTGGTACGAGTTGACCTAGTTGCGCCGCGGGGGCCGGTTGGCCTGTTTGTTGCACGATTGGCGGAGTTTGTATGGGATTCGCTACGATTTGAACCGGTTGCGACCCTGATGTGACGGATCCGGCTCCGTGCCTCCCTTGCTTGTCCGCAAGTGATCCGCCACAGCTCACGTGCTCGGCCGGGCCACGTGCGTCCGTATTTAGGTTTCGCCGCGTGGAACCTCTACCTTTCAGCGACTTCGTCTTCGTAAGTACACCTAGCTCCTTGCCCAATGCTTGGGCCGTGCCTTGTTCCGCCTCGTCCGTGACACCTGATGCCCATGGATGACCCACTTTCCAGCTCATTTTGAGCATCTTCTCTGGACAACCATCCCGTCCTTGATCGGAGTGCAGGTCCTGGTGGAAGTCACACAGCCTAAAATAAACTCCGAGTCCAGAATATCGCCGTCGGTATTCCTCGATTTTCCTTGTAAACTCATCTGGTAAAGCAGAGTCTTTTTCCTCATCCGTACTATGCTGCCATATTAAGCAGTAAGCGCGGAGGAAGAGCTCATAAAGCGTCGCATTCAATGGCTCATCCATTTTAGAGTGTATGAAGTTGACTTGGGTACTGGTAGGCAGCCTTCCGTGCTCCTGGACATCCTTGAAAAATAGACGTAAGGTGAGTCTGAGGAGATCGGTGATTTTGTACTGGCTCGCGAAGACGTGTATGTGAGTTGCTTCAGGGCGAGTGGGCTCATCCCAGAAAAACCTTCGCTGGGAATACTGGTTCTCCTTGCGTAACCAGTCAACAAAGAATGAAATGACGTCTTCCGTACCATACAGGGAGATTTCCTCGGAATCGGGTTGTTGTTGTCCACCATTTGCATCGGGGTTTTGTTGCGCTCCCTTTTTATCGGCTTGTGCTCGCGCTAGCAACCTTGCGCACTCTTCCGAGCAAGATTCGAAGAGGTTTCGATCAATAGAGAACGTCTTCTCAGATGGCTTTCCGTCGCGTCCGATGGCCTTTATTTGTATCGATTTGGTACGGTACCTTCTATCATCAGTAATTTTCTCATCAAAGGAGACGCTATGAGTATGCACGTGTCTGCCACTGCTTGGGGTGCTTCAATGCATTTGCAGAAATATGAACGAGATAGGAGCTCTTGACTTTGGGCTATGTGCAGGCTTGTTGAAGTACTTCAAACAGTGGCAGACTGGTGCAAGCACGACTGCACCAGACAGAATGCTTGATGAATGTGCCACTTTTGCCACGCTTTTCGCACCCAGCGTAGGGACCAAGACGAGTGCGGATGAAAGTGAAGAACTCACGCTGGCATTATTCTTGGAGCTGTATGTGCCATTGTCGTGACTGTTGCGGAAATGGTTACGAACAATCCTAAGATGACACGGCGTTAGAGAAGATGAGTTCAAGGGATGAGAGACACTTGCGATGTGTGTAGTGTAGAGAGCTGTACTAACTCTGTTGGAGAAGGAATTGCGAGATAGTCGTGGGTGAAGCGAGGGCTGGTGTGCGATGAACGGAATGAAGATGAGCGGGTACGTTATGCGTTGTGATGGATGTTGACGATGATGAGTGTTGTGAGAGAGGCGAGAGAAAGGAAGTGAGTATGTCAATACGCCGCGGCATGTGCCTGCCCGATAAGCCCCAGCTATGAGAATCGGGCAAGGGCATGCTTAGCAACGAAGGCACCTGCAGCGCCGAGTGACAAGTCTGCAATCGTCACTTTCGTGGATTCTTCTGAAAATCCAAGGTACAATGCCTCGGCATAAAAATCCGTACACTCGTTTATCGCCGCGTGTGAAGCTGCATAGTAATTTTCAGCATGCCGATCGAGGGAGACGTTCGGCATTTTGGACAACTAGTAAACTTGCGAGGCTACCCCAGACAGCGTCAGCAGGGTGTAAGGCTGGAAATTTGGAAATTGGAAGTGTATCCGTTGCCCTGGGTTTCTATTAGTACGTTGGAGCCCCACAAACAGTGGTAGGAAAGCGTGCGGATATCTACAGCAAGGGACTGTGCTAAGAACATTGGCAGATGAAAATGCGCAGATCCACGACAAGGCCTCGTGAGATTACACGTGAACTTGGAAGAAGATACACTGCATCCAGAATCGTCATGATTTGTGCACCTATCTGCCACTGACTGAGCGCTCCATTAAGATTTGAAAAATCGGGACATGAGTTCATCTTTAAAAGGTCTGTGAAGTTGTCAGGCCACCTCGTACGCCGTCATCACTTCCTCTCTCAAGGGGCATTGATACACTTACCTCGAATTGTACTCGCCCAGCCCACGCAAGTGTGTGCAGACCTTTGTTCCCACACTCTAACAGGCGATCAATCGAAAGACTAAAGTGACAATGAGGTCTTCCCCAAACATCAGACACAAATCACGCAATTAAAGCCCCCCAGCTAGGTCACATTGGCTTTTCAGAGCATGTAATTGAATCCACGTCAGACATAAGCAAAAAGAAAGGAAGTATTGGAAGGAAGGATGAATTTGTACAGACAGAGCTCCTTCTGAAGGCTCCTTCGAGAAAAGAAAATGCCAGACCACATGCGCGATGCCAGTACATCCATGCCACGATATCTACTTCCTATACCACATGCGAGTGATCTGTGGGATGCGTCAATTTCTGTCTTCGTAGACACTCTGTAGAAATGAAGTCGTACCTTGGTGTGCCTCATCTTCTTCTGCAACTGGAATATCCCGTACATCAGAGCCTCTGATGTTGGGGGGCATCCGGGCACGTAAATGTCAACAGGGACGATCCTGTCGCATCCTCTTGTGACGGAGTAGCTGTAATGGTAGTATCCTCCGCCGTTCGCACAACTGCCCATCGAAATGACCCACCGAGGCTCTGGCATCTGATCATAGACCTGCCGCAACGCTGGAGCCATCTTATTCGTCAAGGTTCCTGCCACAATCATGACGTCGGACTGGCGGGGTGAGGCACGAAAGATTATACCGAGTCGATCTTGATCGTATCGTGGTGTGGACAGGTGCATCATTTCGACGGCACAGCAGGCGAGACCGAAGGTCATGGGCCAAAGGGAACTTTGACGGGCCCAATTGGCGACTTGATCGAGAGTAGTGCTGCGACTGTGTCAGTCCCAATTGCTCTCACAAAACTCCCCTACAACGACCCAGGCCATCATCGGATATATGAGTATAGAGTTTGCCACATACAGCGCATATTGCATGACGCCCTTCTTACCCTCCTGGCTCGGCAATGCCACCTCCCGTCGCGCCTTTTTCATCGGAGGAGGGGGTGGTGGTCCATTAGAGATTAGTCCAGGTGTTTGCATGTAGGAGGCCCGCTTGGACGAGTTCGAGAAGAATGCCACAGATCCTGCCCGGTATGGAAGCAATGCGGCGGAGGGTTTAGCTGCCCGGATATGTTAGCTGTGGCGCGAGGCCGATTGCAACCGGAGGAGCCTACCTCGCAAGGCCATTGAGGCTGCAAACCTCGTCGTCGACAACATGTTGGCGATTGGGACAAAGGAGACGCAGCGGTGGAGGAGGGGAGAGGGGAGGGCGCGGTGGTGGCGATCGAGATAGCTGCCGGATCGATGGTGATGTCGACTGTAAGTTCGGGTTGCCAAGTCCTACATCACGTGCCGCTTATTTTACCCCTTCATCTCGTCTGTGGTTGGCTGCTGGCTGGCGAACTCCTCTCACCAAAGTCGCGGAACATCAGAAAAACAACCACTGCAGACGGGGCTGTATTACGAAGAAGAGCCGCACATTACCAGAGGACGGCGTTAATATTGTGCAGGATCTTTAAAACAAGCTTTCATTCACTGAAACCACGTTTTGTTTTCTGCTCCTGACTGCGGGCTACTCACGGTGACAAGCCTGAAACTGGGGAGGCTTTCGAGCTTGCTTTCCGTCTTCTGAACACCAAACGAGAAATATCAACAGAATCATGGCGGGTCGAGCTCCATCTATAGCGTGTATCTGCGTGATAGGAAAGCAAGTAGGTATATGTTGAGCAGGCTACCGTGGATCATTCTTGCTCATGCCGCCTCCAGAACAACCCCCTCCACATATCTCTATTTCCACCAGAGAAGAGAGCACCATTAGAATTCTCCTTGCTTCTGTCATCATGCTTGGACATATTCGAAGCTCGTCTCCCACGCCACACTGTTGATCAAGACTTCGGGTTGCTCCAAGCCGTGGACGATCGGCTTTCGATGTACGGCTGGCTCACCAACACGGGCGTGAAGTTCGTAGTTGTAGTCGATATGGAAGGCCGGCCTGCTACTGTTTCCGAGAGCAGAAACTCTGCCGTCGTGGGTATCAGAGATGCCGATCTAAAACCAGTAAGTATGCAAGTCTAATCAGCATTTCCAAGCCCCTGATTAGCGAACAGGCCTTTCGGGCATTGCAAACCGCATACATTAGCCTATTACGAAATCCATTCTATGACCCAGATGAGCATTCACCAGCAACAGCGAACGCGGAGCAGAGAGTCGGGTCTACTCAAATCACGAGTCGTAATTTCATCCGGGAAGTGAAGCGAATCGGAGATTCTTGGGCTCCTGGCGTCACCAATCTTTGAGTCACGCATCATCACAGCGATTCGGCAGCTCAATATTGCAGCATTTGTGGCGTTCAGTTTGTTTCCATTCAGTTTGCGGAGGTACATTCTCTTCTGTGTGTGACAGCAATCCGATTTCCCCAAAAACCTCTTTTCCATAGACGGTCCCTCGGTGAGAGGATTCAAGACTCCACGAAATTCAGAAGTAATCTTCATGACCCTTGTTACTCCTTGTGGCATACCATGACAATCCATAATGCCAAGAGAAAAGCTTCTCTGGTCTGTCTCGCTTGCCCAAGCGCTAGGCGATCTTCCGAGGTCTTCGACTTCAACATCTCATTCAAAGCTGCAAGGCTGCCTTGTACATATCCTTTCATTCCAGCTCAATGCCTCGAAATGTCTCTTCTACTGGCGTCACAATCACAAATCCGCTCGTTCTTTATCGTGCATTGCTAGCTACTAATCGCATCAAGCCCGACCACGCCCAATATCGCCTCGGTAGGTGACGTCGACCATTTAGATTACTCCAAAAACTAACTAGGATTGACGCAGCGATACATCTTCAGAAATTATACCAAAGACTCATAGATTACGAACCAACGATAGAATACAATCAGCGACTGAACCAATTAAACCGAACTTTTGGTGGTACTGATGGCTCTACTATTTCATCCGGCACTGCCAAGACCGAGCGTCAAGGTTTATGGACGTCATTCTTACGGGAAAAGGATAAAAGAGATAGTCTTGCTCTAACGCGAATCCTGACAAGTCATGATGCCGCGCTTCAACTTGATTCTCCGTACAGCTTCCCTCCAGAGCAAGTTGTCTTTCTTGCAAACTAACATACACACAGGCAAGGCCTCATGCTCCACGGCGAAGTCGGAACGGGCAAGAGCATGCTAATTGACCTATTCGCCGACTGTCTACCAAACCAAAAGAAAAAGCGATGGCACTTCAACACTTTCATGCTCGAGACATTCGCAAGGCTCGAAAAATTGCGTCGGGAGCGCTCAACTCATTCCTTGAGAAACCCATCCACGACCCAGCAAGATGACCACTCTCTACTATGGTTGGCACGAGATATGGTCCAGACCTCCCCCATACTATTCCTGGATGAATTCCAACTGCCGGATAGAGCATCGTCAAAGATTATGTCGAACCTAATGACTGGCTTCTTCCAACTCGGTGGCGTGCTCGTAGCAACAAGCAACCGAATGCCCGAAGAGCTGGCCAAAGCCGCTGGAATAGAGTTCTCAAGGCCGCCGTCACGATTGGAGTCGTTGGGGTGGAAGTTTGGGCTCCGAGGAGCTAGCAATCCCAACGCTCAGCATGGGGAATTCACGGCATTCCTTGACGTGCTGAAGGCAAGATGCGAGATCTGGGAGATGAACAGCGGGAAAGATTATAGACGACTAGATGCGGAGCAGGCCCAGGAAAGCACCGATGGGATCACGGTTCCAATTTCGGGACCAACGCCAGCTGCAGCTGCAAGAGATACGTCAATTGGTTTTCCGGACTCAAGTTCCATACCCTCACAACCCGGCGCCGATTCCTCCCCAGCATCACCACCACCCCAAAAACCCCCCAAATTCTTCCTCGTCCAACCGCCCCTTTCCGCCGAATCACACATTGCACCCACATGGACTCAACACCTCCCCCCCTCCCTCAACCTCCCCCACCCCATCCCCTGGACGCCCACCACCCTCCGCATCTACGCCCGCCCCCTCCCCATCCCCCGCGCCTTCGCCTCCCTCACCCACTTCACCTTCGCCGAGCTCTGCGCCACCCCCCTCGGCCCCGCCGACTACATCTCCCTCGCCTCCCACTACCCCCACCTCATCCTCACCGCCGTGCCGATCCTCACAGCCGCCCACCACAAAAACGACGCCCGCCGCTTCATCACCCTCCTCGACGCGCTGTACGAGGCGCGCTGCAAGCTGCTCCTCGTCGCCGCCGCGGGGCCCGACGACCTCATCTTCCCCGACCCTGTAGCCGCTGCCCCCGACCTCGCATATGGAGACGGGAATCAGGAGGGGGTTGCCAACGCAGACCCAGAGACCTTCTCCCAAGCCTACCAAGACGCCACCGCGCCCTTCCGGCCCAACACCTCCCTTTACTCCTCCCATACACCCGGCCTCGCCCCCGACGCGATGGAAGACGACCCTCCGAACCGCGCGCGGCGCCGCGCCGGCAGCGCGTTCGCAGATGAGCGGGCGCCCGGGCCAGACTTCGGCCGCACGGCGGCGTTCACGGGGGAGGACGAGCGGTTCGCGGTGAAGCGGGCCCGGAGTCGGCTGTGGGAGATGTGCTCGGCGCGGTGGTGGGCGCGCGGCGGGCCGGACTGGCATCGGCCTGTGCCGCGCGCCATTCGAAAGTGGGAAGCGGGTGGAGAGAAGACGGAGAGCATGGAGCGGGGAGGGGAGGGGTCGATATGTAAAAGCAGGAGGCGAGAGCGAGGTGGGTGAGGATGGTTCGGGTTTCAGGCATAACGCGAGTCCGTTCCGCACGAGTGCGGAGCCGCCGCCGAAGATTGGCTGGACGCATGTTTGGGGGACGGTGAGGTGGGGGAAGAGGGCGGGGGCTTGGGGGAAGGGGGTGGAGGGGTTGGAGGAGCGGAGGGAGGGGAGGGAGGGGAGGGAGAAGGGGGATCAGTAGAACCCAAGAGATGCATATACCAGCCCCGTCAGCTGCACATGCTGTCAGTGGACTTCAATGGTATAGAACATAAGACACAGTCGAACTCGTGATTCCAGAATAATGATATGGTGACGTTCAATAATTTTCATTGATTCCGTATTGGTGGATATTTTCCGCTTTCACAGCTTAGCCCATCCCTGGACTCCAGAAGGAAAAAAGTCGTTCCGTCGCCAGTTCCAACCAGAATTCTCTTCCCCAGACCTCAGACACCCCACCAATGAACCCAGTACGTAGGTTGTCCATCTCTCCACCACCACGCTCATAGACGCCTACCGCGGCGACCGCCCTTCTTGCGGGTCGAGTCGGATGGCGTGGGCGTCACGTCCTCGATGCGGCCGATCTTCATGCCGGCACGGGCGAGCGCGCGCAGCGCCGATTGAGCGCCGGGGCCGGGCGTCTTGGTGCGGTTGCCGCCGGTGGCGCGGATCTTGATGTGGAGGGCGTTGATGCCGATTTCCTTGCAGCGGGTTGCGACGTCCTGCGCGAGAGAAGATTGTCAGTTCGAAATCCAAGCTTAGGGATTTTGGTTTTTTTGCATGACATCGCGGCACTCAAGCCTCGCAAGGTCGGGAACAGATCATTGGGAGTAGTGAATAGGAATGCAGAAAACGCACCTGAGCAGCCAACATAGCAGCGTACGGCGAAGACTCGTCGCGATCAGCTACAAACCAGGTATTAGCCCACAAGTCCCACAAGTAACAGAAAAGCTTGGGGGTTCAAGCGGATTTCACTCCTGACCCTTGACTTTCATGCCGCCCGTGACTCTGCTGATTGTTTCGCGGCCAGACAGATCGGTGACGTGGACGAAGGTGTCGTTGAAGGAGGCGAAGATGCGGGCAACGCCAAAGACTAGCGTTCCTGTGTGTTTTTACAGACGTGTCAGTGATGGCCTTGGGGTCGATTTTGAGGAGGGTGGGGAGAGTTTGGTGTACTGACCCTCTGGGACGCCGGGTCCGAGCTGGACATTTTCCTGCTGGGCAGGGGCTTTTCCTTTCTGAAGACTGTTAGCATAAATAAGACGGAGAGGGCATTGGAGCGTACCTTTGGTGGCATGGCGACTTGAGTTGTGAGGAGTCGAATGTGTAGTTTGCGAACCGCGAGGCCGAAGTTGAAGAGTGCGGTGGAGATTTCCTAAGCGAACTAACGCTAGTCCAAAAGCAGTTAGTGTCCGCTCACACCACTCAACCGCAATCGTGAAGCAACAAGTGAGTCTGTCAGAAGGCACGCGGGGCATAGAAAAGGTAGCATGCTTATGAGGTAGGTGCTTACAGGAGTATGTCACTGCTTGAGGTGCTTCAATGCACGCCCATAATTCAAACGCGATGGAAGCTCTTCACAGTAAAAGCTCCTCGAAGCACTTCAAGCAGTGGTAGACGAGTGTGCCACTTTTTTCACAAGTAGCGTGAGAGGCAAGCGTATTAGGCGAAGATGCACGTACTGTCGCACCTCAATGGCTTTAATCGTATTGCTGTTGGTTCTATTACACATAACGGTCACATTATTACTCAGAAAGAGGGCAAGCATTGATACCAATTATATGATTAGATTAACTAAAACCGAAATGTGCACCTAGTAGGTACCTAGGTACAGTGGAGGCCGTTTCTCTATGAGCTCGATCCGAGGCCGTTATCTACTCGGCCAGCCCTAAGCCTGCAACATAAACCGAAAGATATCCAGACATACGCTCACAAAGCCGATCTAGGGCCTAACAGCCATCCTAAGCCGGGGATACAGATGACCACCCTTGATTCCCTTAGATTGCTTAACAAGGGAAGCCGGCAAGAGAATCCACTGATCGAACTTTTTCGTTAAAAGAGGGAACTCGCGAATACATAATGGCCCACACGAGAGGAAGGGCGTCGCCTTAATGGCGGGGGAAAGGAATGACGAGAGCGAGGTAGGAGAAGAAGGAGACGACAAGAGGCTATTCAAGCCAAAGGCGCACGAGTGAGCGGATCGAAAGGCCTCAAAGTTTCGAAGAACGACCTTGAACATAGAACGCAGCTGGCTCGTGCCAACGACCATCCCGGGAACAAACAGCGCAAAGTTTGTTCATATCTTCCAAAAGACCAGCTTCCACCCATGCCTCCGGCGAAATGCGACTTTTCGCTTTACTGACAAACTCGAGTAGCATCGTCGTGCTGGGGATCTTCTCGTCACGGCTGGCTAGAGCATGGATGGCCACATCCAACACGACCTCCTTGCGGTAAGTCAAACCGCTTTTTTGAGCATTGCTAGAGTTGAGCGCCGGTGTGTCAGTCAGCAGTGAACGATACTCGCTTGCCAGAATAAGATTCTCAAGCATCTTCAGCTTCTCCCCCTGCTTCGACCGAGACTCTGCCTCCCGCTTCGCCTTGCCCACCCGGTTTTGCCGCAACCTGGACGTTCTTCGGGGGTTCCCGGTGTCCGTGATACTTCTGCCGTCCGAAGGCGTGCCGACTCGAGGGGACCAGAAAGAACGGACGGATGAGGAACGACGATCCTGGAAAGTGGCAGGATCGGACGCTCTGCGGGCGGCGGCTTGTTGCCAATAGAATACTGGCTCTTCATCAGATGAAGAGCGAGGGGTTGGTAGTGAAGCGTGGGTGTCCAAAGTGTGGTCCAAAGTGTGGTCCAAAGTTTGGTCTGAAGCTTGCGAGGCTGCAATGCAACGATCGCAGCGCGTTTGGAGTAGCGAGGCAAGAAATGAGGCCCCGCACTCGACGCAACTCGCCTGAGCATTCATATGCCCGTACGTCGAAGAGGGCGTGGATAGCCCGTTTAGGCCGGTGGCGATTGGAGATCCTGGTAACGAGGACCGCTCCTGCTTCACCCGCTGTGAGGGAACTCGATTCAGGAGTTCATTTATGCTAGGCAGCGTGGGAGCTGCCTGGCTAGGTGTAATTATGGGTCTGCCACACGCAATTAGTAGGTACAGAAAAGAAACATCTAAAGAAACTCACGCAAGCTGCCCCGGACCTCTGACGCGGGGATTGACCCCACTGTAGTTCATCGTTCTCGTCATCGTTGTAAGGTATAGAAGAGTTGTTTGAATTAATCGACAATATGTTAGGGCAAGATATAGCCTGTGTGATAGAGCTCGAACGTAAAGTGAGCTTCTTGAAGACAGAAGGCTAGCAAGACAGCACAATCGAGGACGACGAATGGAGAAAAGCAAATGCCATGGAGCGAAACCGGGCGTCTTATACGTGTGAGTGAGCCACGATGAGATTGGCGAGCATTTGTGACGAGACGTGACCCGCCCCCAGCGCAGTGCGGCGGGGCCGCATCGCATGTGCTCATCGCGGCGGGCTTGTGGTTACAGCCAGCATTGGACGCATAACTGCAGACGAGGCTCGAGGGTGCAAGACTGTTGGGTCATCTGGGGGGTCCTCCAGAACATCGTAGGGTCGTACTTCGTGATATATCGAGCATAGGGCCGCTTGTCTGCCGGAAACAATTGGGCAGTGGCACTCCCTTGCATGAAGCCCTTAACTCAGCGCACGGATATGAAAATCACTTAGCTGTTGCACACGAAGAAAAGGTCGGAGAGCCCTCCGGGTTGTGAAGAAGCCCCCGGACGAGGACAGGCTCGGGTGGCGGGCCCAGTGAAAAAGCAAGGCGATGCTTGATGCATTTTCACCGCCAGTACGTACTCCAGAGCACCACCCCGCTCCGCCAACGGCAGTACAGCTTCGATGCATGGAGGCAGGGAGGCTGTCCGTTCCCGTTGCTGATCGTGCAGCCAGCCTGGATACGAGCAGCGCCAGGCCTCAAGACGAAAATGAGAAACACGGGCTGCCGTCACGGGTACTGAATGTGGGCAATGACGGTCCCAAGGTGTGTGACCATGAGGAGAGGCAGCTTGGAACTGCCGTCTTGCTGATCAAAGCGGGCGAGAGCGCCAAATAGCTGCAAGCAGCGACTGATGCGATGGAGCGGGCGAGCACGCCTTGAGGTGTCCGGGGGCCATTGGGGATGTGGCGGTTTCCAGAACTGAGGTTGGCAAAGGCGGGGCGGTCGTGGATTCGACCACGCTCTTGTTACGCAGTGCCAGAACAATGTGATACAGGCCTAGAAAACCTACCCGATGCCGCGCGGGTCGCAACTGGCAGAGAGCCGTCTCTACTTGCAGCGCGCAGTGCACCACTGGATCAAGGCCAATCTATGCCTCCGATCCTTTGCCGCTACCCGTCCTGCAGCAGCACGCCATAATCAGGCGTGAGGATCGAGCTTCACGACACAAGCACGAGGTTGGGTGGATGCCTTGCTGGTACCAAAAGGAAATGCATTTTCGCTGTTGCATACACGAGACAGATCTATGTATAGACACGAAGTTGAAGGAGAGTAGCACTTCCATGAAAACCGTCCATAAGCAGTCCACCGTATCTGGCACCCTCAAAAGCGGGCTAAGACTTTTAGTAGCATGAGCAGCCATGAGAGCCGCGTATTAGGACTTCCAAACTTCTACCCCTGTGGCCCAAGTACATACAGCTGATCCATTCTCGGCAACGTCCCCACCCCTCATAACACCAACAGAACTCGCTCGCTACGTGCCTTCGGGACCCGAATCCAGCCTCGAAAGATGGATGCAGAACGCTGTCGAAGAAGAAACATAATTCTCGAATTAGTCTATGCAATTATTGTCGAAACGCCAGCGTCATGAACTCTCTAGAGCAACCCAAAGAAAGCAGCAATCAGACCCGACACACCCATCACGGCCGAGGAGATCTCGACGCGACCGGCAGCGCCAGTCTTGCTGGCCTTGGCACCGCTGGCAGTGGCCGTAGGGGTGGTGCCAGCTCCGCCGGGATGGGAGACCTTGCCCTCGCAGACGTAGTCGCCCTTGATGACGGAGCTGTCCTTGAGATCCGAGAAGTGGGCACACTGCTTGGTAAGATCACCGGTAGACTGGATGTTGAAAGCACCTTGGACGTCCTTGAGGCCAGGGAGAGCGACACTGAGAAGAGTTAGCGCGATAATGAAAGATTCAGATGAAGAGACTTACTCAGAGAAGTTACCGTTGAAGTCAACAGCGCCAACGACCTTCTGCAGAGAGGTGAATCCATCAACTTGGCCAAGATCGGTGTTGTTGGCAACAGTGAAGCCACCACCGACGCTCTTTAGGAGAGGGAGGGAGATGTTGGCGAGCTTGGTGTTGGAGACGAAAGACAGATCCTTGCCGACCGTGGTGAGATTGGCGCCGATGAACGACTCAATGTCGTTTCCATAGAATCCCAAAGAGCCGTTGATAGACTCGAGGGATGGGATGGAGATGGACGAGCAGTTGCGGAAGGTCATGTTGTTGGCCCAGATCATGTTGGGGAAGGAAACGTTGACGGCAGGGTTGTTGGCCTCCAGAGTCAGGGCGTTACCGACCTGGGTCAGCTGCAGGGTGATGTCGTTAAGGTATCGGTTGTTGGCAATGTAGAAAGTGTCCACAGTCTCCAGATCGATACCCTCGAGGGAGTTAAGCTCAGTGTTCTGGATGTTGATGGTCGAGGCCTTGGTGACGGTGGTCGTGAAGGTCAATTGCTGCAGATTGGGCAGCGCATTCCACTCAATGTCGTCGACGGCGGCGAGACGGGGGAAGTTCAGGCTGGTGAGGACTTGCACCTCGTTCAGCGTGAACTTGCCGGTAATCTCCGTCAAGCTGTCGGCGCCAATGGATGTGATGAGAGACACGTTGGTGACGGTGAAGTCGCCATCGATCTTCTGCACGTTGGGAATGTTGATCTGGTCCGTGGTGCCCGTAGCAATGACGACGCTACCGCTGAAGGTCTTGCATGCTGCCAATGCGGTCGCGTCGCCCTGGTTCTGGATGGTGGTCGCCGAAGCACTGCACGAGGCGGCTAGAGAGGACGCGTCAGCCAGATGATCCAACGGTGCAATTGCTGCCAGCGGTGATGGAAAGGGCTCGCTGTCGATGAAGACAGCGTGTGATGATGAGGGTAACATACCGACAGCTGTGCCTGCGGCCGCGAGGGCGGGCAGGACGAATCGTGTGAGGAGAGACATTGTGAGGAGGGTTTGCTTGTAGTCGTGGACTGCACAGTGAGGTCAGCGAGGCTGTCGAGTAGAAGGGCAGCGAAGCTGAAGAGCTGAAGAGTAGCTCGACGGCGCCAAGGGTGAATACGAACCTTGGAGACTGGATTAAAATGCTAAGCACCGGCACTGGTGCGATATGGTGGGAATGGAATTGGGACACGAAGATATTGAGCGAGTGTAAGAGAAGAGAAGCGCAAGAAGTAGCCTCAACGAATGCCGGCTGGGGGGAACTGGCGACGGTGGACGAGGAAAGAAGAGTGTGAGGTGGAGGGTTTTTGCTGGAGAGGAGGACAGAGGGTGAGGGCGAAAAGGAGGCAGGAAGCACGGGCTAGAAGGCACGCTAGCGACGGGCCAGGGCTAAACGCGGCCGGCTCTCCTCCAGGCTTGTGGCGAGTGCAGATAGCGATAGACGGCGGGCCGTGCTATTGGCAGATCGCGACCGGGCTGGCAGCTGGCTGGGGAGTTGGGACTGGGGAATTGTCGCGGTGGGGGCATTCACTGGATGTTGAGGGCCGCCGAGGGCCGCTGGGGAGAAGGTGTGTGGCAGGACGAAGCTGGAGGGCCGGCAGAATGCACGCTGGAACGCTGGACGCTGGACGCTGGACGCTGGACGCTGGACGCCGGCCCGCGACGACGGCCCGCGACGACGGCCTCCGACGACGGCCTCCGACGACGGCCTCAATTGACGGCTGGGCGCGCTGGAGCGGGTGTTTCTGCGGCGTCGAGGGCATTGTTTTGACGTGCGCATCACCCGATTTCACAGGCTGGCCGGCCACACGCCCTCTGCTTCTGACAGGCGTGAGACCGCACACGTCGCCGGCTCCAGCACGCACAGCTCGCCCACAAATCGCTGGACTCGCTGCAATGCTGAAGGGCTCCGTGTCGTCATGCCCTCTGCGCAACGCTGGACGTCGTTCAGGCGGCTCCTCGCAGGAACCGACCAGCGAGGAGATTCGTGGCCGAGATGCATCCTCAGCACTCTGGTTCCACCATAATGCCATTGGAGCCGGCGCCGCGCACGCCACCCAAAATCCACCAGTTCCCCACCGCAGCCAACGGCCAGGGCCCCGGCTCGCGCAATCTGCTCGGATGGCTTTTGTGGCCGTCGTTTGCAGCACGCCCGGCCGCCCTCTGCCACCTCGCCCGCCCGCAGACGCTCAATTTCCGCGCTCAGGGCTGCTGCTGCTCCAGCCTCGCCGCGACAATTTGGCTTATCGGCGCCGCCGCCGTCATCTCTCGCTCGTCACACACGGTCGCCGCGGTGCCCGATGTGCTGCAGTTGCTGGCCGCCAGAGCACGAGGCCTCTCGTCGGTCGGCCTCCAGCTCGTCTCCAGCTGCACCAGCTGCACCAGCACTCGGCGCCCCGCCACGGCTAGCAGGCATCGCAAGCTGCTGCAGCGGGCGACAGCGGGCGATAGCAGGCCGTCTCGATATCGACTTCTCCCTCCCAATCAGCCGCGGCCGTTGCCGCTGGCGTGTCGACGGCGGATCGACGGCGATGCAGCCAAGACAATCTTGCAATCCCGTTGCGGCAAGCCTCGAGCCGGGGTGCAATGGAGCTGTTCCCTGTGTCAGACCCTGATGGCATTCTTTGGGCCAGACTCCTGCACGCCCGCTTCACATGGCAATTGCCCGCGAGCAATTCCGCCGGCCTGCTCGCCTATACCTCTGCTGCAGCTTCAGCAACTGACTGCATGGCCGTCCGGAAATATCCTCACCGTTCGCCATCCGACGCTTGAAACAGCAGAAAGCCCCGAGCTCCAGGGGTCTGGACCCACTAATAAACACCAGGACTGACGGCTGGCACCAAAATAACCCCAAATTGGCAATCACTATTTCCCAGTTTTCATCTCGAGGAATCCTGCTTCACATCTCCACCATCGTCCCGAAACGCTTGTCTGCCGCTGTCATGATGGCAAGCGCTGCGTTGGCGAAAGAAGCTTCACTAGGGCCGCTCTCCTGACCTCGATCTACATAAACCTGGCAAGGGGCATGAGGCGCCAAAGTTCGGATCTGTATCTCGAAAATCCACTCCAAGTAACAACACCTCCATAACCACGGCACTCCCTGCCAGTGTCACACTTATACCAGCACGCTGTGGAGTTCGCTCCGTGGAGAACGTCCACTATATGTACAAAGATACTTGCTAATGCAGCTTCAAGGACAAGGTAGAGATCCCACCAGGCTCCTGCAAAGCACACCCAGCAGGTACTACAACAGGCCGTTGTGCCTACTTTTGTGTGACGCCGGCAGCAAGAGGAGGAGATTTCGCGGCACCCTGCAGCACTAACCCTCACCATTTCCGGGTTTCTTGTCTCTTCTCTAAGAACCGCCTACCAAGGTCCGCATCTTGATCCGCCTTGTCCGGGGTAAGACAGATTCTCCCCACATTCGCATTGAAATCTCTCATCGCTATATCGGTCGACGTGCCGCGAGACCATGACCTCAAGACTCGCTACCTCCTTCCTCTTCTCATGCTTGCACCTGGCATTGGCTGTCCTGCGCCTCGCGTATCACTCGAACCACTCCCTGGAATGCAAACGTAGACCGGCAACGCCATAACACATCCGTCTGCAAGGAATGGCCAGACCGAGATACGGGTATGCATTTCTCGCTCGTTTGCTGAAACGCATCAGAGAAAGCTTCCGACGTGCATTTGGCATCGGAGGCGTGCAGGGACATCACGACATCACTGCAAACAAGTCTCGATGTCGCACAGAACGCGACTAATGCGGCTCGACGAGCGCGCGACGTGAGATGACAGGCACTGACAGCTGTGGTCCACCCATCCGCCCATGACGGTGCTCAGAGGGCACGAACCAGATACCAAATGCAACGTCCTTCCTACGCGTGCGAAGGATGCGTTCTCCACCACCCTACTGTTGCTACCGTCTGTGGAGGTTAGCGCTTCTCACGATCTAGTGGCTTCTCCCACTGTAGCCTCGGGGGCGTTGGGCTAGGCTGGCGGACGCCGTTTTCGAGTGCTTGCAACGGCAACTGCCTCGATGATCCGTTCAATCTCTAGACTCAACGGCAGCGATCTTCATCACGTCGTCCGGGTCGCCTCGCCCTCATGCGTCAGTCAAGGTACGGAAATGGCTAGATGTGTGTAACTACTTACGATACCAACCAGGCGCCTTTCCCATAATGCGTGCTCTGTGAAGGAGTTGACGTGATGGGTGCGACTGAAGCTCTAGGTGCTAAGCATAATTGCAAAGTAGAAAGGAAGTGTCTCGGTTATGGCAGAGAAGATACGGCACCTTCTCTCGATTTGGCACAAACTTTCACTACACCTCTATATAGCTAATCAACTAGAGCGTCGCTGATCACCCTTTCTCGCTCCAGGGTCGAAACCCTCTCTGCATCGAAATTTCTGCCTCGAACCGGAAGTCATCCGCATACCCTAGATGCACTGGCCTCGGTGTGGAATTACGCACGCTTTACCACTGTTTACTGCGCTTGTATAACTCTCCGAACCTCTGAAAAAAAAAATGGCATGCTTAGCACTCTGAGGATCAGTGAACGCGCCAAGGCAACCGTCCTTAGACGGCAGTGTTCGGGCATGCGTAAATCAAGTAAATGAGATGGTATTCACACACTCTTGAACAGACTCTGGAGCGCCACAAGCAATGGCCAAAGACTTCACACAAAACATACCACGAGGTATCGCATAAGAAAGCTCGATATTGGCTGGGAAGACATTTACCTACGTCCTTTCTATTGGTTAGTCGAATGATGCTCGAAAATAATGGGTATATAAGGTATCGTTCGAGGTTGGGCTCTGGAGATAGGAGATCATAACAAACGGAAGCTATCTCGCCGCACAAGCTCCATCATAAAATACACCGGTGTATAACACGCGTACTAAAATTCGAGTCAATTGCAAAGCTTGTTATTTTTGACGTCACTAAAACATTCCTTCTGCTCCATCTTTATCAACGTTAGCTTTCTCTCCCTCTCGATTTCATTTTTCTTCTCGCTCCAGTACGGGCTGCTCGCCGATGGAAGCTCATGAATACACCTCGGAGTCGTCCCCATGCCGAAGCTGAAATACTCAAGGACCCAAATGAATAAACGGTGCCCAGAATCTAATCTTTCTCTCCAAGGACAGTCCAGGGCGGCAGTCCAGCTGACCCTTCCAACCTAGTACAGCATAGTGCAAAGCATTTAAAACGGAATGGTCTCCATCTTTCCCATCGGTCAATCTCTTGTAAAAGGCTGCTGCAATCTTGACTGCTGCCTCATCATCTGCCGGCCACAGCGTTCCGATGACATGTCGAAATCCCACCATTTGAAACGTGCTTGCCAGATGGATGCTCTCGTCAATCAAGCTCCGAGCACCAATTTCGGCAGTTGAGCAGGCCGAGAGGTATGCTACTTGGGAAAGTTGGTGGTTAAGAGGTTGTAGGTCCTTGACCGATAACGTATCGATCGTTGCTTTACCCAAATGAAAAGCACTCATGGACGGTTCCTGGTTGTTCGAAGAAGCGTGACATGCAAAGTGGACTGCGGAACATTCTGTGATGCTCTTTAAGACCGTTGCAACTCGAGGGTGCTCCAGGATCTGAACCGCCACTGATGGGCTTTCAAGTGCTCGTATGGCAGAGATCTCGTCCTTCAACTCCAGATGATCCATACCAGGTGTTTTGTGCATCGCAACTACCAGGATTTTACTCTTGTCTGCAGTAAGTGGCCTCCAACTTTTCATTCGCGAGTGCTGAAGCATCTTCAAAGATGTCGCGTAGGATGATACGGCATAACTCATCGTGTTGTCTGTCGATCCCGAGGAATGGTTTCCCGCTGCATGCAAAGGAAGCAACGCCATCGGCCCTCCGCCAACCCACCACACATGGGGTACCGCAGCATGACCCTTATCCTGCTTACAGAGCCCAAGTTCTCGGAGTACTGGGCATACAGCGACGTCCCATAACCAAGCCAATTGCGTCTCCAAAGTAGTTGTTCTAGTATCGTCGGAAGTCTTACTCTTAAGCTTGGAGGCTAATTTGATGTCTCTACGCGTTTCATTTCCCGGAACCTTGGTCGCAACATGCTTTTCTACTTCTTTCTCAACTAGTCGAGGTAGTTCGATCGCCCAGATACGCTCACAGTTGACGAGGAATGCGTGGCTGGCCAAGTCGGTCACGTTAAAACAAACAATGGGGCCATCTTGAGCTAGAGCCAGCAGATCGGCTTCACTCGGTGCCAGTTGGAAGCGTTCAAACTCAGGTTTTTCTCTAATCTCACTCAGAACTTGGCTGATCCGATGCATATCTCGGAGGCGCTTTTCCGATGTTACAGCAAGATTGGTAATCGAAGAGTCCACATCGGCGTCGACACCCGGAAGAGTGGATGAGAGCGTCCCCTTTGAGATAGATTCACGTAGACTTTTATACTCAGCCGCTAGGCCAGGGTGATGTTCTTTTAGAAGGGAGTAATCCGACTTAGAGTCGATCATCAAGCTGCCTATGACCGCGCGACATTTGTCCAGCGCCTGTAGACTCTCGGTTGCGGATCTGTTGGCACGGGGGTATACGGTTGCGGCTCTGGGACCAAGTCCAGCAAGCTGACTTAGAACATGCTCCAGATCATTCTGTGAATTGGATGGAGTCGCTACTTCCGGCAGTAGGTCAATGCATTCCGCTAGATACTTTGCACAGTCGTTCCACTCTTTGTTTTCTTGAGCAACATCTGCCGCTTTCAGACCAGCAAGCAAGCGTTCCAAGGGCGTTCCGTTGAAATTGTGGAGACATTGGATGAATAAATCCAGGGCTCTTTCTTGGTAGAACCTGTCCATGGTCCGGCGAAACAGCTTAATATATCCATGCCCGAGGTTAGTGGCTCTATCGACTTTCGGTGGACTTTTACCATCTGTCAGGCCCACGCTTTGGTTCCAATACAATATTGCTTCTCGAAGGTCTTCTACATCTTTAGTATGTTCATACAGAGTTTCGAGCCCTGTCCCGAGGTTGCTGTAGAACTGTCCCATTTCTGGCCTGCCGGGCGGTGCCAGACGCATGGCGAGTTTCCAGAACCGAATTGCTTCTTCAAGATCCGCTTTGTTGGAATGTTCGCGTGCATCGACGCATCTTGCACGCAACATACAGGCCAGACTGTCTAATATTTTCGGTTCATGGCTCGGGTCCTTGTGTGTGTTGTCCACTGCTGATCTGCCTAGTTCAATGGCTTTTTCTAGGTCTTTAGGCACTTTCAACCTCGCCCAACGCTTCAAATACGTGCCTCCCAAGTTGCCAACTCTTTCTGCGCGCTCCACTTCATCTTCACGGGTAATGGAAATGGCACTCTCCCAATATTGAATTCCTCTTTCAAGATCTTGAATATGGCCTTGCGCCTGGTACAGAACAAAAAGGGCAGCTCCCTGCTAGCCCTGTAAGTCGCCACGCGGATTAAATCAAAGTATATTTACTGCTTACCAAGCCTGCTTCGACTTAGTTGTGTGCATGTCATGAGTACCTGTTAGACACCCGCTAGTGGGTTCATATCTGCTATTATGGCAGCGCCTTCGTGTTCTGTTAAGTATGCCCAACACTCAGGTTGAAATTGATGTGAACTCTGATTTCTATAGACGTCTAGCTAGTTGTATATATACTAGGGGAAGGAAGGGGGGCCACCCCCTGGGTAGCGCGCTAGTAAGTTCAGCTGAACACTGCACAGCTGAGTTTTCAGCTGGGCTCTCCACAGCTAAGATCTCAGCTGTGTTCTCTACAGCTGATGTTCGGAGTAGCTTTCTAGCATATGAGTTGTTGATCCTAGGTTGTAGTGCTGCAACCTGAGTCCAACTGCTTTGGCACGTATATGGCTTAGGATGCCTACAAACCAATCTCCTTGGTAGGAGGCTTATGTTGCCAGGGTACAGATACGACAGACTTATTATGCTGTGTAAGACAATGCAAAAAAGAAACGTGTCTCAAGTAGAATACCGATAAGCTGAATGGATCAAAATGCACGCCTCGCTTTTACCGCCAATCAGAAGCCCTTAGCTACATGCCCCAAGCGATGAGGCTGATGTGACAACGCAATCGTAGGTAAGGCAAAAGGCAAATGAATATGAGAGGCCTAAGGCCGCTACGGCGTCCCCCCCCTAGGAGGGTTAGATTGGGAAGTAGGGTGGTGGATTTGGCAACAAATCGATAAAGTAGGTTGGATTCAGCAATTACTCCAACTTTGTATTGGACGAGGAGCTTCCTCTACCTACGAGGTAATATTTATAAAAATAATATAGTTTTACAAGATTTTACTAATTTATAAAAAGTACGGGGTTGAAATGCATGTCCACAAGTCTATAGCACGGGTCCTCTATTATTGCGGACTACAATGCTATACCAAATGAAACATAGCGCAGGAGCACGTGAGTATCTACCCAGAAGGCCAAGTCCACGCACTTACTTAGAGTACAGCGTGACAAACTCTTCTAGAAGCTGCGAAGTGGGCATGTTCAATCGAAATCAATGTCCATAACAGTATTTATTAGCGAAAACGAGCTATAGGAAGCAAAATACCTAGGATTCCATGCAAGCATCGCAATATAGGATCTATCTCAAAGAACTATAGTAGCCAAAGGTCTTTCTATTTCACATGTGAGTTCTCAGCCTTACTACGCCTGCTTCCACCCCGCTTCATTTTTTCGACCCCGAAGACAGCTAGCAGTTGTTACTCTACAATAACTGGGCTATTACTTGATCCCCAGCCTTACGCTCCCATGCACTCGATTACTCTCCTGCACGTCTGCCTCACTCTCCTGCACGCCTGCCTCACTCTCTTGCACGCCCGCCTCACTCTCCTGCACGCCTGCCTTACTCTTCTACTTACCCCTCATTCCTAAATCAGTGCCTTACTTGCCTCCCATCGCTTATAACCTGACCCCTTCTCTACAGCTAGCTTTTTAACTTTCAGCTCAGATCAAACCACACAAGATTCAAACCTCGAGTCTCGGACAGCAGTACATTAAGTACCTTAGTCTCCCCTACCTAGCATAAGTAGTACGCCTTAAGCTTCATTTCAGCCACACAGCAGCTTACTGACTAATATCCTAATATAGAAATATGGCTGAGATATCCAACATCGGACCAGTCAACAGCTGCAACTATTGCGAAGGATGCGACCGTGTAATCTCTTGCGGAGATGAGGACTGCAGCGAGACTGGCGAAATTTCTGGGTGCTCCCAACACTGAGCGGATGAAGTGTACTACTCCCTTCACGGCCTTACGAACTTGAGAATGATGACTAGGAAATGGATTGGTCCAAATTGAAATTATGTGTAGGAAGGCGATGTAGTGTTTTCCTTTCTCCTATTCTAGATAGTTATCCAATCTACGAATTACAAACCTGCTCAAAATCTTTCGGGTATCAAGAGTCTGCACGATTAGACAACGCTCAATCTCAGCACACTTTGAATGTTGCTCTACAGGTAGTATGGTCGAGCCATTGTAATACTCCAATTCAAGCTGCTAATGACTTGAACGCGAGACTCACCACGGCAGCCCAAGCCGGTCCAGGCGTTGTCCTGGACAAGGTTGCCGTCATTTATTTTAATAACAGCGTTCGGGTTCTTTACCCTATGAGCGATCCAGAGGGGGCTATAGACACATTTAGCGCCATCAACTTCTCTAGAGGGACAGATATTGGAGCTGGCATCGCGCTCGACATCGACGAGATTATAAAGGATTAGCCAGGGCTTTTCGCGAAGCGTTCTGGAATCGTCGTTTTAACCAACAGTGAAGATTTCAGCCCCGCTAATCAGATCTTTCGGCTCGCTCGTGCTAAGCTTCAGGGTATTCGGGTCAACTATGGCTTTCTAAGCCCGCCCGCCCGCCTTCCCCGTGACTTAGAAGCGTTCGCTAGTTGAAGCGAGATCCCGATCCAGACATTGTCGCGGCCATCCTAAGCACTAGCGGTACTTTTAGAGTCATTGAGTCTGCCAAAGCTCACCCACCTAGTCATTGCACGCGGAGCTACTGAGATCGACGCTCCTGTTAGTAGCACCATCCTCACGTCTAGCGTCACGGTTACCGAGAACGTAACGCCCGAGAAGCGCTCACACGACTTCTCGTACTCGGCGTCCGCTAGAGAGCATATGAACTTTACCCTAACTATTGCTAGTGGCAGCGAGAGCCTATATGCTATACTTTAATATTACGTCCGCGTTATATCGAACTGAGTGACTTCCAAGAGGAAGGTTAGTATGGTTTAGCTTAGGCTCACTTACATGTTACTGCGCCAAGGGCTAACCTTGAACACGAGGATCGAAGTAGGATAAGGCAGACGTTGAAACGGGGTCAGCCTTCAGTAGTATTAAAGGTGTGTAACAAATTGATTTGTGAAATAACTCAGCTATTAGATTCAACCAAGCGTTGAAAGTCAAAACATGAGTTGAGTACGAAGGAGAGAAAGTAATAGGAAATTCTCCGGCTTATATCCTTTCTATCCTCAATACAATTTAGTTCTCTCTGCGTGCTCGGCCATTTTAGTAGAATGGCACACTCTACATTAACAAGCAGCCGGTGGGAGCAAGGGTGAGCAAGGGTGAGCAGACCTGAGCCGGGCCTGAGCCGACCTCAGCCACAGCGGCGCAGGATCACGTGAGCGGAGGGGGTTTGGCAGCGTGCAGATTGGGGTGTTGAAACGGGAGATTTGGCACTTGTGCTATTCCACGTAACTACAGGGGTCAGATATCTCCGTGGTCTGGAGTTAGCCATGCTATTGCAAAGAATGGCGGAAAAGGAACCGTTTGTAACTGTTGTGCTCGACTGCTGCTACTCTGGAAGTATCATCCGCCACGGCGTTACCGAACGTCGAGGCGTTCGGGGTGTGAAGTATGATGCTGCGATTGACGCGGCTTACCCCTTGGATCTTTCCCTTGCACGTCGGCCAACACGAGATATCCGCCAGCTCCAAGGATGGCTCATTAATCCGAGAAATGACACTATTCTTGCCGCCTGTGGGCCTCATGAAACGTCCCAAGAGCTACTAGTAGCGCACGAATACCGAAGCGGTCCTTTATCTCCCTTCTTGCTAAGGGCATTGAAGGTTTCCGATGGCTTTTTAACAATTCAATCGTTATACGACCATCTCCGACTCAAATTTCACGTTCGCCGGCCCGAGCAGAACCCCATGTGTTACGGCCGGAAGGACGTCTCGTTCTTCGGAGTTTTGATACCAGGTGCAGAAAGAAAGCATATTTCGGCATTGAGAGTGGGAGACAAGATCATCCTGGATGCAGGATCTGCTCATGGAATATGCACAGGAGACGAGTTCGCGATGTTCCCTCTCGGTCCAGAGAGTTCGTCTGAATCGCTGCATGGAAATATTCCTTCCTTATACACCCGAATCGAACAAGTCCGGCATTTGGTATCCGTTTTGGTGGAGACACATCCTCTTGATTCAGCGCTAAAAAGAGAGTCACGGTGACAGGCCACACCTCTCAGCCTACCCTCATGGTCGACTCCCATACGACTGCCGGAAGAAATACACGATCAACATAACCAATGGAGATTGGCTATGAACAACAAGCATTTTATACATCTGTCAGCCGACAACGCTTCGGGTGTCGATTACGAGTTTGAGGTCGCAGTGAACGAGAATGACGAATACCATATTCTTGATAGGCGCGGAGTTGCTATCCGCAGCTTACCTGCAGTTACCAGCACTGACGCATCTCACATCAGTAAGATGGCGACCATACTAGAACATCTCGCAACCTTTAAATATGTCGAAGGAATCGAAAACCAGACTCCAGATCGGACGTTCGAGCAATCTTTCACATGTTATCTCGAGGACAGCTCGAACAATCGAGTCGACTCTGGGCAGACATTATCTGTCAGGCACGATGAACCATTCACCCTGACCGTCATCAATCATGGGAGCGACCCGACTTACTTGACACTCTTTGACATGGGTCCTTTATGGCAAATCGAAGATATACTGACCGGTGGTGGGGAGATATTCAAGGTGGTAGCTCCTGGGCAAGCTACAGCCCATGGCACTGACCACACGGGCCGGCTGGATATCCCGCTGGGTTTCGAGATTCCTGAGGAGCTGACTATGATGGGGTACCATGATTGCGAGGACGCTGTCAAAGTCTTTGTCACTAGTAGAGCAAGCTCCTTTGTTGCGTTGGAGTCATCGAAACTGCCTAATTCCGCGACGGATCTCACTGGACGCTCGCGCGGGAGGAACGATTACCATGAACTGTCGGATTTCCTCTCTAGTTTGGCCACGCCAAATCGCCGACCCAATGCGGAACTGCCCGACGAGAAATGGATAACGACAACATTTTTCGTGCGGACTGTAAAGGAATAGAATAGTTCGGCGGGTATCAAAATGGACACAAATCGCTCGAGTCTGGTCAACCCCTCAGGACCCCTGAGTACTCGGTCAAATCCTTCTCTTCAATCACTGCTCCGTCTCTTGCTGTTTGTCCGTCTGGATAGCTGAGGGTATATCGCGCGTTTCCCGCAATTGTCTCGATCTTGTAAAGCCCTTCAGGCCGAGTAACGTCTGGATTAAGAAGGTATATCTGCTGCCCTGGTCGATATTTGCAAGACTTGTCTCTGTTAGCTAGTAATGCAAGACTGCAAAAATATGAACGCACATTGTCGTAGGGGGTAACTAATGCGCAGGCGGTAACTAATGGTCTCCCCAGGTCACCGCAAAACGTGAAGTGCGGACTCTCGGAGCTATTCCGAAATAGGTTAGTTCCCGAGTTTCAACGCTATTCTAGTTGGACGCCTCACCGATTTGAAGATCCCATGTTGCTTTCTCGAGATCGCTCGGGCAATGTAATTCCCAAATGTCAGAATGTGGCCGTAAACACGGCCAGGCTAGGCCTTTTATCCACGTTTCGCCAGCAGACACAGAAGGCAAACTGACGTGGCAGAAGGCAAAGGGCGAAAGGGCGCAAGGCTGATGTTGATACCATGCTTCGCCGCCGGCTTGGAAACCAATCAGTTTTGGTAGCTCCGCGGTCCTGAGCTGCAGGCTTCTTGAGTCTTTTCGAATCAAATCATTGATGAAGCTGAGCCACCCTTCGAGAGCTTTGTCCCCGGCCTCTAGTTAGTCCGTGAGCGAGCAATACAACCTCGTCGGGACACACGATATCAATTATTGTTCAATATGGCATATTGGAGAAGTGTTTCGCATAACCCCCATCTATATACTTACCTGAGTCCTTCCCTACTTGACACCCGCCCCCCAGAATCTTCCTCGCTCTCTTCCAGCCAACGGAGAAGGTCTGGCCCCCATAACATCTTTAAAATATCCATTTAATGATAACTGGTCGGGAATTGAATGGCTTAGCACTGGCCTTGAATAGTTGGAGGTTGAGGAGAGACTGGAACGAGTAGATTCGGTAGTGCTTAGCGAAAGTAAATATACGGCGCATCTTTCTTCTGTGTGAAGCTGCAGTGGTCGTGTGGTGGGAAAGATATATGTTGTTAGACGAGAAGACGGTTTACCAGCGGCTTAGATGTTTAGAGGCAAGTTACCGATACATCTAGCATAGAATATGTTAGTTACAAGGCTTTACAGTCGCGGTATAATAACTATATTCACTAAGACATAGGTTTAGGCTAGATTGTTTAGTGTATCTGATTATTATAATCTAACGAAATCCTAGCCTGGGCGGCGAGCTCTCCATTCCCATCCTCCACTAAATGGTACGGACTCCCCTAAGCCATCACCTGATCCCCCAGCGCCTTGCCATAGAAATCCGTACACCTTCCTGCAACTGTTTATGGAGTTCCGACGTCCTAACTAGAAACCGGGGGCAGTGGATACTACCTCCAATCTGCGTACACCGTGTTGACGCCGTCTAAGGTAGCCTAGCAAGTCCAACGAGGCGTATAAACTGTCTCATTCAGCTTATTTTGAGTATGTAGGGGCACCTCATGCAGTCGTAAGCGAGTAGCAGGGGGACAGCAGATGCACTTCCTATCTGCGTACACTGTGTTGACGCTGTCTGAGGTAGCCTAGCTAGTCTAACGGGGCGTACAAACCGTTTCATTCAGCTTATTTTAAGTATATAGGGGCACCTCATGCAGTCGTAAGTAAGTAGCAGATTACATAATAAGATGCTGTAAATTAAGCAGTGCAGGGAAGCAGCGGATAACACTTCTAATCTGCGTACACTGTGTTAACGCTGGCTAAGGTAGCCTAGCAAGTCTAACGGGGCGTACAAACTGTCTTGTTCATCATTTTCTAGAGGTGTTCAGGCAAGTCATGCGGCGATAAGCCACTGCGAAAGAGAGTATATAATGTTGAACTAATAGAAACCGGGGGCATCTGCGTACACCGTGTTGACGCTGTCTGAGGTAGCCTAGCAAGTCTGACAAGGTGTATAAACGGTCTTATTCATCTTTTTTAGGAGGCGCTGAGGCTAGTCGTGCAGCGGTAAACCACTGCGAAAGAGAGCACGTAACGTTGAACTAAAATCTGCGTACGCCCTGCTGACACTGTCTGGGGTAGCCTCGCGAGTTTACTGGTTGTCCAAAATGCCAAGTTTTTCTCTCGTTCGGACTGCTGAAAACACCATGAGGCTCCTCATGCAGTTGTAAACGAGTGTATGGATTTCTATCACGATATCTGCGTACACCCTGCTGACGCTGTCTGGGGTAGCCTCGCGAGTTTACTAGTTGTCCAAAATGTCAAGTTTTGCTCTCGTTCGGAATGCTGAAAATGCTATGAACCCACTCATGCAGCGGTAAAAGAGTTACAGTCACTCATTTCACATAGTCTGATTTGAGAGGCACGGAATTCGTCTTCGTATTCAAAGACCAATCTCACCATCGAGATTCCAACCCCAAGCAACCAGCTCTCAAATCTCGCCATCCTATGCCCATTATTCCCCCCCCTGTTGCCAACCCCACAGCCGCCACACCACGCCATGCAGGAAAGCAAAAAGGAAAGAGGCACGCTGCAAACTAGAAAGCAAACTTACTTGCTGCTGCGCTCGCTCTCGCCACCCCGGGAGGTCTTCCTCTCGCTGCCCAGACTGCCAGGACTGCCGCTCTTCCGCTCCGGATCAAAGAAGCTCATAGCCTTCGTGAAAGACTGCCTCAAAGTTAGCCATGGCCAGCTTCGACAAGTTATCCAGGTTGGAAGCGCCGTACCTTCTTGATGTTGAATTGCGAGCTCTTCTTCTGGAGAGATGGCCTCGGGCTCCTCAGACCAGCAGTAGCCTCCGGACTCCTCATGCCCCCGATACCCATGCTCGCCATCGCCTCTTTTGCCCTCCGCTCCGCGGCCCTCAGCTCCCTCAGCTCCTGCAGTACCGCATCAAGCGCCTCATCATCATCAATCCGCGCCTGCGGCAGCCCCCCGGGTTAGCACTATTCATTAACCAAAAAAAGTCCCCTCGGAACCTTTCTTTCAGCTCACCTTGGGCGCATACTCCCGGCGCGTATATTCCCTCTCCAGGTCCAGAATCGCCTGCGCCGTCTGCGTCAACTTCTTCGTGATCTCGACCGGGATGATCGGGCTGCCCGTGCGCCGCCCTTCGGCCAGCAACGCCGCGTGGTCCGCCTGGAACGCGGCGACGGCGTGCTGCACCGCGTACTTGAAGCGCACTTCGGCGTCGAGCGCGGCCTGGGAGCGCGTCGAGGACGTGGCGCTGCCGCTGGTGGTGGTGGTGGTGCGGCCCGGGTTGCTAGAGTTGGAGAACTGGTGCGCACGGCCGCCGTGGCGGGGTGGGAGGGGTGGAGGGATGCTACTGTCGCCGTAGCTGGGGAGCCGGAGGGCGGAGAGGTGCGAGGGGAGGGAGTTTGAGTTGAAGGACCATTCCGAGGACGGGTTCGTGGACCGGTGCGAGTTGTTGGGGTCCGTCATGGCGGAGGCGCGGTCGGGGAGGCTGGCGAGGTAGCCGTTGACCGTGGGGTCGGAGCGGGAGTGTGACTCTTGGAGCGGTGCGAAGGTCCTAGGAGGGAAGGGGAAGCCTTGGGAGTGGACGGCTAAAGGAGAAGCCGGTTCGGCATAGGAGTAGGCGTTCGAAGGATACTCCTGCTCGTAGACGGTAGGTAAGGGTGGTGTCGCCGGCTGGTGAATGGTGGTGTGAATATCGTGCGAGAAGATCTGTCCATGTCCCAGTCCAGCGTCAGATGGCTCCTCTTGGTCCTTTTGCTGCTCTTGCTGCTCTTGCTGCTCTTGCTGCTCTTGCTGCTCTTGCTGCTCTTGCTGCTCTTGCTGCTCTTGCTCATCGTGCTCGTCGTCGCCCTCGTTATCGTTATCTCTTCCTTCCAACAACCTCAAAGCCAGATCGAAAGCCCGCTCCCTCTCCTCTGGACTGGCCAGCTCCTCGTCTAACATGTTTGGCGACGCTGGCAATCTTGCGCTAAGCTCTTCCAGGCTCATCTTCGAGAGGAGCACGTCGGGACTGACAGTTCTGTTGCGGTGTGCTGTTGTAGAGACTGACAAGTGTTGAAGTTGTAGAAGAGGAGGAGGCGCAGCGAGGCCTCTATCAGCGCGTCGTGCGGTGAAGCCAACTGCACGCGTCGCGGGTGCTCTTCTTATTGAGTTGTGTGCGGGCAAAACTTCGGGGGCCGGTGGAAAACGAGGCTGCGGGTATTCGCACGTGGCTAACGGGTTGTCCCTATGACCGTTAGTGACGTCGAGGTTGTGCGGGAGACGGCGGTGCAGACGTACCATTCCGCGAATATCGGAACGTCGAAGTAGCCGAGCTCTTCAGAGATTCTATCCAACTGAAGCGTCCTAGGGCCAGCTGTTCTAGACACAATGAGGCCCGAGATACGAGGCGGATATTCACTACTGGCGTTTAAGACTCGCTGAAGAGGCTGGACGTGCAGACCTTCTAGGATGAGGGGCTGTTCAGCTCTCAGATCAAGACCGGGTCTGTGGCTCTCATGGCCTTCACCTAATGATGTCGGAAATCCCTCGCTAGCCGAAGCGAGAGATGAGCTGCTTCGAGTCGATGCCGACAAGTGCGAGAACTGGGCAATCGCTTCGTTTAGCTCATGTTGGAGCGCGTTAAGGATGGATATGTTTGAGGAGTCATCTGGATCGATAATGCACCCAGTCCGTTCGTCGACATGGTCCTGGATTCTGCAAAGAAAGTTGGGTCTCGAGAAGCGGTCTAAGTTGGCGACAATGCATAGTTAGTCTCGCTGTTGGCAATATGAGCGTTGTCTGGAAGACTAACCTTTCATACCGACTCCCGATGTACAAGAATATACTTGAGAAAAAGGCATCTCCATCTGAGTCTACGGTTAATGCTAATATAGCTGGATTATATGAGCTAGACATTACCAGACTTTTGTAGACATATACGCTGTATGAATGGGCGCTTCGATTAAGTGAATGGAATCTATATCTGCTGGCTGTACACGCATATACAGTCGTGTACCATCATGCATCGAAGTCTTTCTAGGCTCGCTGCATGTCCACGCTGGCACATGAAGGTGTTGACGAAGCTCAAAGTGTAAATTGGATCTCGTGGTCGGGATTCGAAGCTTTACCAAAGAAAGAGCGCGTGAGCTGATGGAGCTGGCAGTAGCCACGTTGGTGAATGTGAATCATAGCAACAGGGACCGATATTACCCGTAAGACCTTAACATGACCGGGCGTATGACATCTTGAGGGGGTGGTTGACACGTTCATTTTTACGCCGCTGATTTATCGTTGGGTTGGTGAATGGATGAGTAGTGAGAGGATCATGGTTGTGTCCAATCTTTGCTGGAAGTCACATCATGACGAGACCGGAAATGAATGAGTAATATCGAGGAAATGTCGAGTAGAGTATGTGAGTGGAAGGGATAGAGGCAGAGTGATGATGGACACGACAAAAATGAGACTCTGGATTGGGGTGTCTGGAGCACTACAAGGACTATGAATCTGGAGAACAGCTTACTGAACTGTTAAGACTACCTGTATATGTACGTGAGATTTCGCTATAAGTTACTTATCAGTGGAAGGAGATGGTCGAAGACTAATAGGTGCTCAGCGTAAACGCAAGACTTGATCGATATTGTATTTTCAAAGAAGCACCCACCGCATCGATGCAACGACAACGCTCACATCAGCCAAACTAGACACTCTAGACTGCTGAGTATGGCACTAGCAATCGCATCCCACTCCGAAGCAAACACTTAGGCATGCTTAAAACTCCCGATAGCAGCATGTACGCCGCAAACGCCAGAAAACCCATCCACCGATCCGTTCCTGACCAGCCACCCAGACCCAAGGTAAATGCTGTCAACTATGTACAAGGACGAAGGGAATGGAAAGTGATGCTCAACGTGAGGGATATACCGCAGGTAGAACAATATGAAATCGGTGTGAGCTTTTGCCCACACAGGCCAAATCTTGGAAGTTTACCTTTTGAGATAAGAATGGTCTGTGAGCTCATCTTGCGCGATCCAATTCAAGTATCTCCTGGCCTTCGCGTTTCAGCTCAAACGTTGCTTGTTTAAGGCTTTCGTAAGTCAGCATCGTCGTCATGGCCGCCGGCACCGCGCGAACCATGTTGGTCCCCATGCCGTTATAGAAAGCTCTCCAGCCTTCCTCAGCCAAGATCGTCCTACATGTTCGTATGACGCCACGGTACCGTAGAACGTTGACCATTCCATCGGATGATGCCGTTCCTGGTGGTCGAGTTTGATATCCATGCGCATGACCGCCACGGAAGGCAATCTCCTCGGGAGACGCTGTCGGCAAAGAGCGCTGCTGCGTTTGCAGCCTCGTTCGGAGGACTTCGTGCGGATATGTCGCAGAGGTGGCGCATATCTTACTAAGGAATGTGGCCCCTAGGATTCCAAGCCAATGGATGTCTTCTTCCGTTGATGCCTGTCCCATTTCCAGACCAGTGAACTTCATTTTGAAGAATTCGTATAGTGGGAACTGAATTGCAACATGCGTTAGGCCGAGCAACGCGGGAGAGAGGCCTGAATAGAACGCTGCCAGGCCTTCACTCTTGTACATCTTCCGAAAGGCATCCATAGTCCCTTTGTACTGCCATGGTGGTCGGTGTTCTTCCGATGCTCGCGAACTGACTTGTGACATCAGGCGCGTCTTGATCACCCATATAGGGTTTGTCGCCAGCGTCGAACAGGCCCCGGCAGAAATGGAAGCGGATATCCGGGCTACCCATTTGTTCTCTGAAAGCTTTGTCAGCATTGTTTATGAGAGGGGTATTCACCAACACTGACCAATACGTTCGTATAGGTAGTCCTTTGAGGCATCGTAGACACTCATATAGACAGCCCAGGTGGGCAGGTATCCTAGCAACATTGGCCCAAGGCCTCTGTACATACCGCGCACTCCATCCTCCTTCCAGATGACCCGCGCGGTCCCGAGCAGTCCGTTGTAGATCGCTCGCGTATGTCTGACATTGTTTCGAGGCCGAAAAGACCCTTGAGCCTGAAGACGAGTTTTGATTACGTCTAGCGGACAAGTGACTATACCGGAAGCCACACCGGCAGAGGCGCCGCAGAAGCCATTGATGGAGGAACTGGAGAGTCCGGCGCAGAAGACTGCGAGACTAGAAGAGAATGAGCGGGTGCCTGGTACATGATTGGAAGTGCCGGTCGAAGACACCATGGCCGTCGTCGGCGCATACCGTTGTTGTGAGTGTCTCGGGGACGGCGGCGAAGGGCTATCTTGTGCGGACATGGTGAGAGCTAGCCACACACCATGGGTAAGCCTAAGTCAAAGAGCCCATGGAGGGCATATTGGAGCTATGGAAGGGGGTGTCGCACTTCCCGTCGTCCCCTTCAAAGTGCCTCAGTGTGCGGAGCCCCGCAGCACTTGAGTGACACTGGGCACAATGGCTAACGATTGAACAGCTCCATTGACGGGTGGACGCAGAGGTGAAGCCGTGGTGGGGGGGAGAACAAAGCGGTGCTTTTGGGAGGCTTGTCAGCAGGCAAAAGAAAGCTCGCGGTGCTGAGGGAATGGTGGACACGCTCGGGCGGAGAGGTGAACTCTGGGCACGCGGACTCGAGCAAAGACAGCAGAAGTTGCGCAAAGGCGGATGGAGTGGAGTGGGGGCACAGGGCCTGTCACCAAGCTCGGAGGAAGTGCCAAGCCGCCGCCAATTCGTTTCGCTCACTGGACGACTTCACCTGCCAGCATCTGCAACCACCACCTCGACCTCCGCCCGAGCCTCTACTGTCGCCCCGACAGCCATTGCAATCATGTCGCAGCCCTCCCTCGCGCCCTTTGTCCTCAAGCGGCAGTGGCTGACCCGGTGGATGAAGCCATTGGCAAACTGGTATGCCAATGCGTCGGGCTACAGGAAGCTCGGCTTGAGGTACGACAACCCTCCTCGAACCCAATTGCTCTGGCAGAGCATCTTGGAGCCCTCGAAAACTATTGTCTTTGATATGGAGGGTGTATCTGACTTGGTGTGATCCACAGAGCCGATGACCTGATCCCGGAGGAGAACGACACCGTGCTTCTCGCCCTCAAGCGACTCCCTCCCAAGGAAGCCTACGACCGTGTTTTCCGCATGCGACGTGCATTCCAGGTTTGAGCGCCGGACAAATGCTGATTGGACAATTGCTAAGATGTGCCAGCTTTCGCTATCCCACCAGCTTCTCCCTAAGGAAGAGCACACAAAGCCGGAGGAGGTAAAGCAAACTCGATACTAGCGACCATACTGCAAGACTGACAGGCTTAGGATGTTCCATATCTGACCCCTCTCATCCAAGAGATCGAGGCCGAGCTTAAGGAGCGCGAAGATTTGGAGGCGATGGTGATAGAAAAGCCAACGGTGCAAAAGAAGCACGGCCCCAAGCTGTACCATTAGAGAATTGGAGGGCAAGAGCGAAAATCTCCTTGATACTCGGAGTGTGTTTATGTGCATTAGAGTGTATATCAGCTGCATCAAAACGTCGAGTTCGCCCATCTTTCTTTGCTTGCGCAGGACCCCTCAATATATCAAACTGTAAATCTTGTGTCGTCACTTACCCACGATCTCTTGTGCGGAACCCTAAGAGATGGCATTTTAGTCGTCGGATTGTGCTCTGAAGTGATTCCAGGCGTGGCGCAGTTTCAAGGCAATCAGATCTCATCGAGTCTTTAGTTGACCTCAATTCTGTTTTCAGGTGCTAACCTTGACAAAACTCGATACTCAATTTCGGCATAGCCTGAAATGTGACTGCTGCATGCTGTTTTCCATCAAATCGTTGCTATTGCTCGAAGATATTAGATGAGATCGATGACGCTTGGTGGCCTTGCGAGCCAACATGAAGCACTTTGAACATGTGAATACCACAGTCGAATGATTGGAACACAGGTCCCGAAACAACCTAGTTAGTTCTATCTATATTCTATGCTTTCATATTTGCTTAAAGTGATTATGAAAAGAACGCCACTAATTGGTCACATAAGCAGCCAGCATTCTTGGCCTCGGAACTCCGGTCATGTGGCAGCGCGAATGTCAGCGCGAACCTCGACCTCATCCACTCGACGCGTGAGCTTCTCACCGTTGCATGTCGCTGCGAACGATACCTTTCAAACCTAGTTTCCTATCAAGGGTCTCGAAAGTATACAAAACCTCTTACCCTCAGTCCAGGCTAAATTTCTAAGAAAACCCGCAGAAATCAACTCCATCCAATCTACGTCATCCAGCCTTTTCCACCATGGCTCTCCGCCGCTCCACGCGCCGTTCTACAGGCACTGCTGGTGATGTGCCTGAACCTATTGTTCAAAATGGCACTCCAAAGTCTACAACTGCAAAGAAACCCAAGACTGCATCTACCAAAGCCCCCGCAGCCTCCCAGAAGCGCAAACCCGCAGCCTCCAAGAAGCGCAAACCCGCAGCATCCCCATCCTCACCGATCGAACCCTCGAAAAGCCTCCCAGAACCTGAACCCGAGTTCACAGCCCCAACAACCCCCACAGCCAAGCGCCGCAGAACACAACCGGCAAAAGATGCACCCAAACCGCCTCCCATCACGCCCACGCCCTCAGGAATCGGTCTCATGGTCTCCTCCTCCCCGATCCCGTTCCCAAGCAACATCAGCACAAAGCAGAAGCCACGCCCAGCAGAACCACACGCCACCAACGCGGTGTTATCCACTCCCGGTGGATCGCGGGTCTCGGCCTATACGTCTTCACCCGTGAAGCAGCCTTCTCTCGACGCAGTGCCAGAAGAAGTGCCAGAAGCAGAACCTACCCCCAAGAAAGCCAAGCGCGCAAAGAAAGCTGCGATAGTAACCGGCCCAGCCCTCGGCGTGCCCCCACCCACCTCGACAACCGAGACTCTTCTGCAAGACGCGTGCGCCCATTTACTAAAAGTCGACCCCAAGCTCGCCCCCGTGATCGAGCAACACCACTGCAAGATGTTCTCGCCCGAAGGCCTTCAGGAAGTGGTGGAGCCGTTCCAAGCACTCGCGAGTGGAATTATAGGACAGCAGGTACTTACTCACCCCTCTGCTTTTCCCAAAAACTTCATATGATCATGTTCAAAGCCCACTTCTACTCTTTATCATAAATAAAATAAGTAATCTAACCACTCGATCCCCAGGTCTCCGGCGCCGCCGCCGCCTCTATAAAGCGCAAATTCATCACCCTCTTTCCCCCATCCTCCTCCGCCGACTCCACCTCCTCCTTCCCCGCCCCCGCTCTCGTCGCCAGCACCCCCCTCGAAACGCTCCGCACAGCCGGCCTCTCGCAACGCAAAGCCGAGTACATCCAAGGCCTGGCCCAAAAATTCGCGTCCGGCGAACTCAGCGCGCAGAAACTGGCCTCCGCGACCGACGACGAAGTGATGGAGATGCTGATCGCCGTGCGTGGATTGGGCCGGTGGAGCGTGGAGATGTTTGCGTGTTTCAGCCTGAAGCGGTGCGATGTGTTTAGTACTGGTGATTTGGGGGTGCAGTGAGTTGAATCCATCCAGTTTTGATATCTGAGTGTGGACACGAGTGCTGATTTGTGTGTTTTGCAGGCGCGGCATGGCTGCTTATGTTGGTAAGGATGTGGCGAAGCTGAAAGGGAAGGGTGGCAAGTGGAAGTATATGAGTGAGCAGGATATGCTAGATATGGCGGCCAAGTTCTCGCCGTACAGGTACGTGTTTCCCGCATTTATACTCGCAATGTGTGGGAGATGAAGGAGCTAACGGGCAGTAGGAGTCTGTTTATGTGGTATATGTGGAGAATTGAGGATGTTGATGTTAGTGTTATGCAGGGTACTTGAGAGAATGATGGGTCACTGAGTTAGGGACGGTAGCGGAGACAAAAGATAGTTATGTGACAAATGTTGTATGTAGGTACAAGTCTTCTCAGGAAATATCGACCATTTCTTATGCGATACCTGGTGGTATCATTTGTGTGAAGTCTTCTGCCATTGCTTAGGGCTCCAAAGTACGTTCATGAGTGTGCGAATGCCATCTCGTATGAGTGTTTAACTCATATCCTAACTCCGCCGTTTAAGGGGACTTGCCTTGACGTGCCCACTGTTCCTTAGAGTACCGACCCTACTTGTGCTGGTTTCTCCTTCGCCTCCAACCATCGAGGTCCACTGCTACGCAGTTCAATCCCCGACCACTTACCCTTAAACAACGGGACTTAAGATGTTGATGGGAGCTAGACCTTCTTCACTAGCAAGAGTTGGAGTCGCGCATAGATACCACTCACTACACGTTCGTTAAAATCTCACACTTCCAGGGTCCAACTTCAAACCTCTCCTTACATACCTACCATTTCTTCGCACCATCCAACTAACCAAACAGACACAGACGTAAACCACTCAGCGATCCCCAAAAAGGATCTTGACCGACTACAGCGCAAGAGCGCAGTGGTAGCTGGGTGGGCTCGTTTCTGCTATTTCGTTTTGCCAAGTTCGATTGGAGTTTTCGCATCCCACTGGGAATATGGACGGGGTTTTCTATTCCTATGAGCATAGAAGACGTTTGCGCGCGCATATAGCACCTCGAATTCCTCGCGAAGAAGCTCAGACGTAGCAGAAAGCTCTATACAAGCAAGCTCTATACACATTAGAATCACATTCAAGCTATTTAGACACATTCTACAGCGCTTCTCTCAGCAGACTCTAAATCGCGAGCTGGGCATTGTACCTTTATCTACGCGCGCGTCGAGTATATCGACGACCTCCACGAGGGGGTAACCAGACTGTGCTTGTCGATGCGACGGACGAAACGCTTCAGAATCAGACCCACCCCCTCACCACATGAACCGTTGGATCTTCCCCGGCTCCTGCGGCCACACGAACCCCCGATACAGGAAAATGTACGCCGTAACAGTGTTCACAGCCAAATGCCATCCCGTCTCCAGACACAACCGCAGGTCATACCCTTGCCAGAGCGCAGGAACTTTCCCCGTCACACCACTGAGCGGCTTCGACGCGATTTTCTCGGCGCGTGGTGTGCTTGAAGAACCACCCCCCGCGGCCGTGCTGGGGACATGAAGCCGCCACATAATCCACGGAATGATAAAGTAGCGCGGCTCGACCAAAGGAGCCGTAACGACCGAAAGCGTCGTTGTCGCAAGCCACACGAGGACAAAACTGGCCGGGCAGGAATGATCTCCCGCGGGTGCGGCGGCGCGTTTCAGCTCCTTGCCGCGACTCGTTTTCGACGACGACTCCGCTTGATTTGGAATTTGAGAGTCGCGGGAGATACCGAGGGTGTGCATCACAAGCCACCCGCAGCAGTAGTATGCAGGTACGGCGAGGTATTTGAGTTGTGGGTGGTGTCGGAGGATCCGGAACACGTAGAAGACGTAATGGCGGTTGTCTGCTAGGGTGAAGGGGTGGATGATGGTGTTGTAGTGAACGGTGAGGGTTGCTAGTATCATGCAGATGATAGCGATGATGATTCGTGGTGGTTTGGAGGTGGTTGGGATAGATAGGTGGGCCTCTAGGAATGGTTGGATCTTCCCTTGGAAGAGTCGGTTGCTCAGTGGTGTTAGGAAGAGCGGAATGGTAAGCGGGAATGAGAAGAAGAAGATGTATGGCCAGATGTAAAGCATCTGTGAGAAATGCAAAGTTGCAACATGGTTTGATTTGTCACCTGGTGAGTTAGCAGTGTGTATGAGAGCTTGTTGATATTGAGCATACCGAGAACAACACCACCATTCCAGGCTACGAAGCCACCAAAAGCTACTAATAGGGTGAAATAGGGTACGGCAACCTTCATAAGAGACGGTAATCTTCCTACAGCTGCTAGGCCTGCAGAAACAATGACGATGAAATAATCTGCGGGAGTTTAGACAGATTGCCTTACGGAAGAACGACATGACTAATTACCTTCTACTCCCGCCTGATTCACAGGGCAGTCATATAGTGTGGAATGTGTCCAGCTATGTTTCAGAGCCTCCAGTGGAGTCTGTTTCGTAGTGGCGTTATTCTCAGCAGATGCCCTTCCGTTTTTGAGCACTTCCAACACGGCCAAGCCAGCAGGAAACACAGCCACCCAGAAGATGTTCGTCTGTCGAAATAGGAGTGCTACGATACCTAGTAGTATCGTTTGGACTGTAGATCCCAGCTCAGATGCTCTGGGTCGCCGTGATTGTAGGAGCGTTATGTAGCTCTCCAAGACGCATAGCGTTGACACAACGTCTGTGTAGTATAACGCAGAGAAGAAGAACAACGGAGGAAAAAGGGAAATGTTGAGCGCGGAGTGAGCATCAAATAAAAAGCCCTGCAATCTCCGCCCACTTTGGAAATCCACTCGGTTCGCTTCCTTCCCTCTTGCTTCACGGAGAAGCCGCAATATCCTGAAGGATGACAATAATATACCACATATTGCGGTGATATTGACAAGTCTTAGGATGTCTATATCGCAACGGCCCGTAACCAGGTAGACTAGATATGAAACGAGATATCTGATAAGGACATTAGAGGAAGAAACATGTGCATTGAGAGGACAGATTTACAATCCTGGGGGCGTCGTGATTTTAGGATCCCACTGACTAAATGCACCAGAGCAGTAGACTTGTGCCTGTCGAACATGAAACACTTCATCCTATGAGTTCATATTAGATGTTGAGGTATGGCATAATGCTCCTTGGGCACATACTAAATACGGATCAGGGACAATCGAAGACAGTTTGCGCTGCCATACTGCGCTGACTACCGCTATGCAGACCAATGCAGTCCGCGACGCCCACAAATCGCTGTTGGAGAAGCTCATTTCATTGCTAAGTTCAGGTGAAGTTGAGAATTTTCAAATGACGAAGTATTGTTGATGGATGCAGGTCAGATTTATGGACCTCACAAAAGCACATCGCTAAACTCGACGCGCCCAAGGGTCCTTCACTACCACCAACGAACTCTCATCCTTCTCCCTCCACCATACAACCACCACAATGGCTCTCCCTCTCCCCCCAGGCCTCACGCCCCCCGAAATCGCCTTTCTCTGCGAAATGGAGCTCGTCACCGTGATCCCCCGTCAACGGCTCGAAGGACTAGACTTGCTAGGCGTGAGTTGAACCCCTCCACACAACTCCGCAAAGCACCACACACACTGTACGTCCCAACCAGCTCTCACAGACAGCCCCTATGCCGCTCTCTTCATCCACCCCGCCCAAATCACTCAAACTACTCAACTACAATTCCGACTAAACTAACCAGCTTCACACAGGGCCGCACACCCCCCCTCCACCCCCCCCAACGCGCCAACCTCCCCCTCTGGCTCGCCCTCCTCCTGAAACGCCAACGCCGCGCCAACATCCTCCCGCCCCCCTGGCTGTCCCCGCCCGCCCTCGCCGCCATTCTCGAGCTCGAAAGCACCGCCCACGCCGCCGCGCCGCCGCGCCTGCCCCTCGCACCGCCCGGCATCCTGCCCATCTCGCCGCCCTTCCTGCCCTCCAGCACCGCCGACGCGCCGCGCGACGCACTGCCGTACCACTGGCTCGAGCTGGGCGAGATACTGCTGGAGGCCGCGAGCGACGACTTCGAGGACCCGGATGCGGTGAGGCGGCTCATGCGCGATCTGCGCGAGGTGCGCATGGCGAATATGCGCAAAGGGGTCGAGGTGTTTGATGCGCAGGGGGGGCTGAGTATGACGGGGTTTGGGGGCATGGAGGTGGCGGAGGGGCGGGCGTTTATTGGGGGGGTGATTGATGGGTTGAGGTTAGTTTTGCGGTCTTTTTCGTTGTTGCTGTTAGCGTTGAGGGGAGGGGAGGCAAGGGATTCATGGAGCGCGGGGTATAGGTCGATGGGTATTTGCAAAGTGGGATGGTATGGGAAGAGGGCAGCAGTCAAGTTGGATGTAACAGCGTACTGATTCATGCCCACAGGAAGATCGGCGCCGCGCGCGAGCGCAGCGGCGATGGCGACCAGGACGATCAGGATAATGGGTTTCCGTCGACGGCGGACGACTACGATGACGAGATGGATATGTGAGGGGGGGGGGGGTCTCGCATCTTGGCCATCGCTCACGGCTTTATCGACGCCTGGACCTGAGGTTGGACTTCCAGGCTGGTAGAGTGGAGTACGATTCATGAATCAAACGTTAAGTCGCGACATGCTCTCGTGCTTCAGGGAGATCGTGGGGAATACGACTCGTGGATACGCTTTGGGTTACGACGTGCTGTCGTACTCGTGCTCTGGGGCGAACTCACAACAGCCACGCCCTGTCGGTGAGGGCGTTGAACCTCAACAGCGAACAGTTTTTGGCTGAGAGACTATAGAGGAGCCTCGTAACTCTACATATGAAGGGGATACATAAGAAGGTTTGTCGGCATCACCGGCAACACGGCGACGAGGCTGCGGAGAAACTGTGGTATAATCTCGTATAGCGGCGTCTCACGGGCCGCTCTCTTCAACCACGACTCATACACAACGGCAACAATCCACGGCAAAGAACCAAAATAGCCAAATAGATAGCAAAGAACCAGCGTCGTGCTTGGCACTCAACTTACTTGCTTGAGCCGTCTAACATAGAACTGTGAGCGGGAGACATGCAACCGACGCTTAATCCAAACCCTTAAACCGCACATCCCAAAACCACACCACAAACGTCCTGCATTACCTATTCCAGCTCACACAGATAGTCCGCAAACGTTTTGGACCCTTGCGGGACCCGGCATGCCGCGCTAACTACCCTCTACAATAGCGTTAGAGAAGAATCACTACGGTATCCTTGGTATTGGCGGCGCTACGATCATAATTGATCGTGCATCGCAGGTTCGATGGATCGTGTCCATGAATCTTGCAAAGCGTCCCACGACTCATGTCGCGATTTGCCCTTATGTTGATCTATCGCGCAATCACATAATAATGGTCTGAGGTAATGTAAGATCTTCACTTTTCCTACCTGATCTATCCTACCCCTTTAGGAAAAAACATTCACCGTCTTCATCTTTTCTTCATCCGAAACCGCTCCAAGCTCTCGGTTCACCACGGGCCGAGAGCACGCTCCTCCGCTAGTGTCAGCAACCCAACGCCAGCCCGTGTCTTGAATCCTTCAGCAGTTCGCGATGACATAGAGGGGCCACAAACGTCCCGCAGCTTACCCAAACTCACCAAGACCTGCGCAGAACCCTTACCAAGGTCCAAGCCCTCTTTCTTCAAGGCACCCCTCTCGTCACGGGAGAGCAACCATGTTGCAGTTAACTGCACGCTGATCACAATCTTCCCGGACAACCAGGTACTGTAGGGGGAGCTCTCCCCCGTAACCCATGCATCCGTACACAAGGGTATCAATATACCCCTACCCTGCCCTATCCGGGCCCGAAGTTCGCTGCGACGAGCCGCAGAATATCCCAATTGCAGCCAATAACCCGCAGCGCTCGAGCGCACGCACAATCGATAACACGACCCAAGAGAACTCCAGAAAGCCGTTACCGTAGACAGGACCAGGACCAGGGGCAGCGGCCAGCACCCTGGGCGGCCCGCAATGCGGCCAGCATGCCTAGGACGAGCAAGAGGCCCGTTTGCAGGCGAAGCACGTTGTGCTTTGGTTGCGCGGCGGCGGTCCTCACGACCCCCTCGGTCACGACTCCACCTCTTTCCCTCCGGCGCATAAACAACCATCCCACCGCGATCCTCCTCGCGATCCTCCAATGTGCCCGCTCGGGCACCGGATTCGGCGTCTGCGAGTCACGTCCCTTCCCGCTTCTGCTTCGCAGTCAAGACATTATTCCGTGGGCGATCGCAAAAAAGGTGAGCTGTTTGAGAGTTTTTGCATGAGCGAACACCCTACCCTATCGAGGAGAGAGTGGTTTCACATGCGCCCGCTTTAAGCTCTCCATACACAACATCTCAGAAGTATGAGCCGAGGACGTTGTGCCTGCGGGGTGCGGGCAAGAGTGGTGTGCTGTTGACTAGCTTCTTTAAACTAGTGAAACGGTCGAACGCGTTGTGATCGAAAAGTAGTCAGAGATATCATACTGTACACTTTTGTCAAAAAGAGGGGACACAGGGACAAACCTTGAAGGTCCACTTGGTGATGTTTGAGAGGTGAGGATCTCTCCACCATCGCGATATAAGGGACTTGCCGGCATGTATGGGGTTAAGATCGTCGTTCCGAGGCCCTGAATCGGCCCGTTGTCCATGCTGTTCGAGGAAAATTTACCAGGTTAGCTGGACTTTTGAGGTTGTCGTCCCGAACTCCAGACGTTCGGGTTCGTATCGCTGTCATCATGCGCAAACCTTGATAACTTTGTTTATGCTTGACAGGACTCCCTTATGAAAACAGTGGATCATGGACCGCTCTCTTTAGCAAACTCGGAAGTTTGGTTGACCTCGGGAGACCTAAGTATTGCACACGAGACTTTCGGAGCCGTCTGTCTTTAGCACCAAAACTTGCGGTCTGGTATGTAGGCTAGCACCTGTTGAAACTGCGACGTTTATTGAAGCTAAACAACGGTTGAGTATAGCGGATCTGCGCCCACGCAAAACGGACGATACGCCAGGCCATCGGCCGTCGGCCGCGGGAACGTCTTCAGGACGGCGTCCGGCAGAAACTACTGCTATCTACGGAGCATCCCCGAGAAGATCACCAAACTCCAGCAGGGTTAGCCTCTCAAGTTCCAGGCTGACATGCCCGCATCAGGAACATTGACGCTAAAGAGCAGGCCAAACCCTGATGCATAGCAGGGCCGAATCGTGCTTCTGACGGTACTGACGACAACTGAACATGGATGGACTTGTGGATGGCAGTATCGGGATCGACGAGAGCAGAACAACGTCACTTCCAAGCGTCCTGGCACTCTCGTCCGACTTGCCGCACAGGAGAACGAATCCGGTGCAGCTGAAAACTGGGATGGGCGCGGATTTCGTCATGGGAGAGGGTGAAGTGGGCTGGACTCTATTTCGAGTTTGCTGGATGTCAGTGGCTGCAGACGGATTTTGAGGTGGCGGATGCTATGTAGAGAGGCAAGCGGCGATGGCGATGGTGAAGGAAATTGCAGTCGCGTCTCTTCAGGCCTGAATGGATTCTGGAACGCCAACGAGTCGCGCAGTTATCGTAGAAGGTTCAGCGTGGCCACTCAGCTGGCCAATACTTGCGCTTTATTGAATGGAAGGAAGGTAACGTGAGGTTGGGAAACAGCCCGAAAGAGTTGTGCACGATAATTGTTAGGCATTCGTCAATAATTGGCTGCGTTCTTCGTCATGCGCACGAGAGGAAGCGCCCTGAGAGCTGGAGTGATGATGTCGCAGGCCGCAGCCCCTGCCGATAAACATTCGATAGATCTGATCTGCACCCCACAGCCGCAGATGGAGACGGTGCCAATGACAATCGAAAGGCGATGCGGCGGTGCGGCAGATGGGCAGCTGGCCGGCGACGATGCTCTCAGCGGTTCCCACAAGTGCACACATCCTCGGCAAAGGCAGTGCTGCCCAAGAGGCGCCCTCCATGTGGCAAAGACGGGCCTTGGCCGGCGTCGAAGCCGGACTCGGAGATTATGGCAGCGTGGGGTTGTGGAGGGCTGAGACACGGCCGCTGAGAAATGAGGCCTTTCGATAAGTTTGTGCGACATGGTGGTTGGCTGGAGTTGCAAATCGCCAGAGTCATTACCAGCGTGCTGGGAGCGTTGGTGTCAGCAAGCACGAAAAGATGCCGCATCGGGGAGCGTGCAGCACGCAGCTCTCCCAGACGTCAGGCCCGGCGGGAACAGCTGCACCGTCGGTGGCCTCGCATTGCCAGCGTGTCTCCCGCCGTCGCACCGCATCTTGACAGCGTGGTCAACGTGCTTGTGCCACTATCGCGAGACGTCTCCCCAAGTGCTGCTGCTCGGGGCCGTCTCGAAGACTTGAAAAACGAGGCGTACAGGACTCGAGGCACGGAAATGCGACAGCCACGGCCGCGAGATCTGAGACCGGTCGGCTATCGCTAGCAGTTCCAATTGGCCGGATGGACCCGTGCTCGGCAGGGCTTCATGCTGCTGCCGTCTGATTTGGCTGGTCGACGACCAGGCCTCCACCGCTGTGCAGCGATCGCAGCAACGGTTTCTTGGCCGCATTGCTCTGCGCGCTTGTTCCGAGTCCCTGAGTCTGCCGCTGCCCCGTGGCTTTGCTACCTCGTTTCTGCCAACGTGAGATGATGCTCGCCATGCACTTCGCGGTGGACTGATACTTGAGAACACGAGCGCGATAAAAGCTTCGCGGCGTGTATCTGTGGGGCTGGGAAGCATCCAGGTACAGGTTCCTCCACGCAGAAGGCCCCGTATGTGGGGATCTGGCCGTGGAGTGGCCGTGGATCTGGTGCCTGAGGATTGCAGGTGGCTTCGATCTAGAGTGAACTGAGGTCGCCGTACTGCGTCCTTCGCGGCAGCAGCAGCACAGCCGCGAGGATCCGCGGCGATGTTCCTTGCGTTTGTAGTGCCACAATTGCATGATATTGTGAATTGCGACGAGGTGTGCATTAGCAGAGTCCTGGCGACGAGTGGGCGTCCGGGTCTGCAATTCTCGTCACGTCACAGCGCAGGGCCGCGAGCGGGCCAGCTGGGATCGCGGTACGGGCTGGAGAAGCTCACGACGCCACGAGAGAGCAGGAATAGACCACTGGCCGAAATCCTCCGGCTGAGGCAGTTGTTTCGCCCGCGCGTTGGCCGCCGTTGGGCGTCGACGAACGGCTGCTGTTTACTCGATATCTCCCGAGCACGCCGTCTGAAATCTAACAGCGCAGCTCCGTTCGATGCCTCCGGCCGGTGCTGATTGGCAGAGTTCGTGACGGTTTCGAGGCCGGTCCGACTGCAGATATCGCGGGGAGCTCGATGATCGCCCGCGAAGCCTCAAAACGGACGACGTGTGCAAAACGAGCCCTGGCCCCGGCCTCGCGTTGGAGCATCCGCCCGCAAGCCTCCATGCAGGCCGCTACTCTCTCGGTTCAGACCGTGCCCCCCAGCTCTGGTAGCGGAGCTCGACGCGTTGCTGTGGAGTGTGGAGGAGCAGAGTTTTCCGGCGTGCGTGATGTGGGCGGGACTGGGGCTCCCTCACAACGTCCCCGCCAGTTGGTCGCTGTTGGTGGGAGTTGGTGTACTCGCCGCAATATCGCCGCCCCCGCGGATTGGCCGGCGAGGGGCTTGGTGATGAGTCTCGTGTGATTGCGGTTCGACGTTGCGGTCCGTGAGGTGCAAGGTGTGCCAGGGGAGACGGCCAGCGTGCCAGTCAGCACCGCATCGCTGCATGCTCCCCCTGGCGCTCAAAGTTCCCCACGCCACTTGCACGCTTGGGCTGCGTTCACGGAGCCGGGGGCGCGCTGCGAGGCCGGGCCAAGGCCCTAGGCGCAATTCACTGCTGGACAGTGGTCGTGTCGCTGCGAGCCCGCCCGTGCAGGGCCTAGGGGTCCCTAGACGACAGCCGATACCACCTTAAACTGCTTCCGTCGCCCGCCGAGTACTCGAGGCAGATATTCCCCGTGTCGTGAAGACGTCGACTCCTTTGCCGCAGTCTGTCTCCAGTGTGTCTCTACGTACGCATCCTTGCGATTTCACTCTTTCCACTGCCTTCACCACCGCGTCGTTGCGTCTACTTCTGTCTCTATATCGGCCCTTGACTAGGCCCCGCCTTCTACAGCGACACCCTTGCATTAGCTCCTGCTCGCTCGATATATCGTGGCCTCCACCTCCACCTGCCGCCGCCCGCGTGGTCTTTGAAAAACCTCAGAAGAAACAGAGTGCGTGTTGAATTCGCCGACAGTCATTGCACGCGTCGGCCCTGTCCTGCGGCACGCCTGCGGCCCAGAAACCCAGCCCGTCTGACGCAAGTCGCCAAACTCGGCGAACCGTTTCAACAGACGCAGCATCGCTGTCCATGGTGCTTGTCGTATTGCAACAACATTCCGGGATCGCGGTATAAGCATCTCCTCTCTGCGGACGATCCGACAGCTAGCTCGCGCAATTTCCCCTCGGCTTCGAATTGTGCATCTTGAGACAGCTCAATTGGGCTCCTGAGACATCTCACGGCTGTGCCCGCCCTATTGTGGAAATACGCAGGGCCGAGAAAACGGGTAGGTGCCTTTCCGTTGAGGCCGCATCGTCGACGCATTCCAGTTCGCCACCCCGCCTCTTGGCCCATTCCTCGCCCATTGGACTCACATAACACGAACGAGATCCGTACACTAACACCTACGCCACAGTAAACACCACAATTCTAACGTCTTGAAGTACCGCCCCGCTATCAAGGGATCTGATCGCATCAGCATCTATCGCCTTCGCCGAGGACCCGCCTGTCTCCATGAATTGGTCCCGCCAACTTAAAGCTGCGTTGCAAGATTAGAGGTTTCCAGTCCGAATTCAAGTTCTGCGTGCAAGAGAAGTCTGCTTGGTGATAGGACAGGCAACAGAGCCTCGACGCAATGGCCGACTTCCAGCATCTTAATCTCGACGAACCGCAATTCCATGCCAGTGCATTTGTGGCACCGCTAGTAATCAACAAATCGCCCCAGAGGTCGCGCAGCGCATCGCGACACACGCGGCAATCGTCCTCGAAGAGCATGAGCAGGAGGACGACGTCGATACGATCCCAGTCACAATCGCAAATCTCGCCGCCCCTTACGCCACGGGCGTCGAGAGAAGCACTACCCTCCGCCGAGCCCCAGGCCGAGTTCCACAACTACCTGCGCGCGTTCTACCACTTCCATCCAACGTCTACCGTTTCCTCGTCGACAGACGAATCATCAATTACCGTGCCGATCAACCAGGGCGATGTCATTCTAGTCCATTCAGTGCATCCAAACGGCTGGGCAGATGGCACGCTCCTCGCGTCAGGGGCGCGAGGCTGGCTCCCTACGAACTACTGCGAGGCTTATGACCACCAGTCCATCCGCAGTCTGCTGAGTGCTCTCACACATCTCTGGGACCTTGTGCGAGACGGCGAGAGTGGAGACCTGGACGTGTTCACGAAGCAAGACTATGTGAGGGGCATGATTGCAGGAGTGCGATTCTTCTTGGTAAGTCACGGCGTCATTCATCGTCGTAAGGGCGCTTGTGGCCGTATCTAACGTTGAACAAACAGGAGAAAACGCAGTGCTTGACAAGGGAGTCTGCGCTTATTGTTGCCCACGTTAGCCTGCGACGTATGAGAAAGGGCCTGCTCGGGGACCTTTCTTCACTTGTCAAGACCGCGAAGAAGCTCCAAGAGCTCCTCCAAAGCGCCGGATCGACACTCGCCGTGTTCGAAACGCTCGACGAGCTCGTGCTGAAGGCCTTCAAGCTCGTGACACGCGCGGTTCGGTTCCTCGACATCTGGGCGCAAGATGCCGTATCTGTGCCTGTGCCATTTGACTTCGACGAGTCGGCCAATAGGCCTCTGACTCCGCCAGTCGACTCAGCCGACGCTCAGATCGCGCCCGCAACACCGTCCTCAAACCTGGGGCCGAGCGAGGATCGCACTGCTGACCATGCAGCCGTCGTGTCACAAGCGAGCTCGTCGACACCACGGGACGAGCGGGAAGATTCGCGAAGCCGGCATCCACGAACACGTAGCCGCGCATCGTTCGCCTTTGCCCTTCCCCCCACAGAGTCCAGCGCACCACATTCGTCTTCGCTGCTAAGCGCCCAGCCTCAGTCGAAGCGCCTCTCCGTAACGCACCGACTGTCGTACACAGGCAAGTCGCAGAGCGTCCGCAGACAGAACCTTGCTTCGGAGAGGCTTTGCGCTGCACACGACTCCTTCCTAAGTTTCATCAGCATTTTCATTGGGCTGCACCTGCAGTCACGATCATCCTCAGAACTCCTCGTCACAACCCGCGACTCCGTCATTGCCTGTCGCCAGCTGCTCGCCGTCGTGGAAGAAGTATGGGAACGCGACTCGCAACGATCCGACCCGCTAGAGCACGCAAGAGCGACTATGTACTCCAAACTCTCCGAACTCGTGCAGGCGACGAAGGACATGTTCTCCAATTCTGAATCTGTGAATGGCGAGGAGGTGTTCACGCCGGACTCTGGGAAGCAACTGGTCATCGCTGCCACAAGCTGTGTTCGAGCAGCAGCCGAGTGCGTCACGAAAGCTACGATCGTTATCGAGCGTATCGGCGACTTTGAATTCGAGCAAGCTGGCCAGGGCATCTCGCAGACTATTCTCGAAGGCATCAACGCCCACTTAGATAAAGACACGGAGACCGGCCTTCCAGAGCCACAAGAAACGGACAAGCCATTGCCTGCAACGCCACAAGAACCAACCTCCCGACCACCTCCACCGCCACTACTGATATCGGAATCCAAACCCCTTCCGGAACCACCCGCGCCATCACCAATACTGAACCATGAAACCCTACACCCAGTCATCGTCGAGAGCCCGACTGCAGTATCGTTCAGATCGTCGAGATCGTCGCTACCACCACTCAGCCAGCTTCCCATTCCCACGCTTCCACAACCAAGCCCGTCAGAAGCCTCTCAGAGTCCTGCGAGTGCCACTCATCGTTTCTTTGGCAAAGCCGGGAGAGCAGACAGTGTCAATGTATCTGTGGCGGACTCAACTAGCACGTACCCTAACAGTGTCCGAGGCGACAGTGCAAGCATCATCTCAGAGGTCTCAACAAGAGCAACGACGCCAGATCATTCGCCTACAACCCGCCATGGCGACCAAGCCATGATGAGCAGCTTCGGCAGCACTTCCGAGCTTCACTCTATCGCAAGCGAGGAGACTACCGGACTGGAAGCTCAACTGCTTGAGAAGACCTTCGTACATGAGCTTATATACAACAAAGAAGGCCAGATTTCGGGAGGCTCATTGCCCGCCCTCGTGGAGCAGCTTACAACCCATGAGTCGACGCCTGATTCCATGTTCGTCACCACGTTCTACTTGACCTTTAGGCTCTTTACCACACCCGTCGATTTCGCGAACTGCCTCATCGACCGGTTCGACTACGTCGGCGACAGCCAGGAGGTTGGCGTACCTGTCCGCCTACGCGTGTACAATGTCTTCAAGGGCTGGTTGGAAACCCACTGGCAGTCCGACTGCGACCCTTTAGCTCTAGGCATCATTCTCGACTTCGCTACCGGAAAGCTGAGGACTGCCCTGCCTGCAGCTTCGAAGCGACTTGCCGAATTGGCCACGAAGGTTACTGAAGTGCGCGCTGGTGCCTTGGTGCCTCGTCTCATGTCCTCAATGGGCAAGACTGGAATCTCAAGTACCATCTATTCTGCTGCGGATAGCACAGCACCAAATCCCGTCATTTCAAAGAGCCAACTCAACGCCCTGAAGAACAAGACTTCACAGTGCAACATTCTCGACTTCGATCCTTTGGAGCTTGCCAGGCAGATTACCATCATCGAGTCGAAGCTCTTCTGCTCCATTCAGCCCTCTGAGCTTCTTGCGTCAGAATGGACGAAGAAAAATACTCAAAAAGCCGTCAATGTCCGTGCCATGTCGACGTTGTCCACGGATCTCGCAAATCTAGTCGCGGATACTATCCTCAGTCTAGAAGATCCCAAGAAACGAGCTATTGTCATCAAACACTGGGTCAAGATCTCAATGAAATGCCTAGAGCTAGCTAACTACGACTCGCTGATGGCGATTATCTGCTCGCTGAATTCCTCGATGGTACTTCGCCTGAAGCGAACATGGGAGTGTGTTTCCATGAAGACCAAAGCACGCCTCGAAGAGTTGAAGACTATTGTGGATGTCGGCCGAAACTATGCCGTCCTTCGCCAACGCCTACTCAACCACGTCGCTCCTTGCATCCCATTCGTCGGTATCTATCTGACTGATCTTACGTTCGTTGATGTCGGCAACCAGACTACCCGTCAGCTTCCCGGAGATGACGGCCACGAGGGGGTGTCTGTTATCAATTTCGATAAGCACATGCGGACTGCGAAGATCGTTGGCCAGCTGCAAAGCTTCCAGGTGCCATACCGCCTCGTTCCTATTCCAGAGATGCAGGATTGGATGGAGGCCCAGATCAAGCGAGTACGAGCCAGCGACCAGTCCAATGTACAGAGCTACTACCGTCGCTCGCTCTTACTGGAGCCACGCGAGCCTCCACCAGCCGTCAAGGCGACCCCACCAGTAGAGAGCAGTGCGCAGAGCATCACATCCAAGGATCGCTTCGATTTCCTAAGCACCTTCACGTTCTCTTCTGCATCAACCATTAAAGACCGATAGATTTGTTCGACGCGCCTCACGGCGAACGATTACCCTGCATAGTTCTCCCACCACCTCTTCCAGCTCTTGTATCATGTTTGATTTGGATATCATGACCGTGCACGGCAAACATGCGCGGGGCTCATTACATGGTATCCTACGGTCTTTTTTCTTCTTCTCTGGATGTTTTCATACTGGGTCTATGGCACCCAATTCTTTCCTTTACATGTCACGGTTACGATTCCAACGGCCCCTTCCGATTCCACTTTCTTTCCTTCTAGATACCACTGTGAGCGTTTAACATGGGATTTCCGGGGATTGGTGTTTGAGGGGTCTTTGTTGCGACAAGAGTCGCAAACACTCGTTCCTCACGGGACTACTGTTGAGGGACCTTACTTGCGATTCACTTTGTTCACGGGGTGTATCACGGGAAAAGCTTAGGAACTGCGGCATTGCGAATCTCGGGACGGGACATGGAGCTCGGATTGGGAAAAATGCTTTGTATCATATCTGAATTACTCTGAGGACAAAGTAATTACGGATATCAGAATTTAGGACGAGGACGGGTAATTTAAAGTGTAAACTCACTACAACGCTGTGTCTATGCTATTATGATGTGATAAGTGATGGGCGTTCCGCCAGTGGATTGTTTTAGTAAAGTCCAGTTGCTGCCCTACTATCCCGTGTCTCTCCTTATGCCCAACGATGAAATGGCTAATGCTAATAAGCGGATGATAGTGATATTCAAAAGCAGTTATAGCGCTTTCTTTGCTATAGTACGAAGTCCTTAGTGGTTGCGAATACCCATGCCATCTTGACATAGAACGATAACGGGAACTTCTGACGTGACGTCTCCACTTTCCGTTGTACTTCGCCTTGAGCAGCTGGCGTGACCATTTCGATGGCAGTTGACCGAGGACGAACAGACATTATGGACTTAAGTAGTAGATCCAAAAGAGAGACAGACGGGCGGTGAGGTAGGCAGTGAGTGTGGTTGGATAGAAGCACTGGAGTGCTGGCTGGAGACTTCGAAGGGTTGCAACGAGGTTTTAAATGTGAGGAGGGCAACAGCGAACAAGTCCTTGTGCGGTATGAACACATTAGAACAAAGGATAATGCGGTTATTTGACGGAGTACGTATTCTTAGCCAGCTAGCCTACGGAGTATGGTACGGTTAGCTCGGCTACCTTGATATAGAACACGGTTCCTATACTTAGCCCACACAGTTCTACGGTACGGCTACGTAAGCCTCCACACACACAGAGTATATATACGGCGTACGTAGCCTAGATAGATGCTCATCCAATACACCACTTACCTCGTTCAATGCATTGTTTCACCTCCATCCTCATTATTGGAGGGGTAAAAGGAAATGGCCTTTGTGATGGCCAACGTTTGCAAAGACACCCATCAGATGCTACCTCGAAACATTGCAACCAAATGCCCATTCGAGACAAAGGGTCCAGTGAACTGAAACTAGGAAGACTACTCGTAAGTACTATTGAAAAGCTTGAGGAGATTATATCAGTATAAGTGAATTGGCATAAAAATAGACTGTATCTTGGCGTTTCATCGGCTCTGCTCCGCTCATCTTCGGAGGCTCTCCAAAGTGTTGATTTGTGAACATCTGAATATCGCCAACTTAAGCACTACTTACTCAGGCCACAATTGCTCGACGGCAGTCTTTTTGGGACATGCTTGCGAAAAGCCCTGAGCGTCGGCGAGGAGGCTAAATTGAGAGGAGAGCCGTCACCACGGTGGCGCATCCCGTGAGCTGTCTGGTCTGCTGCTCCAACGTCCTCGGTCCTCCTCAGTGCAACTCGACTCCCTCTCTCAAGTCGAGCAATCCCCTATACATCTACCACTCATGAGCACTTTGATATCCTCCTTCATTATCGACCCTGTAGTCCGTCAAGCCCGCCGGTTCTCAACCGCATACCCTTCCGACGAGGCGCATAGCGATCGTGATCTTTCACATGGAACTCCACGTCCAGGTACAGCAGATGCCAGCCACGATGACCACGACGAGGCCGCCACAGCGGTAGAGAGGGGGGATGGCCAGCATTCGGATCTCCTCGGCGCATTTCGCCGATACTCGACGTTTATTCGTCGGGGGCGGCCAGAGTCACGACCACGGGAGCGCGCAGCTGTGGAGAACCCCGAGCTCGAGGCGTTATCTACTATCTCGACCACGGAAGAGACTCCGCGAGGCGTAGCTACGAGTGGCAGCCGCAGCACGACATCTCTCCCAATCCATGGTCCTGCAGATAGAGGCATGTCCCAGAACCCGACGCACGGCATGCCCCAGGGCCTCCGTCCGCTGAACAGGGCTGCTTCGACGCCCGTATATCCCGTGGCCGCCCACACCGAGCAAGAGAGGAGGGACAGAGCTGGCTCTGGGGGAGGGGGGAGCAATGCGCCCGTCAGGTCTGAGCTGCTGCCCGCAGACGATGGCATGCGCCATCTGAGGAGGAGGATACACGAGATACGGGACTTGAAGATATCAAACGACGAGAAGGCACGCATGATGCACTATCTCATGACGGAACGGTACCATCTTCTAAGACCACAGTCGCCAGTCAGCCTTGCGTCTCACGACCGTCCATTTACCCCTAGCTCTACGCACTCGATCCTCGACTCGGATATGCACGCCTCGTCCCCAATCTCAATGACATCTGACATCGACCCCGAGAATCCGTATAATCTCCGCCCTGGAGACACCTACCCTAGCTATCGGACGAGAGCGGTACGGCCTGGCGCGGACGGCACGGGCGACGACGACGATTTTGATACAGCGGAGGACGGAAGCTCGTATGGCTGCCAACATTACAAACGCAATGTTAAGGTCCAGTGCTACAGCTGTCGCCGGTGGTACACTTGTAGACACTGCCATGACGCCGTAGAAGACCACAGCCTGAACCGCAAGATGACCCAGAACATGCTGTGCATGGCTTGCGGTACACCCCAGCCCGCAGGACAACATTGTCGACAGTGTGGACGGGAGGCTGCGTGGTACTACTGTGCCATCTGCAAGCTTTGGGACGACAACAGCAGCAGGAAAATATATCATTGTGAGGAATGTGGGATTTGCCGAATGGGAGAGGGCCTAGGGAAGGACTACGTCCACTGCAAGGTATGTACAGTGTGTCTGTAAGGGGTTAACGATGCTAACTATGACAAGAGGTGCAACGTTTGCATTTCGATAGCATTCGCGCAATCGCATCGATGCGTTGAGCGGGCTACCGAGTGCGACTGTCCCATTTGCGGTGATTATCTCTTCAGCTCATCCATACCTGTGGTATCGATGCCTTGCGGACACTATCTCCACAAAGAGTGTTACAATTCCTACATGCAAACAGCATATAAATGTCCGATGTGTAAGAAGAGCGCGGTAAACATGGAGCTACAATGGCGGAAACTTACCCACGCGATCGAAAGCCAACCAATGCCCGAGGAATTCGCAGATACAAGAGCCGTCATCCAGTGCAATGACTGCTCCTGCAAATCTTCCGCCAAATACCACTGGTTGGGAAACAAGTGTACCAATTGCGACTCGTATAATACCAACGAATTCCGCATATTATCAGGAGAGGAGAGCGATCAAGCTGCAGAAGCCATGCTGTCCACGGAACTGGATACCGCGCCTAACTCGCCGCTTGCAAGGCCCTCGGTCGAGATCAGAGCCGCACGTCCCTATTTCCTCAGCGTCCATTCAGGGCAAGACGACCGATCCCGGACCTCAACAGCCGAGCAAGCCACTTCTCTGCCTTACCAGTTGATGGAGCGTATGAGTCGATCGCTATCTCCTCTTAGGAACTATCTTGGCCGCTCACAAGAGGACATCAATCATCCGACTGGAGCTGGAGACGATGACGACATCCTTGACCGCTGGGGCGCCGACGGTCGATTCCTCTCCGGAGAAGATGATTCAGGCGGCTCTGATTCTGACTCTGACAGCGACGAGAGCTTAGACGACGCCGATGGAGCGCTCGACGAAGATGAAGCGGACGATGCTGACGAGGATTTGAACGACTTTGATCTTCTTGGACACCGTTGATTTGGATTCACAAGGGCATCTAGCAGGACTTCCGTAGGCGTTTGGGTGGGATGGGCACGGGAATAGGCGGCGTGAATGACTGATGCATGGCCTTATGACGGGCAACGGGTTGGGTTGGGATCACTTTCGCTCATGCAGCTGGGTTCCTCGGAAAAGCGTGCATCTGCATCTTCCTACATATTTAATTGCATGAATGATTCTACCCCTAAAATGGTAAACTTTCCAATGTAGATCTTGGCGCGAGACTATCCCACGTGACTGAAGCAATTTCGCCAAGCCGTTTAGCGAGAGTCTCAAAATTGTCTTGTGCGGAACGGCCCACGAACCTCACTCTTCGCACGTCCAACGAACCCGGCGATCTCGACATCAATTCCGACGACAGTAAGGCCCAACCCTACTCACCTCCATCCTCTCCACAGCTCTGTATCATCCTTGCTAACTTTTCCCTCCGCTTCCACAGACAATGGCCCCACCCACCACAAAGGCCGCCGGCAAGAAGCCCGCGGGCAAGACGCAGCGCAGCGCCATTCAGGACGTTGTCGCGCGCGAATACACGATCCATCTCCACAAGCGGGTGCGTTAGCTCAGTTTTATGAAGTCCACATATGGCTGTGTAAATGGCATTGGACGGAAGACTGATATACTGGGGTGTTGCAGGTTCATGGCGTGAGCTTCAAGAAGAGGGCCCCGAGGGCGATCAAGGAGATCAAGGCGTTTGCGGAGAGCTCGATGGTATGTGGAACCTCCTGTTCTTCTTCCCCCCCTACCGGTGTTCGCCTCGTGGGTGGATTGGGGTTTGCAGACCCGGGCACCACAACGATTACTTCGCACAGCTTTTCTACAGGAGTTGCATTTGCTAATTTCTGGTGTTTGTGTGTGTGCAGGGCACCAAAGACGTCCGCCTCGACCCGCAGCTCAACAAGAAGGTGTGGGAGGCTGGCATCAAGGGCGTGCCGTACCGCCTGCGCGTGCGCATCTCGCGCAAGCGCAACGACGAGGAGGGCGCCAAGGAGAAGCTGTACAGCTACGTGCAGGCGGTCAATGTCAAGAGCGCCAAGCACATGCAGACGACTGTTGTTGAGGATGCGTAGATGAGATGAGGATCTCGGGCATGTCGGAAAGGGGGAGAGAGGGATGAAACGGTGGGCGTTGGTGGATACCAGGTTCTGGGAAGACTGGACCAGGTGCGGCTTTATTGCTGCTATGATACTACTGCCGGCTTTTGGCAAGGAACAATAATCAAACGTGTTTGTCCTTGTCAGTTTGATGCTGGGGTTTGAGGTGACGCGGTGCGTGAGTGAGGACTTGAAATGACGAGAGGCACCCAGATGAGACTCCGAGCTCATCAATTCAATTCGCCTTCCCTGAAGCCATGGGCGGTCCAGGACACACCGCTGAACTCAGGCCGACCTAACTTCAATTACAGAATTCTCATTACATCGCCATTCCAACTCTCCCCCACTAGGCGCCTCTTAAGTCTCGCCTCTCCAATACAACATCCACACCGGTCCCCATCTGAACCGTCATAACAAACACCAACAGCGCTAGCTCATTCTCCTTTGATTCCGGCTAGTCTCTATCTCCTATCTCACCTAACCCCCCCAACCCGGTGAAGGGGTCATGTCTTGAGGACTTGAAGTCGGTATGTTCGCTAAGAGCACCACCTGATTAAAGGGGGTGCGGCGAATTGTTTATGCTTGGATCGTATGTCCCACTCACGCGGAGGTGCCTTTGTGTGATTAGAAAAAGGCACGAAAGAAGACTGTAGCTTAGACATGAAGTTCTGGGGAGCGTATATCAGCCTAATATCTGCTGTCCTTTGGCGAGAGGTCGTGATTCAGGACTCTGGCAAAGAGTCTGGTATTGATATCGTTCCACCAATGCTACCCAATCTCGCCAGCGCCAACAAAAACCCAAAACGCCTCCATCCATCCATCTCATGATCCCCAAAACCCATCCCAACCCAGTTCATATACCGTTACAAAGCCGACCCCCTGAAAACGCCATCCCATCCTGTCCTAAAACCCTCCAGCCCCATGTCCAAACCGCACTACAACCCCCCACTCAAAAAGAAATCCAGCTCACTCGGCCCGCCCCTACTAACCTCATTCTCGGCCAGCTGCTCGAGCAAGCTCAGAAAAGGATCCTTCTCCGGATCTGTGTGCGCGCTTCCGCTCGCGCTCGCGGCGCCGGGCGTGGGCTGCTGCTCAAAGGGCGTCGGGGTGGGCATGCTGAACATGGGGTCGAAACTCCCCCCGTTCGCCCCGGTTTGGTGGGTGGCCGAGTCGTTGGACGGGAGGCTGGGGTCGAGGGCGCCGAAGTTGAACGAGGAGGGGCTGAAGGGGGCTGGGGGCGTGAAGAGGGTGAAGTGGGAGAGGTCTTGAGCGGGTTTGGCGAGGGCGGTTAGGGGGGTTGTGGCGGTGATGGTTGGGAATTGGGGGCTTTCGGAAGTGGGATCGTGCGTGGCGGATTTCGAGCTCTGGAGGACGGGGCGGGGGCCGTTGGCTGTGGAGCGGCGTTTTTTGCGGTTTTCAGAGGGTACGGGCGGTTGGGTTGTGGGTTGGTGTGATATCGAGAAGGTGGTTTGGGGCATGGTTTGGAGGTTGATGAGGTTGGGGCCATTGTAAAGAGTGTTGCGGTTCTCTATGTTGTAGGAAGATAGGCTGGAGAGTGGGGTCAGTAAATTATATACGTTAGGATGGATGGCTTGGAGTTTACCTTTCGTGTACAGACTCAACCTGAATGTCACTAAAGGTGAGATGTGCACCGTCGAAAGCCTGTCCAGCATAACGGTCGAAGAAATCTTCCAATTGGAAAACGGGGGAGAACCGCATTGGGTTGCTAGCAAGAGACTTTACCAGCTCTGTGTGGCAGCCGTATATGGTCTGCAAAGTTTCTCGTTGATGCTGCACGCCTGCCCATATGAACCGGAGTTCTGAGAGTTGGTGCATTTCTCTTGATAAGAATTCTGAACTCGAGGAGAATACCTCGCCTTCTCTCCCACGATAATGTGCCCCGTGGACGTGGATGGTGCCTGCTGTGCACACGCAGTATCCAACAAAAGCAGGCCAGTCGATGATAGACGAGGCCCTGCCAATCTCAACTAGTTCCGCAATGGCATTGGCATGCAAGAAACAAAGATTCGTAGCTTCGATTTGCCATGACTGATGCTGTGAAGTTCCAGACAGTTCCGCAAGGTCGACCGGAAGAAAAGGCCGGTAGATGAGGCAATGGATGAGGTGGTATATGAGTTTGCTGAGAACATATATCGTACTATCTGGCTGTCCAAAAAGTGCTTCTATCGACGTGAATGTGTCTTGTGTTTCGGACGCCCAGATGTCCAATTCTTGGCGTACTTTCGAGAGATTCGACAGTGAGTGCCAGGGAAAGTGGGAATCCCCTTTGACACCACCCGCAGCAAGGTAGCGGTTAGTGATCCCTAATATCTTGACTATACCAATCAGCATGCCCATACTGCCTTGGCCTTGCTTGCCGGAGCCGCCCATATACTGGAGATTCGAGCCATTCGGGAAATAATCTCCTTCGATAAGCATGGCCCCAGGATGTAATTGCCATGACGGCAATCGGAGTACTATGGCTTCATCCGCTATCAACGAGGGGCGTTTTGATCCACATGCAGAAAATCGGTCTAGGAGGTAGCAGGACCAGAATAGTCGTCGGCGGCCTTCTCGTTCAGCGGGAGTGATTTTCATGGCAAGCGGAAGTTCTCGATGTAAGTCCAATGCGAAAGCCATGCTTACCCCGGACGCTATGACCGTGTAAGGAAGACAGTCTCAAATTTTCAGAGTTGTGATACGTACTCAGTAGCATATACGCCTTCTTTCCTCTCCCCGCTTGGTAGCTGGCTTGGGCTAGGAGGAGGAGTGTCTGTAGAGCTTCGATGGATGGCTCGTCAATGTCCAGCTCCGTCCGAGACCGCCTCCCATACTCCTGACTAATTCTGACTGCGCCATTGTAGCCGCCGAATTGTGGTGTGTGCCTAAGAGTCTCAGTAAGAGGAGAAAGGACCAGAATGGTAGACATACCTCGCGCTCACTGCATATATGGCGTATGCAAGGTAGGGCGGGACCAGGCCAAGCTGCATACGCTGCCTCGTCGTTGCTTCATCCAGGATATTGTATGGCTTGTTGTGTATCCTGGTGAAATATATGTCCAAAAGGACATCCGGGACGACGGTTGAAGCCTGCAAGCTGCTGATTGGTCAATGCCGATTTTAGACATGATAAGTAAGGCAGGATATAATTACCTCGGTTCGGTAGGCGATATCAGAGCCGGGGTATGGTTCGGATGGGGGGCAAGCTCGACCAGGGGCCGCGGTGGCAAGGCGCCGTTGTTGTTGCTGTCACTGCCGGTGTCCTGGCTCGTGGAGTCGTGATCCGGTGATGAGTCTGATTTTTTCTCAGTGTGCAACCGCTTCTCCAGTACGTCCACACGCTTCAGCAGTGCTTCGAGAACATCTGTCTTGGGACCTCGTTTCTTCGGTACGGCATCTGCGCTCATTCGTCAGCTCTCCACGACTCAACACCTGAAATCACTGGAAAGAATCATACCATAGATACACGGACACGCAAATACCTGGCAGGCTTCACAAGTTGGCCGCAGACGGTTGCATTTGATCTTACTATCAGTCAACAAAAGCGTTTGCTTTTTGATAGAGCTCGTGTACCTTTCTCTTCCGACAGCTCTTGCAGTTCATCGACTCCCGCGGCTCGCTCGTCATTCGTCGAGCTGGGAGGCGGTCAATGCCGATCTGTGGTCGAGACATTCAGACTCCAGACGACAGTGCAGGTCGGACGAGGTGCTGCAGACGGGCAGAGGACGGAGAGACGCATTGCTCTTGGGCGCAGAATCGTGAGGGCGTGGGCGAGAGGGAGCCAGCGGCCGGCGCAACGAGTTTTGGAAGAGGTGTTGCAGCAGATTAACTAAGGTGCTAAGGTGCCCTGCTGCCACCAGGCCCGCCGCCAGTGGCATGGTGGGGAGAGAGAGTCAGGGTTTTGGGCTACGGAGCAGCTCGACCGTCACAGAAGCGCCCGTCCTCTGCCTGGGGAAGGGTTGCCGTGTAGGGTTCGCGTGACGATCGTGCCGGCAGTCAGCAGCGTCGTCCCGCCAGAGCTGACTGACTCCGGGGACGGTGAACGAATCTTGCCTTTGCCCCGTGTTCGTAGCCTCGGTTGCACACCCCCAGTTAATCCCTCCGCAGCGGGTGGCGGGTGCCAGATTGCTCAATTGCGGGGCCGGCAGAAGCCAGATTGATTGGCCTCTTCCTGGGCTGCCTCTTGACTCGTGCTATTGTAGGGAAGCCTTCTGGAAACTGAGAATCTGGGGCAATCGCGTCTTCCCGATGCAAGGCCTGAATTGCGGCACATCTATCCGTAATTTCAGTCTCTAGCGAGGACGTCTATGCATTGCGGTTGCTCCGGGGAGCTGGTCTCGATGGTCCGTCACCGTTACGAGTATACATATAACATGGTAGATGTATAGATGGCAGGGGACCTTGTAGATCTACGCAACGTCCTGCAAGCACACACGGCCTCCTGCACCTAGACAGCAAGAACTTACCCATCTCTACCTATCAAAACAGTCCTCTCCCAGATGCCAGACGCACAAAGTCGTAGGGCACGTTCTGTCCTACCAGCAACCTGAGCGTTTCCACCGTTGTCCAAGCACTCACATCTGCAATGCCGTATGCCGTCCATCCTGACGAGGCCGCTATAACAAGTGGATCTCCTTTCCTTGGCCCGTTGGCGAGGTCCACAAACACCTTACCTGCAAGACTACCAGGGCTCCTTCCGTCGACACGATAGTGCTTCAACAGGGGAACCACCAGCAAGGATTTCTCTGCCGGCAACGCAGAGATGATGACGAAGGGCTGCTGCAGTCTCTTGACGTCTTCCACAGATCGGACTGGATCAACCTCGGAGCTCAGGGGCCCATGCGTCTTGAAACCGATAGTATATATCGGACCGATGCCCAGGCTTTTCAATGCAAATATTGCTGCCGCGGCATCAGCCTCTGCACTAGCCAGTATCAAGGCTGCCTGTCCGCTGTAGGCCGAGGGAACGAAATCGCGGCTCAGTGTTGCCCGGATGCCCTTCCATGTCGCGTTGTCTCCTATAAAGGTAGTTCGACCACCCTCCAAGCGCAGTGTAACCACGTCGACCTGTCCAATCGTCCTAGCAGCGGTCGTGAGCGAGGGTAGGTATGGAGCCGAGGCTGCTGCAAGAGGAGGGTTAATGTAGGCTCCACCGAAATTCGGTCGCCGGATGATGGCGTCTATCGAGCCCTTAGGCGCCCTCTCTATAAACATGAACTGATGCGGTAAGCTCAACTCATTGAAGCATTTCTCGAAAAATATGGCCTGTGTCGTCGACCGATAGCTGCCAATGCCGTATATGTCTACTTTGGGCATTTGGCCCATGCTATGGAGAGCCATGTTGATTTCTGCAGCACTAAGCTGGCCGGGCGCAGCAATCATGGGGAGTAGAGGATGCGTAATTGGTGTAAACACCTTGTTCAATGCCCGGGATAGCTGCCCCATAGGCCCCATGTTGACTCCAGCCAGGGGAGGATGGGGGAATGTCGACTGTATGGTGGAGCGAAAGTATTCTAACTCGTAGTTTTCCTGGATGGAATTGACGAAAGCAATCATCTTCACTACATCGCCGTACACAGCACCTCTCCTAAAGAGCTCTTGCGCTTCCGGCGATGTCCATTTGAAGGTCCCGGAAAAGTCATGGAAAGCCGAGATAATCTTGCTGTTCCCTTTGTGTTCCGCTAAGCGTCGCCTGATATCTTCTGGTAGCCATAGTTCAACGTCAATGTACTCGCACCCCCACTTGATTGCCCTTGAAAGGTATTCGTAGAAAAGGTTCGGATCGTCCATAGGGAAGCGGCCATTCTCTTTGGTACATCTTGTGGTGTAGATGATAGGGAGCTCAGTGCGCTGCCGTAGAAGCATTAGTTGCTCGCCAACGTACTTCAGACTCGGCATTCGACTGAATGATCCGTCTGGGAGAGGCTCCTTAAGGAGATCCACTCTCAATTCCACAACGTCGGCTCCAACGGAAAGAATATCCAGATTCGGCAGCGCAGCATGGACGTCAGGAAACGTAGTGGATATTTGCGTAGTCCGCGCTTTCTTCGTCAAGTCGCGGTGATGGCTGATTTGGCCGAGAACAAAACCAAGAAATCGGGCTATGTCTCTCTGAAAGAACGGTGACTCTGTGTAGAGGTACTCGTAAGCACAACGCGATGTAAGGTTCTCGTCCAGCGCTTGGCCTCCATCCACACAGTGCGCATTTATGGCCAACCTTGATCCATCCCAGTCCTGCAGCTGGGAGCCGACAAATATGTTCGATATCCCGTAGATAGTTCCTTCGAATCCTGCTTTTATTTCTGCCAACGATGCCGCCAGTTCCCAAGGCTGGCCTAGAACATCTGCAATGCTCCTAACAATGTTCTCATGCCCATCTCCATATATAATCAACAATGCTGGCTTGGTCCAGTTGGGGGCTCCATTGGAGAGCTCCTGGATGGCGACGAAGCCGTTACCCTTCAGGGTAGAGGGGGGGATATTGTCGGGATGTATCATCGTTGCCATAAGAATGTGTTTTGCCTGGTGGGACAGCGCGAAGCTAGCCGTAGGTGTTGAAGCCGTTGATGCGGAGCTGCAGCTCTACAAAGATGCGACGGGAGGAGTTCAGCGGGCAAGCTTTCAGGGCCGTCTCTCGCATCTCCGTGGTTTTGGGGGAGAAAGGACTCCTGTGGGCCAGTACTTGCGACAATTCAGGCGTGCCGGGTAGTCGGTGGAGGCTGCAATGCAGTTTTGAAGTGGTGATATAGAGTGGAAGGGAGAGGATGGGATCAACGTGGGTCAGGTCGGGTCGCCGATAGCAAGGTAGTACCATTGCTTGCGCATACGGAAACTCGAAAGCTCCGCGAAACCCGCAGGTCACTTTTGTTCCTCGTATGGGTCGTCGTCTGCTGCCGAGCGGAGGGGCCTCTCATGGCGCGAGCAGGACTCGGCAACGCCTGGGGTCGCGGAACGGATTGCCTCAAGCATCCTTGCGCTGTGTCGGGCAACATTTATCCAGCGCCGCCGCTATGCTCTCACTCCAAGCAGCCCGTGGAAGATAATAATCCGCCAATCCGAGGGCTGCGTTGGAGGCCCAGCTTTCCTCTCCGCCGGTGATATACCCCCGCCCAGCTTAGCTGCCCGCCCGTAGGGCAGCAGGGCGAAATTACTGACCGGTAGATGGGACGGCGACCTCCCCAGTGGACGAAATCGGACGCTCGACTACGGTGTTTTGAAGTAGTGTTATGAGCGAGGATGCAGATTAGCACCGTATGCGTGCCATATATGTGGGTTTTCTGCCTGATGCCGTACGTACGGAACGGTCGAGACAACATCTGCCAGCTCAACAAATAGCATGGTTAATTGAGTCCGTGGAACGATATACTCATCTGAATAGGGCGGAGGATGTTACGGTCCACGCCTGGCGCGATGCTACGATCCATCCTGGTCACAGTAGCATCCGGTAGCCTGGACTTGGGGCTTATGGCAGAGACTCCGTTCGGCATTGCGAATATTTTCCGTCGGCAGAATGAAGAAGTATACATGCCGTCCTAGTCGGAGTACAGCTACCGTCCGTTCACTCCGTATGGCGTGTTACATCCCGCCCAGAATTTGAAGATGAAGTACCTACTTAGTGTCAAATATCAGTTAAGAGGTATATGATATTCTTACCGCATAGTACACAAAGCATTCAGGGCTAGTATGCGAATTGGAATGCAGGTATTGAGATACGAGTATGAGTAAGAGTGAGACGACATCTGTCTCAATTCTCTGCTGCAGAACTCGCCGCAGGTGTATCGACCAGTAACAGCAATAACGACTACAAGAGCAAACGAATATAGACAGGGCATGTGACAACGAGGGTACTCCTTCAAATACTATACGCACTCCCACACTTCGGGATGTTCCTTTCCTTGATTTTCATCACTTGTCTGAAGCTTCTCTGACCACCACACTCTTTTGAACTACCATTTCTCAATGTTCAATCGTAAAGCCTTCTCGTTTAAAAGATCACTCTCGTAACACATCTATAACAAATCTTCGTAGTAACTCCGTTGAGTCCCAACAGATCATGCTTCCAGTTTTTTTTTCTTCCATTCGATATCAAGGAGACGCTCAAGAGTAATCAACCTTTGCATAATGTCTTCCGTAAAGTCACATTCAGTACTATGACACCGAAGCCATTTTGTCAACGTCGTTTCTGCACTCTCTTTGAAACTAGAGAAGTGTACTTCGACGAACAAGCCCTCGGCTGCTTCAGTGTTCATCTTGTAGCCTGTATGAAGTCCATGTGACTCTTACTGTCAGTCCTTTCAAAATGGAAACGCATAGCAATCCATCGTCGTTCTATCTAAGGGTTGAATCAGGCTCAATAATATGAATTGGAATAGTCGCTGGTGTATATGACCGAAGGCATGACTTCGGGCTATGATAAAAGTCGTGAATGATGTTCTAGAAAATGTGAAGTTTAGGCGACCAGATATAAAGGATACAATATACGAGACTCATAAAGTGTCCAGCGCTATGAAATATTCCTGGAGCATGTGAATAAGCTAACGTGCCGGTAGAACGGTCCTGCATGCACCCATCAATTCACAGCAAACACGCGGATACATTCCCTCATCCGACTAGCTCCCCAGACAGCCGCTAAATGACCCATGACCTTTCAAACTCGCCAAGCCTGCCTCAAATCCCTGTATTCTGCTTCTGATTGGCCCCAAACTCATTCCAGGTGACTGTTTGTGCGACTTCCCCCACCAGGCCCGCTTCCCCACCAAAATCGCTTTCCTCCTGCCAAATTACATGCTACATGTACTAAATATTTCCTGGCAACCCCAAAATCCATCGATTTACAGATCCAGTTCCGCTGGCGCAATGGTAGCGCGCCAGACTTCTAATCTGGAGGCTGTGGGGTATGTTTTACCTTGCTGCGAATAATCATGCCCGCGTACTAATGATGTATTAGTTCGAGCCCCACGCGGAATGCGATTATCTTTTTGCAATTTTTTTGGTTCTTGTAGGCTTGTTTTCTTGTTGATGATCAACAGCATGGATTTGCTTGGTGACGATAGGGGACTTGCAAGGTTTGGACGTTTTGAGGCAACGGGTGCTCTGACGACGACGATATCTAGTTTTGCCACTGTGAACTGTTCTATGGTCCCTCAGAGCTAGTCACTCGTTTACGCTGTAGAAAAGCGGCTTTTGTTCTGCTGGAGTATCATGTATAATCATTATTCTGTGTATATATGTACTCTTCTCGTCGAAAAAGCGCGAACCCATCTTGAAAGATTCGCACCCCTTTGAAGCCGTGAGCTACTAGCAAGCCTCCAGGATCCAAAGAGAGTTACAGTAATCCCGGTATGATAGCCTTCCTATTCCCAACTTTGTCGCTCCCAAACTTAGCTACATACCACCTCCATCCTTGCAGTGCTCGGGGAAGCATCGTCGCGATCTCGTTGACCAAGAAACTCCTCGCAGGATGACAGTTCAAGCCCCCAACCATCCAGAATCCAGCCCATTCGATCCATTCGCAAAGGTAATGCGGATACAAGATGTATGCGAACAGCCCATTCTTCGGCAACATGTAGATCTTGTCCACCTTCTCCGGCGCCTGGCCTGTCTTCTCTGCTTCCTTTCGCTGCCTACGATCGGCCGCGCGACGGATCTCGCGCAGATCATCGTCATGATATATGTTGGCCAGCAGGCCCCATCCCCAGATAACGAGACCGACTTCCATCCAGTATAGACGCCCGGCCCAGTCGTATACGGTGGTCGGGCCATACCCTGCGAGCCAGCCGCCGATGGAGATGGCGTTGCAGAGCTGGAAGCAGGTGGCCGCGGCCCAGACGAAGGGGTGGATGGGAGACATGCTTGGGTTGAGGACGAGGGGCGAGAGGAGGGCGCGATACAGGTAGTGGATAGTCTGTTTGTCCAATACGTCAGTAGCTGCAAGTAGCCGATTGTCGTACGGCGTCAAGGTTTGAAATGGGGTTGACTCACAAAGCATCCTGCCATTGTCCAGTTTCCCCATGGCAACTCCTCGATCTCCAATTGCTTCGGCAGCGTGAACATTATGTACAGAAGAGTGGTGAATCCTGGCGCTTCCATTGTTGCCCACGCTAGTTTGCCGGGGATGTTGAAGCGGGAGTCATTGGAGGTTTTGCCTTGCGGATACCAGTCCGTAATCCATTGAACAGCCGCGAACTATAATGCGAAAGAGAAGTCAGCTTCGATCTTCCATTACGCAGCTGTTGCAGTTGACAGTGGTGTATTACCAGGGGAAAGAGTTGCCAGACCCAGCACAGGGTTTCCCAGTTCTCCCTGGAAGGCGGCAGCCAGTTCTCGATGAGCACCATATCCTAGATATCGAAGACGCGTTTCGTACGCGTGTGGTGGTCGTAGGTGAAAAAATGCCTCGCAAACTGGTGAAGAAGTAATGAGATCATCGAAGCGCTCGGCTGTACCTGCATTTTATTTACGAGGCCTCTCAGATCTTCACCATCCAATCAAAGCCTCGAGTAGCCGCAATTCTTTCTCTGAACTTCAGATCTTTATCCAATCAGCCTGCAGGAATGCATCTAAAAAGCAGAGCTCTTTTTTGAGCTGTCCGTTTATGAAATCGAACAGCATCATTCTCACGGCTTGATTTAAGATGTCGAATCATTACATTGGAAGGACTCATTTAGATGGACGTTCTGAAATTGTTCAAGGCACTCGATGTGCGCAAGTACAATGCCTCGTCATAGAAATCCGTACACTCGTTTACCGCTGCCTGATGAACTTCATAGTATTTTCAGCATACCGAATGCAGATTGGAAGTGTATCTGCTGCCCCCGATTTCTATTAGTACGTTGGAACTCCACAGACAGTGGCAGAAAGGTGTACGGAGTGTTCCTATGGCAAGGCCCTGTAACTTACGTGCAAAATCCTGTCGCAAAAATTCTAGGACCAACACACCGTAGTATTCTATCGAGCACTGTGAACTCCTTTTACACGAAGCCATCCTTCTACCGTTCTTCTATTGCAACATTTCATTTCAATTGTACAATATTGTATTGTATCACTTCTTATATCCTAACTCGTATGCTGAAGCTGCTCAATCAGCCGTTCAAGCTAAATATCACGTGTTGGTCATGTGAGCAGCATCACGTGGGAGAGTTCAGGTTTGATTCCAAAGAGAAGCTCAAATACATGTAAGCCGAAAACCTCGACTGCCAGGCTCACATGCCAGGAACTTCCACTTACCGGTCGAGCCTTTTATAGTTCCGGGCGAACAGAGTTCAGGCTTCAGACACCGCTGACGGTCTCGGTTTCTCCCACCTCCAGGCTCATACCTCAACTCCGCGTCACCATTCGTCCTGCCACGAATAATGAGGCGGCGCCAGGCTCAACACGCAGCGTTTTTAGACTGCGCATGACTGTTATTCACGTTCACCGGCTGCTAGTTCTGCAGCATACTAACTTACTTCGCGATGGCGAGGCTCCCTAGGCAGAAATGCCAGCGAAGCCGGCGCGAGTTGGGCGGAGGGCGTAGACCGGAAGGCTGTGGCGGGAAGAGCCTCAATCGCAGGGATAGAAGGCATATTCTGAAGAACAGAGAAAACGAGAGTCTGCGCCTGCAACCTTCCGAAGTCTTTTGATTGTCTAAATTTTCACCCCCTCTCCGGTCAGCTCAGGGCTTTCACGCGTCACTTTTCTTGTCATTTCCTCAGCCTCTTCATCAGCCTCTTTTCCTCAGCCTCAGCCTTGTTGACCCCCTTCTATCTCTTTGTGCCTTCCTAAGGGCGCAGAAAGGAGGATATGGCCGACCCTTATAACCACAAAAGGGCTCCGCCAGGCAACAACGAGGCTGCACAACGCTGGTCCAACCCTCAGCAAGATACAACCAGTAATATCTCATTTAATCCATTTCTTCACACCAACTACCCCCAGACCGAGGCACCGCCCCCTTCCCGTAATCTTGGTCTTGTCCAATACGAGTCACCTGTTTTTCCCCACGCTCAGTATCTATACCCTGAGCCTGAGCGCATTGGCCGACTTGAGGACCACTGGCAGGTGAGTTCCACTCCTTTCAGTTCAAAATGTAGGCAGAGGAGGGCCCTTGCATGATTGCATGACCCAGTGTCACCCATCACCGGTGAAAGAGCTGAAGAGTTCTCCCGTGTGGTCGCTGTATTTGGCAAGGCAATGATCGTACTTCTCAGCCTCACCCCTTATTCCACTCGAATGTTTCAGCAACTGACGTTTGAATAGACTGGCAGCTCGAATGACACTGGATATGCATCGCAGCCAACAAGCTCTGGCACTCTGGCCATACCGCGCAATGTAAACACATATCTGTATCAACAAGACTTGTCTTTGTCCTCCAGCAACCTTTTCGACCTCTCAATGGAGCCGCTCACCGACTTTGACGATGTTAATTCTCCAGCTCAGCCGTATATGTCATTTAGAGGGGACCCGAGTCAATACCACCCATTCCCAGATCCGGAACCCGAACCCGAACATTCAGGAGGCTCCCGGCCAAAGAAGAGACGACGGACCAAGAGCCCGGAAATTCACCACAGTTCTGATCGTCTCCGTCCTCGTGCGAAAGTTGCTAGACAAAGCAGGATCTATTCCTCTCATCCAGTACCACAAGAGCCAACCCCGAATGTCAATCCTGTAGGCGTGTTTCCGAACTCTTCAGTGCAGCCTGTTCAACGGGATTATGGACTACCGCCTAGAACTGTCCAACACGGAAGTAATGTTGGAATAACTACGGAAATGGCACCACCTACACTCGACACAATTCCAGCATCGTCGATAGCCATCATACGCAGTGTCCTTGAAAATCAGACTACAAAAGGTTCACTTCCATCTAACGAGAAGATCGAAGCGATATCAACCATAACAGAGGTGCCAGCTCAAGCTATAGCCGCCTGGATCAGAAGAAATTTACAGAGCAGAAGTGTATCGCACCGCTCTACTTCTCCTTTAGTAGCCTTTCCACAACCTAGACCGACACGTCCGCCTCCGGCTACGGTAGATAACGCAGCTGAATCGGATGCGATCTCCAATGACCGCTTACCACAACACGTTCGTCAAGCTATCGAGAAGTACGTGGTGGCTTGCAGCAAGAAGCGTGCGAGAGGAGACGGCCGTCGGAAGGTCAACAACGGTCAATATGCTTGTACAGCGGACTGTGGATACCTCACTAAACGCGCATTCGACTGGAAACGACATGAGGAAACCCATCAGCCACAGGAGTTTTGGTTGTGTGAGATCTGCAGGACTGCCCTTCACCCAAAGATGGTACTTGTTAGTAGACGCGATAAGCTGCTACCACACATCAAAAACGAACACCCTGACGAAGATGCGGACGATGTAGTAGAGCAATCGAAGCAAGACTATGTAGCGGATTTTAAACGGAGATGCGGATTCTGTGGGGCTCGCTTTGAGTCTTGGGATTCTCGGAACAACCATATTCTTGCACACTTCGACGGGAAGCTTGAGGGAGGAATCCGAGCTATGAGCGAGTGGAGAGATCCTTGGTCTGAAGAAAGGAGTGAAGATGAAGATGGAGGTGAAGACCCTTCGGATGATTCGGATGACTCGGATGACTCAAGCGATGATTCGGACGGGCAAGGCTTTCAGAATCAAGGAGACCACGCTGGCGCATCCGGAGGAAGTGGCAGTGGCCATGGATACGGCCAACAGCATCCTCCAAGTAATCCGAGCCAGGAAGGACGACATGGACAGGGCGAATTCCAAGGGCATCAGAGACAGAACCATGGCGGTGGTTTCCATTTCGGTTGGGGTTTACATTTATCTCCAGTAGGTGGACCAGTGTCTGACTTGAAGCACAATTCATCGGAGATGGGAATTTCTTCTCCACAATTAGCCGTGGCCGCCAGGAGGGACTCAGGGTATGAATATGGTGGCAGTCATCATAACTCGATTAGCCTTCCACAGTAAGTTTCTGGACAATCATCTCCTCTTTCCCATGCTAAACCCTCTCGCCAAAGTAGGCACCATGATAGTATCCCACGCAGCCGCTTTAGTGCACCTCGAACCTTACGCCCTAGCCCTCGACCCGAAAAACAAGAGCCCTCTAAGCCGAAAAACAGAAATGTCGGCAAAATAATTGGGAAAGGAGCCTACGGATCCGTTGATGTTGTCGAAAACCGCATGACAAGGGAATTGTACGCAAGGAAAAGATGTCAGGTCTCGACTGACAACCTGTCCGGGTTGAGGTCGTTCCATCGGGAAGTGAAAATCATGAAAATGGTGGCCCACCCTCATATTGTGCGCCTGGTCTCGGCCTATGTTCAAGATTCCTCTTTGAACATCGTTATGAGTCCACTTGCGGAATGCACGCTGCGCCAATACCTAGATCTTCCGGCCATGCGGCAGGGAGAGGCCCCTCGCATACGCTCTTGGGTCGGGTGTCTCTCGTCTGCACTTTCTTACTTGCACTCCAACCGCGTTCGGCATGCAGACATCAAGCCACAGAACCTTCTAGTGAAAGACTCCGACGTCTATATTAGTGACTTTGGCATTTCGAGGATCGTCTCGGAACCGGACTCAACCTCCTCCAGTATTAGCCCCATGACTCCAATGTATGCGGCACCTGAAATCGCTGAGCACCAGCCTCACGGGAGAAAGGCAGACATCTTCTCGCTTGGATGTGTGGTATTCGAGATGCTGACGGTAGCTCAAGGCTATACTATTGCGGACCTCCATCGCCATTTAGGGATCTCAAATAATAAGAAACGTCCGCGGTCCCACCAAGCGTATCATAAGGAACAAAAAGGTCTCATTTCCTGGATCGAGAGCTTATGTTCACCAACAATCACGGCGGCTCAACGTTGCCTGTGGGACGTGTGTAAATGGATGCTAGAGAACAAGGCCGAACAACGACCCTCTTCGAGCCTCCTGGTAGAGTGCCTCGGCCAGCTTTGGCTCTCTGAAAATCTTGGAACCATTCCAGCATGTCTGAGCGCCAGTGTGACATTGATTAGGGAGCCCATATCTCCAATTCCGACTCCAGCCTCTGACAATCAAGAACGTCGTGCTGGCTACGTCCCTGCGCAAACTCTTGCTCGACCTAATTTCCCTCAGAACTCAAATGCCAAGCCGCCGGCTAATCCTCGACCTTTCTGCAATACTCCACCAGCGACTCCGAGGCCTCTGCCTTCGAAAGGAAGCTCACCGTACTCTACATTTGAATACAGTAACACTCCAGAAGATGCATCATTGTCGCTATCGAGGGCCAAGCATACTGTAGACCAGAAGAAAGATTCCATCAATATCGCCCATAAAGCCGACGCACAGTCGTACGACTCACTTAAGCTCTACATAACGGTACCCGCCGCCGTTGTGTGTCTTATGCCATCCGATGACGGTCGTATACACTTCCAGGTTGGCTTCTTGGTTCTTCCAATCGTGTTGATCTCTCAAACCCAAGATAATGCCAGCCAAGCAAGCGCGCGCTATCAGTCGCGCGATGAAGTCTTGTCAAATCCATGTCTCCCTCCACGAAAAGCGAGTTCCAAGATCGAAGCCCGCAAAGAAGGGGTAGTTCGGTTGATAGACAGGCAGACCTGCCATATCTGCGGACGACTCTTTACGGCTCCGAGGTTGATGGATTGCCGAAAATGCGGCCACATCCGCTGCGAAGATTGTCCACGATTCTGTCCTGAGATTCATGAGAAGAAATGGCCCCTAGATCGAGATCCAGATCTGACTGAAATTGGCAGCCATCTCAACCCGCCGGCGTACTCCGTCACTGATTCCACTCCGTTTCTTGAGGACCAGTATGTGTTCAATAAGATCGTGGATCAAAGTCAGGCTGTAGAATACCCCAAGGATCGTTTCCTGCAAGCTTCTCCCTCTACTTTCGATCTTATTCGACCTCCAGTTCGAGATTGTAGGGACGAATGGTGGCGTCCCAAGACTCCATCGGTAGACTCTCTGGACCAGGATCCACCGCGTTTGATCTCAGAAGGGTCACTCTATTCCGCAATACAGCCAGCCCATAAAAGGATGAGACTCGACTACCACATACCTGGGTCCGAAACCGATTCAACAGCACCTCCTGGTTTCGATGGACGGAGACGTATTTCAGTACGGTCCCAGCAAACAGTCCATCTTAAGCAAGCCAGGAGTCTAGACGGGCATGCCAACAACCATACCATCCTGTCCAGATGGTCGGCTTTCCGTAAAGCCGCACCAACAGCAGATAACACAGACTCATCCTTCAAATATCTCCCTGGTATGATCAAGTCGGCCTCGGCATCTACGAACAGCAACGATGCTGTCGCACGAATACCCATACTTCAACATACTCGCTCAATCTCTCACGATTATACAATACCTATCAATAGCCCAAGAAAATCCTCCCTCCAGCGATCGCTCTCACACACGCATGATGCACCGAATCGCCCGATTATTTTTCACTCGCACCTTGATGTCGGACCCTCAAGTAGGGTGTCTGGCAGTGCCGTGAGCATCAAATCAACGGGGAGTAGGGAGTTCAAGTCGATCGGCCGGCATGCAAATACTTGGCTTTTCAATGACTACAGCCTCACCGGAGGCGCGAAGAAGATGTTCAGGTTCTGGGCCGGGGGAAGGGGGCCAAAGGACGTATATTAGTGATGCTTTCCCGTTAACTTTGACTTTCATATTCGTGTTTGATTGCCTTTCTTTTGATCTATCTTGTAAAATACGTTTTCTTCAAGGATTCTTCTGGGGCCGAATGTTTAGACCATCTCATTTTGATGCTTAATGTTTGTTCTTTGCTGTGATATAAGGTCTTGGTTGGTCTGAGTAAAGACGGTGCTAAGTCTACTGGTGGGACTAGTGCCTCAACATTCACACCTTATAACGACGTCAAGCAAGCTTATCAATATCAAGTCTTCGCATTTATTCTGGGTGAAAGGTCTTTGCAATGATCTATCGGCTAATCTTTCTTCAACTGGATCAACTTCGCGTCGCCGTAATGAAGCTCGACGCTTTTTGATTCTTATACCCAGAGGCCAGAATGAGGCGAGCGACCATAAATGCAAAAACGACGCAACGTCAGACAAACAACCCACATACACCTCTTCCGAAGTACTTTGTAAGAAAAGATGGAACAATACAGACAAATAAGCCCACATGCACCATATCCTCCAAACCACCCGCCAACGACTACCTCCCTCCCTCCCTCGCCCAGCCCTACCCTCCCATCACATGCCAGCCTCATCATCCCCCCACCGCGCTCCATGCTCCCTTCGCCCACCTCCAGCCGCGATCCAACACGTATCCCAGTCCCGTCCCTAGCCCTCATCTAACACGCATTCCAGTCCCCATTCCTCCCCTCCTTCCTAAACCTCCCACCGGCCTCCAGCTCCACTTCCCCCCGTCCCGGCGCCCGGGAACCAGGCGCCCCGGAGACCATATCCCTGCGCACAGGCACGCGCCCGTCAGCTAACGACCCTGCGTCTTGACGTAATCGACTATTTTCGGGGTTCGAGTTGTCAGATCTTGATGACCGGCTCGGCTCCGAGATGCGTAGCGAGGATGAAGGATTCAGGAGTGCAGCGCTGGGGTTGGGGGTTTGGGAGGATGGGCCTAGAGCTGGCGGTTAGAGTGGGATTGGGGAGGGGTGGGTGTTGGTGTTGGTCGAGATCGGACGGGTGGGATGGTACAGTAGTTTGCAAATCCACCTTTACTCGTGCACGTACCTATGCGTGAATTGAAGCTCGTGTTTATTTCATCTATACCGACAGCGTTGCTAACACCGCATTACTCAGTATACTCATCGTTCGAGTCCGCTTGCTCAGCTTCCCAGCTCTTAAGGAAAGCAGATCTCGATATGGTATGTGGATGACCGATACCAAGGAATTGTTGAGAAAGTAAAGCACACTTTTCCATTAACTCGATGGCGTTGCTGAATCGGCCTTGGCCGTTGTATGTGAAGGCCAGGTTGCTCATGGCCGTCAGCGTTTCAGGATGCTCCTCTCCTAGCTCTCTCTTTCCAAATCTTTAGTACTTGTACTTGTAGCTCTTCCGCTTCCTTCCACCGGCCTTGCTCTGCGTACATTAAGGCCAGGTTGTTCATGCTTGTTAGCGTTTCAGGATGGTCCTCTCCTAGCTCTCTCTTTGTAATCTTTAGTTCTTGTACTTGCGACTCTTCTACCTCCTTACACCGGTCTTGCTCGACGTATATTAAGGCTAGGTTGCCCATACTTATAAGTGTTAAAGAATGTTCCTCTCCTAGCTCTCTCTTTGTAATCTTTAGTACTGGTACTTGCAGCTCTTCCGCCTTCTTCCACTGGCCTTGCTTGGTGTATGTTGAGGCCAGGTTGTTCATGCTTATTAGCGTTGAAGGATGGTCCTCTCCTAGCTCTCTCCTTGTGATCTCTAGTTTTTGTAATTGCAGCTCTTCCGCCTCCTTCCACCGGCCTTGATTTTTGTATATTAAGGCCAGGTTGTTCATGCTTATTAGCGTTAAAGGATGCTCCTCTCCTAGCTCCTTCTGCCATATCTGCATAACTTCAAACAAAGAAATTCCAGCCTCTATATACTTTCCGTCGCTGTCCAGACACATCGCGAACTTATAGAGCAGCTCTGTTCTTATTTCTGCGTCCTCTTCCTTCGTTGCATCAAGCAGGCGTCGCGCGTGAGGCAAGTATAGTCTCCATGCGCTTCTATTCGCATGATGATCATCATTTGGAAACACGTTCTTCAGACGTCGCATCGCTTTTAACGTCCACCGCACTGAGCTATCTCTTACACGGAGCCAGCTTCGAGTCGCAAAATGTACTAGGCGGTGAACGTCGAGCGTCAGCTTGCCGCTCCTCTTTGCTACAAACGAGTACGCATTCAGCAGGCCGATCGCGTCCGTCTCTCGTTTTCTGGACCGTCCCGGAGGCAGTAGCGACTCCGGTATGTCGATCGGCTCTACACACGACATGAATGCCAAGTAGTCTGCCGCCAGGGTGTCTCGACGGCGGATCTGCTCAAATGAGATCAACCAGGTCGTCGCTACCGGATCCTTTCTATCGCTGTATCTTCCCTCTTCCTCAAAGTCCTCGCTAAGTAAGTCAATCACGTCTTGCTCCTGCTCTGCTAACAGCGCCAAGTAGGTTTCCAGAGTGATTCCGTTCTAGTTGACGTAGGCGGCTGCTTGCACAATTGCGAGTGGCAGATAGGCCAGTTTTGCAAGCAATCTCGTCGCGATTCGGCGATCATTGGCTTGGTCAATTAGGTGTCTATACAGGAGCTGTAGGCCCATCTCTTCGTCTGTCTCTGCTAGATGAACCACGTTCTTCTGCGCAAGCTTAACGGCCGTCTTCCTGTCACGTATTGTGAAGACTATTCGTCCAAGGTCACTTCTTGGTAGAAAATCAAGTAAGCGAGGATAGCCGTCTCGTCCTGTCCACATGTCCACGTCGTCTGCGTTATCAAAGATCAACAGCCATCGACTGGCGCCTTTTTTTTTTGGCTCGGATGGCGTTGGAGAAGGACCTTGCTATCGGCTTGCTTGTCGTCTGAGCCTGGGAGCCGGAGCTATTCTGCAACGCCTTTATATGCCTGCTCGATCGTTTCCATGCTAATCGCAGGGATCCATATGACCGAGCAGTCCGGCGTGATTTCCTGCATTTTGTATGCGAGCTCGAGTGCGATCTGTGTCTTCCCTGTGCCTCCTAGGCTTACCATGGCTACCTTCGCTGCTCCACAGTCGCCGAGTAGCTCGTTTTGAAGCAGGTCGAGCTGCTTCTTTCTGTCGACGAAACGACGATTTTGTGCGAACGGAATATTCTGGAAACCCTCTGGGGACTCTGGTCGTAGGTAAGGATCATGCTACAAAAACAGGTAGAGGACACCCTACTTATTTGAAGCTGGTTCATGCGAATAGTATACTCCTGGGCAGATGTTAGCAAAATATCGCATTATTCACAGCTTGGCCATACTTTCACGACAGCTGCAAAGGCAGTATCGGCTCGGTCTACTTGTATATTAGCACGAGCCTATATGTGTATACTGCTACGTGAAATCATCGATATACATACTTTGCTTGTCCTTCAGGTGTAAAACACAGTCCCTGACTCGCACGCTTTGCTGCGGATGCTCCAGGTACTCATTGGTCGCTGCTTGAATTGCGCCTTGCTCCTTGTACTCTGCCAACCCGATGCCCCGCAGTCCCTGCTCAACATTCAGCCGGAGGTATCGCTTCTCGTCAAAGAGGCGGGCCCATCGCGCTATGACTCTCTTCTCCGTTCTCTCCGTCTCCGTTACCATGTCTACTAGCGTCTTTGATAGCAACTTCAGCATGTTGTCCTCAAGGGCCTTCTTGCCACGGTTTCCTGTGCCAACAGATATAAAGCACTTGGTAAGCGACATCAGCTCGCGAGACTCGGAGCACCAGATATTCGCCGCTTTTTCCTCCACCTCTTCGGCAGGGTTATTTGTGCCGAGCGCGCCATCCACAAATCGTCGCGAGCCGACGTTCACTGGATCGAAGAAGCCTGTTGCCGCCGAGGTCGCCAACGCAGCCTCGCAGATCGTGGCCGAGATATTGGGCCTGTCAGGCAAGTCGTAACTTCGAAGACGCGTGGTGCCGCTGGTTTCGTGCGCGACGGTACAGATGAAGCTGGCTCTAGTAAGCGGATGAAAACATGATACGAACTTTCCCGCTTACACTCTACACCCGCGATCTTGACCGTCGTTGAATAGATCCTCTATTGAGGCACCGCTGTCTCTGATTACCTTCTCGATAGCCTTCCTCAGCTTGCCCGAGTCGAATTGTGCCTTCGTCCTGCCCGACCAGCCAACCGGCAGTCGACTTGACTTCTTCTCGAATATAGCCTTCATCAATTCCTCGTACGCAGCGATGCAGGCCTCTACCGTCATCTCTAGTCGGCCGAGCGTGATCGCGATCAACCTAGTCGATTTAGTGGTATTCTAGATATGCATCAGCAGTAGAAACACACCCGCCTGCACTGGTTCCGCCGATGAGGTCGAACACCTCGCACGGGTTGACTGAGGAGAGCCCGGCCTGCTGACGCTCGTGGTTCAGTCATTTCATGAGGCCTTGCAGGATGTGTAGAGTCGAGAGGCCGCGCACCCCGCCGCCATCCAGCGCCAGCAGACAGAGGCCCGTCGTCGATGCGAGTGTATAGCTCATTTATAGTGTGGTATTGCGGACGACTGGAAGGCGTAGCCTAGTGGGCCCACCCTATGTAGCTGGGTTCGAGGGGACCAGCAGGCTCCCAACTAGCCGCCGGCCCCAGCTGAGCTGGTGGCCGAGACAGATGATCTTGGCTAACTTTACGATTCAGCATGTGCGAACTTTGACATTGTACGCTTTAAAACTCTCCACCTACTGGAGTCCCTTCATAAGCATATCGCACACCCCGACATGAAAGCAAGAAAACATACGACCTAAACAGTGGGAAATAGGCCCGAAAAGCCTGGGGCCACGATACCACCTGTATAGATGAACGTTCACACAAGGCTATGTACACCCATTTGGCACTGCCTGAGGCGCCCCGATGGGCCTCTGAGAACCGAGAAGCGATGTAAGGTTTGACAGAGTGGAGATAAGATTACCTCTTGACTGACCACCAACCTGATAGCTGGAGTACTCCTGACAGTGGCGTTAAACAGCAAAAAGTGACACTTAAATAACTGGATTTCTACGTGCGAAACCCCAAAACTTAGCACTCTGTATCTTTCCAGAAGCCAGTGCGCACTGCACACTCATTGGCACTGTCTGAGGGACCCCTACAGACTTTGAAAACCGTAGAAGCGATGTAAAGTCTGAAACGGCGGAATTGGGACTACCTTTTGGCTAGCGAGCTGCCTAACAGTTACCACCACCACACTAACCGCCAGCGCCAGCGTAGAGTCAACGCCATGCCTGCCTCTGTGTCTGCTGTGCTGGCTTCAACATTTGAAGCCATAAGCTACCCGGTGGCCAAGCTGAAGTAATCCTGACAGTGCTGTCGAACAGCCCAGAAGTGGCACCCAAGTAGCTGGATTTCCATGTCCGAGAAACCTAGAACCTAGCACTCGCTATCGTGCCAGAAGCTGATACATGCTGCACACTTGTTTAGCACTGCCTGAGGGCCCCCTACAGACTCTGAAAACCCCAGAAGTGATGTGAAGTTAGAAACAGCGGAATTTGTACTACCTTTTGGCTAACGGGCTACCTTGCAGCTGGGGGATTCCTGACAGTGCTGTCGAGCAGCTAAAGGTGGCATCCAAGTAGCTGAATTCACACTTGCGAAAATCCTATGACCTGGCACTCGATATCATGCCGAAAGTCGATGCACACTACACATTGGGTTGGCACTGCTTGAGGTGCCCCCATAGGCTTTTGGAAATCGAGAGACGATGTAAAGTTTGATAGAGTGGAACTTAGGTCACCTCTTGACTGACCACCGACCTCACAGCTGAAGTGCTTCTGACAGTGGTGCCTACCATCCAATGGTGCTACCTGTAGCTGGATAACAAGGTGCGGAAAACGCAGGTCCTAACACTAGGTATCTTGCTGGAAGTTGACGCACGCTGCACGCTCCTTTGGCACTGCAGGAGGTGGTTCTCCAGACTTCCGAAGACCTGGAGGCGATGTAAAGTTCCCTAAGGTGGAAATTAGACTGCTTCTTGACTGACAAGCCACATGGAGCCGGGGGTTCTCCTGACAGTGTCCTGCGCATATCAAATATGGCATCGAAGTAGCAGAATATCCGTGAGCGCAGCCTTATGACATACTACTGCGCTACCCACGCGTTTCTTTGACGCGTCGTGCCTCTTTTTAATAGAAGGGACACAGAAAGGGGCTTATCATCAAGTGCCCGTCCCATCTATAGACAAACCCACCATACTACTAGAAGCACAATAAGAATTTTCACGACTCCTGACCCACCGCTCCCTCTATCGTGAACAGCAGCCCGGCAAATCGTAACGCCGTGTCCACGTGGTCACGCGCTATCGCGTCATGCGACTTCACTTTTCACCTGCTCTTGCTGCCGCTTTTCCTCTTTCTTCTTCTTCTTTAACTTCTTACATCTTTATAACCAAACAACGACACCATGGCTATCAAGCGCAGACTGTCTCGCGGTTGGAAGAAGTTGCCGTAAGTACCCCTATTCGTTTTGATATCAACTCTAGCGAGGTCTCATTCTGACAACACGTGATACAGCCTCGAGGGTACTCCGGCGGCTGCGGCCGACTGGGACTGGGAGCAGACGTTTGCTGCTCCCAGTTCCAGCCGGTCGGGGTTGGCAGAGGAAGAAGAGGACGATATTGTAAGATATCGCGCAGACTTCCGCAGGTTAGCCCTGCGAATCGTTGCTGTAAGTGCTGTCTTGTGTCTTTGCCTTCATTCAACAGTTACAGATTCAGGATGGGACAACCAGGAGCCAAAACGACCGCCTTTTCTCTCTGGATTAGGACCACCAGGAGCCCGGATCCGGATCTGGAGTAGATTTAAGAGATAAGAGATGGATGAAAATGTAAGCTGAGAGAAAGAGACGATGGACTTGATGATGTTGATAACTAAGGAATATCCTCCTGGACTATTCGAAACTTAGACGCAGGCGATGTCAAAAGCACCAGTCCAAAGATCAAGCCCGATTTCGCTATCAAAAGCAGCAGCTCCGAACAGCCTTACCACGACTCGCCATGTCTAGATCTAGACAATAGTAGGGCAGTGGCGTCGAGATATCAATCCTGCCATGCTTCTGCAATAGGGCTCGGCCGAATACAGCGCTACCCCTCATCCTTTTTGACAGTGTTGTTGATGGATCGACAGGCTGGCGAGCGAATCAGGCGCGTCCAACACGACAATCAGACCATGCGGCGTATCAACGCGCGGGGGACCGGGCTTTCTGGAGGTCGCATGGTATTCGTCATCAATATCAGGGCGGAATATGTACAGTGGCAGCAGCGTCTCACCGACATTTGACACGCCCGCGCGTGAACGGAGTCAATATCAAAGTCAAATATTCGCGCCTACAACGGCGGCCGCAAAGTATGAGCTCGGTCGCGCCCAATTCGTCCCGCGGAGGCTCGGATCGGAAACAGGCAGCCGGAGGTGATCGAGGTGGTGCGAGAGTTCGGAATCGTGGAGAGGGTTGAGAGTCATGGCCACGGGTACTTATCGAATAATCCCCCACAACAAAAGCGAGGCCTGCAAGCGAACCCGCAGCCGGCTCGCGCGCGAGGCCGGACCCTATCCAGACACAGATTGGGCTGCCACGTGTTGCCAACCCTGTCCGGCGTGCCTTGGTCAACGGGCATGACTCGGGGGTCCAGCAGCTGGCCAGGAGAGCCGATTCGTCAGATGATCTGCGACGAGGCGTAGGGCAGAGAAGGGACTGAAGGCGGCGGAGGCTGTCAGCCCGCGATACACATCCAACGAAGAGATCGTGGATGCGTGCAGCCAAACATGCAAGCCCCAAGTTGCGTGCGAGATGCAGGCCCAACAGACGCAGCCCAGCAGCCCAGCAGTCCAGCAGTCCAGCAGCCCATGCCCATGCCCACCACCAGCCTGCCCAGCCTTGCTCCTTGCGACTGTCGAAGCGATGGAAAGGCTCCCCCAGCACCTCATCGAGGCAGCAGTATGGCAGCACAGGCGCCGTGCGCTGCGAGAGCCGAATGAGCGCGCCTGGCGCTGATTATTACGGCGGGTATCTCGGAGGACGGCCATCCCAGCACGGCTCTGCTCTCTGCGGTGCGGGCTTCCTCGGCCTACTGCTGGTGAAGCGCGGGCGGTTTCCACTAGCCATGCTGGCTGCATGCCGACACGAGGCCAGAGTCGAGCCGGGCAGCGTGTCATGCCTTCACCAACGCCCTCGCTTCGTTACCGCAACGACGATGGAGACAGACTCGGTCCCGCCAACACTCGCGATCGGCCCAACTGCCGGCCAACAAGATGCTGCCGGGGGCACTGCCGGCCGCGCTGCTCGCTAGGCCTAGAGGGTGTTTCCCAGCCACAGCCCCTTGCCGATGCTTCCCAGGGACAACCAGGACAGCGACACGAGGGCGAAACGTGGGGGCGTGCACTGGCGCCGAGTCGGAGATTTCGCGAGGCTTCTTGCCAGATGGCGACTGGCGCTGAGGGCGAATGTTCTACCCGGCTTCGCTGCTAGCTGCTTCGGCATCCCGAACCCCTGACGGCTCGGCACAGACGTCTCTCGCTGCGCTCCCGCCCACGTTGACCAACCGCGCCGACTAATGGCCTCCGCCAGCGTCTCCACCTGCGCAACAAGCACATCTCAGACATGCGGGCAGTCGGCCCATTCCGCCGCTTGGTGCCGGCGGAGAGGAAGGCTTGGTGTCGGGAGCGCGCGCCCTCAAACCCTGAGCCCGGGGGACGCAAGGAGCTCCTGGCCGCGGGAGTGCTGGGCGATGTCTCGCAGCCGCAAGCAACGTGTCTCGTTGCGGGGACGTCGCACACACGTGGAGCGACCAGTCGAGAAACATGTCGTCAGGCCGGCGCCCATCCACAGAAGAGCACTGCAGGCCCAGCCGTGGCACTGCGCTGCCGACGCGGCAGATGTCGCGTTGCCGCATGGGGCTGAGGATCTGCGGCACGCGAGCCGGTTGGTGTGTGCTGGCGGCCTCGTGTGCGTGCTGTGCTGCCCTTCGCTGCGACGAGACGGTGCTGGTGTGGCAAAGAATCGCGGCCGTGTCTCTGCTGCTGAGGTTGTGCTGCGAGATGCCGCGGAATGGTGCATCTTGGCTGTGCTGATGGGAGACTGGTCGGCCGTCCGGGCCAGGGTGCAACGTGGAGGGCACGTTGTTGTGGGCAATTGTGGAATGGAGCTAGCAGCCACGTCCCGCACCGCCAGCGGCGTCAGGCATCAAATCCTCCAGCGCCGGTTTCAGCAGCCAGGGAGCGTATAGGCCCGCAGTGACTCCAAGGCACAGAGCCTCAGCCGGCGGCGATGCGCGCAGCCGCGGCCGGAGTTGCACACGACGGGGCTTTGAGGAGCGCCAAACGGCGGTGCAGCAGTCGAAACCTGGTTGACCTGGTGGACCTGGTGCTGCTGTCTGAGAGGCCGACGCCGCCCGCTGCACACGCATCCCGGCGACAACGTGCCGTGGAGCGCAGGACTCCTCCACTCGCTCCTGTGGACGGCGACGTGCAGGGCTTTCGTCGAAAGTCATGCAGCAGGCACCGCGCCGCTGAGCCATGCACGCAGCGTGGCCGCCCGCGATCAGCACCAGCACGCCGCCGCCGTCGCGGTCGCTGCCCAGCGAGCCGGTGTCGACGGCCCGTGAGGTTGTTTTTGGCTTTGGCGGTGCTGGCTGGCGGTGCCCGTGAGAGGAATCGGCGACACTGTGCGGCGAAAGGGGCTTGCGATCCCGCGTCGGCGGTCCTCGGGGGCCTCCACGCGGGCATACGAGCTGCATGCTGCTGAGGACGGGGTGTGGATGCGTGGTGTTGGCCGATGCCGTTGCCGTCCGTTTGCAGCTGCTTTTGCAGCGCCGTGGACGTCGCCGTGGAGAGTGCTGAGCGTGCGAAACACCAGCGCCCCGTCCGCTCGAAGGACGTCCTCGCGCCCTCAGGCTCCAAATTGCCGTCCCACCGCGATCTGCAGGGATGCCTCGTGGTCGCCCGCCATGGATCGCGTTAGCTCTGCCCTGGAGTCTCACTGCCGGGGGCGCTGGATCATCACCAGGCGGTTGAGGCCAGCCCAGTGTCGTAGGCCCAAGCCAGCGTGCAGGTAGCTCTGAAACACCCTTGCTCGTACCCACTCCGTCTGCGACCTGCCCAGGTGCTCTCGCTGAGGAGCGCTCCTACCCTCACCCGCCCAGCATCCCAGATGCCGTATACTACCTCCCCCTTCGCCTCACTCGACTCCATCTCCCCACCACTCCTCCCGCTGCACTCCCACTTCGCCGCCCGCGCGCCCACCCCCAGCGACACTGCCTCTGCGTCCGCTGCTGCTCCCGCACCCTCGTCTGACGCCCGATTGTCAGCATCGTCGTCGACTGTGACCTCGGCCTCCGCTGCTGCATCTCCAGCCTCCGCCAGCAACACCACCGCAGACCCTAGTCCCCAGCGAACCGATCGAGCCTCGAGCGACGTCCGCCGCCTGTCTCGTCGCCTGCCGCTGTTGCTGAGGAAGCCGTCGCGGGGAGAAGTCGCAGCACCCGCCCAGCAGCCCACGCCGTCGAGCACTTCACCCTCATTGACGACCTGCTCCACGCCCTCTCCGCCCGCAAATCCCCAGCCCGACCACCCTTCGCTTTCGGGGCCGCGAGCACGCGACAGTTCCGCCAGCCTGGTTTCGATTGCTGCTGAGGCGCCGCCGCCGACGCAGAGGAATCCCAGTTCGGGGTCGCTGTCTCAGACCGCCTTGTCGCCGCCGCTGGCGCATATAATCAGTTCCCGGAAGTCGAGCGAGGTGCCGGCTTCGTCTGTCGCCAACCGCCGCGGGAAGCTCCAGTTGTCGCGCTCGCTGTCTCGGCTCGAGTCCGGCCAGCGTCGAAGCAATAGTTCAGGCGCGTCCCAATTGCAGACCGCCAAGGACAAAAAGATGCATCAAACGTCGTCGAGGCTGCTCCGTATGACGGACGATGAGCGCCCGTTCACTAGAGTAAGTGCAAACATTTTGTCGTGTCCCGGCGTGGCCCGCCTTCCGTTTTGGGCAGCCACGTTTAAACTGCTCCACTCCGCGGCCACGAACCTCGCTCCACCACGACTTTCCACTTTACCACCTCTCACCTCCGTTTCTTGGACTCACCGCCTCGATGCTCGCGTTGGACTGGCGAGAGACGCTCAAAATGGCTCTGGACGTCACCAGCAAGCATACGGCGGCCCCGGACGGCGCTCCCGCCGGACGTCTGCACCCTCGAACAGAGCCGACATTGCTCGAGCGACTCACCACCAACCGTACCCGCGGTTGGCTCTGCCAGGTTGTCCCCTCCTGGATCTGCTAACTATTGCTACTCTGGATTTCGCGTTTTGCAGTGAATTGGCTTAGCTAACGTGCATCTCAATTAGGACTTCAAGGATCTCTTCTCCACACTCATGGTCTCGCTCCCACTCACCCCGCACCGCGTGCGCTTCCGCATGATCGAGCACACCTTCACGACCGAGGAGGCCGTCACCAATCTCGGCAGCCTCAAGTTCTCCCAGTCCAATCGCATGCCAGACCCCAAGGACTCCTCCCGCGTTGTGACCACGACCACAACCACCACCTTCTCCATGGCGAAAGAGATGGCCCGCTCCGTCTGCCAGAAATTCTTGGATGCTCGTTTCATTGAGTCGGTCGATGGCAAGACGGACTTCAACAGCAAGAGCTCCGTCTGGGCTCTCACTCCCAAGGGCATCCACATCCTCGAGCGCTTCTGCAACCGCAATGGTATCCAGCAATCACATGTCCGCGACCTAACCAACCTCCCCCGGAACGCTGGAGCCCTCGTGATTCTGGAGCGTGAGCACGAGACGGACAGGCTGAACCGCGACCCCGACACCCTGAAGATTCTCTTCTCGCGATTCGTCGGCCACAAGGCGAATGACGACGCAAACTCAGATTCTGATTCGCTGCACGACTTTGCCCGTTCCAACATCGGCGTCAGGATGATCCGGGAGCGCCGCTTCAACGACAAGCTCTATCTCTACACCTTCACTGGCAAGGCCACTGTTGACTGGCTTATGGACTGCTGCACCATGGTCGACAAGCGTGAGACCTACGAAGTTGCTGGCTTGTTCCTTGAACAGGGCTTCATGGCTCCGGTAGAAGGCTACACTCCTCGTGATCGTTTCGTGGCCTCGAAGCAAGCTATCTACTACGTCACCCCGCTCGGAGAAGAAGTCGCGGGCTGGATTGCCACTCCTGAGGGCTCCGTCAACGGCGAGGCCAACGGCAAGCCGCGCGATGGCACGATGCGAGATTCCAACGCCAATCGTATGGGAGTCATCATCACCAACCCGGCCGCACGTCTCCTGTTCCGCGAGTTTCTGAAAGAGAGCCATTGCGAAGAGAATCTCTCCTTCTACCTTGAGGTTCAAGACTTCACCAAGCAATATAAAGATGCTAAAGCTATCACCCCAGCTCCCAAGGTCGAGGTCATCCGCGAGACATTGGCTGCTGCATACAGCCTGTACAACGCCTTCCTTGCTCCTGGCTCTCCGAATGAGTTGAACATCGACCATAGTCTCCGCACTCAACTCGCTAGCCGTATGACTCGCGCAGTCGGCGACGATACCTCGATGCTCAAGAGTCTGGATGAGGTTGCATTGCTGTTCGATCGTGCGCAGAACTCCATCTTCAAGTTGATGGCCAGCGTAAGTATCTTGATAACTGCTCTTCCCCTATGTTTTACTAACTTTATTCAGGATTCCGTGCCCAAGTTTGTCCGAAGCCCCAAGTATCTGCAACAGATCCGCGAGCGCAACCTGGAGGCTTCCCTAGGAGCACCGACCCGCTCCTCACCATAGACGTCGACTTCAATTTGCTCCTTCCGGCGTCTGTATGGCTCATGACCTTTCTCTTCGACAGATTTCACCAACGGTCTTCCACGATTCATACGGAACTGCCGGGTTTACTCCTGTTGTGCAATGGCGCCAGCAAATCTCCTGGCCCTCTGCATCATCCATGCTTTTACTCTGCGATAAGGCTATCCATGGAACGCCGAGCAATCCCATTACATGCTGTCATCTACCCTTCTGAACGAGGGGAGCTTTGGATGATGGATGGCAGGGGAATTCCTCTGTAATTTCTATATGCTCTCTTTTCCTTTCACCGAATTCCCCCTTTGATTGAACTCATTGCATGGCACAGCTAGAAGCTTTGGCGTTTACGGTACCGGAAAATACTCTCCCACCAAATTCACTCTTCCGGCATTTTCTCATGGGTGGCTATTTGCTTTGGCTTTTTGTTTTCCACTTTTCTTTTCTTCTCTCTCATGCATCCATGCACCACCACACCTTTGTTCATAAATCATGCCTTTTGCTTGAGTGTTGCTAGTAGAGGAGGAGTTTTTTTCTTCTTCGATTGCACACTATTACAAAAAGGTCGAGCTGAAGGCAGCAAGCATAGCAGATGAGAGAGCCTATTAATTTTGTTTTCTGCGAATGGCATTGAAAGGCGATGTGCGCTGCTTCTTTGCGCATGTGGTGGAAGGATTGGGGGAAGCTTGCATCGGATGTATGATAATTCACATTGGGAACCCTCTTCTCCCCCTGAATGGAAGCTACAGCTAGATATTTGCAAACTGGATACTCCTGCCTAGTGCTTTCAAGAACTGCCGTGCCGCCCATATCAAACCTTCAGCAACACCAACCTATTCTCCTTTTCCCTCCTCCCTCTTTCCAGCTTGATCCCCACCCCCCTCGTATCCCCACGTGGCGCCCTCGTATCCGCCCGCCCGCCAAGCCCGCCACTGGCGCCCGCTTCCCACCTGCTCGAAAAGCACACAAACAACGAAACTTCACGGCCCTCGCCTGGGAGTTCGCCTGTGCAGTCCATAAGTAGTAAAATTGGCCACTGACGGAAGCCACCCTACCGTACCTGTATACGGAACATCTACAAAACGTAGAAAACTTTTCAGCGCCCCGAGGTTCCCGAGCGCACCTGCAGCCTTCTCTCCCGTGGTGGCTATTACGTTGGAGGCGTTTGCGCATGCTGGCAGCCGATAAGGGGGCAACGCAATCACACGCTCATCGCATCTGCGGTTTTTCCCGTGCATGGACGCGAACATGCAGATGGGCACTTGTACACACATGCGGTTACATAACGGGCTTTCTGCGATGAGGGATGGGGAGGATGATGCGCCCGTGGCGGTGGAGGCGCGACTGCTGATCTGTTGGAAGCGAGGGGATATGCGGGTTTGATGCCTGCGGGGCGGGAGGAGGGGAGGTTGGGTTGCGGTATACGGGTCTTTCGGGGTTTTTCTTTGCGGAGGACGGAGGGAGGTGCTGCTGGAAGTTGGGGATGGGCGCTGTGGAGAGGTTAGTGCAGGAAGTGTTGGTTGGCTTGGTGGTAGAGTGAGATGGTGAGAGGAAGTGTACAGGACGGGATGGTTTGATGATTTGACTGGATTGGTGGGAATAAGTGATGTTCAGTTTTTGACGATAAATGCTTCTGTTGGGACGAGGAAGGCTGAATGTCTCATGGGACCGGAAAGGCTGTCCCGGGTTATTCTATACGAGTAATCATGGCACACTCTTGGAAGCCGTCTTGACCAACGTTCTTACAGACTCGTATCGTTTTTGCCAGAGCATCTTTAACATTGTTCCTAGCGATGCTGGGAAAATTGAGCTTACATGTGATAGGGGAGTCCGCACGTGACCGCGGGTGTTGGCGCTAGTGAGCCGTGTTTACGACGACCATCGTCCAAATCGCGTCTGCCTTGTCCACTTCAAATACAACAACATACTCTCTTGCCAGACTTTTTTGGATACAATTTCTTACTATGGCACCAGCACCTCCGGGGGTGAGTGTGAAACCCATTGCGACTGTGCTTTCACCAAACTCACCAGTATTTGCAGTCACAGATCGCCCCACTACCAACCAATCTTCCGTTTCGCATAGTATCAAGAACCATAGGCCAAGGCGCATATGCCTCGTGAGCGGAGTTCAGCGTGTGCCAGTAGCAAGCATGCTAATTGAACATAGAATACGAAAAGCAACGCCCCTCAATGCCCCCAAACCCGTCATCGCCATCAAATTCGTCAACAAGGAACATGCCTTCAAGCAAGGTCGTCTTTCACCTAAGCAGCTTGCCATGGAAATCACCCTACACAAATATCTCGGGAAACACCAGAACATAATACATTGCCTGGGGAATGGCGAGGATCCCCTGTGGACGTGGATCGCCATGGAGCTTGCTGAAGGCGGAGATCTCTTCGACAAGATTGAGGCAGACGAGGGCGTTGGGGAGGATGTGGCACACTTTTACTTCACGCAGCTGATAGGGGCAGTCAGTTTTATGCACTCGAAGGGTGTAGCACATCGGGATATAAAGCCAGAAAACGTCTTGTTGTCTGGTGAAGGTGACCTCAAGCTTGCGGATTTCGGGCTAGCAGCTCTATTCAGAAGAGACGGAAAGACTCGAGTCTGCAACACCGTGTGTGGCAGTCCTCCCTATATCGCCCCCGAGATCCTCAGTGGAAGACACAGCAAACGACCGGACGTCCTGGACACTGGTTACGTCGCCAACATATCTGATATCTGGTCCTGTGGAGTTGTGCTCTTCGTGCTCCTTGTAGGCAACACTCCCTGGGACGAGCCCACCCGCCGTAGCGAAGAGTTCAAAGAATACGTCGACACCAACGGCCGCACAACTGACGAACTCTGGACCAAACTCCCCCAAGATATCATCTCCCTCCTCCGCGGCATGCTCAAACTGGACCCAGCGACCCGCTTCACCCTTGACGAAATCCGCACACACCCATGGTTCACACGGCCAAACCCCTTCCTGAACCCCTCCGGCAAAGCCTCCAACCCGGTCGGCCTCGCAACCCAAATGCTCTCATCCCTCCGCATCGACTTCAACACCGACCCCACCCCCTCCCAACGCGCCGCCGCCTCAGACGCCGACGCAATGGACCTCGACATAACCCCAGAAACCTTCCCAACCCGCTCCCACGCCGTCCCGCTTTCCGCCACCCAGCCCGAAACCCCCATCGCCGACACCCCCTTCGACTGGGAACGCCCGCCCCGCCTCCCTATCTACGACGGCATCTCCGCCTCGCAGCCCGTCGGCGCTGGCGCCTCCCTCGCGCCCGTGTCCCAAGAGACGCTCGACCGCCTCTCCGAAGACCCCTGCCTCTCCCAATTCACGCAAACGCCCTCCGTGCCCCTCTCCCTCACCCAGGCCGCCCGCAAGTTCGCCGACATCCTGCCCACGCACTCGCTCGCGCGTTTTCTATCGCCACTACCCTTCTCGCTTCTGCTGCCTCTGCTGGCGGAGGCGTTGCATCGGCTCGGCGTGCCGCTGCCGCCGTTCAGCGCGGAGCAGATGCAGGAGTGGGAGCGCGAGCAGGAGGCGTGGGTGCGGGTGAAGACGGTGGATGGGCGCAAGCAGGGGCTGAATGGGCACGTGGTTGTGGAGCGGTTTGGCCGGGAGATGCTGGAGGTGCGGTTTGTCAAGGCGAGTGGGGATCCGCTGGAGTGGAGGAGGTTCTTTAAGAAGGTGGTTGTGCTGTGTCGTGAGGGGGTTTTGGTGCCGAGTTCGTAGTCTGAAGTAGATGTGTGCGCGGGGTGATCTGTTTCGGGAGTTGAAGGGGTGGGTGCATAGGTTGGTTATTATGACTTTTAGACCATGGTTGGGCGGGTGCGTGAATTTGGATATTTCGCTCTCTCTGGGATAAACGGCTTTGGAATCGTACAATGCTGCATCCGTCCCCAAAGGTTCCCGATCTCATCCCGAAATCTCATGCGTCTCCTTTCACATCTACCCCTCCGTCCATATATTCCTCCCTCTTCAGTGTCGTCCACTCACTCAACAGCTCATCCACCTCATCATCCTCTTCGCCCTCCTCATCGTCGTCCACCTCAGCCTCAACATCAATATACTGCATCCTCGCACGCCGCTTCCCGCGCTTTCCGCGCTTTGGAGTCTCCCACTCTTCTTCATCCTCTCCACCGTCCGCTCTACCATAAACCCCGTCATCAAGCACATAAGCCGCTTTAGGCTCAAAGTCGTCCCCTTCTAACCTTTGCGCCACAGAGGCAGCGACATCAACCGCGTCCACCTCGCCAGCACTTAACCGCATAGGCACTCCACTACCAGCCACATTTCCAGGTGCATAGACGGATGCTCTGGGTGCACCGTGATGCCGTATCTTCGACCTCACTCCAGCCGCTACGCCAGACGAGGAGGTGGTAGAAGTCCGCCCTGCAGCGGACCCGGCCACCCCCGCCAGAGCCGCCCTCGTCATGGCTGCCTGTCTCCGCGCGTCCTCGGACTGTGCGTGATCGCTCCACACAGTGGCCTCTGGTTGCCGCATAAGTGGTACATAGCTGGGCAGAGAGTTGTTGCCGGATCGCGAAGAGGGAGAACGGCGGAGCTCTACCGACGCTGCAACCGCGGCCGCTGCGGGGGTTGGGGAAAACTGACGTCCGCGTGGACGTTGCGTGGCGTCTGAATTTGAGGCATATACAAACGTCTCATCGTCACTGGTGGTGTCGTCGACGGCTGCGGCGATTTTCGCTTCGAAGATGTCGGCTTTTGTGTGCGTGCCAGATGCAGCTATTCGGGGTCGTCTGGGAATATCATCCCCGGTTCGATCAAGTCGCTGTCGGTTCTGTGCCTCGGTATGTTAGCAAGTTTTTCTAAACGGGTAAAGAGACAGGGATAAGTGAGCTTACGGGAGCGATGTGGTCATCGACTCTATCTGTTTTGGAGACGAGTCGCGAGACACGGGTGTTCTGTACGGAAGCCTCTTGGTCGGTGGCTCTGGCTAGTGCGTTTAGTCGCGCCGCAGCGTCGTGGAATGCAACCGGGTCGCTATCAAGCTCGTCATCCGAAGAGGTAGCTTCGAATTGGTATTTGGAGCGAGCTACCGATGTAGGTTCAATGTCATTGCGAAAGATCCGCTCGCGGTCTGCCTCTCCTAGCTCGAGCACCGCCTTGCCTTGATCGGGTTCCACCTCCAGAGAGGGGGAAGGAGGTCGCGCTCCCACAGGACTTCGAGAGCGTCCTGGCACGGGCTGGTTAGATCCTGTATTTGCCTTTGTTGCGGCCCTTTTGGTCTTCACTTCCTTCTTACCCGCGCCGCCGGTTGTCCACCTGAGGAACTGCGGTAAAGGCGCTGGTTTCTTTTTCCGCGACGGATGGTGATTGACGACGACCATGTCTTGGCCCGGCATCGGCGGATGAGACGGAGGCGGAGGAGGCGGAGGAGGCGGAGGAGGCGGTGGGAGAGGGACAGGTAGGGGAGGGCCTGAGTAACTCGTCGTAGATTTCCTTGCCTTTTTGGCAACTCCACGCCTCTTTTTGATAGCTGGGGGCATATCCTCCATGTCATCGGCCCATGATCCCACAGCTGCATGTCGTTAATTAAGGACGTCATGTCGGTTGGGGAAGTTGGCACATACCTTGGTTGGTCAGAAAGTCCCCCAGGGACAGTTTCTGCTGCTGTTTCTTGGGAGGTGCTATACATAAAGTGTCAGTCAGGGTTCCAGTACGCCGCGATCAGGGACAGGTAGGAGAGGGCCTGGCATACCTAGTCCTATACTTGAGGGAGGTGGTGGAATTTCCGGCCACAATATCATCTTGACGGTCATACCGGGCTCGATGAGAGCTTCCCAGACTTGAGGCAGCATGATTTCGCCATCAGGGCCTGCAAGATCGTAGTGGCCTGCGAAGACGTGTTTATTTAAGCCTTCTACATGGGCGAAGCCGGTGTTGATCAGTTCTTTCATTGCCTTTGATTGTGTTAGACTGGAAGGAATAAGAGCTGAGGAGTTCAATGTAAACGTTACGCGAGGAAAGGACAGATGTACTCACGCTCCAGCTTTTGGCTAGATGCCAAGGGAAAGTGAACTCCCTCCCTATGGCATCAAGGAACTGCACTGCCGGCTTCATCTCGTCAGATGGAGGGGCGAGCTTTGCGACGTTCTTTTCATACTCTTCCATGCCTTTCTCTTTCGCTACTTCCTCTTGCGCCTCTGCCATATGTAGCGCAGTCAGACCTACAGCTGCCTCGAGATCGCTTTCATCGCTGGCCACTGCTTCTACGTATTCCTTTCTAGCTTTGTCTTCCGCTATTTTGGCTTTATATCCTCTTTTAGCTTTCTCATCAGCTGCCTTTGCTTCGGTAACAGCTTTGTCTACTGATAACTTTGCTACGTCTGACTCGGCTTTCGATTTTGCTTCCGCTTCGGCTTTTTCTATCTGGGCTTCCAAATGGTCCATTCTCTTCCGAAGAGTCTCTTTCTGTGTTGCATTTAGGCTGACTGCGCTGCCTGCATCAGATAGACTGAAGCTCTCGTCTTTCCTATCACTCGAACGGGTTCGAGAAAGATATCTGGACCTGTTACGGTTCAGGGGTTGCGAACGAAGCTTAGTGGTAAGTTCAGAGGCAGCGAGATCCCCGATAGCGGCTTCAGCGATGTGACGCTTACCCTTGCGATCCGGATCCTTATCTACGAGACTGCCAACATCAGCGGCACCGAGAACGGCACTTGTAATACGCTGTCCTCTTTCTCCAGTCCGAGGGCCAGACTCCTTTCGGCGTTGAAAGGCCTCGGTGGCACTAGCAATGACGGCAACCTTTGCGGCTTGCTCCCACTTTCTCTCGGTGCTCCTATTGCGTCCACGACTACGGCTACGCGAGCGAGACTCATTGCTGTATTGTCGCTGGCGTGAGCCTGGTTTGATTCTGCTTCCGCGAGGCGTTACCAGTGTCTCGTCTGAAAGACCCGAGTCGGTTCTTCCTGGGCCCGAGCCGCCGAGGATGATAGTGTCGAGATGTTCACGCGTACTGAAGTAGGAGCCAACAAGAGCCTGTTCGTGTTCAGAAGGGTCTTCGCCCTCGCTCTTAGAATTCAGCGCATGCTGAACGAGTTCAATATCGTTGAGTAGTTTCTGGATATGTGCAACACATGACGCCAGGCTTGTCTTGGTGATGGTTGAGCCAATTGAGGAAGCGGCTGTGAGAACTCCAATGCTTTCCTCTGTCGAGGTGCCGAGCGACTTGGTGTTGATAGTGATTTCGTCGTCACTGCAATTGTTAGTCTAGGGATTCGAGGATAGTAAACCTGCGAAGAAATACTTCAAGACTGTGCTCTCATCACTCATGCTATAACTTCTCAAGGACTCCTGATATCGTTTTGTAGACTCCTTTTTAGCCTTAATCAACACCTTGATATTATGTCGCTGGACAGCGACCACCTCTTTCGGCGCCTTACTACATGCCATTCATTAGCCAAGTGCTGATAAAAGCTGCGAATCTCCATTACATACTGAGAGGCTACCTGGTATGCATGCGTCAAAACCTGCATCAACAACTGCAACGTGCTCTTCAAGCGATCAATATTCGCCCGTAGAAGCTCCATCTTCGGCTCTCGGAAAGGCAGCATGAATTTCCCCAACGTGCTCTTCTTCGTTTTCTTGAGCGCGGCATCCATCTCTTCGAACAGACTGGAGCACTCGCGCACCGTTTCCTGGGCTGTGCTGACGGCATTGTTAGAGAGCAGCGATGCGGTTTCGCCCTGCTTGAAGATGCTGCCCAGCTCGTCGATGACACGCGAGGTCAGCTTGACGTCTCTGGCGATGTCTTTGATACGCCTATCGGCTGTGGAGACAGATTCGGCGTATTGGTATAGTGTGTCGGCTAGTTTGAGGCCTGCGCCGGCGACTTGGATTACGGATGCTATGAGCCCAATCTCGGCCATAATGCTGGGTCATTCGACGGACTTCTGCTTAGATTACATATATCACCGTGACAATCTCGCCCTGTTTATCTGAAGTGTGATATGGTCGTCTTCTTATTCATAGAAGACAAGGCTTTATAGTGGCTATACATTAGAGGGTGGCCGCTTACGAGCTCAGCCTCGCAGCTGAGATGTGCCTTATTCGCTAGGCATCAGTTTTATATTTTGAAAGCCAACTTTTTTTGTAGTGAAGAATTCGGACTGGCAGATCTATGACCTGTCACATAGAAGCGACGCATTCAGCAATGGCTGTCAGTTGGTGTTCACGCTCTACATGTACGTAGTAGTTAACGTCGCACGTGATTAGTGCATATATTCTATTTCAATGCCCCTAAAATACTTCAATGCCCCTGCTTATATGCCCTCACCTTGGCGCCCAATTCCATCCGTCTCTGATCAGTGTCTAATCAGCCACCGAGCCTCCATAAATACAGTCCTATTTGGCGGAGAATCGTCTATCAGATAATCCATGTCAAGTTTACCATTGCAATGGCCATAGCCACCCAACGTGTTTTCGAAATTCCCGAACTCCTCGAGCTCATTCTCCTCCCGCTCTCATTCCATTCCCTCCTCTCTGCGCAGCTCATCTCACGCTGCTTCTGGCTTACAATTCGCTCTTCGCCTACTCTACAACGCACCCTCTATTTTCGCGCAGAACCCAAGACCGCATCGGGGGCTTGGGCGGCAAACCAGGTCCTCGTTGAGCGATTCCGCCCATGGTTCACCGATCCAAGCATCAACAAGCACGTGTCCAGTCGGTACAAATTTGTTCACTTGTCGTGGCTCGGATTCGCACATCGCCGCGAGCCACTACTGCGAAAAGGAGCGAGTTGGCGGCACATGCTGCCTATGCAACCACCCCCTACGAAACTAACCATCCTCCGGTCGCACTTCTCGCGCTTTAGTGATCCCCAGTACGTCCTGCCTGGCGAGAAGCCTCGCTGGCGCGCGGAGATCGAGCGCGAGGGCGGGATAACCATGGGCCTGCTCTACGATATCGTTGAGGGTTTTTTCGCGCTTCTGCCGGCGCACCACTTCGAGGCGGAATTTGGAGTGCGGTGGTTGCTTGATGAAGCTTACGACGGTGCGGGCAGAATTGAAGTGGAGTTGTACTGTAAGCACCGCGATGGCTTTGACCCTGAAGATTTTCCAGAAGATTTTCAGTACAGAAGTCGAGCGGATGGGATGAGGTATGGGGACTTGGACTGGAAAGTTTGCGATGTGGAAGCTGGCACGGACTAATCTATGCTCGCGTCCGTGGGAGTGGGAGTGTACCTACATAGGTAACTTGAAGCCTGCCGGAACGAGTATCTTTGCTTAAGGAGGACGAATGTTGCTTTCATTCATTTGACGACTGATGGCATTCTACAGGCTTTCGAGGTTCATGAGCCAACATTCTAGGCAAATGTTATCAACACACATTTAGGTTGTGCACGACTTATCACTTTGAACGGTGGCTCATAACCCTCTAACGCTTCTAGCATACCTCTTTTCACCGACTCATTCGGAAATCAATGATACTACGCCACTGTGTGTGGAAGAATTCCGGGCGGTGGTCAAATTGTGGAGGATTCAGCCATGACATGGTGGGTCCTAAGGCGGTAAAGCGTTCAGATGCTTTGCCTCATCGAGCGCTGGCTCCAAAGCCCACAAAGTGGTGAACGGAGTTCGATAGGCTGACGCTGCGTCTGCAGAACCTGTCTGCAGACAAGATCATCCAAGATGAACGCCCAACAAGGCCAAGCATCCACGCTAAACTCACCAGCCACATCATTGTGGCGTCAAAAACGCAGATGACATCACTGGTCGTTGTCTTGATTATGGTGAGCGTGTTCCGCTGCTTTCAAGCTACTCTTCCATCTTACAAAGGTATCACCTCGAATTGCTTTCTACTTGGATTCCTGTTGCAGATGACTATGAACGTTCCCCCAAGATCTAGTTCTAAGCTCGTAAAACGAAGACCAGTAGGCTCAGCTTCTCAGTCGCCCGAGCGGACTACACCTGTTTTCACAGCCAACCCCGCAGGTGGCTTCGACGAGGGCCCTCCTCCTGTCCCTCTTTTACCGTCCGAAACCCTAGACGACGCTACTTCAACAATGCCCCCATTAACCGATGGAGAGAAGAAAGAGAAGGAGAAGAAGTCTCGCTTCCGCCTATCCAACCCATTCCACTCCAAAGACAAAGATCGCAAGGATCCGCCTGAGGCTCGATTTTCCGACTCGGCGTATGCCAGCAGCGAGAACCCCAATTCCTTCTCAGAAGTCGACACGAATGGAGCTCCCAGCTTCTCCAGCACTGAGCGCCGTAACTCGGCCCATCGTCCTGTTAGTGGGGAGACAAGAGGATCATCTCGAGAGCATCTGAAACCACCTCCAAGCACCACTCCTATTCCTCCTCAGGCTCCACCAAAGACGACCATTACTGCTCCTACACCCCCTACGACTACGCCTGCATATAATCCTCCAACACAACCCCCTCCTAGTGCTGCTAGGAGCGCTTCTCCCGGCGTGCCCCATAGCCAAGAGACAATTGCTAAGGAAACACACCAAGACCCGCAAACCGGCTATACAGTCACGACGACTACGACCACAACGACCACGACGACTACAACAACCGGTCAGTACGAACCCCGAGTTCTCGTCTCCATTTGCACAACGCTAACATCACACAGGGCCCGGAGGTAGCACCACCGTCCAAGTCCCAAACGAGGAAATCGAAGCCAACAACTCTAACCCAAGCGTCACAAACACCACCGGTCCAAACCCGCCCGCCCCTACTGTCTCACCACACCTACAACCTTCCCATACCACTAATGGTGGAGCCCGCACCTCCTCCAACCAATCACACTCCCCACCAATCCCCAACAAGAGCACCATGCGCGACAGAATGTCCGTAGAGCTTGACTCGTCACCCGTAACAGCTCCACAGCAAACAGGCGCGCCACAATACGGCGCATCGCCCGTAACACCAAGCTCCCCAAGCCGCCAGAACTTCTCATACCCAGGCCGAACACCGCCCGCGGGCGTACCCGTCCAGGTTCCCGCGCAGGAGTACGTGCACTCGAACCCGGGAGGCTTCCAGCAACAGCAACAGCAGGGAGGCTATCCCACGCAAACCCACCCAGATGTCCCCGCCGCATTGAGCCCGCGGAACTCGGTGCCGCAGGGACAACAGCAGGGCGGAGCAGGTCGAGGCTCGACGCTCGCGAATCTGAAGACGGCGGCGGCGGGTATACATGTAAGCGCCAGCCTTCCACTTACATTCTCGCCTCCAAAGATGATTATGCTAACGACTCTCACAGGGCGTCGGCGAAACCCTCCGCGGCACCCTCAACAGCTCCGTCGACCGCCACATGGGCGCGCCCGAGGCCACGCGCTTGAAAAACCAGTCCGTCATCGATGCGGGCCGGTCTGAGATCGAGACGGGGCATTTCGCGCACGCGAACCGGCCGATGCCTGCGCAGGTGCAGCCGCAGCAGCCGCAGTATGGCAATTCGACGACTGTGTCGGCGGACGGGGCTGGAGCTGGGCAGCAGGGGAGGGAAGGTGGGAGGACGAGCGGGAGGCTGGGGAACTTGGTGCATAAAGTCGGTGAGAAGGGGCTGAACATGAGTGGGGGTGCTGGTGGGGGGCCTATGGAGAAGCAGAGGGGGGAGAGGAGTCCGGGGGGGAGGTTGAAGGTTGTGAATGAGTAGCTCTAAGTATGGAAGAAGGATTTGGATATATACGAGCGGAAAGTGCTGTTTTGGTTGATGCTGTATATCTGTGGCATCCGGCTTTGGTGTTCTGGTTGGCGCAGGGCGGAGCTGGGTTGGAGTTGGTATATACAGGATGTCGCTACTCAGGACTGAATTGTGAAATATACTGGATGAAGCACTTTAATGTTGTTTTATTTGTAGACACAATGGAAGAGCAGGAGAGTTAACGCAAACTCTCACCTCCCTCTACTTACACTCCGGATATAGAAGTTCGGCCGTGCATTATGCTTGTATGGAGGCCACGTAGTGCATAAGTGAAAGAAAGATGTCAAGAAAGCTCGTATCCAACCGTGTCGCAAAAGAAAAAAAATATCCAAGGAGCACTACCCTCTCTCTCGGGTGTAGCCACCCCGAGGGGTTTCTCTATATCCGCAATTCTTCAGAGGAAGGATGTACATGTGCGATGCACACAGGCTGTATAGGCTGAACAGCTCGTCTCTCTGCTATGAAAGCACTCGACACGCTATCCTGAAACTCGAACATAGCCTTAGGCCTGACTTTTACCTTAAATTCAATATGTTCGACGTCACCTAGAGTAACATTGCCGTTCTCTATAAGTCGCTTGAGCATCCAGTTGTCTTCCTAGGCTCTCTCCGGAAAGCTTTTGCGATTTGAGTCCCAGGATAGTGGCCATGCTTCCCCATGCTTCATGCTGACGTGGCAGTTCATGCAGACGTCGTGATAACTGCAAGTGGTGCAGGCGACGTACTCATTCTCGTGAAAAGCTGAAGAAGCTGTCAGAGAGGGTTGAGTTCGGGGATCTCAATTAGTCATACCTTTAGCGCACGAATCGCAAGTTCTCGCGGGTCTGTTCTGCGTGTATAGCTCCATACTCTTCGGTTTGCTGGACATACTTGGTTTCTTTTCTCTATGCTCGACGTTGGCCTTTACTTCGGCGCGTTTGACGGCGGTCGCATACCTTACAAAGCGCTTGTCTATATGGTGAGCTAGACGATGACAGTGGAAGCCGGAATTGAAACAAGTTGGCAAAGATCGTAGTCCCCTTGATCGCAGATGCTGCAGTGGAAGTACTCGTCGTCCGCAAGTGTGCCGCAGATGTCGCAATTGATCTCCCACTGTATCGACATGGACAACATTCTCCCTCCAGTAAACTCGGCATCAGGATTCTTCTCCAAGACAACGCCAAGTTCCTCCATACGACGAATTTCCTCTTCGCTCATAGGTTCGTCCTCATTCGAAACCTCTTCCGTTCGTCGCGTCTAGTATCCTTTGAAGAAATCCAGTGGAGATTCTCCAGACTCGTGAAGAAAGGTTTCGAACGCTGCAATGAGCTGCTCAAGTCGCTCGAGCTGCCAGCGGTCTTCCTCACGGAGTTCGTCTACCTCTTCTGGTGCCTCGACGCTGATTCGTGTTACCCGGCGTGACCATTTACAGCATGTATGCCGCATATTGAGTCTATTGAATGTCATGACCCGTAGCACGTCATGTAGCTGTGAAGTCCGCCAGTCTATATTTATGGATGAGCTATGGTTGTTGAGAATCTTGATGAATTCCAATCCCCTCAATTCTGTTGATCGCGAACAGGAAAGGCCTTTGAGAAGTATGGTACTGGAATTACATCCGTGCTTCGAGCATCCGCATACACAGTCGTCCGGCGCGCTGATCTTGCAAGTTTCAAGACACATGTTGGTGATGTCGTTGTGGTAGATTGGATCAAGGTGACAGCATGTCGTCCAGGAGCGGTGCCAGTTGTGATAGATATAGTAGCCGGCCCTGTACGCTAGAACATGGCCGACTTTCCAGGTTCGAGTCATTGTATGTCCAAAATTGAAGGCGAGGTCTGCATTCAAGTTTGCGCCCTTCGATAAGAACCAACTAGAGAGAAACCAATTGGGCGGGTGAACCCTGTGCATCGCGTGAAAACAAATCGGTGGCAGGCCGTCCTCGTTCGGCGCGTCGACTTCGCGAAACCCAGCGCTATAGAGCAACTCTGCAGCCTTAACGGTGAGTGGAAGCATGTGATAAACAGAGCGGTGTCCAAACGGGTCCATAACAACCAAAGACGGTGGCACACGAACACTTCGCGCTGTCAAGGCGTCGAGTATGTGATTGAAATTCCCTTCCAGAACTGAATCGGTACATAAACCCAGACTTTGAATCAATTTGATTGGTAGGTGATCCCTAGCTAGTTGCTTCAGGTGGTTTCGGCGTAGGGCTATTGATTTGGCTAGCAGTCTCTGGATTTCTGGAGAACCAGCTACGAAAGCAGACTGGAAAAGACTCGCGGAAAATGAGGGTCCGTGGAGGCAGCCATCTGCTTCAATTAGGAGCTTAAGTGAATCTGTTGCGTTTGATACAGCGCAATAAACGATAAGAGGAGTACCAACACAGTCTACTGCAAGGGTCTTAGAGCCAGCTTCAAGTAGAATCTTGATCCCTGGCTGCCAATCGCATGACAGATGTAAGGGTGTTTGGCCAAGCAATTCCTTTCGTTCAGGGCGACGGGATATTTTGATAAAATATGGAGAACCTCGCTTTCAGATTTTCGAAAGATCGCTAGACTCAGTGGCCTACATCTGCAAACTGATCTTGTTAGCACTCTCCCACTGGTTGTTGGGAATCTTACCCTCTGCAAGCTCTTGGCACATCGACAAGCATTTTTGATAGAATGGTCCTTCGTACCAAGGGTCGTGGCCTGAACCAATGCCCAGCCCTGCTTCGATACTTTCTAACCGTGGGCCCGCGTCAAGACCTCCTTTGATCAATTCTAGGCTCATACTCGTGAAGATGTGTGCGAGAGCAGGGAAAGGATAACGCGTGCTTACTACTACCATGCACCGATCCATCGGGGAACTGTCAGCGCATTTAGTCAATGGCCAGTACAGCTGATATTTCGGGCGTTGTTTCACCCAATTCTTCAGCTTGTGAATACTAGGGCAAACGAATTGGAGAACTTAACTATTGTGGATGATGGAATCCTTACTAGCCCTTTGTGTCGATCTGGTTGAGTGGGACTCCGACCTCAGAGAGCATGCGTAGCAGCCTATTGAAAGCTTCAAGGACTCTATCGTCTTTCAGACCTGCAGGTTTCATGAGGTCCATCACGACCTTGGCGCCGTTGTAAGCATGTACTTCAACAAGGCTGGTTTAACCATCCTTACATGGCATAGTGACTGTCCAGCTTCATTGAGATCCGTGGTAGCGTCTGCCGCAACGTGAAAATCTCGAGGAGCCTTTGTGTGGCCGATGTTAGCATCTCTACCAGATCTCCGTGTTCTTTTAGACGGCACCGTCCCGAAGAGTCATCATACACATAGAACTCGACCTCATTGAGCAGAAGCTCAAAAGCGGGAGAATCCCATGGTACAACTCTGCTCCAGGAGAGGTAGGGAGCAATAGAATACCCGCCAGCGCCAGCCGTAAAGGACAATCCGATGGATACGGTCGTCGCCAAGATAGCCCAGAGGCAAACCACTCTTGCTTTCACGGAGCGGCGTTGCTCTGGAGGGCTGTAGAACGGACAGTTTGGCAAGTGTGCCAGCGTAAATTCCTTCTCGAGGGATAGAGAGAACCAATCCGAGTGATATTGGTGCCTCCCTGTGTTCTGGAATGCAATGGCATAGTAGGCCCTGAAACGTCCTAGATAGACCCATGAGCTGTGGACGAGGACGATGGCGCCGTCGCTTGGGTGCCTTTTCAGAGATTTCAATGTCTTCGCAAAAAGCACGTAGGGCATCGGGTTTACACAGCAAGCGATATTGAAGAGTGCGTAGTTCTGTTTCCTTCCACGCTGTCAGCATGGCAGAGCCTAGTGGCGGTCACTACCTACGAGACTTTCCATCCGGGATGCGTGATCTGATCGAAATTGGGTGAGGTCGGAGAACAGGCTCTGCACAAGATCTGAAGTTCGCTTCAGCCCACCGGACGAAGCGAATAGCTCCTGCCTGATCTCGCCAATGCCCTGTCCAATTGCTTGTACATTAGATTGAATGATCGTTGTGCTTCTTGTGGTTTCCGCTGTGGAATGCTCGATAGCAGGCAACGCCGACCGTATTTCCGGTACGATAATGGAGACATTTTGGCAGACTTCCTTAATATCCTGTTCGATCAAGGAGCCGGATCCCAAGAGGTCGGACGATAGGTTCGAGACATCGGTACGGAGCGCCACAACGCCGTCCAGAACGGAATCGACAGTAGCAGATGTGGTGGTCGATGCGGAGATGAGCGAAGAGAGTTGCTTTGATTGCGTGCTGTCAATATCTCTGTGAATGCAGTGTCAACTTGGAAACCGAACAATAGGATGTGATATCTACAAGATGGCAGGAACAACCCTCGGCGCGAGGTCACATCACTACAGCACGTGACATATACAATACACAACGAGAACAACGCCTAGGGACAACATGATACGTCGATTGAGTAAATATTGAGAAAAGAAAAGGCAAACTAACATTTCAAGTGCTTGCAGTGCAGTTGCCAAGATAACGTTGATGGTCTGTACATCATTCTCCAACTTCTGGATGTTCCCCTTCTTAAAAGGGTACAGGAGCTTTCGGACGGTCGATTTGACCCTTTTGCTTTTACTGTCCGTGACGATGTAATCGCACTTCAAGTTCTTCAGAAACGCATCCAGGCGGCGCATCTCAGCCTCACCCTCGCGAAGACACTTCTCAACAGCATCGACGACATTTTGATTGTTGGGAGAAACATGACTGACTGCGTCTTTGACCATGTCCAGAGTCGTCCGGAGACATTCCACCCTACTCAAAGTCGACTGAATGCTGTTCTTTCGGTCCTGCAAGGCTTCCACGTAATCGACTAGATTTTGGCAAAGGCTGAGTCCGAGAGAGACCACTCCAATTGCCGTGCCGGCAACAGAGATCGGGTCACTCATGAGGCCGGTTGGTTTCGACACTCACAAGAAAACGAGAACTTCGAGAGGTTTCAAGCATGTAGAATTCCGAGCCTTCACGTTCATTTGGGCAAGGTGAACCACGGGAATTGAGGCTGAGCCGCGGCAGACCGCAAGGCTTTTCTCAGCCTTGCAGCGCTGATGTCGGGAGGCGCCATCGCTGGAGTAAAAAGAAAAGTGCTGAGCAGCTGGCCATTTCCCCTCATATAAACTTCATGGAACGGATAGCATGTACAGGTACGCAAGTCAACATTTAGGGATGGCCGGGTAAGGGCAATTTTGGGAACACGCAGAGATGTATGGATCTAGGTATGCCTTAGTTAAATGTGATGCTGCTGGTCCTTCAATTGCGCATCAGTCTAAGATGTTACGCGAAGAATCCACGCCCTACGCACTCAAGAGGCGCGTTCCAACTCTTGAACGTCGATAACGATTCACGTGAACCTCATTTGCGTCAAAACCCACAAGACACTGATGTCGCAAGTAACCCGCCATGTCAATCGTAGCAATTCATTTTGAAAAAGCTAAGGGATAATGAGGTAATCGCTCAGAGGGAAAAAGGATACGTGCAAATGCAACCTTGCCGTGTACGCCGTGGATGGGTGGCTGATCGAACCCAAGTCACCAACGCCAGTCCAGTCATGAGGATGCATTTAATGCATATGACAAGTGCAGAACTCCTTGCGCCAAATCTTGTAAACCAACTGCGAAGTGGGTTCGACGGCTTCTGTGGGGCCTCCTACTGATCTATCTGGATCATAGTTTCGGCTTAACGTCTGAATGGGAGGCACTGGCTTCCTTGTTTAGGGTGACGTTTCCGCTACCGGCACCTTCGCCGAAAAAGATAACTTCGACTGTGAGATCGTCCCTAGAACACGTTAGAAACGCGAACAAATCCCGTACGTATTCAGAGGCTTACCTGTATCGTCTCGAGTAGGGGCTGGGAAGGGTCAGGAGCGCAGAAAGCTGATCCTGATCTTTCCCTCCGAGGGCGTTTCTGACTAGGTGAGTTGCGGCGTTCTTGTCTTCGACCACGAAGCGGTCGCTGTAGGGAGGCTTTGCGCCCCATTGCTGTTGGCGAATGGGCGCACGCTGTCCGCTTGGGTCTCCAGCTCCACCTTGTTCAACTGGGAGGCCCTTTTGGGTGCTGAACCAGCTTTTGAGCCACGAATCACTCTGACCATTTTTCGCATTCTTCCCACCACTCTGAGAGTCTAGCCACTGACCAACAAGCCCAACGACCTCTTCGTTCGTAAGCATTTCCCAGAGACCATCAGTAGCCATCACCACAAAATCTCCCCTTTCCGGGTCGACCTTTGTAGTTGTGACAATCGGCTCAGCGGTAACATAGGGAGGCGTCTTGAGTAGGCTAGAGTGGGTCCGACCAAAATATGAGCGTTTCAACTCTTCGTTAGTTTTAAGGCTCCATTTGTAGATCGCATCTCCAAAAGCACGGCTTGGCTCGAGACCACCCAGAATCCGCCCGTTCTTGGTGACATACGGTTCGTTGGGGTGCTCCTTCTGCAACCGCTCCACTTCTGAAGGTGTTCCGCCAGTTTGATCGACCGACAAAGGCATCGCTGTCCATTTCCCGCTCGCAGCTCGCCTTCCTAGGACCGCCCGAGAGTCACCAGTGCAGGCTACTCGGAGGAGCTTTGATCTGCTATCGTAGAACGAGAGAAGGGCACAGGATCCTGACAGAGCAGGTGCCAGAAGTTCGGCTGCGACCAGTTTTGACTGTGCCTTTTTGACCTTCGCGACTGATTCGTGAACTATCTCGTTGTCGAGGCGGAGGAACCCTTGCTTGATCGCTTTGTCGATAGACTCGGGAGCTGGGAACTTCAAGGCAGGATCTGCGAGTGCCGATTTGTATGTCGAATCAAGCTCGCGTGCTACAAACGAGATCAAGGTCTGGCGAAGTTTGGCGGATGTGACCCATCCACTGATACATATTAGCTTTCCGAGAGCACGGTTGCCATTTGGAACAGTATGTACCTATGACCATCAAAGACCCCCCAAAACATCCAGTCGCTTGCCGAGGAGCTCTCGGCCGCTGCGGCCACACTCTGTGGCACTTCTATGATCTTTTCCGCATGGTCATCCTCTATGGGATCGTTGCTTGGAATTTGGACCACATCGTACCGAACCACACCTTGTCCTCTTCCAACGAGCCATGATTCTTCATTTTTCCTGAGCTTCTGGGTCGCCTGCTCCGGCGTCAGCATCTCGAGAACCTTCCTGCCGTAATCGTCCGTTTCCTTCGACAACGGCCCGTCACCAGAGATCGTACCCGTGTATAATGAGCCCTGTCCAACGACTAGCGCCCGTCGAGTAGATTCCGAGGTTTTGTCTGCTGCGGTACTAGTGGGGTCCGTTTTGGGGGAGCTCGCGTAGGCGTTCGACTTGCTAAGACTGCGACTTTGGTCTGCTGAAATGGGGTTTGCGGCGGCGATAGGGGAGGTAGAACTCGTGCCACGGATAGCGTAGAAGGCGCCGGAGGCGACAGCGGCACCAACAGCGGCATACGTGAAGTTCCTGAAGAGCATGGAAGAGTGCAAAAGACTGATAGACCCTCGTTCCCTCCGGGTGGTTAGAGAGCGCGTGCCCACGACATGGCTGAACGGGGTGCTGCGATTCCTGACAAACTTGCGGAGAGTAGGACGGCGAGCAGAGCGAAACACTTGAATGGCTGCTCGACGCATTGGGACGCGATGAAGAGGAGGTCGAGGGGAGAGTTGGACACCGCAAAGTGAAAGCCGAGGGAGGGACGGAAGGTGGATGAGGTGGGCGAACCGTGCACGTGCCGTGCTAAGGTGAATTAGAACGATCGCCGAACTTGTGACACGTGATACTGGTTTGCGCTAGGAAAGCACCATCATCAACTCATAGGCCGCCCTCCTCTTTGACCAACACAACACTTACCCCAAGCAAACATGTCTTCGCGAGCTCTACGCAAAGCTCAGAGGGAGCTGGAGGAGAAGCAGCAGCTGGAAAAACTATCGCATCCCGAGAGCGATGAGTCAGATGACGAGCCCATCGTTGCTCCAAGCAATAAAGCCAGCATGTTCGCGATGCTCGGAGAGGATGACGATAATGAAGAAAAAGACTCGGATGAAGGCGAGAAAGGGTCCGATGAAGAACCCGTAGTTGAGGCCCCAGCGCCCCAACAGCGGACCACGAAGGCCGCCAAGCGCAAAAAGAAGAAGAACAAACGTGGAAAAGAGCCAGTGCCTCAGAAGAAGACGAAGGACTCTTCAAACTCACAGCAGCTCGATGAGATCGACCGTGCGCTGCTGGCGCTCTCTCTAAGCTCTCACTCCGGAGGAGACGGAGCCTCGGACACACTAAGTGAAACCATCAGTCCGGAGTTACAGGAACTTTTTTCCATCCTATCTGTGGACACGCAGCATCTGCACGCGGCCAATGAGATGCGTAGACTGTTTGGCAGGGCTGCTCTTGAGGGACATGATGACACAGAAGCAGCTGGTGGACGGCGTCGAGGTAGAGGTGCGCAGCAGGTTGGCCTTGCCGGTGCTGTACGCGGAAACGTGCAAAGCGGACGTAATCTGGCAGCCATAGGACGTCGGCGGAACATCTTTATCCAAGGAAAAGAAGAATGGCCTGGGGCTACTTCTGGAGGTCTCGGAATGGAAGTGGTGGAGAAGCGGAAAGACGGTACAGTCGAGTATCGATTTGTGCACAACATGGCATATCAGGACGTGCAAAAACAGTTCGAAACATGTGTAGCGTCTATGGACCCAAATCGTATGATTCAGCTTCTTCGAAACAATCGTAGGTTTTCCTTTGCTTCCAACTCCCTTTAAGCGATGTGTCTCGTTCTTCTAGGCCCGCAATACATACTAGAGTCCCGCAACGACTGACTTTGTACTAGCGTATCACATCTCGACGCTACTACAAGTTTCAGAGATAGCTAAGCAGGAACGCGACCACACAACATCCGGGGATCTCCTCGAACGAGCTCTATTCTCGTTCGGTCGATCAATCCATTCAACCTTCTCGAGAAACCTCTCCGAGGGAAAGGCACGCTTAAGTTTCCGGCGACCGGAGAATCGGGAATTCTGGCTAGCGGGATGGAGGTACATTTCTAACCTTGGCATGCGCTCGACTTGGAGAACAGCCTTCGAGTGGTCGAAATTGCTGTTGAGCATAGATCCCGAAGGCGATCCGTATTGCATACGTCTGGTGATTGACCGATTTGCTCTCCGAGCCCGCCAGCCCAAACAGTTAATCGACATGGTAAGCTCTGATTATCTCCAGGATCTTTGGAGTATACCACCGAATCTGGCAACCTCAGTTGGCCTGGCGTACAGTCAGCACAATAGACCGGACCTGGCTAGGTCCAAGCTGCGTTCAGCCTTCCAACAGTATCCGTGGATAGCGAGTCGACTGTGCAGGGAGCTCGAGATTAACCCCATCCCAAAGCCCGTTTGGGGAAAGGAGCCAGAAGGGGATTATGAAACTCTGCTGTGCGAGCTGTACGTTACGAAGGCAAAGGACCTCTGGAATACCCCAGAAGCTACGTCCCTTTTGGTCGAAGTTGCTTCAACCTGTGACTGGTCCGACTACCAAACCCGTGACAAAGTCATCTTCGACGAGGTTCAAGTTGCGCGACATGTCATCTTGACCGATACACCAGCTCTTATTGGCCTTCTCAGTCGCCGCCTCACGGCCCGATACACTTCGACTTCAGATCCGCTACCTCCAACGGACAACCTCCCTTCATATGATCTCAGCGACTCAAGGAGTCATGCCAACTCAAACATGGAGAACACAGCGACCATTCTTCACGAGTATGTCAACCTACAGACCTTTTTCCGAAACCTGATTCCATGGCTATTTGAAGGCGAGACAGCGATCAACCCAGAGACCGGCGCTCCCCCTACGACAGCAGATGTGGAGCGTGCAATCAGGGAATCCGGAGTTGCACCTGAGATTATAGCACAAAGAACCACGAGGCTTGAGCAGCTGCGTCAATACCTCCGAGATATCGAATTCGATCCAAACATGGACGAAGATGACGAGCATCGATTTGCTCTTACGGAAGATGAGGAGTCTGATGAACACTGAACACTTGAGGGTGCTATGATGTTGTCAGGAATTACAAGTGCACATTGTACCTATATAGAGTCACAGTTCTTTATTGGAAGGACATTTCATAGAGTCTGGGGAAATGCATAAGCGCAAGGCTCGATGTGATTGGACGGCCGTGTTGGCTCACAAAACGCTTACATCAAGTCTCCTCCCCGCGGTGTAGACCCTGCTAATACCAAGCAAACAAGCTTCGGACGCGAGCAAATGAAGCTAATTACTGTACCTTCCAGCGCCATGGTTGTTGCTTCACTCCTACGTGGTGAGGTGATTCACTCGAGACTGCCCATGCTTGGCATCAATCGGCATGGCGCCAGCGCAGCCACCACTCCGCTCCTCCACCCCCAATCCTTGAACCTTGAGACTGCTGACGTCGATGTTTGACGGGGCACGATACACGAAGGAAACATCTTGTCCCTATTTGCCCTGCGTAACAGCTTGATTGCTTTGCATAACCTGCTTTTCCACCTAAGCCCCGCCTGGCTACAACCACCTGTTGACACACGCGCGTTGGAGCATCCTCTCAACAACCGCGGCGAACCTTATGGCGAAGTGACTTCATCTGCGCATGCTTGACTTTTCTCTCATCCTTAGCCTCCTGTGTTTGTTACTCCTTCAATCGCTCCTGTGCCATATTTCTGCGCAGACGTCTCGTGGCGAGCCATTCACCACTCGACTGCGTTCCGCCCACCTAAAGCCATACCGACGCTATCATAGCATTGGCAACTCCTCGACATGCGGTCCCACCTTGCCAACCGCCTTCGAAGCTCGTCACTCAGCGCCGTCCCTCCTCCGCAAACATCGTCCGACTATTCAACACCCCTCGCTCGAGTAGCGGCCAGCGTCCTATACCGTTCGCCTATAACCTCGAAAGATGGAAGACCTATCTACATACTGAATGCCGCGGCCCTACCCGACACCCGCGAAGCCGATTTCGACGCGTTACTACCCTATGTACTTGCAAGATTACCCGGCGAAGAGGAGCTCTTGAAGGGCTCGGAGTACGAGGTCATATTCTTCGCCGGAGGAGGTTCCGAAGGGGCCACAGCTGCCAGAAAGAATAGGCCAGGCTGGGGATGGTTTATACAGGCATATCATGTCCTTTCAAGGGCGATGAGAAAGCGACTACAAAAGCTCTACATTGTCCACGAGCGGAGTTGGGTCAGGATTCTGGTTGAGATGTTCTCCACAATCGTGAGTCCAAAGTTTAGGAGAAAGATTGTACATGGTATGTTTCCTGTATCCAATGGCGTACCAGCCTAGAAAATTCTGTCGATCTCGAAGTAACATGAACTCCGCAATCAGTCTCCACCCTGAGCAATTTGGCTCTACATCTTGCAATCGAAGATCTGCTTATTCCACCCTCGGCGTACTTACACGATCGCCGACTCTCAGACGATATATATGCACCCTACGCGAGTGGACGGCGGGCTTTTGGGGTCCGACAACCCCTCCCAAAGACTAGCCAAGGCCAAACCAGGCTTCCTCGTGTGCTCCGAGAAGCTACAAATTTCGTTCTCATGGAGGAAAACATAGACACCGAGGGCCTGTTCAGGATACCGCCACATTCTAAGCTCAAGGAAATATTGAAGGAGGCTTATGATCGCGGACAGAAGTTCATTGTCTGGAAAGAGGGACAGATTGTGCTTCCCATTCCGGAGTATCCACACTCTGACGCCATCGATGAGGCTATCGGAGAAATTGACCAAAGGGACGCGTATGGGGTCATCATGGCTGCAGGACTGATCAAATCCTGGTATGCGGATCTTCGGCAGCCAATCTTCCCTCAGTCTTCGTATAAAGAGATAAAGAGAATATTCGGAGATCCTGACGAGCTTCCCTCACTGGAAAGGCTTACTGAGCTGATTTCACCAACCTCGGAATGGTCCAGTCTGCCTTCTATATCTAGAGAGATCATGACAAGGCATCTTCTCCCACTATTGGCTGCCATAGCAGCACGGCAGGAGCAAAATAAGATGAACTCAGAGAATCTCGCAGTCTGTTTTGGCCCAGCGCTCCTCTGCGGACCAGATCAGCTGGAAGATGCCAAAACTTCCTCGATTGTCAGGCGCATTCTGATGGTAGCCATCGATCTCTGGCCTAACGACCTGGGAAAGAACTGCATGGTAGACCCGGCTGCATTCCAAAAGGACCTTGCCCTCCCAACAGACCCCAACGAATGGGAAGACCCACTCGAAGGGAAAGTGTATGCCCAACCGCCAGAAGATGTTGACGAAAAACACTTCACGGGCATCATCCTGGAGGATAACGAGGCTGCCTCAGCTTCAGATCAGCCACCTCCTCTTCCACCCCGATGGAAAGAGAAGCAGACCTCGTCAGAGTCACCTGATTCTGCTACAAAACGAAAGCCTGCACCTCCTCTAAACACGCTATTACCGCCTAGATATTCTACCGTTGTAGGCGACAGTCCTTTAGATGTTGCCGAGTCACCGACTAGCTACGTGGCCGATGGGTTTGCTCCTCCTCGTCCTTCTCAATGGGAAATCCCAGACGAGAAGAAATCTGGTACGAACAGTGCTGGCGAACTTCCTACTCCTACAATAATACTTCCCAAGAGGAAAGCCCTGACAGCAGAGCAGATAGGTAACGCGGAGAATGCCACGCAAGCCCAACCGCGAACGTTTTCAGACGGCAGGATGGCGTTGCCTGGGATGACAGGCGGGAGTCCAACGGATTCCATCAGGCGTAAGCCTGTGCAGTCTCCTAAAGATGCACCTGAGGCGGCCGCAGAGAAGGGAGGCGAATCATTGTCTCCTTCTCCAAAGGAATCGACAGGTCCAAGCTGGGCAAGGCGCGGCTCTGTAGACCCACAGGCGCCAGTGAGTAATTTTCGACGGCCCAGCTGGCCCGCATCTGCGAGCAGGACTCCAACCATCACATCCCTCGCGCGACCTGTACATCCTTCTTCAACCACAGCCAAGCCGCCAGGCCCTCCGCCGCCTGCAAAGTCAGCATCTCTGCCCGTTCCAGCGCCGAGACCGAGGGCGCCGTCACCAGGACTCCTTCAACGGATGCCCTCGTTCGACCCGGCGCCGTCACAGACTCCGCCAAATGGGCTTGCGCTGCGTCCTCATAAGTTGAACTTGAAAAAGGCTTCAGTAGACGATCTGCGTAGGCTGTATGAGGAGAGAGCGGGGACAGCGAAGAGCTTGGTTGAAGCCGGCTTGCACAAATAGGCACTTTCCGTTGTTGTTAGGACTTAGGAAGTGTTGCTACCTGATTCTGTTGAGCATGGTTGGAAGCACCTCGTCGTTTCAACAGCATAGATATAGGCCTGCATTGTGGCATTCGCGACGAGCGTGTATACCTGGACTTGAATACCCTATTTAATACATCGATTCCCCATTTTCTTTAGTGGTATCACCATTACAGACATTTTCGCACTGCTTAATCACGTCCAGGCATGGCATCAACCGATATCAGAAAATGGCTTTAGTTTTTCTGGTGACGGGGCAATAGATGACAAATGGTCCGTGGCGACACTTGAGGCTGTCCAGACAGAGATCGCAATGATGTGACGGCTGTGGCGTCGTACAACTGCCGGAGCGCACTCCGCACTAGTGATCAGGGATCAAGCCACCAGCTGCCGGCAACTGGCTTTGGCGGAGCAGGACGCGTGGATGTGGAATTTGCCCACAGCAGAAACTGAGGTGTTGTGGTTGGCGAAGGGGCACGGCGACTCGATCCGAGAGCACAACCGGGCGGGCAGCGGAAGGCAGCGGAATGCAGCAGGGCTGGTGCACGTCTCGCTGGGAATAATCCTGCAACCAGCCATGATGGCGATTTCAAAGCGTCCTGCACGCTTCCCCAGCCCATGTCGCAGCCCGCCGCCAATTGCTCCCGCCCTGATGCTCCTCCGCCGTGCGAGGCTGCCGCTCTCCCGCTAGCCTCTCCACACTCCGCCGTTTGGAACGACTCTGCGGTGGCAACGTCATAGTTCGTCTTATCGACGCGCCCAGAACGAGCAACATAGCTTCACATAGCGCAGGATGAATTGCATTGTCCCTGACCCAGGCTTCCCACATCCTCGCTGCGATCGGTAGAGAATCCTCGTCGCGCGCCTCACGTCTGTCGCCCTTGTCGTCTCGCGATTCCGCTCCCGAACCATGGCGCGCGCTGTTGCTTCCAAGGAGGACAACAACACCCAGTCCCCGGTGGCGTCCAGCAGCAGCCAGGCCGAGCAGAAGACGTCCAAGAGGCGATGCGTGCAGAGTGCCTGTGTGCCGTGCAGGAAGCGGAAGTCAAAGGCAAGTCCGATTGCGCCAACGTCGCCGACTTCGGATTGCGCGTCGCCTGTGAATTAGCTGCTGACATATCTGCATTACAGTGCGATGGCGGCACCCCCGTGTGCGCAACTTGCACCGCCGTGTATAAGACGGAATGTCACTACGACGCCGACAGCGAGAACCGTCGCGGGAAGACGGCCGTGAAGCGAGATAGTGCCTCCATCGCCGAGACCAGCTCGGGAGCTGCGGATATCGTTGTGGCGTCCATTCGGAGTCTGCCAGAGTCGGAGATTCAGGACATCATACACCAGATCCGGAGGGACGACAACTTGGATTCGCTGGCTGAGTCGCTGCGGAGAGTCGTGACTCTGCCCCCGAAGTTGGAGAGCCAGACGTCTTCGTTGGAGGGAGACCTTGCCGTACTCATCGGGAAGCCTGCCTTGACGAAGTCTGGTGTATCGAGGCACTATGGTCATACCTCGAGCCTAGGACTGGTGCGCGAGGACGAGAACTATACTCAGCCCAACACCACTCTGCCTGCGCCTCCGAACGTAGATACGTGGACCACCGTCACCAGCGATACGAAGTTTCTCTACCATCTCTTCGAGCTGTACTTTAAGTGGTCTCATCCGTTCTACGTTTTGTTCTCTAGGGAATGCTTCTACAAAGACTTCAGGACCGGTCGTCAGAAGTACTGCAGCCCTCTATTAGTGAACGCCATCTGCGCCTACGCTTGCCATTCCTCTGACGAGCCACTCGCTCGAACCGACCCAAGCAACCCCCGTACGGCCGGAGACCATTTCTTTGCTGAGGCTCGACGACTTCTCTTTGAGGACGAGTCGCCTCGCCTCACTACGGTCCAAGCTCTGGCAGTCATGGGCTTGCGGGAGCCCTCCGCTGGGCGGGACAGTTCTGGTTTTATGTATGCTGGCAGGTGCATGAGGATGGCTGTGGAATTAGGCTTACATCTGAACTACTCTTCCTCGGCGAATCTAGGACTAACTCGGTCCGAGATCGAAGTGCGGAAAGTCACCTTTTGGGGCTGCTTCACCTTTGATACGTAAGTTATGCATGGAGAAGAGGTGAGACTCGACGACTAATGTGTAAAAGGGCATGGTCGCTTGCAATTGGACGCATATCTCAGCTTCCAAGGACTGCCATTAATCTAGATAAGCCAATTCTCGAAGAACCGGTAGCCCTCGAGAAAGGTCAACTGTTTTTAGACGCTTCCCGCGAATCCCAGCCAGTTTTCACGAATCGGCAATTCCTCCAGGGATTCAGTACGCTGTCAGAACTAGTTAGCGATTCTTTGTTCATGTTTTACGCGCCTAGAGAACGGTTTACTAGCCGAAGATTGCTCGATACCTATTGCAAGTACAAGAACTGGTACAAATCGTTACCGAAAGCACTTCAGCTTGATCCAAACGACAAGGCCCTGCCAATACCGCATGTTCTCACACTTCAGTAGGTCGGCACAAGCTCGTTGCTGCGATATACTAATAAGATCAAAGCATGTATTACCACACTTGCATCGTCCATCTGTTCAGACCACTCATGAAAGTGGATATCCTTCATTCCGACATTCGGCCCCGCGAGGTGTGCATAGACAGTGCAAACACGGTATCAGACATCATGAGGCTATATCGACGGCACTACAGCCTCCGATCTTGTAACCTACTACTAACCCACATCCTCCTCTCCATTACCACCGTCCACCTCATCAACTCGTCCAACCCCGTCAGCCGCCGCAACCTCATCGACGGCCTCCGCGCCATGGAAGACATGTCCACCTGCCACTATTTTACGGCACGGACCTTCAAAATCATCTACAACCTCTGCCAGAAATGGAACCTCCCTTTTCCCGACGAGCTCAAATCCAGCCCCCTCGTCCCAGTCGCGGAACCCCCCCTAACCTCTCCTCCACCACGCACAACAAACTTCTTCGACAACTACGACGCCATCCAACCACCGAACGGCCCCCAGCCCCCACGAACTGAATACCCATCCGCTACACCCGAGGACTCCGCCCGCAGGGAGTCCCTAACCATGTTCACCCCCCAAACCCTCGCCTCCGCCTCCTCCTCCCTCCCACCCCGCTCCTCCACCACCACCAACACCACCTCGCCGCCCCTCACCTTCGCCTCCTCGCCCAACAACGCCCAAGGGCCCGCCGCCGCGCCGGCCGAGGAACAACTCTTCTGGACGCCGTTCCAGGGCCAGGGCGTCCCGTTACTGGGAAACAACATGCATGTCTCGCCGATGGATCTGAGCAGCATGCTCGGGGCGGTGGACCAGTGGGACGATTTCTCGAGAGACGGGTTCAAGATGAGTGAGAGCTGGCAACAGGCGGGGGATCAGATGGGGTTTGTGGGGCAGGGGGCGCATGGGCATGGGATGGGAGTGGCGGGGGTAGGACAAGGGGCAGGGGGAGCGGGGAGGATGGGGACGGCGGGGGGCGCGGGGTTTGCGGAGTGGTGGGGGAATGCGGGTGGGAATGGGGGGGTTGGTTGAGGCGGAGGGTGTAGTATAAGGGATAGCCGAGTCTGGGTTTTCTTTGGTTCGGTTTGTGGATATACTTGCTTTCACTTGAGCGATGATCTGGCGTTTGGACACGATTGGAGGGAGGGGCATTGATATCCAGGCCGTAACTCGGCTATGGGGATTTACGGCAATTTGTGGGCGTAGTGGGTCAGCTTCGATATATTGTACGTTTTTTGTACCGATATACAGTCTTTGAAGATATCAAATAGCGGAGATCCAATTTTTATCTGTTGTGTGTCTTCAGCTTCGTCTTTTATATTGGGTGGTTAGGCGTTCTCAAGACCTCTGCGTCGGATACGGTGAAGGGGGTTTGGGTCATGTGAATCTTTGATATCACGTGCAGAGAACTTTCTTCCGTGTATAAACGAGTAGTCGAGCTGTTCGTTTTTATCTTCTTCCTGCAGAGTCGAGGCAGTTGGGTGCGAGTGCAAAATACATAGACGAGTGGCTTCATGGTTGCGAGAGTTGGGTGATCGATCGATCATCGTAGATCATTCGGACTCATGGAGTTGGGCGGTGTTTGTGATGTAAAAACGTGCCCTGCGGGAGTAAATGGAGTTTGTGTGTTGGTGGTGTCTGATCAAACATTCAAGGACAACCAAACAATGGGAGGAGAGAGATGAGGGCGGTGGGGACTGTTGGATTCGTGATGGTGATGACTATCCTAACACAACACTCACGGTCTTTCGAGCTGGGGAAGTGGTAGTGTGCAGAACCTTGTACAAACGATGGAAGGAAGAATGATAAGGTAGACGTAGGGATGATGAGCCTCAGACAAGAAAAAGCCGCGGAGACATAATTCTCTACCTCTCGGCCGTTTGAAACGCACTCCGGAGTCCTCCATGAGGGAAACGTAGCCTCTTATTTGCCATCAAGAAAGTCATGATGGGGGTTTGATCCTCCATAGTACATCCGCCCTGTCCTGTTCGCTTGATCTTCGAAATCGTACAGAGACTTTATAGGCGGTTCCTGGCTCACTCACGTGAGGATCATGCGAGAGAACGAATCTTCAGTGCTCATCCAAACCCCGCCGCCGTGATTTAGCTTCTACCCCTGATCATCATATCATCAGGTGACGAACCCTTTCTCACGTGCAGGAGGAATCTGCCACGTATAAAAGACCCACTGTGGACTTGTTTCTTTCTCCAGTGCGGTCGCGGTGGAGAGTTCCAAAATCAAAATTTCGACGACCCCATGGTCGTTTGGGTCGGGGGTTCAAAAATGAGTTCCCACCCGCCATGTTGGGGTGGGTGGTGTCTGTGGTATCAATATGGAGGAATGGGTCATTCAATGGAGGATTGTGCGGTGGTTTGGCGGAGGTGATCAACTACCACAACCACCATAGCGTATGGAGGAAGGGTGGAGCTGATTGGAGATAGTGGAGGTGATGGTGAATATTATAGTTCAGTGATGGCTATGAGTAGAGGGCTGGAATGATGTGGAATAGGGGTTTGATGGCCTGATGGCGGTTAGCATTTAGTAGTAATGAAGTCACGCATGAAAAAATGGCGAAGCCAGGGGAGATAGAGGTAGATCATTGGACTCTGAATCTAGTTACCTGTTCTGCCGAAAGAAACTAAGTCAGGTGTACGATGCGTGCACGCTACGTTCACCAAAACATGTTCAACGCGGTTGATTCGGTCAAAACTTAAAACTTAGGTCCGTAGATTCTTGACGGAGGTCCCTCAGCAAACTTTCAGAAAGTTGATTTTGGCGACCCGATTCATAGCTTCTTGCTTACGGAAAGAAAATTAACTACGTAAGGTAGACGCAGCGTACCCGCCATGTCTAACACATTTACTATGGTGCAGTTAGATATGTGAATACCTGTAACTGGAGTGAGCGAACGCCCGGTGGACGTACCTCAGCAGCTTGTTCTTATCCTCAGGATAGTGACCTGATTCCAGAGCTCTTGCTTGCGTCATTAGAAGTAACTACACTAACTACACCGGGTGCACGCCGCGTGCCCTCTGCGTCTAAGTAAACATTCTCTCACGCGGTTGATTTCGTAAGAACTTCCAACAAAAGGAACTAAACTTTAAGCGGACGAGCCCCAGCAGTTAATATGTATCCTCTAAACGGCGACGGAGCTCTTGCTCGCGTATGCGTTGTGTCCCTTGGGCGTTTATCAAAAACTATTGGTCGGTAGTGATTGGGTTGCTCGGTGAAAGCGGCACACATGACTTATTCTAGGTTCCTCGGTGTTGATTGAAACCAAAAGACCTTGTCTAGGGAGTATGTTAAACAGATTGACAAGTCGATGATGAAGAGTGAACGGTGAGATCGTTCCAAGGCCTAATGTTAGGCTCACGTGATGCCTGGCGAAGTTCGCGTTGTGGCGTCGTCTGCCTGTTCCCGACGTCGGGACCTTGAACCTCATCGCGTCACCAGCACGCCTACGGGTGCCTACCCCGATGTCCATGGCCACATAAACACTCTTCACAATGCCTTCGTATGCCCCGCAATCTCACTTCTGAATCTATACCAGCAAGACTAACAATGATCAGGCCAGGCGACCAGTACAAGTCCATCGCGAACCCGTTCGAAGACCCGCGCGTCAGCAACTTCACGGCCCAAGAGATCGCGACGCTCCAAAGCCGATTGAGCAAGCAGCTTGGACCGGAATATGTGTCAACACGACCTGGTGCAGGCGGAGGAAGGGTGGCATATTTGGAAGCCCAGAAGGCTATAAATTTGGCGAACGACGTGTTTGGCTTCAATGGATGGTCCAGCTCCATAAGAGAAGTGACGATAGACTTTGTGAGTCTAGTAAACTCGGATTTGCTCAAACACAAGGACGCTGATATAGACAATAGGTCGACGAAGTCCAAGCGACCGGTAGAGTGAATATAGGGCTTTCAATCATAGTGCGCGTTACGTTGAAGGATGGCACATTCCACGAGGTTCGCGTTCCCTGCAGATCCCAACAACTTCCGCTGACGTAGATGTAGGATATTGGCTACGGTCACATCGAGAACTGCAAAGGCAAAGCACCGGCTTTCGAAAAGGCGAAGAAGGAGGCTGCTACAGATGGCTTAAAGCGCGCCCTACGAACCTTTGGCAATGTCTTGGGCAACTGTTTATACGATAAAGAATACCTGGTCAAGGTGAAGGGCGTAAAAGCAGCGCCTTCGAAGTGGGATCCGGACAACCTCCATAGACACCCGGACTTTGCCCCGATCAAGAGGGAACCTCCACCACCGCCATCACCAGAAAAAGCTGGCACCACCGCTCGTGTACCAAGCTTGCAGTCCAATCTTTCGAGCGTAGACTTTGAAGACGAATTTGGTGGCAACCTATTCGATGGCGTGGATATCTCTGAGGGTGGTGGAGACGAGTTCGGTCTGGATGCTGTCTCCGACTCTATGTTTGAGACGCCGAAAGCAGATCCAAGAGAGCCGCCGCAACGACCGCCGCAACAACCGCCGCAACAGAATGGCGGCCCACCACAGCAAAATCAAACAGCCCATAATCTCGCGCGCCAGGGCATGAACCGACCAAACTCAATGCCAGCATTGAAGCCACAAAATGGTGTCCAGCAGCCGCCGCAAAACAATCAAGCCCAACAGCCCAGACCTGTTTTGCAAGCCAAAGGCCCTCAAACACCAAATGGAATTCCGCATGCTCCAGCTGAAGTAGCCCGTGCGAACATGCAGCCTCCACAACGAAACAATCAGCAATTTTCAAGACCCCAGGCCCCGCAGCAAGTCCTGGCTCCTCTGCAGAATCAACAACAGCCAAACCAGGGGCCACGGTCAAACCCGTCTTTGGCGTCTGAGTCGATTCCTAACCACATCCAACTATCCAGGGCTGAGCCTCCGCAGAATGGCCCTCCTGGACCACCTATCAACCACGAACCTCCTGTTGGTTTTATCACAGCACGAGCAGCTGAGCACATCAATAAACCGGAGACCAGCAACGGCCCTCTTCCCAAAAACCTGCCTGCTTTCAACCCTCACGCGGAAAGCCCCTCTCTCCGTAGAACAAGTGGCTTCGACCATATGAAGTCGGGGCCTATAAGCCGACAGGCTATCGTTGGAGCCAATCAGGCTCCCGCCAATGGTGCTAACGTTGCCCCTGTCCCAAGGCCGAACTTCATCAACCCACAGGCAGACACGAACAGGCGAATCGGAATGCCCGGTGCAGCACAGAGCCCGCTTGCTAATCGAGGGGCGTACAAGCCTCCGGGACCAGCGGTCGGAGCGAAGAGGAGCGCGGAGCCTATTGGAAGACCACCTTTGTCAGATGTGAGCAACAAGCAGGCAGAAGGCGGACCAGGGGACGGGGGAGACTTCAAGAGACCGAGAGTCGAAGGCACGGAGAACCAAGCGGTCAGAAATTGATGGTAGACGTTGCAGGAGCATTCTTTCGGCCTCGTTTAGCGGATTTGTCTGGGGCACTGGTGTTAGAGGCGGGCAGGGTGGAGTTTCGGACATGACATTTGAAGTTTTGCATCATTAGCACGAGGGATACCAACAGAGCAGCCAAAAAAAATGGCATTTGATTCATTCTCCAGTCTCCGCCGTGACCATCCTTGACTATCTAGAGTTCTCTTTCGTTCATCAGAGGTTGTTTAAATGTTTCGCATCATGGCTCCCCGACACCACGTAGGGTTTGCGGGTCGCCTCAGTGCTTGACTCTATTTGTTATATCATCACCTGAACGAGAAGAGAGTTGTTGAGTCTGGCTTGTTCGACCAAGCGTAGGCATGCCCGAGAACATCCTGCAAACCCTGAAAAAAGATTGAGCCCCTCGCATCGAGAATAAGCCCCATCGAGTTACCTCCCGCACACCCCGAAGAACGTGGCATGAGGAAAGGCAATCGCATAACTATCCATCTTGACGAAAAAACCCTCGCCCGCCACTGACTTCAGCTCAAAGCTTCTCCTCCACACTGCCCACACAGCACTGCGACACACCTGCTCCGGGACTGGCGGACTCGTATCTTCGTCCGTGGTGCCAGAACCATTGCGGGCGGAGCATTGCTGGCGGCAGCGGGAGTGCAGACGACGCTGAGAGCGAATCCAATGGGTTGGTGGACGAGGCCGCGGTGCTTCTGTGGCGGCGTGTTGGCACGGGTGCCTGCGAGGCAGGGTGTCCGGGGACTTTCTCCCAAAGCAGTGTGCAAGTAAGAAAGCACGTCCGAAGACGCGTCTCTGTGTGTAAGCTTTGAATGCGATTCTTCGAGCGAGGAGCTGGAGGAAGAAAGGCGGGAGGGCCAGCAGAGATTTTGTGGGAGGTCGCCGCAAGAACGGTTGTTCCGGCGCCGAGGGGCTAGGCAGAAAATAGGCAGGCGCTGGGGAGCTGCCTGCCGCTGCTTCGCGAAGCTTCTCGTCTTTGTCTGCGCGTGCCAGCTACTTTGCAGCTGTCCATAAGCCCACCGCTGCCCTTTGACCCCTTTGTGTCTGCGCCCGCCAGATCGCATCTTCCCACAGCATTCATTCCGCGATTTAACGGCAATCACCTCTCCACGACCCTCCACGTTCAAGAGACCTTCGACATCTGGTCTATACCCCCAGCGCGCTCTCACGACTTAACACAATCCATATACCAACTCAAAGTCCGACACCATGTCCCTCTTCGGCCAGTCCAACTCGGCGGGCACGTCGACCACCAACACTCAAGGCGACACCAAGGGAGACCGCCCGGTTGTCGACCCGCCGAGCGACAGCGTCTCCGAAATCGCCTTCTCATCAGCCGCCGATCTTCTGGCTGTTGGGTCGTGGGATAGCCAGTGTCGGATCTACCAAGTCAAGCCGGACGGCTCCACTGAAGGGAAGCACTTAATAAAAGCCGAGAAGCCAGTCCTAGGCGTCTGCTGGTCAACGGTAAGTTTACTGCGCGCTCTCGCAAGTTGTGAGGAACTCGAGCTAATGCGGTAGTGAGTGTAGAATGGCACACAAGTAGTCGCCGCCAGTGCCGACGGCTGGGCACAAATCGCAGATCTGAATTCCGGCGGCCAGATCAACCCAACACGTTGCGCCAAGCATGATGAAGCGATCAAGTCGGTCAGGATGTTCAACAGCGGCGGGCAAGACTACCTAGTGACGGGCGGCTGGGATGCGAAGATCAAGATCTGGGACCTGCGGGCCGAGCAGCCCATCCTGGACTTCGACCTCGGCGGCAAGAAGTGCTACACTATGGATATCAAGAACGAGCTCCTCGTCGTGGGCACCGAAGACCGCGCTATCAACATGTACTCGCTAAGAAACACGCCCTCGTTCCACAAGACTATCACCAGCCCGCTCAAGTGGCAGACGCGGGTCGTGAGCTGCTTCACCGACGCGACCGGGTTCGCCGTGGGCAGCATCGAGGGCCGCTGCGCCATTCAATACGCGGACGACAAGGATTCAGGGTAAGTAATCTGCCTCTCTAAACTGGTATCAATTCCTGCACGATCCAAACTAACACACACACCCCAAGTCTCAACTTCTCCTTCAAATGCCACCGCCAACAAGACCCAACCCAGCGCGACGTAGCCAAAGTGTACTCGGTCAACGCCATCTCCTTCCACCCCGTGCATGGCACCTTCAGCACCGCCGGCAGCGACGGCACGTTCCACTTCTGGGACAAGGACGCCAAGCACCGCCTCAAGGGCTACCCGGAGGTCGGCGGCTCCATCTCGTCGACGGCGTTCAACAGCACCGGCTCCATCTTCGCCTACGCGGTGAGCTACGACTGGAGCAAGGGCTACGGCTTCAACAACCCGAATCTACAGAACAAGATCATGCTGCATCCGGTTGTGGGGGATGAGTGCAAGCCACGGCCGGGCAGTAAGAAGAGGTAGAGAACTGTGTTGGGTGTGATGCGATTGTTGACGTGGTGTTTCTGCGCAGATGAGGGAGCGAACCAGACTCGACCGAGGCGAGGAGCGGCGTATCAGCAGTCGATTCAGCAGTCGGTCCAACAAGTGCTCTCACACTCAAATAGTGCGAATGGTCGGAGTGAGAGGGTGGATGAGGCCACTGTTTAAGGATGCCGACGTTGTGGAGGCTGGGTTCGGGGGATGGGGATTCACCTGGGGGCTTTTGGGTCCTTTTCTTATTCTTGCTTGCACAGCGATCAAAAGGTCGGCGGGGCGGAGTTCCGGTGATTTACTAAGCAAGGAAAGAATGGAAGGGAAAGGAAGGATTGGATTCGATAGCTTGAAATTGATATCGAAAATTACTATTTCACTTCGCGACGTTATAATTTGAGTGTATCTTGCCCGGTCCAATCCACAGGCCCGGTTGTTACATGCCAAAATGGAGCCTCAATCTTACAAACTCTCCCGTTCGTACTGCCGACAAGATCCACCATACCCGTGATCACGAAGCCTGGTTGAGGCTTTGTCCTCGATGAGGGGGATGAACAGTACCATTTCAGAGCGTAAGTAAGACGAAACTAGCATAATCGTCACTAGAGCACAAACACACATTTGGGTTTGAAATTCTGATTTAATTTCATTCAAGGGCTGTTGTCTACTGGTACAAGATTTTCAAAGCAAACCCGCCTACCTGAGTTCGCCATTCGTGGATCCATTTTGAATGCCAACGCATGCATTCATTCCCATCCCGTCCTGTTCCGTTCCATCATAACTTAAAGGGGGAATCTACTCGAAGGGGTTGGTGCGGGTGCCCCAGTAAGTGAGGAATAGGCTGAGGCCGACGGTCTCGAAGACGCGGGCGAGGGCGCCGACGGCGATGGTGTCGAGCGGGCGCTTCTCGGTGACGACTTGGGAGACGAGCTGTGTATGATGTCAGTGTTGTCCACTTTCATTTCAAACACCATGCTTGGGTGATCATGCAAGTTTGTTCGTTTGTTTGTTACGTACCGCAGGAGCCGCACTGGCGAAGAAGATCAAGCTGCCCAAGTACGCGGCGCCCTTGTAGGACAGCGTGCCGGTGGCGTTGATGAGAGCACCGACGCCATAGGCCTGGATGGCGGAGCCGGCGAGCGAACTACCCCACGAGGCAGCGGCGGTGGCGGTTTCCTTCGACTTGAAGAACTCTTCCGAGCTGTTGGCGGCTTGTGACTTGCGGTAGGCGTCGCCGAAGACGGGGCCCAGCACAGCGAGGGAGGCGACGTGGTTGAAGACGGTGCCAAGGGCAATGGCCGAGGGCTTAACCGGGGGGAGGTCTGCGAGGGGGCGGTTAGCGGCTGCTTGGTGATGTTTGTCTGATGTCGTGGTGTTGCTGTCAAATGTCGTCTGGTGCTGGTATTAAGATGGAGGCCAGGATCGGTGGTCTTCAAAGTGATAAAGCTGAAGGCATTGAAGAGTTGGAGTTCCACATGCAATTGCGAGATTTCCCCACCAGACTCCAGCCATGCCGTCATGGATATAGGGATGATGCTGAGGAAGGGTGCGCTTACAGTGAAGAGTGGCCATTGTGAGGAATTGGTTGAACTGGATGTGAGGTTCTTGGTGATGGTATAGAGGTCCGATGTGTGTGGGTGGAAGAAAGGAATGCGCGGTGGACGGAAGCTTTTGTACCTCGCATCGCACCTGACTGAAGTGACGTAACGGCTATGCTGCCAAGCTCGCAGTGCTAGAGGAGGCGATTCCGCCATGTCCCCGAATCACCATCACCAAGGCAGGCCGCGGCTAGCAGGATGCGGCTTGGGCCAGACCCCAAACGCCCAAATGCCATCATGGCGGGCAGGAATTGGCGCACCACTGTGCCGCCACACCACAGGTGTGCAGGCACTTTTTCCAATGTCCATGATCGCAGATCTGGGGTACGTCATCCGAAGCGTGAGCTTTCTCCTGCCAAGCCCGGCCCAAGCTCCCGTTCATCCTGGCTTCAACCGTCCCCGGCCCGGCTTCAACCGTCTGCAGTCAACCGTCTGCAGTCAACACCACACTCGCGATCACGTCTGCTGCTTGCCATTCTTTCACGTCTAGCTATCTAAGTGATACTAGATATACGTACTTCGAACAGAACAAAACCATGGTTGCAATCGCCCTGTGCATCTTAAATCTACCAGTTCCACAGCATACATACTGCACTATGAAATGAGCACCCGTTAGCTATTTCTTCACGACAGACACAGTATGGGATATACACGAAACCCGACGCCAATTCCATCCACAACCTCAACCTCACCCCCTAATGCTCAATCAACCACCTGACTCTCCCCTTCCAGCCCTTGCCCCTCTCTCACCCCCTGCGCCTCAGGCTTCCACCCCTCATCCTCCCGACTAACCACCACCTCGCTAACCTCCACCCGCCCCCCCACAATCTCCCGCCCATTAACCAAATCATTCGCATCCACCCTCCGTCTCGCCTCCTCCTCATCCCTCGCAATCCCCGCCTTCACATGCCGCGCCACCAGCCGCCGCCGCGCCACCTCCTCCTCCACCTCCACAAACCACAGCTCGTCCATCAGCCCCGCTGCCTCCTTCCACGGCTCCTTGCCTAAACTCAGATAGTTCCCCTCGAAGATAATCAGCCTCACGTGCGGGCCGATCGGGATATCGTCCTCCACGGGATCCTTCACCGCATGGTCGAACGACGGCGCATACAGCGTCACGCTCTCGGGACACAACGGTTCGCGCAGCTTCTTGACGAGCGCGAGGAACGAGTTCCCGTCGAACGTGAACGCGGCCCCGCGGCGCGCGTGGGCGGTTGCGGGGTCCGGCATCGCGGAGAGCTGCGCGCGGGACAGGTGGTAGCCGTCCATGGGGATGAAGGCGGCGACGTCGTCGCCGCCGGCTGAGGTGCCGGGGGAGGCGCGGTGGTGGAGGGTGTTGAGGGCGGAGGCGCAGGCTGCGGCGAGGGTGGTTTTGCCGGAGCCCGGGATACCCGAGATGGCGATGAGGTGGCGGGCAGATTTGGGGGTTTTTTGGAATTTTTCTGGGAGGGGGGGTTAGGAAGGTGGTGATTGGGTTTGGGGGGTTGAGGTGGGGAGAAGGGGGAGTGTTTGGAGAGGGAGGTTGGGATATGAATGATTGATTGGGGGTTGACGTGAAGGGATCTATGGAACAGCACTATGGAATTTTATGGTTGATATATAAGAAGCTTTGGACGAGAAATGTGAAAACTTACCCCAAGTCTGCTTGACCAACCGGTCTACCTGTTCTTCCATATTTGCTCTTTGTTGTTGACGCTCTTTGCTACCTCCGTCAATACGAATGGCCCAGCTGAGCTTTATATCCCCCAACCCGCTCACGACTCACACAGGATGCCGTGCAGATCAGGAAGCAGCCGATCTCACAACTTGATTTTCACCCAAGGGTCGATTCGCGCGGCGCTGCGTACCATAGTTTTGTTGCCGGCGGGCTGGTGGTCAATGTTTGGAGGAACGCGGGGGCGGGGCACACGGCTTCCTGGGTCTGACGTCGTGGGTGGGATTGATACATATGTATCACTCTCCCTCGGACGCTCTTAGACGTGGATTGGGGTCATTATCTTTTGGTTTACGATTCATTATTATTGGTTTTGTTCAACGTGACAATATTGGTTGATTCAACGTAGAACTCATCTTGTAGTAGAGGAACCTTCACTTCATCTATCCTCTCACTCAATCTCCGACCACGAGGTAGCTTATTGAAAGGCTTAGTCAAGACGAGCCGCCCCTCGCATTGTTAGAGCCCCTGGGAGCGTTTCATGATATATCTGGCAATGTTTCTGACCGGATCTCTTCTGCTTCGTCTATACCGCCGAGTCTACTGCCGAGCCCACATCGCCTACCTCTGCTGCCGTATCCATCACTTCTACCTCAGGTCCAGAGCCCACCTCGAGTAGCACTGCATGTTTAGAGAGTTCTAGCTAGAATACGTGTGTGATAAGCTTGGACCCCATTGCTTCCGAGGCCCGAATCCAACGTCAGTCTTCAAGTTCCAGACTCATATTGGACGCATCCAAAGGATTCCACGTGTCCAACGCTCCACACCTGTAAGTCTGCTAAAACGTTCCTGATCCAACACTCCAAAATCACCGAGCCATTTAAATACTAAGGATTCCTATTCAGTCTACCTATCTAAATGCCCCGGAAATGCTCAACCCAAAAGCACGCCATCTTATTCACTCCCACAACAACCATACATCTTCAATTACATTCCCAAAGAAACCTCCCTCATATCCTCAGCGGCCTTAGCTGCATATCCCCCTCCCCAACAACCTCCCCCGCAATCATCGGACTCATAAGCCCCACCTCCTCATCTCCACCACCGCCCCTTTCCCTCACTATCCCTCTCCCCGTGCCGTCATTGTGCACGGTGCCGTCTTTCATCATTGCAACGTAGATCGCGGAACCCAAAATCAGAGAAGAGCCAGCAAGAGAGACCGGGCTAGGCGTCGTGCCCCAAACCAGCTTGTCGAAGGCCAGCGCGAAGAGCATCTGCGTGTAGACCATGTTTGTCGCGCGCGACGATTTCTCATACTGGAGTCCTGCAGCAAGCATGAATTGCTAGTGGTGATCATCATCAGCATTCGCAAAAAATGTGCTTTGATAGGGGGGGCGGAGACTCAGGGGCACTACTTACCATGAGAAACCCACAGATTCCCAAGAAAATTAGGTAGCACCACTCTTTGAAATCGGCCGGGAGCAGGAAACCGACGCTGGGCAGCGCGAACATCATCACAGTGCTTACTATCGTGGTCCACGCGGCGAAGTAGTTGACGCTGAGCAGCGGGTGCGCGCGCCGACCGATCCAGCGTAGGGAGGTGAAGGCACACGTGGCGCCTAGTACGCCGAGCATGGCAACACCGACGGCGCCGGCACGTTGACCAGGCGTCACAAAGTCGTAGTTGCTGGCGAAGTGGTCGCGAGTAGGGTCGACAGTGGAGTTTAGGTTGGCGATTGGGGCGATGTCGCCGTCGCCGCTGGCGGGTGGGGTACTAGACGAAGAGGAGAAGAGGGAGGTTGGGCGGGCGATGAGGACGACGCCGAAGAGGGAGACGTAGGCGGCTATTTGTTCCATGCGGGTGAAGGGCTCGTTTATGAGGTATGAGCAGGCCCAGCAGGCAAGGGAGGGAGCGAGGAAGGTGATTACGGTTGCGTCGGCGAGGGGGAGGTAGAGGAGGGAGTCTGAGATGGAACGAAAATGGTGAGCAGAATTCGGTAGTGATATCAGGATGGGGTGGAAATCATGAAGTGATATTGTTAGTGGGTTCGAGGACATACAGTACATGCCGAAAACTCCAAAAAAACCTCCGAGACCTCGAGCAACTAATAGAGGTCGGACTTCTTTCAAGCCCAGCGGGAAATGCTCAGCTTTGGTGTACCACATGTAACCTGATGCAAGAACTACGGTGATGCTCATACGTGCGAACAGAATCTAGTATTCTTATTAGATCATTGAGAAACTATGAACAGTTCTACATGTATGCGAACGTACCTGAAATGGATGCATTCCCTTGCCTGTTTTACCGGTAATTAGCTTACCCTCGTCATGTACACGTACAGTAGCTGCCATAGAAAGCTTGTCAGGACGTACCATGGTTCCCTTCTATCTCTAACAATCTTGTCGTTACATTCATCAAGGTGCCAAAGACTTGTGATATCATAACCAGCGCCATGCCCTTATTTCTCGTCCAGAAAAGCGCAGCCTTCTCCTTCAAAGTGCGGGGTGGAGGGGCAGGTGAGCGCGACGCATGCCGCCTTTCGCCAGGCACGGGCAAGTAATCAGGGTTCCGGCCAATGCGAATGTTGTTGAAGTCGTCAATGGAGATGTTCGACAGCGTATCCGGCGATGGTGCTCGAATACCGCCGGCGAAGGGAACGCTCAACTGACCCTGCTCCGACTTCGCTGCGGGCTTCCCGGGAACAAAGGTTGAGTCCAGTTCTACATCATCGATGTCGCTGAGCAAGCTCTTGTCGTCTTCGACGGGGGCCCTAGGCGGTGGTGGTAGACTCATGGTAGGTCATCGAAAGGCACTCTCAGAGACGTCCACGAGAAAGCGTAGTTCGCCATTGCGGAGACGGGCAGAATGCGTGTGGAGAAACGCCTGTTGAGTCAGCGCGAACGCAAAAAACGTGATAGCTCGTATGTGGCTCGTCATTAGCGGCCTAGTACAGACCCGTCTTCGCCTTTCGTTTCCCCGGCTGGCGGTTGAAGATGCGCGAATCAGAGGGGCGTAGCGCTTCCTTCTGCCGAGTCATGAGAGGTTCTGCGGGAGACGGCCATAATCTGCCCGAATTCACTGCAATAAAGCTCCTGGGGATGCAGAATGGTACAAGCCTGCGATGTTTGATGTCGTTGAGGAGGTATGACGTCTGGTGTTTTATTAAGTTCCAAGATGAAGCATGATGCGGTAGAAAGCCACGTGAAGGGGCCGTGCCCTGAAGACATCCCTCTTCTGACAACCTCCATCCACCGTCCACATGCATATCAAATCCATCCCTCCATCCATCTTTCACACGCAGCTCAAATACATCACTATGGGCTACATGTCTGATTGAGATGTCATATGAACCTAAATGGCCACACAACTGCATCAAGGCCCTTAACAGTTACAGACAAGCAGATGTGGTTGTGTCGATATTTCAACGCCAATAATCGACGAACCTTGCATACAAACCACTTGGCACGCTAGAAGGACCTCAGGTTACAGCGTCTTCTAAGCGGGAATCAATGTTGGTGACTCATTCTTCCTTCTATCACCTTAAGCAACGTTTGTCTTCCGGAACATCAATATCATCATTGTTATGATGGACCTTACCACAACGCAAAACATGGAGGAGTACCTCCGATCAAAACTCATTCCATTTACCTCCCTTCAACCACTTACAGCTGGCGGCTCGAACTACTCTTGGCGAATTGTATCTACCGTAGGGAGCGTTGTCAAACATGCCACCCCTTATTTGAAGATAAACACGGCGGTCCGTTTGCCGATCAAGCGACAGAATTTTGAAGCAGAAGCCATATCGATCCTATCATTCCAGGGCGATATTAAAGTACCAAGACTACTTTTCTACGACAATCAAGATCACGTCATGCAAATTTCCGATGCCTGATCTCGCAATCTCGTTGAAGCATTCTCCGATCTCGACCTTCAGATTCTGGGAGCTCGAATTGGACAATGGCTTGCTCAATTGCACTCCATTCGCGTCAACATCAACAATCAACTAGTGGAGCTTTCGTCTCAGCATCTCGTGCGACAATTGCTAGGAGCGCTTCAAACATCCGGGCATGAAACTTTAGGCGAAAAAATACTTTCATTCCTATTTGATAGCGAGGAGGACAAATCCTGCCAATGCCACGGCGACTTTTTACCTTCAAACATCGTCGTCGCCGATGAAGATACACCAACACCGCAGCTCACAGTAATTGACTGGGAATGGACGAGACGAGGGAATGACGCATTCGATGTAGGCCTGTTTGCTGGTGAAGTGTGGATGACGGAACATTTTGGCAGTAAACGAGGTCTTTTTGATGCATTTCTTGCAGCATATGTGAAAAGCAGACCTTTGAGCCTTCAAGATGGTCTTATTGTCGCAGCAAGATTGGGGGTTCACATCACTGTTTGGGCCATGAGAGGGAAGTGGGGACCTGCCAATGAATGTTATAGGGTTGGCGTGGAGTTACTGCATAAGGTTCTGGACAGAGACCTGGACTGGCTGCGGCACAACATGGTAAAAGTACTCTTCGAAGGGCTTCGATTGGAAAATATTCAAATATAAGCTGGAGACTCGAGATTGTCTCTCAAGATGCCACTTATAACCGTTTGACAAAATATTCCTCAGCTACGCCAGCACCACATCTACCTCCACTCAATCGCCTTGTTAGAACTATTAAGAAACTCGCAGTCATTCAACCTACGATAGGGCGCTCCAGTCAACTACAACCGAGTTGAACGCCTCACGCGCCACAATCTCACAGCATTTTCCCGTCAGGGACATCCCCATTCCACCTCAGCAAGCTTATTCCTTGTCTTCTCACAGCTCACCCCCACTATCAGCCCTCGCTCGAACCCTGGTCCTATCCCCATTCCGGCCAGCCTTTCCACCCTTGCCCCTGTTTCCTTGGATGGCCGCCGCAAGGAATAACCCTACCCCACAAAAAGGCCAAGCGAGCCAGCTTGACTCTCGCCCTGTTCATGCTCACGAGATCGCTGAAGCTGGATTGGAATGACGGTGTGATAAGTTTGGATGCACAGCATGATGGATCGCGTCAGTTGACATCCTAGACTCTCCCAACGCGAGCTCTTTTGCATGAGTGTGCTGCTGATCTATTCTAATAGAGTACTAGAACATAGAAACGAAGAATTTGAGTTGGCGCAAAGGAAATGGAACTGCCCACTTCGAGCTGAACGACTATCGGCAAGGTCACCCTGGATCCCACTCTCCTGCGCCATCTTGCCGAATCGATCCTGGGTTTCAGATTCAGCTCAGAGTCGAAAACATACGCATAAGCCCTACCAGCCAGTCACGCGTCAACTCCCTTACTCTGACTGATACCCATCAGCATGCACGCGCGGACGCATGCGAAAGTCAACTTGCCACCATATCCCGTCGTTAGCATCTAGTGCGTGACCTCGAAGGAAACAGCAGAGTATTGCAACGTCGTCGCAATACATCTCCTCCCTAGTCCTACCCTACCTCCAAACGACCCCTCCCTAGGCCACTGCAGTGCAGTTCCCGCCCCGGCCCGCCATCTCTCGTTCCCCACGTACCTGCCCGCGGGTCATTCACAAGCCAACCCGCTGTGCGTTGCTGATCACGGATTTCTAGAGCAAATTAGGGAATAACGCGCCAATAAGATGACCGCATGCATCATACATTTTGCTCTTTTTGCTCTTTTTTGCTTTTCTGGGTCATGATTCATGTCCCCATCCTCTAACCCCCAGCTCACCAATACCCCAGCAAGGCCCAGCATTTTCTAATGGCGTACACACCGCATCCGTCATTACGTGCATGCGTTTCCAAACTCAAAATACGAGGGCGCCCGGCGTGATCAGCGCGGGAGTCTGGGAAGTGGGAACGCAGGTGCTGGGGGACTGGGATATTCTATAGGCGTAATATAGCGGAGCACGCATACACACCGGTGCCGTCTCTGAAACGAAGCTATTCGAAGAGGGGGGTCCTGTGGAGCAGGGCTTGCTATAGCAAGTTCAAATCCTTGTCTGGTGAGAAAAGAGGCTATGCTGTCCATCACCAAGACTAGTTTCTTCTCTTCTCCACTACACACACGAATCCTATATCGTGTCCGATTTGAAGCTGCCGGCTGGAGAGCCGTTGCAGTACACCTGCAGTCTCCCCAACGGATCGGTCTTCGCGGAAGCTGGAACGTGGGAAAAAGAAACCTCATGACCAACGTGGTTGACTTCGTCCATCGGGTAAACATATAAGTCTACCGAGAAAAGATTTGCCATTCATTGGGCCGTCACGCAGCGCCGTCCCACGCCAGTTACACACTAGAAGCCTTTACAAACGCCTACAGAATTGAATTTCGACAAACGGCATCGCAGCCCGATGCTCAATTGATGCCGACTCCAAGGCCCAACTGAAGCTGATTCCAGCACCTAATTGAAGCCGATTTCCAGAGCCTATCTAAAGCCAACTCCAGGGCCCAACCTCGTAGACGGGTGGAGAACAATCGCGCGCCCCAGACTCCACCGTATGAACAGCATAATTCCTGGTATACGAGGTTACTAGAAAGCGTCCGTACGGCCATTCAGACCACCCGAAAGACTAGAACTATATCAACATCGGCGCCTCTCCGGGCGGAGCATTAGGAATAGTCCGAGTTTTCCGCCCACGCCCACCTCCCCGACGCCATCACTACTCGCGGATCCGCAGCAGCCGGAACAGACCGGAGTCTCGGCAAAGTGCAAGAAAGCACCGCCGTACTGTACCTGACTCACGCTCGCACACGCCCCGGGCGGCGCCCGACTCAGGGTTTGGGGCGGCTAGGGCTGACGGGCTGCGGGGGATGTGAGACATGGACAGGCGCACAGACATGGCTATCCTGAGAATGCAAGTGTTGGGATCCCGGGAAGTTAGGTATTGATGCCCATGGGAAGTTGGTATTGCTATTCTGAGAAGGGTGTCGACCCGACGGAAGCAAGTACGCGGTGGTCTGCAGCCGTGTCTGCGCTGACGTTTGCAGCAAGATAAGTTGGGGGCTGTGGGGAGAGCGGAGGAGGGCAAGGGGAGTGGGATACCGGATTTGAGTAGTACGCCGGAGGGGAACATGAGTCGAGGTTTGATGGGAGCGGAAGAGGCGGCTGGAGCGGTTGGTGGTGGAGGGGTGGCGTGATCGTGTCGCTTGCTGCCGAGAGGGGAATGATTACGAGTTTTGAGTGAGGGAGGATGGAAGTAGAGGTGAGTACTGATGGAGTACGTGAGAGAAGAGGTTACAACATGCTTGGACAATTTGAAGGCAATTTTATGATGAGGGCAGTAGAGTGAGATCAATCGACTGAACACATAAGAAAATAGGTCAAGGTAGTAATCAATCAACTTCACGCTAATCTCGGATTGATTGCAACGGCGGTAAAAAGTATTATTAGGGGGAATAGAATGTAGGTAGAGACAGAAGTGCAACGACTCCTGGGAGTCATCTTGAAGCGCGTATGCTAGTAGGTATTATCGAGGAAGGAAAAGCACTCTAGGTGGAACTCTTAAGCGCCATATGGCCCTCTTCCAAGCATCCTCCTAAGATCAACGGGAGCGAAGTCCTGGTTCCCTGTAGACAACGAATGGTGGACAGGGAACGTCTGTCCAGAGAAGGATTCATCATCCTCAACGACGGAGTTATTAATCGCGAGGACGTGTCGATGGTACAGCTCAGTGCTCCCCTTGATATTCGGTAAGCCATACTGGAGATCTGACAGCGATGCCTCTACTCCAGCGAACTTCAGGTCCTGCTCTGTGCTCCCCGAACCGTACGACGTCGATTGCGAGGGCACGCTAATGTATGTCGCCGTGCCGTTCTGGCGATTTGTGGTCGATGTGCCGGCAAAGGGGGCCATGTTGGGATGGATCGATTCCTTGGAACCGAATGTCTGTAGACCGGATGGGAAAGCCAGTTGGCCGAGTGCCTGAACATTCTTGCTACGATCAATCTCCCCGCCGATGGTGAAATTTCCGTCCAGAAAGGAAGCGTAGAGTGTGGTTGCCCATAGTGGATAGTCATACACTCTAGAGTAACCTATTGACGAAATATCTATGCCCTTCGTATTCTGAGAGTTAATTTGCAAATTTCCGCCGTTGCTATAGTTTCCCTGGTTCGAAAACGTCAAAGTCTGTTGCCACGAAGCAACACGAGAGCCCTCAGACGTTTGGATTGTCGAGCTAAGAGAGAGGTGTCGTTGAACTTGGACGGAGTATTCCAGGGTGACGTTGGTACCATTGGGAAGGGATGAAACCGATGATGATATGTGCAAGGTTGGGTCCGGGTCGGACCGGGCGAGATTAGAGCCTGTGGTAATAAAGTCGCTAGCATCAAGCCACAGGAAAATCTTGCCGGTGACGACCCAAGATGCTCCGACTGTGTCTGTCAGACTTCCATGACCGTACCCGTCGTCGCTGATCCCTGCAACCCTTATCTCAAAAGTATGCTCATCTCCGTCGCAGAGGACAGGCAGGAACGCCGAAATGTCTATTTCGTCCTCGCGAAGATCAAACGCATCGATGCCGACAACCGGGCGCCAGAATCCAGGCACCACGCCTCCTGTAAAGATGACTGGGAACGGCCAGGCCACGCCCGCTAGCATCCCGTCGATATAGAGCTGGGTTTCGCGGAACGGTGAGTATCCATAGAGCACAGATTGTGGGAAAGTCAAGGTATTCGACGAAAGGACGTTGCCCCACCAGAACTCTTCAGCTGCCTGTCCGCAGGCCGAAATGGAGAAGACAGCCTTTTTAACATTTCGGGGAAGTGTGAGGGTGTTTGTAGCGTTTTGATCGGGCAGACTGAAGGCGCTCGGGGCATTTTTGGCTGACTGCCTTGCAGAAATTGGAATGATCAGGTCCGCAGGTGCGCCAGCGACGTCGTCGTTGAAAAATGTCGCTGTCAAAGTCGTGTTGAAGGAAGCCGTGTAAATTTCGTTGACGAGATTTCCGAGGTCGAAAACGATTTTCTGCGGCTCCTTGAACAATACAAGGTAGTTGGTCATATCCTTCATGTAGGTCCACTCAATTCCTGTGGCCGTGGGCTCCGCTGTCGAAGTTCGGAATATCTCGGTGTCATTGAAGTACATCAGTCCGAGACGATCGTATTGCCGACCTGCAGAGACAACCGTAAAATTGAAGATGACTCGATTGAAGTCGCACGAAGGAGGAGTGTACTCGCCTGATGCGTTTAGGTCAGCAACGGTCACCGTAATCGCACCTAAAGCAAAGACAATTGTCTCTGCAACTTTGTCGCACAAGAGTATGATCGGGCACGGAACACATGGAATATTTTCGAGGACAAAATGAATGCATGACGATCCAAACAAGACAGCGAGAGTGGTTCTTTCACTCACCAACGAAAGGCTGTCCATAGCTAAAAGCGAATGAGTGTACCATGAGCGTTGCCTCACAAGGCGCGCCCTTGGGGCTAAGAACTGGAGGCGAGACCTGAAAAACATCTAGGAGTGATGAAGATTGGTTGATTGCGCGGCCACCAAGAATCCCAAGTGGTAGTAGACCATGTTGATCGGATGTCGATGGCAATGCGAGGACGTGAAATGAAAGACTTATTAGCATTAGGATAGTGCAAACCAGCGGTCGAAATACGTTGACCGCGCGTGGTTGCCCATGCTTTGCTGCTCCGATTTCCCCCATGATCACGGCTTTAATGCCGAACTCTAAAGAAAATACACGACTACCTGCCTGGTGTTGCGCAGGCTTCGGGATACTCCAGCTTTTACGGATTTCTCCTTCGGCCATCCCGGATATTCCCAATGCACCCCGACCAACGCCGTTGCTGGAACGTGACTGTAGTCCCAGAACCATTTTGACAGATCAAATGTCAAACAGACGAGGTATCACGATAATAAAAAGAACGCTACCGACTCCTATAGCAGTGTGAGCGCTAAATGGGGCAGAAGGTGGCCTAATGCAAACCTGGCAATGCCTCAAATGTGTTACGGTGCACCGCAAGATGAAGGACTAATCACTGAGGTCTACGGAGTTTGGGTCGCCTTCGTAGTGGTCCCAGAAGCGCTTCACGGCGCGTTGGGCGATGTCGGAGGACTGAAAGCGGGCGCGGAAGTAGTTGAAGAGGGCGAACTCGTCTTTTGAGAGGATGTAGGTGTTGGGTTGGGCGTGTAAACGTGCCCAAAGGTCAAGAATGGCTTTTTCGAGGAAGCGCGAGATGAGGGGGTCGACGCCGCCTTCGCTATTGCGGGCGATGTCGAGGGCGCGCTGAACGGTCAGGTAGCCGTAACCGTCGACTATTTCTGCGTTACCACCCATGCTGGCGGAAGGGGAAGGAGGGATTTAATGAAGTCGCGAATAAAGAAAGTGATAGTGTGGGGAGCGCTAGGGCGGTGCGGGAAGGAGGTCGTGGGGGAAACAGGCAGGTGAAGGCAGCTGGGCATGGCAGGGAGGAGAACAGCCGGAGATATATATAATACATATGAGAGATTCGATCAACCCACGTGGAAAGACAGGCAGATCCCCAGCCAGAAGTCATGCATAGGGCCGGGGCGGAAGGCTTTTGCTGGAATGCACACAAATAAGCTCGCAGCGGTCTCAGCCAGCCTGGGGCTTGAACCACCGCAGGCTTCTGACGGCAGGCCGTTGGCGCCGGCTTAGGCTACCGTTTGAGGGGCGGTAGGGAAGCGAAGGGCTGAGAGAAGGTGATACTGGGGCCCGTGAGCGCAAGGAGGCGACTCCAGAGCCAGATGATATTGCGAACCTTGCACACCCTCTGGCACCGCAGCCAACGATGAAGCTTGCCCCGCCGACGACGACACAGGACGTCAGCAGCCCAGGGAGAGGGACAGGCCTGCGCGACCAGGGAGCCTGCAAGCCGCTGGCCGGCTTGTCGAAAACGCCCGTCCGAACTGCTGGAACGCTGAGACAGGGCGGCGTCGACTCGCGGCGGGAGCCTCCGTTTGATAGAGGAGAGCGGCGCCGAAGGACAGGCGGCAGTTGGTCGGGCAGGAGTGGGCACTGGTGGATTCGGCAGCCCTGGAGAGCGCCAGAGGTTCCCACGGTTAGCTTGGGGGAGGGACAGTTAGCTTGGAGGAGGTGAGGTTGAGCGTTTGCATCGTGGCGTCCGGGATCTCTGGTCTGCCGGCAGCCATGTGCTGCGGGAGTCCGTTGCGTGTGCTTGGCCCTGCCACGATACGCCCAGGTGGGTCTGAATGATGCTGAGCACCGCTGGATGCCGCAGCGCAGCATCAGCCATGCCCTGAACCCGCACCGTCGTCGCTGCACCTCCCATGCGTCTCTCCAGGCGCCTTGGCCCTCGTCCTGCAAGCGCCTCTAAGCCCCTTGAGCGGTTGCGCACACGGCCGGCGCAGAGGCGCGAACCGAGTCGCATCGCGGCGAATCAGCATCGGGGTGCTCCAAGCAGCAGTCTTGCCGGCAGCGTCCGCACAAAGTCAAACCACCAGTCTGCCGGAGCGACTCAGCGTCGCCGGTGTCATTACTCGCGCCAGTATTCCCAAGAACCCGGCCAGCTCACCTGACTATTTCTCTCGGCGCCCCGTTGCTGAGCAGCCCGAGGACTTTAGCACGCAGCGCCTTGCCTGTCCACCCTGGCTGGGTTCCGCGGACCATCTCAGCCTGCATCGCAACGGGAGGCGGCCAGATGCGTGGGGTCTTCGGGCGAGGCGCGCTCATGTCACGCAGAAGCTGTGGAAGTGTGGCAGCAATCGGTCATGTCGGGTACAGTAGCTCCAGTCCTGCTGCGATTTCGGACGACCACCCAAGTCTGTCGCTCCTCCGTCGTCAGTCTGATAGGAAATCGTGCGAGTCCAGCAACTCGGTGCGGATCGCCGCACCCAAGTCGCGCTGTGAGATCGCCCACTCCTTGAGGTTTCGCGCACAAGGGAGCCTGGCTCCGGCGCAGCAGGATGTTCAAGTGCTGACGAACTGGAAGCCTCATGATTCCTATTTTCACTCGAATTAGTCCGCATCCTCACCCTCATTGTGCACATTCCTCTCGTGAAGGAGCGTCAGATCGTCCCATGCTTCCCCACCACCCGAAGCACTCCCACTGTGCGATTGGACTCGGCTGACGCTTGCGGCTTGAACTTGCATGATTCTCCACGCGGCGAAGGCGCGGCGAACAACCTTATATCGAGGGCATGCCAACATCGCGTCCGCGTGTCTTGAGCTGATGCTCGCAGCGACGTCTCGCGTCCGCGCTGTCTGGCCAGCCTCTGGTTTCATCGCTAGTCAGACCCTTCTCCAACACGGTCCACCACGTCTGCGGGGACTCAATCTTCGAGAACACGGCCATGACTCCTGGCGCCGGGAAAAACGGAGCTCACGATTGTCTCCACGGCTAATTGAGACAGCCGCCTCAGCCGACGGCGGTGAGAGAGAAAGGTTCAGAAAAACTGGACATCCACTGCGTGTCAAGTCCAAAGGGTCAATAGTCTGCCCGATTGAGCATGGAAGCCGTCCAGATAATTGGTACGATGCGGGCCCCGGATGCGGTCCGAGTCAGCGGCGAGCAGCGGCAAAATGTCCCGCCTGGCAGTCTCCCGCAACGCAGAGCGGGCGATTCAGCGGCATTCCGAGTTGGTATTTTCTTGCAGATGAGGTTGGGTTGACCCATGATGGAGGTCCCGCAGTCAGGTGGTGCAATGGGCTGGGCGTACGGGTGCGGGTCCACGATGTTCCGCGAAAGCTTGGCCTCAGGACGTAGCTGGAGGGCGATGAAACACCGCGGCGAATGCACGCTGCCCACATCACACCGCAATTGTGTCCGCCGCGCCTGTACCGACGTCCAGCCTGGGCCCACCCATCGAGCTGTGTTCCTATCGCCAGAAGCTCCAACATGAGCGCTGCCCGCGCCCTGGGCCCGGCAGTCCGAGTCAGGAGCACTTTTTGCTCCCCCATCACGCCAGCTCCCTCAGCATCCGCAATCAGACTATTTACGACTGCAAGGCCTACTATCTCGAATCCTGGTACCTTTCAGAGACTCTCAGGTCAAGCGGTTCGCCAGTCATGGAAACATGACGGGTCGCTGCCGTCCCGGAGCTTCCGCTTCCTGCGCTTCAAGAGCTCCAAACCATCAACCCCCAGTCCCAATCCAACACCACAGCTCGGGAGCCCAGAGCCCTCGCTCTCTCTCTCACAGCGCATGCGCAAGCTCTCCCGCGAGTATGGCTGGACAGTCGTGGGCGTCTATGGCCTCCTCACGGTGCTGGATTTTCCGTTCTGCTATATGGCGGTGAAGCTGCTTGGGACCGATCGCATAGGGCGGTACGAGCACGCTGCAATAGAAGCTTTCTGGAGCCTAGTGCATATACCATTTCCAGATGTGCACAAGAAAAAGGAAGCTATCGGCGGAGAAGGCTCATTAGAGGCCACAGCACGAGAGGGCGAAGTAGTCACGGAGGCTGCTGTATCCAAAACCGAAGCAAGTATGTGACTTGCGTGAGCTCAACCACACGTTTCCTGTACTGACCTTCTCCAGCGATCTGGACTACGCTCGCCCTCGCATACGCTGTCCACAAATCCTTGATCTTCATTCGAGTTCCCTTGACCGCTGCAGTGACTCCGAAAGTTGTCAAGACACTAAGGGGCTGGGGATGGAATATTGGCAAGAGGAAGCCGAAGCCTTGAATACGGACATTGGAGCTAGTGGAACCTCACTGCATCAATCTCGAATTTCCACTCTGGCCCTCCTACATTTTGGATCGTCTAATTTTCGCATTCGGGTTGCCAACATTGGCAGGCGTCTAGAAAAAGAAACTGTTAAACAAGCTGTAGTAATATGTACAATGGAGCGCTGTTGGTTGAGCACTAGCAGTGTTATGTAAGATACAAACGGCGGCTGAGGATGAACGCCCTCGCATTTGACTACACCCAGACCTCGTCCAAGACCTTTGACACATTGTGTCAGCTGCATTGCGCATTAGTTCTCTAGCTTCCCTGAAATGTAGGTCGTGGCTTGCATCGATGAGTCGCAGGGATGCAGACCTAAAATGGACTTCACAAACCCGATGGGAGGGTCCAACGGCTTTCGGTCGCCTCCCTTCGAGATCTCTACATTTCTCCGCGGACAGACTAGCGTCTGGTCCAAACCAGGGATTCGGGGATAGCGCGATCTACTGTGATAATCGCCCCTAAACTGTTTCGGTTACAGTCTCCATGGCGGCGCTGTTGAGTTACAGACGGCGCAGCTAAGAGCCTGTTCTTTTGCCTCGTACGGTAGAGTACATCAGTGCGTACATCAACGCCAAGCAGCCGTATATTGGGGCAATTGCCAAGCCGTATATTCCGTAACTATCCTGAAATTGAGGGCGAGGGCAGAATTTCACATTGGCCACCGTACATGACGAATTTGTATGAGGGCTTGGCACTGCAACAACAGAAATTGACGTACAGTGTTTATCGTGATATTGCCGTGATATTCAACTATTTGTACGCTAGTCAATAGAACAGAATCGTGATAAAGTAGAGTGCGCGCTCGTACGGTGATTTGCAGGGCCTATGTACGCTACCGTACGAGGCAAAAGAACAGGCTCTAAGCTCTTCCTTCAACTCTGTTCAGCTTGAAGCTTAAAAGCACGTTTGACAGGCCCGCTTCGCCGTTTGATATATATTGCGGGTTCTCCTCGGCACGTTGTTGCGGCAAGATTCTCGGCCACCGAAGAAACACCTCATATCTGAACCCTAGACGGCCACTCAATCACTTCCCCGCGCTTTTTGATCGCGAGGCGCGATTGCGATTGCGATTGCAATCGCGATAGGACTGGAGCCAGGCCGCCATGGTTCCAGATTCCTAACAAACGGCAAGCCTCAGGAGCCTCCACAGGCGAGCGACGGCGACATCGCCGACTTCACTCCTCTTCATGAAGCAGATTATGCTTTCGACTAGCCATCAGATTAGCTTTCCATACTCCGCGGACTCCGAAGACCCTCCTAACCCTACTAACCACCATGTCGCGTGTTTAGCCGCGTCATCTACCCACAATTCATACTTCTAGCACTGTCCGAACTAATACTTTTGCGCCTATTCCTTCTCTACGGTCATGTCACTTCCCATAAGCTTTCCGCTAGCACTCCTGAGGCTCTTACAGTTTCCATTAAGGCTTTTCGGACTATTTCAGACCTCCGAGGATACAAACGGTCCGACTCAACGCTTCGGGGCTGGTGGATCTAAGGTTTGCTCCTTGCAAGGCCGCAGACTCAAAATTGTACAGCCCTAACGCCGCCCACGGACCATGCGCTCATACCAAAATGTTACCTCGGAACGGGGCCAAACCCCAGCCGAAACCCAGAAACAGACCAAATCTGTCCTTTTGCTCGGCCCTTCTGCATAGGTTTAACGTATTGAAGATACGCCAACCTCCAGGTCGCCGGGTCATATGCCTACCAAGCGGAGCTGGCAGAGAGTAGCCGTGTTCATGGCATGATGCTCGTTACAGGAAACGAACGAGATGTAATCAAACACCCACGGCCAAACAAGGATTCTCAAGGTTCGTGCTGAGTATGGGATTGAGGTTTCAAAGACAACTGCCGAACGGGGTCCCGATGCCTTCAAAGAGCATGGCATGGAGGCGTATATGCTATGGTTCTCCGCAACTAGCTGTCGGCAACTCCGATGCCAAAGCTACCTTTGTACAACCAAACGAAAAGGAAGGCGCGAAAAGGATGACTGCACTTCGGGAGGGTGCGACTAATCACTCTAGATCGCGATCGATTTGGCGCCTCAATCGCGCATGGCTTGCGGCTAAGGTGAAGTTTGATACAGAGCACAGCCGCAGATCATCATGAATGAAGAGTAGCTGATGTGGAGGCTCTAGTCCTGCTTTCTACTACAAGGGGGTCGCCTGAGCGGGCCAACCGCCCTCCCTGCAACTTTTGGTGGCATTATAGTCGTATCCATACTCTTTTCGTAGATGATTACTATAACGCCACCAAAAGCTGTAGGGAGGGCGGGTGGCCCGCTCAGGCGACCCCCTTGTACTCGGAAAGGCAAGTGTAGAACCTTATCAGATGCGCTTCGAAGTGTTGGAGTTTGATTTTGGGTGCGTCAAAACCGACTTGACGGTCAGAGGCGTCTTGATGCTTGCCAATCTTGGTTTCCAAGTCGCTTGAAAATAACGAGCTAAGAATTACGTTTTCGCGCAGCAGGAAGGTAACTTGTTCAGAAGTTGTTAATCGATAAGGCTCTATATCTCATACGATCCACTTCAAGTAGGGTTTTAGCTTTCTACGGAGATTGGGTAGTAAGATGTCTAAGCACAATTGAAGTTTGTTTCCCCGGAATTTCCGCTGAATTGCGGTCTTACTTTGCCTTCTCAAAGCTATTTCTGATGTACATCCACCGAGAATAGTCAACGCATTTTCTTTCTCTCTACTCCGTTACTCTAAATACCAGATAATTTATTGTACGAGTATACAGGTGCGCTCAAAGAGATCTTGGCACCGATTGAATTCTGGTTTCTGGATCTATCAAAGGATTAACGCTTCATCTGACATCAGGACAAAAGAACACTCCCTTGACGCACATGGGCATAGGCACATTGCTTACAACTATTTCGGTGTCCGACCCCGAAATCAGGTGACTCCAGTACTGACACCCCAGTACTGTGCCATAAACATGCAGAACCTAGGCGAGATCTTCGCCGCAGGGTTTATCACTTCTGCCTGATTGACGATATCACATCAACATATTTCCATGTTATCTCATCGTTTATTCTGATCCGTCGGTCTCGCTACTTCATTGATTAAGATCGCTATTCCATCATCATCTTCTCCGTCTCTCTAACTTAGACCGCCGTCAAAAATACCACAAGAAATGACAGCTACGCCACCCCCATTTCCATCCCCGCCGCCCACCAATCCCAATTCCGCGGGAATGGTCATCCTCGCTACCTCCAGCGTGTTCGTCCAGTCCCAACCCACAATATCTGTAGTCAGTTCCAGCCTCTGACACCACCCCCCAGCATCCTCCTCCTCCTAACCCCCCTAACCTACCTCCCCCAATACCACCGCATCCTCTCCACCCGCTGCAGCACCGGCCTCTCCCTCCCCTACCTCCTCTGCCCCAGCATCGCCGCCACCTCCCACCTCACCGCTATCCTCTCCCTCTCCTTCAACGGCCTCGCGGGGGACCCTGACGCGCACACCTCTCTGCCCCTCCTCTCCTACCTCAACATCGCCCAGTTCGCTATTGAATGGACATGCTCCTCCGCACTGTGAGTCCCCACATTTCTACAAATTTTCCACGCGACAGAGACCGCCCATGCGTCCGTGCACACTCGATTTACCACTGCGTGGGGTGGGTGCCTCAAGGGGAGCTTTCCAAACGTCAAACTCCAATGCCAGGATTGATGCAGTAGAGGCTAGGCTTGCTGTTTGATTGCCCGACTACCTGCCAGCCGGGGGGCAACTCTCGTAGTGGTATCAAGCCAGCACAGATTGGAGCGGCGTGTGGCCACAGCTTTATGCCCTTGCTCACCTGTATCAGAGCGCCCCCCTCGGCGAGAGTTGCGAGTCGCTGACCCGTGGCAGGTTGATGCTCGCCCTCTTCATCTCGCCGGACGAAGACGCCGACCCGGCCGTCTCCAAAGCCGCCGTGCTGATGGCGTACCTCACGCACCTCGCCGCCTCCCTCGTCCCGGCGGTCGCGGCGCTGGCGGTCCCGCACTCCGAGAAGGACCACCGCGACCTGCTTTCCTCGCGCGACGTGCTGGAGGTGGGGTTCTTCACAATCCACGTGGTGATCTTGAACCCCTTGACTACGCTCCTCGTTCTCTACGCCTTTGTCCCGCAGTACTACGTGATTAAGGCGGCTAGGGGGGCCGGGGAGAGCGCGCTTAGCGCGGCGATGCTGGGGTCGCAGAGCATCGTGTTTGCGGTGCTGGCGGCGAGTTGGGTGTGGCGGGCGCCCGGGGCGGAGGGGGAGGGGGTGGTGTGGTGGTGGTTTGTAGAGAGCGGGTGGATGGGGGTGGATGCCGTGGTTTTTGCCGGGGTGCAGGGGGCGCTGTGGCTCGTTACGTTCCAACACGCGAGGAAACTTGCGCAAGCGGGGGTAGAGGGAAGAGAAGAGGTGGAGGGGGAGGAGGGGGAGCAGGGAGAGGAAACGCCGTTACTGCGCTCTCGGTATCGCGGTGATGGAGGGGGTGAGCGGGAAGAGCAGACACTATTGTTGGGGTCCGATGGGGGTTGCGATGATGTTGACGTGGAGAGGGTGGTAAGATAAATTGGGGACACAAGAGCAGCGCGCGCCCAGGGAGCCCTTGGTAGGTTCAGCGCGAGTTTTGCGAGGGATTTCGAAGCGGGCGCAGAGAATACAACCACGCAGAGGGATGGTGGCCCGTTTTTTGTGCAGATATTTCTTTTTGGCCAGCGGAAGGTCGAGGTTGGGCTGTGACTAGGAAGAGAGGGGCCCTGAGTTTGGAGGGTTTTGTTGGAAGTTGTTACATATTTAACCACATAAGATATATTTCATTAGACAAAGAGGGCACGCGGCGTAGCCACGATTTTCTAGGGGTAATACACTTGAAATTGGACTACGATCAAGACGATGAGTGAAAGCTACTGGATCACCTCCACCAAGGTTTCGCGACGTTCAGTGGCAAATTATTACGAATCCAATCGGCTGGAACGGTTTTCGATGGATCCTAAGGACACGCGACGTGGAAGCAGGGTACAGCACTAGGACATAAGTTTAGGCACACGGATATTTCATTGCTGTGGGGCGTAGTGGTTCGCGCCGACGAGGGGAGGAGTAATACTACTAGGTTATAACTTTAGCTACACGGATACGTTACTGCTCCGGCTCCATTCTCGCCCGCTCGACACCACTGTAAGAAGTACCCTAGCTAGCAGATGTTAGCTCTATCAAAACGTAGTCTACTTCCACTACGTTGGACTTTACATCGTATTTGAAGTCTCAAAAGCGTATCGGGGTGCCCCAAGCAGTTGCAAGGAGTGCCCAAACTTATGTCTTGGTACTGTCTTCCGACGTTTTGATTCATTACTCCAAGGGAGAAAGTTGTAGAAGAACTCGAGCGCGCGATGCAGAGAGCCCGAGAATAGCTTTTGCATTCCATTTCGATGCGTTCCCTATTCCTGCCTATCCATCCATGTACGATGGATTTGTTCAAATGATGTAAAGAAGACACAACGAGCATCTAGAATAGACTCGAGAAAACGCAAGGAAAAAGAGACTGAAAATCAGAGAATAAGCCCAAGAACCAGAGCCTGAACCGTCGAACCGCCCGAAGGTCGAACCTTCAAAACAGAGCTTAAGCTTTCAAATCAGAGAAACCCTCCCGAACTTTTCGTGTTTTTCGTCGACTGATAGCGGGCCCCAAGCACGCACAGAATCACAGGTTGTACGACATGAAGCTGCGATGCCTGCAAGTCCTCACCCAAAGAAACCCGAATAATGGCCTGACTGGAAAGAAGACCAAAGAAGAAGCCCTAAGAAGAACCTGTGAACCAAAAAGTTGGAAGATTGCAGGAAGAACTCTAACCAGAGAATCAAAGGGACTTCGAGAAGCACAGCGCAATCGTACACAACAGTCCGAGTCAAGTCCAGCAAACAGCACAGTCTCAGGGGTTCAGCCAGCCGAGCCCAAAGACACATTACGCACCCAACGTGACAAACATTAAAAAGTAGCAAGCAACAATTCATAAAAGCAGACACGCATCACAACCGCTCGCGCTCCCGTTGCGACATCTCCCGGATCAGCCTCTCGCGCTGGCGTTCCAGTCGCTCCAGACTCAGGTCTGCGGAGACCCAGAGCTCCTCAGGCACGTCGGGGTCGGGGCTGTCGATAAGCTCGCGGAGGATGGCACGAAGCTGATCGAGATTCGGCTCAAGGACAGGCCCACGAAGAGCGGAGTCGGTGTCGTCGAGAATGGGGCCGTCGACAACCGGAGGCAATAGAGGAGGCGGGGAGAGAGAGGATGAACCCTGGAAAGCGAGAGAATCGTGATGGCGATGATGATGGTAAGGGTTATGAGGGTGCGGGCCAGCGCGGGAAGAAGTGAAGGAATAGAAGTTGCGGACGAAGCGGACCGCTTCGTTGGAGCGATCGCGGACATGACGCGAGTAACGAGAAGGATTACGGGCAGGAGCGGTGGAAGAAAGGTGCGCGGGTGCCACGGAAGATTCAGAAGCCTCAGTGTCTGAAGCGCCAGAATCCTCGTCAGAGCTCTCGCAGACGCCAGTAAGAACCTGTTCAGGAGAGTGGGTTGAAGGGACGGTCAGGTGGGTCCGCGACGAGGAGGCAGAATTGGAGTTGGAATTGGAACTGGCAGAGCGAGAACTTGGGTGGGAGAACGAGGCCGATGTTGCGGCAGAGGTGAAGGAGGAGTCGGCGCTTGGGAGATGGGGATCCGGGGCGACGGTGATGAGCATGGTGTCCCAGTGGTTGTCGGCAGGGCTGAAGCTGCGCTCGCGGTCGCCTAGGCCGTCGACAGTGGACGCAGGACTCCAGGATTCCCGAAGAGAGCTGGACGGGAGCGGGCCATCGGCAATGGTACGGCGGCCCATCCGTCGAAGTGGTGGGAATCCAACCGGGCTGCCTTCGCTGCCCTCCTCGTCGGAGTCGATGACAACGAGCTCATGGCGACTGCGAGACTCGGCTCGCGTAGGCGGAGTCCGCGATGGACGCAGAGGAGGAAGCGCCGTGAAGCTGTGAGACGGGTTGTAGGCGGCCGGTGCGAAGTTGGGAGTGTACGCTGGCAGCCCATCGCGCTGTCTGTACGGAGACGGCAGAGAGTCGCGTTCCTCGCTCAGACCGAAGTAGTGGTTAGAGTGGTCGTGGTAACCGTGGTAGTCGCGCGCATTCCTGGCCCTGTTGCCCTCGGCGCGCTCGCGTGCATCGCGGGTATAGTTCCTCGACTCGGGCACGGGAGGCAGCGGCGCCAGGTCGCGGTCGCGGCGGGCGCTGCTGCTCTGGCCAAGCGAGTTCAAGTCGAAGTCGGGAGCGATGCGGAAGCCGAACTCGCCACGGCGCGGTGATCGCGTGTAGGGCGCGGTGGCTGGTGCAGCGTGGGGATTCGCAGATCTGCGCGCGCGACGAGGCACGACGGGCGAGCGCTGGCCACGACGGCGGATGGTGGAGCGCGACGATGCGGTGAGGTCGACCTTGATTGCATCCTTGGAGTCTTCCGGGGAGGGCGCGCGCCAGACTCTGTGCAGGCTTGGGTTAGAGTGTTGCGGTGGGAATCCGGGGGAGGCTGAAGCGCGAAGCCTAGCAGCGCAAACCACGGTTCGGGGCGGCAGACTTACGGGAGGCCCATTTTCGCGTGGCGGCGGGCTCAAAGAGAGACGGAGGCGAGATGTGCAGCACGCGCGACAAGAGAGGGGAGATGCGGGATGGAAGAGATGGGGCGGGGGGCGTGCTGGTGATGGCGGAGTTGGCGAGGGGGGTGAGGCCTGAGGGTTGAAGAGGTTGGGGCGCGCGGAGCGATGCCCAGGCGTCAGCAGAGGGGAGGCGGGGCGCTAGCGGGCGCACAGCAGGCGGGCGTCAGCCGCAGTGCCGCACTGTCTGCGTGCTGAGGGTGCTGGCTTGGGCGTTGCGGAGGGGTGCCAGACCGCGCGTTTGCTGGACTGAGCGACTGCAAGAAGGAGAGGAAACGAAGCAGGGCGTCGACAGAAGCGCGCGAGGCTCTTTTGATGCTCAGCCTCGTCGAGATGGCTGGTGGCAGCGAGAGGGTGTTTCGCGATGCTGTGCGCCGGGAGCGCCTATTCCGCCCGCGCCTGCGCCCTTCCGGCATGCCGCTTGACCGGTTCCGGCTCCCCCGCTGCACACTCGCGCCAAGCACGGCGCCTCCGCCACTCCCCGGTCTGACTCACCGCCACCTGATGACTCTCCGTTTCAAAACACTCTCCGCATTCTGCCAGCCCACGCCTCCGCCAATACTGCGAGGAGCATCGCCAGGCCAACATGATCCAGCCGGGGCTTGAGCGGATCTCCTTGCTGCTGAAACACACACAAGCCCGAACCCTCCACCCGTGGAAGGCCATACATGTCGCCGGCACTAACGGAAAAGGCTCCATCTGCGCCAATGCATCTGCACTACTACGACGCGCGAATGTGCGGTGTGGCCGCTTCACCTCACCCCATCTGATAGACCGGTATGTCACGTGCTGCACCGGCATCTGTCCCGCGACTAACGTCGACTTGAAGATGGGACTGTATCACCATCGACGATGTGCCTGTCAAGCATAAGCTCTTCCGTGAGGTTGAGGACAGCTACCTCCAGTACAATGCTAGCGAGGGCATCAAGGCCTCCGAGTTCGAGATCCTCACCGCCACCGCTTTCGACATCTTCGGGCGCGAGAACGTCCAAGTCGGCGTTGTCGAAGTCGGCATGGGCGGCCGTCAAGACGCTACCAACGTGCTACAGGCGCCCCTTGTCACCGTGATTTCCAAAATCAGCCTGGACCACCAGTCGTGGCTGGGGAACACCATACAAGAAATCGCCAGAGAGAAAGCTGGCATTCTAAAACCCGGCGTGCCCTGTGTCGTCGACCACACCAACGACGACGCAGTCAAAAACGTCATTGAAGCTGTTGCCAAAGAAGTTGGCGCCGGTCCTATCCTGTACACGAACTCGATAGACAATGAGATGGCGACCTTCCCTGGCTGGGGGGACATCTTCGATTCGATACTCCCCCATCAACGAGTCAACACCATCTCTGCCTATCTCGCTGTCCGCCAGACCCTGGAGTCTCTCGGATTGCCCAAATTAGAGGCAACAGAAGTTGCCCCTGGCCTGAAGGACGTCGTTTGGCCGGGACGTTTGCAGAAACTACAGCTGGATCCTATCATCAAGACAGATACACCGATTCTCCTGGATGGCGCCCACAATGCAGACTCTGCCCGAGTCCTAGGCGACTGTGTCAACGAGAGGTTCCGACAGAACAGCGAAAGCCTACAAGAATGGGCCGACGCGAGATCCTACCCAGACGCCAGCTTCGTGACTTGGATTCTCGCAGTCACCGAAGGCAAAGACGCCGAGGAGATCCTTCGACCTTTACTCAGGCCTGGTGATACCGTCATGACAGTTGAATTTGGACCTATTGAGGGGATGCCCTGGGTGCGACCGATGGATAGCTACAAGCTGCTCCAGGCTGCCCGCACCGTCTGCGATGGAATAGCAGTTGAAAGATCCTTCGGGAAGGAGCTCGTCGCAGCGCTACTCCAAGCGAACTACTTTGCGTGCCACGTTGACGCTCATAAACTCATGCCTAGCCCCAACCGACCGATCGTGATTGCTGGGAGTTTGTATCTGGCATCCGACATCCTCCGCCTACAGCGAGATTACGACCCGACTGACGAGCACGTTATAAAGCAAAGGAATGGATACAAGAGGTTCTTGTCATTCCAGGTGCCTTATGAGTCAGATGAAAAAGATTCTGAGAGCGACTATGACCCTGAAGGAGACTCTAGTCCTAAAAGGGGAGCATCATCCAGAGGTAGAGGCAGAGGCAGAGGAGGACGAGGAAGAGGAAGAGGGAGATGAGCCAGAGTAATATGGTGGTTGAAGAACGAAATTCTTTTTTATGGTGGATTTCTCAATGGAGGATTGAATAATCACTATCGTTCAGCGAACAGGTACTAAGGATTCGAGTGGAGCCGTTTAGATGGGGAGGACTCGGATAAACTCACTTCACAAGCGACGGGACATGTTTTGAACCGCAACTTTGCCGCACTATTTCGCGGACTCCGCATCGTTGGGATAACATGCACCGCTCTCCTCTTTAAACATGTAAGTAGCTTGTCCTTCCTGTCGTGGAACGAAACACTCATAACACCCGAATCAGACCATCGCCAGGGAATCAATCACGCGTAACGAAAGGCGCCAGTAAGTTCATCACGTAGATCTCAACATCCTCAATTCATTGGCTACGAACACTTCTTGCCTGCGGGTGCTGGGTGCTGGTGGTGCTTGTCGCCCTTCATTATTGGCCCCACCATCTCTGCTCTCCGACGTGACCATGACATCCCCAACGCTGCGTCCTGATCGCGCTTAATTCACTTGACCTTGGTCGATGCAGCGCGATTCAGACCACCTTTTGATTGACCAACTGCGTGCTACCCAGGTCCTCCTGATAGCGGTGTGGAGCAAGCAAAGACGGAAGTTCTGTTGTCGCTATCCTGACCCTAACCCAAGTGATGAAAGACCCTGTGGCTGTCTAAACCCCGTCCTCCGGGTTCTCACTCGCTCGGCCGTCAGTATCCTAGTCTTACCATATTACTACGCAACACTTAAATCTCCTCTAGCTAGGTAGAAGTAGACTCAGTGCCATAAAAGGTGTGACCGAAAAGAGACTAGCCCCGGGACCGTGTATGTGTTGACCTCACCTATCCTCTCACCTCCACAACACCCACAAAACCTCAACATGGAGGACGAAGATCCTCCCTTACATGGCCCTCACGGCTTCAATCACCGGCCTCAGCGGCCTCAACCAACACAAACAGGCACACATTCGGCAGACAAGTACAGCTCCAGACGGAGCCACCTTGTCGCGACAAACAGATGGCACGCCATCCTTTTCCACACGCGGGCTTCCGAATGGGGAGCGCCGGCACGGTATCCAAGTAGTGGCTGCTCAGCAGCCCTCTTTATACCGAACTGCCTCTGGCCTTGCAGTGAGTTGCTCTGCACTCCAGCTACTTTCCTCCCGCAGAGATTTGAGCACTGCTTATCCTAACGTGAGTTCACCTACTCTGTCGGACGAGTTTGAGAGATTTTTTCAGGCCTACTCTGTCTCGCATAGAGCTGGGCTAACGGGAGCACCCTCTTTAGATCTGAGCTAAGGAAATCGTTAATTGGCGCTTCCTCAGCGACGTCTGGGGTCCATTTCTCAGATCGCCTTCGAGAGGCCAGATCCACAGACGATAGCCTCGCAGAACTACTGCGATGTCGACGACTTCCTTTCTGATCTCGCAATGGTCCAAACCTCCAGGCGTCATTCGCCAGTCAACGGGAACCGGGCTATGCGGGCGTGCGTTTTGGGGGGGTAGGCTCATATCCAAAACACCCCCGGGCAGTGGTAGATTTCGCCCTCGATCAGAGGATCCACCACAGCCGGCCCACCACCAAGCAGACAATCAGCCAGCGCGCAACGATTTTGGGCCAAATCCAGATGGTAGTCTTACATGGGTGTGGGCTAGGGAGCGCGGCCAGTGGTATCGCGTTCGCTTCGATCCATCGAGCGGTAGGCCTAGGTTCGAATGGGAGTCTGTCGAAGCTGGTCTGCGCCGACAACTGGAGGAACACCGTTCTCTTATCGCGCGCATGGAGGCAGCGCAGGCCCCTAGGTTCGAACGGGAGTCCGTCAAAGATCGTCCGCGCCGTCAGCTGGAGGAGCACCGTTCTCTTGTAGCTCGCATGGAGGCAGAGCGGTCACGCGCTCGCGGCCAAGCTGTCCCAGGCGGTACGGCAGCTCGGGGACGCTCACGACGACGCTCACGATCAAAGCCGCGGAGCAAGCAGCATGACAAGTCCCAACTCAACCGCAATCGTGAGACGAGACAGAACGTCCCCAAGACGAAAAAAAAGACTTGCGGCCTTCGGCCTACTGGCGTTTTGAATGGACAACCTCGCCGCACCGGAGCCGTACAGCCGAATGCCGCCCCTCCGGAGAGTCAAGGGCTTTCTAGGAAGCGTAAGAGACTGTGCACACGTAAGCGTTGAGCGCGCTGGGAAAAAGAGCACCCTACCCTCGCTAATACAGAGATGGACTTGCGGTGGCATCTGTCTCCGGACAGATTCTCCGAAGTCTATTCGACCAGTTCCTCCGAGGTCTCTTCTGAAAACAGCGAAGAATCTGAAGAGGAATTCGACGTCAGACTCGAGAAGAACGATGCGGATCCCAAGATTAAATCGGAGTATAGCGACGACGATCATAATGGCGCCAAGAAGCGAGAGAGGTGGTAGCTCTCCAAGGGGAGCAAGGGGGAGATGGTTAAAGACTCCATTCAAAAAGGACTTAGGTGGGAAGGAGGGGCTGATTCTCATGCGCACAAACAGTAGGAACCTCTTCTCAACCTGCTCCTTTTTCTTTTATGCCGATGTGAAACGCGGTGAAAGAATAAAATATGACTGATTGACTAACACAACTTGAGAGACCATTGGAATTGTGAGAGGAATGGGATTTTCCAATCTCATGATATTGATAGAAAAGGACCTACAACAGTCCTCTAGTTGTTTTGAGATGCCTGCCTATCTATCCCAAAGCCCAAAACGCCATCGCTATGCAGTAGTCAAACCCTAACACCACCCTTAACCTACCCAGATGCCATAAGTCATACCAAAAGGCCCACGCCCCTTTCCACCACCCTTTTCCACCACTCCTCACTTCCTCGCCCTCTTTGTACTCGCCCTACTCCTAGTACTACCCGCACTAAGCACACTCGCACTCCGCTTATGCCCCGCCTTGACCGACGCCGCCGGCGTCGTCGCGGCCCTCGTACTCATCGCCTCAGAAACCTGCCTCGTGCTCGTCGCATTCGTCTCGCCATCCGCGTCCTCCTCGCCCTCCGCATCGTCCTCGTCTCCCTCGGCATCATCCCCCCCTTCCCCATCATCCGCATACACTGTCTCGGCCCCGGCATTCGAGTCCGCCACCGACTGCCCCATCAAGCTCTCATCGCGCTCCTCCTGCTTCATATCGCGCTCCTGCGTCTCTGTGCTATCGCGGCCATGCTGCGGCGGCGCAGATCCAGCAGCCGCGGGATCCTCGCCCAACCGCTTCGCCCGCATGCCCTCGAGCACCTTGACCTCGTTCTCCTCCTTCTCGCGCACCTTACGCAGGTCGAGCAGCTTGCCGACCTTGGCGACCAGCCCCTCGAACGCGGCGGCCACACGCGCCGTCGGGATGGCGATGATGTCGCCGAAGCCGAGCTGTGCGAGCACGTTCGCGATCTTCTGCGTCTGCACGCCGCTCTTGGCCTGGCGCATCTTGACCAGCTTGTCGGAGCCGAAGGATACGCCGGACGTGAGGCGGTCGTGGTTGCTGACGCCGTAGCGGCGCTCTTCGGCCACGGAAAGGGCGCGCAGCTGTGGCTGTGGGACTGGTGGGTGCGCCATGCTGGCTTTGCGGTTGCCGGCGGCCGCGTTGTAGGCGGCTTGCTGGGCGGCCGTGGGCGTGCCGATGATGTCGCCGGCGGAGAGGCTGAGGCGGCCGCTGCCCGACGCGCGCTTCTTGGAGCGGTCCTGTTGGAAGAGGGTTTGGAAGAGCGCGGTGAGGGCTTGGGAGGATTGGAAATTTGCGAGGGGCCCTGCGGGTCCGAGGTCGCGCTGGGGCGTGGGAGCTTCGAGGCGTTCGCGGAGCTCGGCGCGCTCGGCGTCGAGGCGGTTGGCGGCGATGTTGATGCGCTGGAGTTCGGCGAGGAGGAACTCTTCTTCCTTGACTTCGTCGAGTGGGCGGCTCATGAGGGCAAGCGCGATCCTCTTGCGCACGTGTTCTGAGTCGGGGTTGTAGCTGTGCAGCACCTCGAGGAGCTCGAATTCGCTGGATTCCATGGCTTCGGGCGGTCGGTGGAGTTTCAGCGTCGTCTCCCACACAAAGTAGTAGCGCGCTTTGAGATCTTCGATGGAGCGAGGATCGCGGGGCAAGTTGGAGTTGTAAGGGAGAGTAGAGAGAGCATCAGTTGGATTCTCGAGCGTGTTTTCCCCCGCGGGCACGGCGTCGTCGGTGGGCTCAGCCTTTGTGGATTGGAATTCGTAGCGGTCATGGATGACGGGCCATCGCAGGTAGAAGTCCTTAGCCAGTTCGAGGAGGTAGTCTGTCTCCTCACGGCTCCACTCATTGCTCCGGAGGTGTGTCTCGTACTCTTCATCGGTGTAGGAGGGGACCGTCACATCGACATTGAATCGCGCGTACTCGTAGTTCGTCTCGAGCTGTGGTGACTGGTTATCCACATCCTCCATTGCAGTGTCCCCGCCATTTTCAATATTTGGGCGTGCCGTGGGTTTGCGCCTCCAATGCTTGAGGACGAGGCCGTCGCTGCGGGCTGGGTTCGTGAAAGGTTGTTGTATCCTACGTTTGATTCAATTAGCACCCATAGCCAAGCGCAAGTAGAATGCGGATTTCGTACCATGGTCTCACTGGCCCCAGGTTCGCCCGCTTGGCTCGGTATGTCTTCTTCTCTTCGTAAACGGCTACCGGGGGAGGGCGTTCGCCGTAGAGTGCTGCGACTTCGCGGTTCACGCCATCTGCATAAAATCATGGCAGTCAGTATAGTGTCCTCCAAAGTTCAGGTACAGCAGTGAACATACGCAGCTTCTTCGTTGGTCCAGCAGTCTTCGCGCGCTTCTTGGGTGCGGGCGTGTCTCCGCCGCCAGGTAGGCCTATAATATCTTGGATGTCCCTCCGAGTCGTCATGTTGAATCGGGGGGCATAAGGGACTCCTGGATGGTGGGTGAGGTCTAGGAGGAGGATGGCGCGTGGCGCATGTGATGGAATTTCGGCGAGGTTGCTGTTTCGCGATGGAACTTTGGTGATAGATTGCGGCGGCGTCACGTGCCTCGAAGCCGATGATCCAAATTCTTCATCACCTCGCGCTGCTAATGGATACATCAACAGCGTAACATGCACACATCTGTTCGTACTACTAGTATCTCCAAGGCTTGGGTGTTTCGATTCGGATTAAGATGGGGAGGTTGAGATTGGACGAATGGTACCTGGCATTCTAGGGCTTTTGATTGAGCACCAAGGATACCCATAACTATGTTTGTTACAACGAAGTATCTGGACCAACATCTGCGCACAACTATTCGTATTGCCCGCTATAGGTCTTTAAAGTAAAGGTCAGTGCACCTACGCAAACACCTCGAGATGAAGTATCTCCCATTCAGCACTCGCCATTCTTTGCCAAAGTCGTCGGAACTAGTACCTCATCAGCGATCTGAGCTTTATCTGAGATATTTGAGAGGTCATTTGTCGACCTCACCTCATTCCTCGGGATCTTTTCTTAATACATTCATCCGAAATTCGATGGTCTCAGATATCAAGGTTGTCCCACGGTTCACATATTCTAGAAGATGATCCACGCACGGGAAAATCTCTTTGAAGCGAGCGCACACTTCTCAACTGCATCTCTCATTTCTTCCATTTCTTCATGCTTGCCAACCTCGCTAGCAGCACTTCAAATAATTTTCGGCATCACAAGGGATATACCTTTGATAGAAGGGATATACCTTTGATAGACCTAATAGCTTTCCGGGCTACTTCAGACAGTGGCAAATGTAGAGTCAAGGCTCCACGCAGCGTACAAATGGCTTCTCCGCAGGACTCGCAAGCACCGCCAAATGAACACCTGACTTCGCAACTTGGATTAGGCTCCGCTATCCCTGGTAGTGGTCACTTCCGATTTAAAGACCTTCCACTAGAGATTCGCAACGAAGTCTACAAGCTAGCCATCGGCACCGACAAGTCCTTCACAACGACACGTTGCAACACAGACCCAAATCGATGGGCCATCTTCCGCGTCGACCGACAGCTCAATCAAGAGGCGACAGCCTTATTCAGTGACTACGCCCGCATCGGTATGCCGATAGTTGTGGGCTATCTAAATAGCCTCTACGAATACTGGACGATACCTCAGCTCAGAGTAGCCGAATTATTCTGCCGGCACATCACGTTACAGCTCAGCTTGAACAGCTTGAATTTCACTAGCGTTTTCGAAGCGCTCGAAAGAAAGCTGCGTCATGCCATTCTACCAACATATAATCCGCGCCCAGGAACTCACTGTGTGAAACGCTGGATTACGATCGAGATTGACGAGATGTTTTGGTGGTTTGTGGCCAGCTCGTTGAGGGGCGGGGTAGCAGCCAAAAACATGATAGAGAGCTGGGAGCGTTGCATGCAACTGATGAAGCGCGGGAATCCGGATTACGACTTCGTCTGGGCAGTTAAAACAGCGCCGCTACCATGGCTAGCGGAGCCTGTAAACAGGGAGCAGTTCTCCGTGGATTGGCGGCTAGATCAAGGTCGTGCACGCCATGAATATCGCCATCTGCGCAGAGAGGTGTACGGGTGGAGTCTTCGACACGAAGGGGTCGCGGTAGGTCCAATACGGAAGATAGACACAGGGTCACCTCAAAAGCTCTGGAAGCCAAGTTGCGCTTTGGTGTGCCAAAAGTTTTTTTGAGCAACGAGTTCGAGGTGCGGACGCTGGTGGAAACGATCATAGCGTCCTGCGAAAAGAACGGGATAGCATACGAGGTTGGCATTGCACAGAGCCTTCCGCTTCTGAACAGCCGCCCAGAAACCGCAGTAGAAGCGAAATGGTTTCACGCGATGTTGGCGAATGGCGACACCTATCAGATGATACTACGGAGCCCGGTCACCTTCAGACTTATGACTTATTACTATAAGCTTCTCCGAGGGTGTAGAATTGCTTGCTGCTGCTGAGGTATCCTTATGGGGTTTCCAAATTCTAGGCGTTATATGAAAATTCACGCCGTGGAGATTAAGCAACCTTTCGGCTGACTGACTTCTTGGGCATGGGGCCGCTCCTGACAGTGGTGTTTAGCTTCCAAAAGCGGCCCTCAACCAGCGGTATATCCGTATGCCCAGACTTGTGGTCTAGTACTGTCTCTGCGCGACTGTACTATAGCACTAGAAGGAGGCAGTAGGAGGCACTGAACACCTGCATAACCTGAGCTTGCTTGATGGACTGAAACACGACGGAAATTTACACGAATGTGCCACCACATCCTACCCGAGGCGTGTTGGCACATGAAAAAAGGCTAGTTCGATTTGTACATACGGTCTTCACGCCGGTAAGCAAGAGTATCTACGCGAACTGGACTGGAGGGTAATTCTCGCGACTTCCCACATATTACCTCTAACATCAATCACATGACTGATACCTTTAGTATCCAGATCACAGCAATGCATCGTATTCACTCTACCACTCTATATATAGAATTTCAAATACTTCACCAGTCCAATCTAATAATAGTCTTTTTGACCTGAATGTCTCGTTCAATACCATAGCGAAGAAGGAAAACATCCTCTAATACCTTCTCCCTCACCCCGTGGTCTCTATCTGCTTATCTTGATAGTCCGTCGACATGTTCCGGAGGCACTGGAACCGATCCTCGGACTACTCAATTCGGAGCGAAACTCATCTGAAAGACCAGGCCTGGAAAGAAGAATCATCGTCAAAGATCTTTTCGAGCTCATCCTTCTCGTTATATACCACGCACCAGAACGCTATGTTCGATCTATCGTGCAAAAACTTGTCTATGTAATGCGAAAAGGTTTTCTCGATGTCGTCAAGGTCGGTGTAGCTTAAAAGCGGGGGATAGTAGGATCCAGGTAGTCTCGAGTCCTATACTTTAGCGCATGGAGGAGGGTGAGCTCGAACTGAATGACTGTTGAGGTGAAAGTTGGGTATCTTTTGTAGTAGTCGCTCTATATCGCGACCGGCAGCCTCGGCAGACGCGTGGGAATGAAGCGATTTTCGGTTTTAGCGAGGACAGTCTATGAGTACGATTACATGAAACGCTTGCGGGCATGTACGGAACCCACATTTCGAGCGCTTGCTGAATTTCATGAAGAGCCATGGTGGACAAGATCTTGGAAAGTATCGGAGGACAAAGACACAAAGCTTCTTTTTGGAAGCTCGAAGGTGGGGGCAGCTAGCTGAATGGAAAAGGTGCCAGCTCTTTTGGCTTCGTGGCAGTTTTATCCTATGATTGTTATCTTGAGTGCGTTGGAAAGCTCCAAGTCCTCCCGTAGGACGATTTAAGCGAAACCAGCTGGAGAAATACAGCGGGAAGACGACCAGTTGCGTTGAAGAAGACCAGATTTGTTGGTGACTCCAAGCTGCAGTGGTTCGAAGCTGCATGATCCGTGGTTGACATCGCCAAGCTTGGCATAGAGAACCACCTGAAGTGAGGAGGCAATCGTATTCTAGACCGAAGCTCATTGTATGCTTGAAACTATACCATAAGTGCGAGTAAAGATGGTATCTTGATAATGTTGAACGCTTCAGATCGGGCGGGCTGGGTTGATGGACAATGGTAAGATAGATTGATACTATTCGATAGCATTCGATTTCTGACAGCGTTGCATATATGCCACCCGAAATCAATTACGATGATCGAAAAACATGGTGAATGGCAAGTAAGCTTGACTACTGCCCCGCAGTCGTGTTGGAAGGTGTTGATGTTGCTTCAGGCTGTGAGTTGGGAGTCACGTAACCACTTGAGGCAACTTCCTTGGAACTTTTTGGGACAATAGACTCGTTTCAGCAAGTTGGGGACGCGACAATCAAGTCCTGGAGGACTGATGGATTCGAGATATAGGTACAAGTTGCACGTGACTCTCAGGAGGTGGCCGTGCACATGTGGCGCTTCCAATGTTCCATTGGAAGTGCCCGCCCATCTTCGAACCTCTTAGCTTCTTCATCACCTCACGTCGCGATCCATCTCTCCCTGGACACTGTCTATGTCCGCTGCTCTAGTTCGGTATGGCACGAATCTTCAATGAGCCACCCGCCGTCGATGACTCATTTAGCAGGTGCCGCTGCCGATACCTACGATGACTCTATTTGCTCGGGCGGGCTCAGCCTCAATGGTTTCCTACTACATAATAGACTCACTGCAACATGGAGTAGCTGCCATCAATCCACGATTCCATTGTTAAATTTCATATACTTTGATACACGCTCACCGTAGGCTTGCGTCCACTTGCCTAGCACCACTTGAGGTCCTCTGGCCCGCCATCAAACATTGGAAATCAACAACTTCGGCAAGGCTGAAAGCTCTCCCGGCCACCTCAGACAGTGTTGAACTGCCGCCTTTGGCCATGGCCTTCCGTCTCGATTCCAGAGCAACGGCCGTTGCCATCATCCCGCCAGCGCATCTCCACAGCTCCATAAACGACATTCGTAGCGTACATGACAAAGCTTACAACATCTGGCCACCCCACGTCAACATTCTCTACCCCTTCGTGGACCCAGCAAGGCTCTCGGATGCTGTGCAGCTACTTCGAAATAGCCTATTCCATGGCACAAACAACATCAGCGACATCAACGTAACTATTACCGACGCCGACTTGTTCCGACATCGCAAAAAGGCGACTGTATGGCTGAAGCCTGCGCAGCACTCGGAAGACGCATTGAGGCTGCTTAGAAAAAGGCTTACAGAGGCGCTTGGGTGTGAAGAGCGTGAGGGAACGCATGCTGGCGAATTCAGCCCTCATCTTTCAATTGGACAAGCTGCATTGAACGATGCCCTTATTGCGAACCTAATTCAGAAGGCCGCAAAGCTCGCAGGTTTGGAGTGGCAGTGCGTAAGCGCGGTTGTTTTGAAGCGTGAACCATCTGGGGAGATGACCATCGTGGAGGAACTGCCCTTTGGAGCGAAATACTCAACCTCAACACTGGAATCCAAGACCTCGACTCAAGATTTTGGATGGCGAACATGCCATTCATTCACGCCCGAGTGTGGATGGACGCGGTCGTTCTGGCACAAAAAACCCGCAGCGTCACCAGCCAGAGTGGAACCGAACACTAAAGTTACCATTTCGTCTTACAATGTCATGACAGCACCATATGCACCTCCCTTAGACCTTCGATTCCCGCTCATTATTGATGCAATCTCATCAATACCCTCTTCCTCATCAGTCAAGGTGCTTTGTCTACAGGAGGTCAGCGCGGACATGTTACCGCTGCTGCTTTCTGACCATTTCATTCAAAGGTCATACCCGTATTCGACCCACCATCCCTCGACGCGCCTTCTGAGTCAGCGCAACCTAGTCACTCTAGCATCAGTGCCGTTTACGCACCACGTTCTTCAATTTGCGGAACACCACAAATCCGCATCAGTTGCCGATTTTGGCAATCTCGGTATTCAAGTCGCAAACATACACCTAACAAGCGCGTTGACAGACAAATCAGTCCTGGCGAAAAGGAGCCAAATGGACCTGTTGACGAGATTCCTCGCCCGAGATACCAGTGGAAAGGAGGTCTTTGTTGTTGGAGACTTCAATCTTACGACATCAGCGAAAACGATTAAGACGGCTCTTGACGAACGTTTCATCACCCGGAAGACCGCCCGGGTGTTGCAAGGCGTCATCGACACTAGCTTGTGGATCGACGTGTTTGAAAATGTTAGTGCGCCGGCATTGAAAGATGGCTCTGATGCCGATACGGAAGGACAAGGGGGCGCTACTTTCGACCGAATGACAAACAGGCTTGCTGCGATGTCTGAAGGGCTCATCGACAACCGACCACAGCGCTATGACAGAATACTTTTTCGCAAAGGCGGACGTTCGCAGGCGGAAAACTTCCTCATATTTGGACTCCCAGCTGACGACGAAACCTGCGCCAGTGATCATTACGGAATCACGACAACGGTCAGTGTACGGCCTATCCAAGCCGGATCTGAACGTGTGCCAGGTACGGTTGCAACAGATGGAGACGGAACTCTACCACAAAACAGTCGCATTGATGATCGGCAAGCTGTCGAGAACCCCGTCGCTGAATATCGGAGTTTTCAAAGACCCCGACCCTCCACGTCATCGTCAAGCTCCGAGAGGCCTGTAGTCAGTCTCCGAAAGCTTCCTTCCGCACAAGATGTCATATCTCGTATCCGCTGGGATCCGTCATTGTCTGCCTCTGAGTTTGTGGTAGGGTACTCAGACCGTTTTGCCGGCGTGAAAGAAATCAATTTGGTAAAATGGAAGATGGAAACTACGCATCTAGAGTTCATCCCCATGCACCGTGTGATGTGGATAAAAAGGAAAGGGGATGGTGGGGAGAAGGTGTGGAATCGGGTTGAGAGGACGATGACACTAGGTGTGGAATGACACCCTCGACAGTAGTACAGTGACAGGTCATAAGCCTCTGCACACGTGTTTACCGCTGCTTGTGGTACCCTCATGGGCTTTCAAAAACCTGGGCACGATATCAGGTTTCAAGCAGTGCAAATGAAAGTGCCTCGTGACTAAGTGGCTGCTTACTAGCTGGGCTGCTTCTTACAGTGGTGTCGAGTGAGCAAAATCAGAGCTAAGCAATGATAAGTCTGAGTGCCCAGACTTCTGACGTAGCACTGTATTTTGGTGTAATTACTCAAAAAGCAGGCCGAATTGGTAAATTGAGGTACCTCAAGCAGTCGTCAGGGAGTATGTCAAAACATTTAGCGATGCACTGTAGCAGCGCCAGGACTACTTAAAAGAATTGCAATCAAGCGCCCCAACCGGAAAGCTCCATAGAAAGCAAATTCTTCTCCACAATCTCACTTTTCCTCCTCAGCAACTCCTCAACATCTCAATTGACCGAAAGCAACCTCCCGCGCAGGAAATCCGCCTCAGGCGTGGCAGTTAGCCAGACACAAAAGCCTCCCGGCAGTGCTTCACCCCGTTAGCTTCTACAACCTTAAATGAACCCAGTTCAGCGAAAGATAAGGAAAGAACATAACATTCTAGCATCATCCAACTGCAGCGTCCCCGCTTTATCACTCATCGCCATCGCCACATTTCCCGGGTGAATCGTGAACACGCGCAGCCTGGGCCCCATCTCAGCATCCAGATACGCGGCTATCTTCCGTGTCGTCAACTTTGACGAAGAGTACGCGGACCCGTATCCCGGAGGGATATGTGCCGCAATTGTTGCCACGTTTGTGAAGGTTGGCGGCTGTGCCCCTTCGGCGACTGGGTTGAGGTCGTGGTGGACGAAGGACTGCATGCAGTTCAGCGTGCCCTTCACTTTGGTCTCGAAACTACGCCACCACTCCTCCGCGTCGGCATTCTCGATGGTGCTCATGCGATGGTGCTCATGTAGAGATCGCCAGCGTTCGCGACGAAGACGTCGACGCCACCAAACTCCTCTCGCACACTCTTCACAGCATTGGACAGCACGTCCGCATCGCGAATGTCAGCGACGAAAGATCTGGTCGCTGTCACATGCCCAGAGGCTGTTGCTGCCGTAGAGATCAGGGTGGAGACGGTTCGGCCGAGGATGATCACGGCGCGGGCACCTGCGGCGGCGAAGGCGATGGCAATGGCTTTTTCAATGCCGGATCCACCGCCGGTTATAAGAATGGTCTTGTTGGCTGCGGAGAGGACGGGGTTGGTAGGGGAGATGGACGGGTAAGCGGTGGAGTGAAAGGGGGTGGTGAAGGTTGGGAAGGGGAAGGCCATTAGAAGGGTTCAGTGGGGGTGCGCGTGGGAATGGACAGAGAGAGTCCTTCCGACTAGCTTCTTATACTTCTTCATTGCGATGGCCCCTACTGCTTGGGCAGTGGTCTGGCTAAATATAATCCTCTACATTGATCCGGTAGTTGACTCCAACTTAGTGGAAGGAAATGCTCTAACTAGTTTAAGAGATACTTGCGGGGTTCATAAAGGCCTGTAGGGTGTTGAAGGACCGCATAAAAAGCCATTTCCGCGGATTTACGGGGCTGTGAACGGGTTTAGACGTTGAAAAGTAGTATCTAACGATCCTATTGAAGAGTCGGAAATTTCGGGTCCTTGCCTGCGCAGGCTTCCCCATGTCGTAGGATTCTGATATGTAATCCTAGCTTATGCTTCAGAGCTGGCGGTCCCGCAACGTACTGAAGCGAGGTGAGATTCTGATAGCTGTCTATTCTATTTCATAAGGCCTCTTGGCACACTATCTTAAGCATAGGCGTTTAAATGACGCTAGCGACTCAATTTATTGGCAGCGTCCGACCTACCTAGACTGCCGATTAAAACGGCCCTAACGCGACTTAATAGAATTACACCATCATATGTCTAATTTGCGAGCTAATCTGAATCCAGGCACCGGACGATTGGTAGCCAGCCTTGCCTAATGAGTTATACAGCCTACGAGCCAGACACTTGAGTTTTGCCCCACTTCTCTATCCTTTTGAGTGTAGGAGTCGACTAGCGTGCTAAGCTAGGCCTATGAGTCTGCAAAAGAATCACGTTGTAACATCCAGCTTCGTCCTCTAAAAGAATCTTGGATAAGATGATTGCTTTCCCTTGCATTTTCTTTTCAATAACGCCTACGTTTTGATTTACTCTTGACTTCCGACTTACACCCTTTAGTACGAACTCAGCCTAGAGGACCCCTCACCGCAAATAGAAGGACGCAGAATCGTGTTTCACAGCATCGACATCGTGTGTGTTGTATGCCACATTATATTCCTTATACTGAACACGATTTCAGGGCAAAGAAGGAAAGTTAATGGTGCCCAGAGATCCGTTGCGGCTATTTACGAAGCAGGTGCAGACTTACCATCCTCCCATGCCGTATCTCGTGTAGATAAACCGGATTCACGTAACTCAACCGTCCTATGGAGGAGCAGTGCGCTAGTGGATTCCATGAGCTTCTTCTATGATCCGGAGGTGACGGAACTTGACTCTGTTGTAGACGGGGGAGGAATGTTCCACCTGTTCTCGATTACCCTGGTGAAACCTGACTGAACTCTCCGATGAGCCTCTCTAACCCGCTCCTCCGGTATTCCTGCGCTACACACGAACTACTCACAGATTCAAAGGCTTACCTTATACGCTGCCTGCATCTAAAACGCCTTGCACATTGGAATCCCTGCTTTCTTGTGCAGACTGAAGGGACCATCTCGTGATGGTACTGGGATACGCAGATCACGGCCTTCGTTAGCAAATATGATTAGGCCAGGAAACTGATGATTGCCGATGAAGGTGGCATCTGGAGACTTCATTTCAAAAGAGATGGGGCGAATAAAAAAACGGGGACGTTAAGGTTAAGCCAGTCGCTTGAGCGATCGGTGGATTGCTTTTGTGTCCGATCTTGTCACATTCACTCTATTCATGTCATTCCACAAGACGAAGGTTAAGCATTCAGCGCCAACCATGCGTTCTGCATTCACTGTCAGCACTTTCAATTTTGCTTATTCCATATAGACTGTGGCCGCTGTGCGGGTCAACCTTCATCACCAGGCACCATGTCGCGGGAAAGCCTTGATGGCCTTCCTGATGAGCTCACACTCGAGATCGGCGACTACTTGAAGTCGAGCCAAGCATCGCTCGCCTGCTTGATTCGAGCCAGCCGAAATCATCATAGGATCCTATAGGAGGAACTTCACAAAGTCGCTATTGCAGACGTCGGTGGACAGACAGCCGTGGTAGCAGCGATCCGAGCAGCTGACCTTCGGAAGCTTCAGTATCTACTCTCTGACGGCGCCGACGGTTGGGTGAAGGGTGAGAAATGGTGGGCCTTACTCAGCTTGTCCGAGTGCTACGCTGATCATCTGAAGCGGCGTTCGACGGGAAACCCGACAGATCGCGTTGCGTTGGCTCGAATCACCATCCTTTCCCGTCGATGGCGATCGTATCGGTCCGGATCCTCATCTTGCGACCCCCTTCCGAATTTCAGTCCAACGCCGCCACTTCGAGCTTGCTAAACTCTTCGCGGAGCGTGGTGCCGACATCAATGCCCGCGCACATGACCAGGGATCTGTACCCGAGGAATGTCTCTTTCCCCCATGGCTTGCACCGGCGACTCGGGACTTCTGGTGGTGGGCAATTCGACAAGGACTTGATATGCTCAGCACTAAAAATCCGAAAGTGGATGACTGGAAAATGCCACAGCTTCTTCGGAGTCGGCGTCCCTACCAGCACATTAGTCCAGCAGGGCGACTGCTCTGGTACCTGGCAATGGATATCAAGACCCAAAACCTCTCTCAGAAGAATGATCATTTTCTACGATTCTTGGTCAATCACCTCGACGGAAAAGAGTACCACAACGACGTTCGCCAGATCCTGAAGCACCTCGAGACGACTTACACCTCTCTGCCTGAAGAGAAGCAGCGGAGGTGCAGGAGGACGGATGGAGAGGACGGTATTGACCAAAACTATGCCCCCGGTGAATTTGAGGACATCGAAATGCAGGACTCCAAATTGGAGAATCTTCACATTAGCAAGCGCAAGCGAGGCGAAGACGACGATTCGAACTCGAAGCGAATCAAGACCTAGGGTCGGAGTCGCGATACACAACATCAGACGGTGCCGTCGGAACTGTCCCATCGAGTTTACCGATCGACAAAAGGCTCAGCAGACTGCATATTCGGACTTCTGAAAGTGGACGGAGGGACTTCAGACACTGGCAGCTAGGTGCCTGATGATACGTTAGCAGGTGTTGGTCGACGAGACTGGGCCCCTTACGGGATTTTCGATTATCGTGCTTCAATGAGCGGCTACGGGAATCGGCGCGATGTCCAATCTCGGAAGAAATGATTGTGCTTTTGTTCATTAGGTTGGGTTATAGGCGGGCTCTAGGTAGAGCTATATGACAATAGTATAATTCCCATTGCGTTTCGAACTTCCGGAGAGGACTTTACCCGTGGCTTTCGCGTAGTGCAAGTTTCTCGTTCCTCGAAATTTGCCCCACTTCCACCTAACTAGTTAGGTGGCCGCCATTTTAGTGCACCGGCCACCTCAACGAATTATGATAATATACATTCACTATTCTACAGCCCTCCTAGGCCCCCTAGGCACTACAATCCCGTGCGCCTTGTTGTATTCACGTACAGCCTTCCGAGCGGCTACATCCTTAGCTAATTGCTGCCTCTTAATCTTATTAGATGCCCTCTTTTCTAGCCTCTCCAGCTTGTCACGAGCATCACGTAGCTTAGTCAATTCACTATTCTTTACTGCCTCCCTTTCTTGTTGGGCATACAACACCCCCCCCCCCCCGTCTGAAGTGATATCCAAGAGTCCTTCTTGTTGTCTTCTCTCTTCCTAGCAGCAGCTGTTTGGCGCTCCAAATCACGATGTGCGGCGTCGCTAGCATGTTCAATTGCTATAGATCCGCGCATGTACTTGTAGTAGTATATCTTATGCATCTTATTATCAGATTTGTATGCCAGACAGTTGGCTATCTTAGCAAGCATCCTAGCATTGCTTGGTGTCAAAATAGGCGGCGTTGTAGGCACTCCTGATGCTGCTGGTGCAGGTGCAGGTGTTGCCGGTCGGTCAGGTGAAGGAAGCCGTATTTGTGAGATAACAATCTCTGGATTAAATGGAATAAGGCCTGATTTCCTCTATACGCTTATAATTATGCTGTGCTTAAATGTTATTATTCTAAAGCGGTGAATTGCTTGTAAAAACTCTATTTTATTGAAATCTATGCACCCGTTTCTATACGCTCGAGCTACTTCCTTGCTATACCAATGCTTGTATAGTTGAAACACTACAATATTAAGCGGCTGGCAGATATATATTGTATGAGGAATTATAGTAAAAAGGATAATATAATGCTTATTGCAGTACTTAATAAATTGCCTTATAAAATGGCTTGTATAGCCATCTAATATTAAGAGCCGATTTTTACTAAGCTGACGCTTCCTGGAAAACAATTTAAAGTGCTTTGCCCGCTGGAGAAGCAGCTTATTATTAATATATGTAGTGTCGCTCACGCCTACTAAGTAGTTGCCTGGTAGTTCCTCCGTGGTATTGGTAAGCTATTGCTTTTGGATGGTTTTGCCTGCCAAAAGGATAAGCGGCGGCAGCACCTCTCCATTGCCAGAGATGCATTTACTAACCGTAGCTGATTCGCGGTTGGTATCCTTTGCAGCGGTGATTTGAATGCTCTTGGATATTGTGATAACCTTCTCCTTCTTGCCTATGCCTAGGCGCACGCCTGTCTTATTATAGTTATACTGGTCTCTTGGTTGTATGCTATACAGGCCTACGGTATTATTATAGTCCTTATACTAACGCAACAGCACTTTTAGGTCCTCTGCTGCCTGCCTTTTAAGGTTCTTAAGATTCTCAGTGCGCAGGTTGAATTCCAGGTGCCGCAGGAGGAAACGGCGTGTCCAATGCTCGCCGCAGAGGGGGGGGTTGCCTGTGCCGGTATGGCGGCCGGCCAAAATTGAATTGCACTCCCACTCCAATTCTGATGTAGTAGCACGCATTCCTAATTTAATCAAGTTGTCTTAGCTAGATTAGAAGGCCCTCTTCCTTATAAGGATACAGCAATAGGTTGTGTGGAATGCGTTCATTCCGTGGTGGAAGGCCTCGGGCACGATTTGTGACGCGTGAGTATTTGGCGCCATAATGGGCAGCAGCTTTTCGTAGGGAGGGGAATGTATTGTTGTGGAAGGCTGCCAATGCATCCTGCACGCGCATTTCTTCTTATTTGTAGGTCAAATCCATGATGTTAATGGAGCAATCACGGTGTCAAATAATTTATGTACAATTGACGCGTTGAGGTGGCCGGTGCACTGAGATGGCGGCCACCTAACTAGTTAGGTGGAAGTGGGGCAAATTTCGAGGAACGAGAAACTTGCACTACGCGAAAGCCACGGGTACTCCATGGTTAACTGAAATGAGATACGGTCGTAGCTGACATAAGATTTTCCTGTTGGGATATTGTGAACTGCCAATGTGACGACTTCACTATCTCTCAGATCTATCCACCCTCTAGGATTTGATAGTCGCATTCCCATTTCACTCGAATTAATATACCATGCAAACAAATTCCACGTAAAATATTTGAGCTAGTCACGTGATGCATACTCCGCCTCGCTCTTTTGAAAATCTCCTTCTCCATCCATCGAAACTCTGAAAGATCGCCACATCCTATTTTCAATCTTGGCCGGCATCATTTACTATCCGAACGCTCGAAACTCAAAGGTTTCACCGTCTAAATGATGAAATCTATGATGTCCCCAATTCTCCTCACTATTCCTTCTTCTTGATCGTCAAGAACGGCATCGATCAGATCAGCAATCTCATCAGAAATCTGCCTCGCAAGCTCCTCGCCAATAACTCTCTCGTCATACATGAGAGTGATCTTGTGCTGGTTTCCTGGCGCCTTCGACAACTCAACAACTTACGCGTACGGCTGATCCATGCGGACCTTCGACTCGGCCAGGACCAGCCATCGAAAGGCTGCATTGGGGTTGCCCTTCGCCGCAACCTCGAAAGGCTGCGATAAGAACAAAATCTGATTTCCCGCATCCTTTCGAGACACATTTGCCGCGTCGTAGATGTCATCCAATCCCACGTTGCCGTACTCCGTCATAGCCCAAAAGTCGTCTTGGGCCTGCTCGAGGAATTTTTTCACAGTAGTCGAATGATCGACGGTAGCGACCACCGGAAGGAAGTTGGCAAGAGTTCCGTTGATGTTTTGGGGGTCGGGCAGGGTAACATTCCGCCCACTCACGAGATAGTCGAAACTTGTGCTGGTATTGCGAGTGGCGCGTGACAACCACAGCTGAAAGGCGCCTTGGAAGATGATGGACGGGGTGACACCCAAGAGCTTCGCCTTGGTCTCGATGTCAGGTATTTCCAGCAATCGTCTCAATGAAGCCCTAGCCATCGGTGCCGAAGTGGATACCCATCCAGCAGGCGAGCATTTGGTTGGTTTGTGGGCCATTTTACCCTTCCAGTAGCTCAGAGACCTAACCTTGTCGGACTGAAAATTGTGGAAAGCAAAGTCTTTGAACTGTCCGTGGCGAGGTATTGCCTGGTCCTGAAGGATAGTTCGGAAGTGATCGTCAAAAACCCGTAAGAGTGTGCCATCATACACGGCGTGGTCCATCTTGATGGCGAGATCCCAAGAATTGTCCGGGTGGTCCAAGATCGCGTACTTGATGAAAGGCTTCCCTGCGGCGAATGGCTGCTTCCAAAACTCGTCAATGATGGTCACGGCTTCGGCATCACCAGAATGGTTGAACTTCACAAGATTGAGCTCAGAGCTCTTCAACACCACTCCGACCCACCCCTTCGCTACTAACTTGATCCAGACGGTTCGGAGGATGTCGTTGGCTTTGCTCAGCTTTGTTGTTGCTCGGATCCACCGCTCCTGGTCTACTCCAGCGGACATGTGTCGGACTGTCTGGAGAACCCACATCTGCTCCGGACGGTTGCCTTGGTTGAGAAATTCAGCCTGACCTGGCGGGCACGGAAAGACGTATTCAACGTCTTCCTCCCAGGAGAGGCCCATAGCCTGGATGGCATCTTTGCCCTCTTGGACGACTTCAAAGACACATTGAGCTATGACCTCCGCTTTCTCGACCTCTTGCATTGCCCCTGCGAGGTCTTTCAGCTTCGAGAACTTGAGGATGCTGGGAACACTCAGTCTAAAGCCGGCATGCCGAGCCGTACTAGCCAAGCTAATTGCAGAAATGGAATCCCCCCCAAGAGCCAGAAAGTTAGCTTCACGACCGATTTGTGTAGCTGGGACGTGAAAGAGTCCCGCCCACATCCTCTCCAGCGCTCGCTCCATAGGTGTCTCGGCAGCTATCACAGCACCATGCTCTCCAGCCATCTCTAGAGCATATCCATTGATGGCCATGCCACCAAGTTCCTCAACAACTCCTTTCAGCGCTTTCCTGTCGACTTTGTGGGAAGCCATTCGTGGGAAGTCCCCCATAGGAATAACGACTTTAGGAACCATGTATGTTGCCAGGCCATCCAGCTGGTCCCTCAATGCACGCAGATGCTCACGGTTGTTTTCTGCCGGCTGAACTTGCGCACGACCATTCACTTCGAACACACACAACGCTACCAGCTGTGCCTTGCTCGCGACATTGACTAGCAATACTACGACGTCTATCACCAAGCTAGTTCGCCTAATGGCATGTTCGATTTCACCAAGCTCAATTCGGTGGCCGTTGATCTTGACTTGATTATCCTTCCGGCCGAGACACTCGATCTCGCCCCCGGGAAGCCATCGCGCCAGGTCACCGGTTCGATAGATGCGGACTTCCAGCGCAATGCTGTCTCTGAACGCGACCGCCGTGAGATCATCGCGGTTCATGTAGCCGGCGGTGACTTGCGGCCCTGCTATGCACAACTCCCCAGACGCCCCGTACGGTCGCAGCTCCTCGCCATCCGGGTCGACAATAAATGCCATGACGGTTGGGAATGGCGCCCCGATGTTCGTAACTCGGCTTCCCTCGCGGACTGACTTGGCCGTGACGAGGATGGATGTCTCTGTAGGACCATAAAGATTCAGTATCTGGCACCGGGACCGCCATGCCTCGAGCACGCTGTGTGTAAGAGGCTCTCCACCTGACAAGAGCTTCTCAAAAGTCGGGACTTGCTCTGGTCCGAAGAGGTTGGCAACCGTAGGCATGAGAAGTGCCTTCTGGACACGCATGACGTTGATGCATGATGTGATATCGAACATCAAACGCTCCATAGGCGCCATGCAGAGCGTGCCGCCTGTGCTGAGAGTCGTGAAAAATATCCAGCACCGACGCATAAAAGACATAGTTGGAAAATTGCAGCGTCCGCCATCCGCCTTCGTGTTGGCCTTCTACATCTGCCATACTAGCTATTGCCGTCGCAACGGTATGATGCGGTACCTTGACGCCTTTCGGCTGTCCTGTACTTCCTGAAGTGTATATGACGTAGGCAAGGTGTTGAGGTGTTGTTGCTACTAAGGGCTTCTCTGTGGGCCGTGAGGAGAAGGCTGCACGTTCGAATACCACCGTCTGAAGGTCCTCAACATATGAACACTCTGCGGATTGCGACGCGAGTGGTGTACACTGGGATGCCGCCGTCTGAAGGTCCTCAGTATGTGAAACGAGTCCGACATACGCTTCGTGGATGATCATGACTCTCGTGTTGTAGTTTTGGATGATGAACCTGTTTCGCTCGGGAGGATGCTCTGGATTCAGGGGAACATAGGCACCGCTGGCTTTCAGCACTCCCAGAATGGATATGATGGTAGCAACCGACTTGTCAAGTATCAGCGCCACAACGTCACCGGGAATGACGCCGTGCTCTATCAAGAGATGAGCCAACTGATTCGCGAGGCTGTTGAGCACGGCATATGTCACATCCCGCGTGGCGTCCCAGTCAATAGCTACCATGTTGGGACTGAGATTAGCGTGCCGCTCGAACTCTGCATGGAGCATCTGTGCCTCAGGTGTGCGTAAAGTATGCCTACTGGAAAGCGTGTCGGATAGGTAGCTCCGTTCCGCATCACCAAGGATATCTAAGGTCGACACTCGCGATTCTGGTTCCTCAAGCATTGTCGTGACGATTTTGACGAACGAGTCACAGATGAAATCCAGGCGTCTCGATTCCATGTCGCTTGAAAGCCGGATATTGGTACCAACCTTGCCTTCTTCCACCTCAAGGAGCGTGAAGTCAGAGCCCCAGATTGGCCGGTCACCGTATCTCCTGAAGACTTTCTGAGCATCATCGCTGGCTTCGTTGCTGACTAAGATATTGACGATAGTGTCGAAACAGCCAGGCTGGAGATTCCCAGATCGCAAGGCTTCTTGCATTCCATACTGGGAGTGTTTCGTCATGCGAGCGAATCCAGTCATGGATGCCTTCGCTAGCCGAATGAGGGATTGATCAGTTTCGATCTGGATCCGCTGTGGCACAGTCACCATCGTTGGCCCGTCTATGCTCTGAACGTCCAGCACTGGGACTTCTCTGCCGGATACGGTGGCAGCGAAGGTAATATCACTGTTGCCAAGGTGGCGAGAAAGCAGTATAGCCCAGGCGCTGTAGACGATTGCTCCCAGGGATACGCCCAGGAGCTTCGCCTTCTCGACAAGGCTAATACTAAGATCCTTGGAGATATTGCTGGTTTGCTTGGACACCCCCACCACCCTCTGAGGCACCTCTTGCGGTGGCGTCCCAGGTGAAATGAAAGAGTCACAAGGCAAAGATATAGGGGCAAAATTGAGGCAGGTTTTTTGAGCGCCTCGGAGATATGATGCCTAGAATTGGCCATCACTGACGCTGTCTCGATCAACCAAATACCTGACAAAGTGCCTGAATTTGGGTCTCCTTGGGATCTTCTTTCCCAAATATGCCGCTGCAACATCCTCATATAGGAACCAGTGGGACCTGAAGTCAAAGAGACTATGGTGCATGGTGACCACGAGGTATTTCCCAGAGATGAAACCCACTCGAAACAGCGGCCCTGATATAGGCATCTCCAATTGGCGGTCCCTGTCCATATACTCTTCGAGGGAGCATTGGACTTCGCTCCATGGGAGATCGAGATCGAGGCGCACAAACTGGATGAATGGCTTTCGGTCTGCAACGAAACCTGTTCTGAGAATATCGCGTTCCTCAAAGACCTGTTGGAAGCTCTGTCTCATCCGCTCTGTGTTCATGCCAGTCGCATTCCAGACTCGACGGTATGTGCATGCATCTGTTTCTCCGTTCAGTGTAGTTAGGAGGCCGGCCTGTAGAGAGGTCGCAGGGTAGGCATCTTCTATGTTGAGATGTTGGCGGAGGTCATCAAGTACCCCTGAGTCCTCGATGAGCGAGAAAGGTTCAGCAACATCAGCGTGGTCCACGGAGACGATCTTGGCAGTCGATGCTACTTCCTCAAGAGATTCGTCACTTATAAAGCTGCTGAACTCGACCACGATACCTTCACTGCGAAGCTTGGCCACGGCTTGTATGGCGATAATCGAGTTTCCACCGAGCATGAGTAGAGAATGATGCCGTCTGATGACGAGGTAATCAATGCCCAGCACATCAGCCCAGGCCCGAGCAATTGGAAGCTGCAGGGAGTCTAAAACCTCCTCTTCCACCCCTGGACGCGCCAAAAGCTCTGCAAAACCAGCGGTTCCACGCTTGATCGCCATGGTTTGGATTGCGTCGAAGTTGACCTTCCCGCTTGCGGTTGTGGGGATCTCTTCGAGTGGTAGCCACAACGTTGGGACCATGTAGGCTGGGAGCGTTGCACGCATATGGCGTAGCAGCAGGGGCACAGCATCGCTCCAGCCAAGCCCATTGTGGAGCACCACAGCCGCCACTAAGGCAAGATGGCCATCCACTGTAGTTCCTACCGAAGCACATGAAACGACGGCGGAGTGTGTCCTAAGCACACCATCAACTTCGGTCGGGTCGACTCTCTGCCCATTGACCTTGATCTGCAGATCTAGACGGCCCAGCAGCTCCATTGAGCCATCTTAGAGCTGCCTCGCTCGGTCTGCCGTTCTATAAAGCTTGCCTTGCCCAAAGGGGTTGTCCACAAACTTTGCAGCGGTTAGCTCAGGCAGATTTAGGTATCCAGCGGCTAATTGAGGGCCGGCTAAGCAGAGTTCGCCAGCCACGCCCACAGGAGCTAGATGTAGGTTCCCTGGAACTATTACGTAGGCCATTGTAGTATCATTCGGAGTGCCCACAACACAGGGGCTGCTGTCAACGGCGAGTGTGCGACCAAAGTTCAACTGTGTACACTCGCTCAGTCCGTAAGTGTTTCGCAACTTGACGTTCGGGATGCCAGCCCAGATACGGACCAACGATTCCGGGATATGCTCACCAACGAGGGTGATTAGTCGGACACTCCGTATATCTGATGGCTTGAGAAGCGTGAGGGCTGACGGCGTGATTCCCAGTGCATCGATCTGGTTGCGGTCGATAACGCCAGCTAGATCGGTGCTTAGGCTGTTCTTGCTTGCCGTTAGTAGCGTCCCACCATGGATCAATGTTGACAGCATCGTCCTCTGTGCGGCTGAGAAAGTCGGATTGTAAAAGAGAAGCCATCGCGAGAGACCAGAGAGAGCATAATGGACTATTCCATTTGCCGCCGCTCCATGGGTCAGCACCGCCCCTTTGGGCTTTCCAGTAGATCCAGAGGTGTAGACGATGTAACACCTATCTTCCGGCATGATACTGGCCCGCGTTTGCTGTTTCTCGATCACGGACTGAGACACCGTAAGCTGGCTGAACCAAGATGGGGAGAAGGCTGGAGCAAAACCCGTCGAAGGCCACAAGCCTGAGTGGATTGCCGAAAGCGCGGGACGGAAGAAGTATGCGAAGGAAGCTTTCGCTCGCGCGCGTCTGCCTCAGCAGACAGACATAGAAGTCCTCAGCATCCCTGAAGCCCGCCCAGAAACGATTCGGAGTATCCAAAGCGTGGGTGGCGTTTGAGCAAATAGGATCAATCACAGCTGGATTACTACAGCAACGTTGTTGAAGTCCGAAGAAGGCAAAATCGTATCAAACATGTCCTCTGTCCGCGAGAGCTTATCGATACTTGACCATGCGACCATCGTCGGGCCATCATGCATGCCATCGTTATTTTCCGTTATCATTCTTTCTGTCGTGCTGATTCCCATAATGAGCCTTGCCGAGTCACCATGCCAGATAATGACTTCATGAATTGACTCCTGTAGGTAGCCTCCGGAGCATTCACTACTTCGGCTTCATTTTGATCTTGACGCCATCGAACGTGCCCTCTTCTCTCTTCAAGCTCGTTCCTCAGAACGAACTCCTGGTATGTTCCTTCCTGACCCTCTTCTTTCCGTACTCCGCGACCGGTCACATCCTCTTCATGCTCATGCTTGGCTCTTTCCTGACCCATGTACCGGTACGTACTCCAAGCCCAGACCTCCCACCTTCTGAGCCTGCTGCCTGAGACGCTTCTCGCGTATCTTGTGGCGGCGAGCCGTGCCCTTCACGGACTACCGCGACGAAAATAGATGTAGTTCATTCTCTTCTTGATTCGGACCGGCATGTCGTTCCCGCTGCTGGCAACGCGAAATGACATCGAATTGTCGTCCAAAATTAGCACTTAGCGACTTTGTCGACGTAGCCCAGACATCAGCTCCTGCAGATCCAGAGCGGCTCGAGTTTCGGGCCTTTCTCATCCAGATTTGCCTCACGGCCCTCCCCCGCTAGCTAACTTTCGATCTTGAATCCCCTCGCTACCATCACGGCCACTACAATACGCTACTACACACGAGGAAGACAAGGTGAAGCTCTTTGGCGAAAACGTATTTCGGGGATCTAGTAGAAAATGATCCACTGACAACAGGAAAATTGAAGAAGCTGCGCTAAATAGTTAGCAGATTGAATAATAAGTAAAGAAAAAACGAAAGCTTTAGCGCATCTCCAATCTCTTTGTCGTCTTGACTACTCCAAGGAACGTTGAAGAGATCTTCGAAGGCTATACGCTCTTGATCGTGGTTTATTCGGAGATACCGGAGCTAGCTTGATAAACCTAATCTCCATCTAATGTCCGTAAGCAACCAGACATTCCATATTTGCTATTCCTAGTCAATCGCTGCTTTGAAATGACAACTGGAAAGCATTGACAAACTCATCGCTTGGCGTTGTTAAAAAGAGTGCGATCGAGCGCGGTCACTTAGGCACACAAAGACCACATACAACGCCCTCATCTTCAGAAAACCACTTTTGGTCACGTATCATATACAAAACTATGTCGAGACCACTCGTCCTAGTCACCGGAGCTACAGGCCATATCGGCTTCGCAATTCTAGCATTGCTCCTCAAGAAAGGCTATCGAACACGCGTCGCTAGCCGGAAGCTTTCAAGTGCGGAAAAGCTAAAAGATCTACCCAGCTTGGAACCATACGTCAATTCAATCTCTTTTATTGAGGTCCCTGACTTCACGGCTGACGGGGCATTCGATGAGGCCGTCAAGGACGTCGACTACATTCAACACATCGCCTCACCTATTCCTGATGGAGCCACATCTGGCGAGATATCCGACGCTCTCTCTGAATTCATCAACCCCGCCGTTAAGGGTAACCTGGCCATCCTTCAAGCTGCCACGAAATCTCCGAGTGTCAAGCGCATCATCATCACCTCGTCCACTGAGATCCTAGACCCAAAAGAAGGCGCAACGACCATGGGCCCGGACGACGTGCCCGGTCCCGTCCCACTCGACGAAGTCAAAGGTACCACGAACCAGCATTTTGCGTATCGTCAGTCTAAGAGACACTCCGGTGCGGCTGTTGAGACTTTCATCAAGGAGAAAAAACCACATTTCGATGTCCTCAGTATTCTTCCATCCTTCGTGCAGGGTCGTAATGAGCCAGTCACCACCATTCATGACTTGCTCAGCCGTCCTACGTCAAATTATGTGATGATCGACCAGGTTCTAGGGAAAAAGTCGGAGAGGCCCTCACCTATCGATCTCGTGTTCTTGGATGATGTGGCGCTAACGCATGTTGCGGCCATGGAGTCCAGGAAAGTCAAGAGTGGTGGGAGGTTCATCGCAGCGTATACCCGTCCTATACCTTGGGAGGAGGTCGATCCAATTGTAGAGAGATTATTCCCTGAAGAGGTGAAGTCCGGATTGTTGCCGCTTGGTGGGAAGCATCCGGGGGTGGGGAGGGCGAAGGACGGGTTTGATAGCAGTAAGACCACAGAAATTTTGGGAGTGGAGTTTCGTGGTCTCGAGGATATGGTGCAGAGCTTGATCGGGCAGCTTGTAGAGTTGAAGAAGAAGGATAAGGAGAACTGAGGGATTCACAATGGCAAGGCGTAGAGTACATCACGTCGACTCAAATACACATGCCCCAGAGGTAGCATTTGGTCCTACCGCCGTTCGCAGCGTTATGGCACTGTTCCTCCAGTGCAACGCATTCGGCGATCGAATGAACTTGCTCTTTACGAGCTGCGCAAACGGTGAATAGCAATTTCAGCATGCTATCCAACTACTCTACGAGTGATTCATTGGCCTAAGGTAGGATCCCGCAGAGTACAAAGCTCCTCAGGCGCATTTTTAGTCCTATTTCTTTGCCGCCATGGCATGTTCATCCAGCCAACTCTGCCTCAGTGCTTCTCAGGCCTTCACCCTCGCCTCCCACTCCTTATTCCAGACCTCCATCTCCTTCAACTTCCCCTTCGCCCGCGCCAGGTCCTTTGTGCACTCGCTCCCCTGCGACACCATCTCCACCGCCTCCATCCTCGAACTCTCCGCTTCGCACCACTTGAACGCTTCCTCCGCTTCCTCAAACAATGTGACCGCCTCCTGTTGCAACGGCAAGGCGTATTGTATCTCCGCAAGAGCAGCACGTCCCAACTTAATGCATTTGAGCCACTCTTGCGCCATGCCCTGGCACTCCTTTGCAACTTCTTCACGTGACTATCGACGGAAGGAACGCCGATATTCTTTAGCCGCTTTCCAAAGCTGGACTGGAGCGACTACTTCGGCGTGGCGGGCGTTTTCTTTTGCGTATATGTCACCGAACTTGGAGGCCGCCAGGAGGTTCCTAGCTTTGGATGCACCTTTGGTGGCACAGTTGCGACGGGGAAAGTAGCGTGGGTTGCTCCCGTAGGACCTCGAGACCCGCGCATGAGGCGTGGAGCTCATGTCCTTGGGCATTTCGCGAGGGTGGAGCCAGACCGTGCGAGTTTGAGGATCGCATAGCATTTGGTATGCCGCTTCGACTTCTTCAAAGATCTCTATCTTAGCAGCGAGTTCGATTGGATCCTGATCATCTTGGTACACATCAGGATGATATTCCAGAGCCAGACGACGGTATGCAGAGTCGATGACAGCTTGGTCTGCGTCGGGCTGGATACTAAGAATGGCGAGTGGGTTCAGTCTTATTAGTGCCATGCGAAAGGTAGTAATCGGTAATATGGTGGTGGGTTAGTGGGTAAGATTTTACATTGCGCACTACTACTAGTATTTAAGATATCTACCTAGTACTTTACTATAAAACCTATTTTTATACTCTATATACTATATAGTTACTAATTATATAATTAAATTCCTTAATTACTACCTATTTATTAAGTTTTTTAAATACTAGTAATTAAGTTTTTACTACTAGTATTTAAGTTTCTACTACTAGGAATTTTTTCTACTACTAGTATTTAAGTTTTTATATCTAGTATTTAAGTTTTTATAGCTAGTATTTAACTTTTTTACTACTTATAATAGGGGAAATCTTACTAAACTTTTTTAATTTTAAGTAGTAGTTAAGAAATACTAACTAGTAATAGAAAATATTTACTTAGTTTTAAAAAAAGTTTATTTAGCTATAAAGGAATTAAACTAGTAATAAAGAAATTTATTTAATATATAAAAAAAACTTAATAGTTATATACTTTTTAAATCTAATAAAGTATTAGTATATAGTTAGGGTTAGTTAATAGTTAGTAGCTTATAATTAGTAGTTAGTAGTTAGTAGTTAATAGTTAGTAGCTTATAATTAGTAGTTAGTAGTTAGTAGTTAGTAGTTAGTAGTTAGTAGTTAGTAGTTAGTAGTTAGTAGTTAGTAGTTAGTAGTTAGTAGTTAGTAGTTAGTAATTAGTAGTTAGTAGTTCTAAAAAAAATATAGAAGTATAATAGTATAGATTAAAACTATATCTAAACTATATACTAATTTATAGGTTTTTTAGTTTAATATAATAGAAATTTTAAACCTTTAATATTCTAAGTAAAAAAATCCCCTTAGAACTCCTAATACCTTATATAAAAAAAACCCTAATACTTTATATAACTAGAAAACTTTAAACTTTTATTTTATTATAAATAACGTGCAATATAAGCGAGCCGGCCACCTAAGCAAGCCGGCTACCTTATTAACTTTTAATAGCTTTAAACGTAGATTGCTCTATAACGCTAATAGATATTAACTTAATTTAACTTATAGTCTATTCTATAATAACTTCCTTATCTTTTTAACATATATAAGTATTATATCCTATCTCGCCGCAGCGCCTATAGCGCGCTTGCTGCCGTGCACTTCCACCTGGGCGCCTTCTATTTTAACGCATTTCGCCCTTAATTTATTTATTAGCTTCCTTTTAAGCAATTATATTAGACCCCTATACCTTTATTAGGACTTTTTACCTCTAAATTTGCTTTTTTTTGCGCTCTCTATACTTTATAGCGGCCTTATTCGCCTTTTAAAGGCTTATAACCTAATCGCGTAATAATACTGCCCTATATATCTATATTTTAGCGCCTTTAATAAGCGAATTAAGCAACTTAAGAATTGTAGTAAAAGAGCTATTTTAATATATTTAAATGCAATTATACGTTAAAGCTAATTAAAAGCCTAGCTTAAAAGTATTACTTAGTATTTTTAATTCCTATTAAGCTTCTACTATAGCAAAAGGCGACGGCGTATAAAGTATAATATTAAGCTTTAAAAGTACTGCCTCTAGATTAAGCGGTATAAGGCCGGCGCCTTAAAAGCTTGCGCAAATATTACTCTTTATAAATAAGTTATTAAATACTACTTTAAAAGCTAGTAGGAACTTAAGCTTTATAATATAGTTAATATAGTTACGCGCTAGATCCTTAATTTAGCGACCGTACGCTTTTTTTAACAGCGTAAAACAGCCTATATTAAGCGGCTGCTATATCTACTTATAGCTTAGTAGTATTATAGTAAATCGGCTATAAGCTATTCTTGCACTTTACTATTAGTATATACTAGTTATACTGCTCTAGGATCTAAAAAGTAGGCCTTATTAGGTATTACTAGAATTTATCTTTAAATTTATAAAAAAGTTCCTTAGGGTAAAAAATATATAAGTTCTATAAGTTTTTAAGTTTAGCTAATATCTATATATTTCTAAGAAAATGCTAACTTTAGCAAGGAATACTTTCCCTTTCCCTAAAATTATATTTAATAAGTTTTTTATCTATAGTTTATATATCTTCCTTTTTAGAATACTTTTCTATAATAGCGCGTTTATAGTATATAATCTAATATCTAAAAAAAAGTTAAGTAGGCTTTTTATTCTACTAGGGCGCAATAAGCTATTATTACGCCTTAATAGGAAATTAGATATTATTCTAGTACTTTAGCAACCTATAAAAACCCTAAATAGCTAAACTATTTTTCCTAACTAGCTTTTTTAGTACTCTACGTTGCTGCCCTAAATTAAAATACTAGGCGAAATTACAGGGTTTACCTAAATTACCTAACCCTATTTATTAAAATATAATAGAGGAAAGGCCTTTAATAAAAATAGTAAGCTTAGCCTAAGTAATTATTAGTAAAACGTAATATTAATATAATATATAGGCAATATTAGTAAGGCTATACAAAATTTTATAATAACGCACTATAATATCCGAATATTTCTAAAATACTATTTTTTATAATATATTATAGTAGATATATAAGCTATTATATAAGGTATTAAGCCCTAAAATATATTAATATAAGTATTTTATACTAATATATTCTATAAGCGAGCCGTCTACCTAAGTAAGCCGTCTACTTTATTATAAAAACCTGCCTTAAACGTTAATTACTCTATAACGCTAATAGATATTAACTATATATAACTTATAGCCTAATCTATAGCAACCTTTATATCGTTTTTACACGTATAAATATTATACCCTAACTCGCTGCAGCGCCTATAGCGCCGCACGATTCTATTAAAGCCTGCTTTACTTTACTACTTTTTACTTTAAGCGTTCTTTTTAAGCCGTTAAGCAGCTATTTAAAAGCCTGCTTTTATTATTAAAGTTCCTTCCCTTTAAATACGCTTTTTTTTGCGCGCCTTGCGCTTTATAGCGGCTTTATTTACCTTTTAAAGGCTAGTAACAGTATCGCGCAGTAGTGCAGCTTAATATATTATACTTTTAGCACCTTTAGAAAGGCTATTAAGCGAGTTAAAAATAGCTATAGGCGAGCTATTTTAATATATTTAAATGCGCTTATAAATTAAAGCTAATTAAGAGCCTAGCTTAAAAGTATTGCTTAGTATTTTTAATTCCTATAGAGCCTCTACAGCAGCAGGCGAAGGCAACAGCGTACAGAGCCTAATATTAAGCTTTAATAGCACTACTTCTAAATTAAGTAGTATAAGGCCTGCGCCTTAAAAGCCTGTGTAAATATTGCTTTTTATAATTAAGCTATAGAAAGCTGCTTTAAATACTAGCAGGAACTTTAGCTTAGTAATATAGTTAATATAGTAGCGCACTAAGTCCTTAATTTAGCGCCTATACGCCTTTTTTATTAGCGTAAAGTAGCTAATATTAAGCGGCTATAGCAGGTGCAATAAATACGCTAGTATATAGAGAGTAATAATATTATTTTCCTTATAAATCTATTGGAATTTAAGTAAGATATAGCTTTTATAGCTATTAATAATTAGCAGCCGGTGCGTGCCTATTATGCGATCTTTTATATGCGTATTAAAATAGTATAGCCAGGTAATACTAAGCTTATTTATTATCTAGCTATTATTACTTACTACTATAACCTAATCTAGTAGTATATTATTGCCCTTATACTATATAAAAAGGTAGTATATACCTATAAAGATAATAAATAGTAGAATAGCCTATCTACAGGTATTAATACCTTAGATTATTATTATCTATTCGCGATTGCCTAGCTGTATAGATTTTGGACGATTACAGCGCTTAGAGCCTGTTATAACTACGCCTATTAAAATAACATCTATTTAGAAGCCGGCTTTATTAAAGTTATATATATTTTTATCTAGAATACTATACTTTGCTTTTATATTGCGTATAAGCTTAAACTAATTACTAATAGCTTTTAGATCCTTATATAGAGCTTTTTAACGGTTATACTTTCGATTAAATTATATTTTAAGCTTAGGTGTTCGCTTAATAAAGTTCTCTAGCTAGTTTTTGCTAACTTAGCCGGCGGCGCGCTTAGTAAGCAATTTATTGGCCATCTCTTATATAGTATATAAGCTAGGCGGAAATCCTTATAAATCTAGGTTAAGTATATATTAAGTAATAACTAATTCCTCTAGCTTTAAAAGCTTCTTTAAATTAGGCTTAGAATCGCGTTATAGGGTTATTCTAGCGCGTCGATTTTAAAGTATACTTCTAGGGACGTTATATATTATAATAGCGCGCCGTTCGCTTATAAATTGCTGCCGATTAATTGCTATAATAGCTATATATATTCGACCTTTATTTTATATTAATTGTATGTTATATTATCGACGTATAGTAGTTAGAAGTTAACGCGTTGCGTTTTTATAATAAAGTAGACGGCTTACTTAGGTAAACGGCTCGCTTATAGAATACGTTATAAGTCGCTTAATTAATTTTTAACAGCTATAATAGCTTACTCCGGAATAATCTATATTAGTAAACAATTATCCTAAAGTTTTTTACCTGCTCTAATAATAAAAGCAACTTAAGTATAACCTCTAAAATTCTATAAAGTATCTAAAGTATAAAAAGCTTAATTATAAAATTAACTAGAAAAGGCAGCGCTAGCAAGATGCCCTTTTTTAGGATATTAAGGAACGCTAGAAGTATAAGCAACCTATATATAATATTAAGCTACAGCTTACTAGTATTAAAAGTAAAAATAAGGTTATTATAGTATAGCCTTAATATACTATACTCCTAGTATAGAGAAAGCTAGCTAATACTATTATAGCCCTGCCGGAAGTTACTCTAGAAGCAGAAATATACCGGTATAATAGAGCTATTTAAGCTGTTATAGAATATTATAGGGTTAAAAAGGGTAAAATACACCCTATTTAACTCTAATAATTAAGCGGTTATATTATATAAAATAAGAGCAAATATAATACCTAGCTAGACTTATTTATATAAGCGCTAGAAGCAGCTAAGGTGTCTATATATAAGGA